CATTATATCCGTTAAGCAACATGTTCTACCTGTCAATGAAAAAAAAAACAAAAACTGTCTCGATTGTCTTTTTGTTTAGTTGGTATATCTTAACACAATCAAAAGGTAAATTCATTACAAAAAACATTAAAAGCACTGGATCAATGAAACTTATTTGTTTTTACGATTAAGTTCTTAAAATATTAGCAAAAAATCTTTAAACAAATAAATGTTTATTAAAAATTCGGCTTTATATTAATGATTTAATGATATCTTGAATCTGGGACACACTCTTTCTAGAAATTGAGCCATATGAAAAATTATATTTTTTCTTAAGCGTATAAAGAACAGAAATATAATTGGACATAAATAAAGTTTTTCCTTCCATCAAAAACTTCAAATTTGTTTCTCTAAATACAATATTTTCAAAAGATTATAAATTGTATTCGTTTCTATTTGTTTAAAAATGTCAAAAACTCTTAAAATAATGATTTTTCAATATTTTTTATTGTGCGAATCTTAACAAAAGATTTAAATCAGATAAAGATGTCTTTATAATCATCATAACCAGTTAACAAAATACAAATTGCATCGAGTTACTTTATCTTTACTCATATAATGGTAATTTTTTAACTAATTTTAATTTATTCCTAGTTTCCGCCTGTTGAATTCTATTAGTAAATGAGTTGAAAGATTTTCTCTAAATCAATTTTTTTTAGCTATTTCACAAAGTTATTCGTCAAAAACTTCCTCATTTTGTAAAATGAACTCAATTTTGGAATCTATTCAAATTTTTTTTTATATGTTACCTAATTGAATAAATAAATTAATACCTAGAAAATATTTCTTGAGTTCCAAAGATGATAACAGTACATATTCCTTTTTTTTTTTTTTTCTAGTGTACTTTTTTAATAAACATCACAAAATAGTTTCTTTAAGGGGCTATTACTGGAAAAACTTTTACTAATTTATTAAAAAGCAACTTCTTTTTTTTTCCCTGAAATGCTTCAAAGATTTTGAATGTACACATATGTTTGAGTCTCATTTTATTTTAAATAAGTGTCTTTATAAGATCTCATTGTTAAACCCCTGCAACCTTTATAAACAATCAGATCTGTTTTAAATAAGGTAAGAGTATCAGACCTATTATAGAGGACGGGAAAATTACATATAAAAACAGTCTTAACTGTTATTTGAAATTGAATTTGCTATTTACCCAAGAAATTATAAACTTGTTTCACTGAATATAAACGAAAATATAAATTGTTATTTGAATTGTCCAAATTGAAGTTTTTGCTTTTTTTTTAAAAAAATGAAAGCATTAGGATAGTTTAAAGGCACCTCCCTACCAAGTAAGATTTTGGTTCTTACGTATTTCAGGCACATGTACGGCAGTTAAAAAGTAAAATTACCAGAAATATTATAATTTATAAAAAGTACATAATTTAAGAAACATTATCCACTTTGATTTTTAATAAAATTTAAAGATCAAACATTTGTGATAACAGCTCAGGTTTATTTTGCTGTTGAAGCATTTTAACTGGCTTCAAATTTTTGGTAAGGTTTTTGTTACTACTTAATAGTGTAAATATCTCTTTTAAAGCAATGCAAAACGGTTCAACCCAATTATTTTTGAATATTAAGCAAATGAATTGAACTCACAATTACAAAATTAACTTCAACGCTTTACCTGAACACAGATCATACAATGTAAAATCACTAAAGGGATATAATCCCTTACTTAAAAAAATGTCTTAAAATCTGCTAAAAAACATGTAAAAGCATTGTTGTAAAAAAGAAAAAAACAAAACAAAAAAAACAAATTTTCCAGATAAGGTTGAGATTTTTAGCAGGAAAATTTGCGTATCTGACTGAATAAGTGACCTATCTATTTTTTAGCCCTATTGTTGTCAGTGCTCAATCAAGGGGCTTCTTTTCTTTTATTGTGCAGTTATATATTAGAATTAAGGATACTAAAAATTGTTAAACAGGAAATAAGGTGGAGAGATAATATTATTTTCTTACATCCGAGAAGGTTTAAAAACTTATTAAGAAACTAAACTGAAAAAAGCTCATAACTTCAAATAATACTATACCGTATTTCGAAAGAAAAAAAGAAAAAAAAGTCCTATTAATCAGGTTCAAAAAATTACCTTCTAGCAATCTCGTTTAAAAAAATATGTCGTTAGTAAAGCAATGGAGTTTATATAAATCAAGAGTTTAATTCTCAACTTTGTTGATGCGATAGACAGAAAGAAACACTTGCGACTCTACATGGCTATTTTGTGCATAGCCATTAAAAATGAAACAATAAAAATAAAAAAAACACAATTATTTAAGATTTCATACACTTATATATATATATCCAAATACCCTAACAATTTTTGAAAAGCTATTTCATTCATTTTGAAATATTTATTCATTTCAACTCTATTTCTTTATTTTTGTCTTTATTTTTGTTTTAATTCAGCGCTAAATTTCTGATTATTTTAGATACTATTTCATTTTATTAAACGGTATTAATACACATGTCAAATCGCTCATCTCATGGACGCGCCAGTAACCAAAAGGTCCTTCCATTTTATCCTCTTTTTTATATTCGACTTGAATCCGACGTCACATTTGGCTCAACCAACGAAGGCCTTTATATAATGACAAGGCAAAATGAAAAAGTCGACACTGGAATTATCATTGGGTTAACAATAGGAGACGATAGAATAGCAAAAGTTATTATCATTCCAGAATACTCACGGCAAAGATCAAATCCATTTCCAGAACGAAGATTTCTTACACTCATTCAGTTAAGAGATCAAGACCAACTTTCAGATTTTTTTAAATCCAGACATCAACCAAATAATCTTACTACAACACCTGCAAATTCCCCAGAAGAGTTAGAAATTGTTAGAAATTGGTTTTCGGAAGCAGCAAGAGATTTGAAAACAATGAAGTGAAAACGATTTTACACTTCTATCATTCTGTGGTTCTGTCAATGAGCAAAATCATTCGTTGCATCGCTCTTTTTTTCTCGACGGCTATCAAGCAGAACCCCCTATTTAAACTTACTTTGCATTATGAAACAGTGTTAAGCGTATTAACATAAGACGCTTGAAATATTATACATTCGTTTGTCATTTTCCTTTTTTTTAAAAAAAGAAAACGGAGAAAAAAACAACAACCAAATGATAAATCAAAAATTAAAAACAGAAGGCTTTATTTTTGTTTTATCCAACCTTTAGTTCATCATTTCATTTTCAAAAACTTCAATCATGTTAATTTGATTGGTAAGGTACTAGAATTTGATCACTAGAAACACCTTTTTTTTATGACCATGTGATCATTTAAACCTATTATCAAAATAATGTGCGTTGTACCTGCTTTTTAAATAGTTTAAAATTGTAAATTGTTGATAATAATCGTACTTATGTGTATAAATGCGTTTTTAGAATTTATTTTTTCTACATTGGCTAGTTACTGAAATTTATCATCAAAATGAAGTTCTCTATTTCTTCTTTTTAATCTATCCCTTAGGTGGTTCTTTTATGCAAATTTTTTAAATCTGAATTTAAAACAGAGCTTTTGTAATCGACATGACTTTCTATTTAGAATCATAACATTTTCTTGCATTAATGGAAAACTTTCCTTTTACGAAAAAGAAAGAAAAAGGTTTAACTTTATTATTGACACTTTAATAAATTGTCTGCATATTCAAAGATCTTGTGCTAAGCTCACCTAAATAAATAATTATATTTTATAAAAAAAATTAAAAAAAAAAAGAGTTTTGGATAGTTCAAACTTTTTTAAAAGTTAGATTAAATAATATCAACTTCTATTCAAGTTAATTTTTCACTACAAACGATTTCTAGGGTTCCTGTTGAATAGTTTATATATCTCTTAAATCGAGGCAAAAGATTTAAAATTTTCATATATTAACATCACAACTTTTTTTTTAAAATGAAATTTTTTATAATTTTAGTTTGACAGATTTCTTGAAACTTTCACTCTAAAATAATTTATAAAATGCCTTCGTTTACATGACATAATAAAAAATAATAATGATTAACCAGATGCCTGAGCACGGATATTTAAAATAAAATATAAAAAAAAACCTAAACTCTTATTTTTACATTTTAACTTGAATTTTTATTTGAACATTTACATTTGACCTATAAAAAGATCAGATAAAGATTAAAATATAAGTATATATAATAATTGTTCCTTTTCGACTAGTGTAGCCTAACAATTTGAAAAATCTCATTGTTAAATCTAAATGAATGTCAATATATGAAAATGGAACTTTCAAACGCCGACATCTAAATAAAAAAGAGTTTATTATTTATTCTTAAGTTTGAAACTCAAATTTAAAATATAAATATTATATATATTATTTTATATTTCTACAACTAGTTTGTATCAAATAGTAACTTGTTTACAATCTAAATGAATTCCGGCTTTTCTTTAAAAATAAATGAGTATAATAAAATTATAATTCCTCGGTCTCGGTATTAATATATTTGAGAAAGTTATTAGACTTTTTAAAATATTTTGTCTAAGTTCACGCGTTGATATTTAAGGTACTTTGTACAAGTTTAAACTTGTTAACAGAGTAAAAAGAACTCTTGAAATTCTTCACTTATCACATGCTTATTCATTAAATGTATTTCAAGTTTAAAATAACATTATCTCTTTTAAAGCGAATTGTCTATGAGATATAGGGTTATTCATTCTGTAGATTAATTGATATCTTAATAAATGTAGCTGAGGATAAACCTTCAAAAAAAGAGTAAATTTATCAAGTTAAATGTTCTAATAATTATAGGGTTATATAAGTAATTACATAATGCTTATGACATCAGCTTATGTTAAGTTTGTAAACAAGATGTATCGACAAATCTGGAAATTTCAAAACAAACAGTGTATTTCAAAACAAACAAACAGTTGGAATAAGTTTCTTCTTTATCCTAATCCTTTCTTTTAATGATAAGAAATATAAGCACTCAACCATTTTTTTAGAATAATCTACGATGCAAAAAGGAAATAATGAGAAGATATCTCCGACTGCTGGGCTTAATGGACCCCAAACACCAACGTCTAGTCCAGCGAGAAGATCAAGCAATCAAACTCCCCGTCAAATTTCATCGCGTCCAAGGTCATCTATTGGATTGCCAACTACACCATTAAGGTTAAACCAAGTTGTCAGAAAGGAAAACAGTCCTCTTTTGTCCAATTCACATGGACCTTTTAATTCTCCAATGAGGTCGCCATATCTCAAAAATTTTAGTGCAAAACTTCCTGGGTCAGCAAATGTTAAGGTTGTCGTTCGTGTTCGGCCCTTTCTACCTAGAGAAATTGAAAAGGGTGCATCCAACCTGATTGTTATGGATTCAGCTAACAACTCAACAACCATTCTTCCTCCACCCCCTTTATCACCGTCTTCCTTATCTCAAACAAACAGTAGATCCCGACGAAATTATGAATCCAAGACTTTTACGTTTGATCATTCTTTTTATTCGGCGGACCCCGAGTCTAAAGATTTTGCCACACAAGATATAATTTACGAAAAAGTTGGGAAAGAGTTTTTAGATCATAACATGGAAGGATACCATACTTGTATATTTGCGTATGGCCAAACTGGGTCAGGTAAATCGTATACCATGATGGGTACAGAAGAAACCCCAGGCCTTATTCCTAGAACTTGTCAAGATTTATTTAAAAGAATTAAAGCTGTGACTAGTGCAGACACCCAGTGCACTGTTCGAGTTTCATATTTTGAGGTATACAATGAGCAGGTACGAGATCTTCTTGTTCCCCCAGCTAAAGATGGAAGCCATCAACGCCTTCGGGTTCGCGAATCACCAACGGAAGGTCCATATGTTGAGAATCTATCTGAGTTCGCAGTCCAGTCTGTTATGGAAGTCGACAAGTATATGGAAATGGGAAACAAAAATAGGGCTGTTGCATCGACAAAAATGAATGATCAGTCTAGTAGATCACATGCCGTATTCACTCTTGTTGTTAAGCAAGTCATTAGTGATCCAGTAACTGATTCAACCGAAGAAAAGACAGCTAGAATACGATTAGTGGATTTGGCTGGTTCAGAAAGAGCACTGGCCACTGGTGCCACAGGACAAAGATTACGAGAAGGATCAAATATTAATAAATCATTAACTACTCTTGGTCGTGTAATTGCTGCTCTTGCTATTGATAGCACAAAAGATGATAGCAATAGACCTGAGACAGTTGTTCCTTATCGTGATTCTGTTCTCACATGGATTCTTAAAGAAAGTCTGGGAGGAAATAGTAAAACTGCCATGGTGGCCTGTATTTCGCCAACAGATTATGAAGAAACCCTGTCAACACTTCGGTATGCTGATCAAGCAAAGAGTATTAGAACGAGAGCAGTTGTGAACCATGATATTGTTTCTGCTGCAGATAGAGATAAGCTACTTGCAGAAATGCAAGAACGTATCAATAGCTTACAATTATCACTCATGGAATCAACTGCTGCTGCTGCCGCTGCCGCAAACAGCATTAATAACGAAGATTTAGCAAAACAAAAAGAATCTGATCGCAACAATTACTTGGAGAAAGTTAAAGGAGTCATTAGGTTTTACGAAGATAAGGCAATTACTGAAGAAACCAAAAGAAGAGCCATTCAGTCCGAAAATGAAGCAGTTAAACGTCATAATCGTTTATTGATTGAACATCTTAAAGAAGTGACAAATAAGACTCTTGGAAACCAATTTGTTTTTGCAGATGACGAAGAAAAGGCAGAATGTATTGATGAGGGAAACAATGATAAACCTCATGTATCAAGCTTAGATTTTGGGAATTTACAAAAAACTCCAAAAAGGCTTTCCTTTCTGAGGCCCCAGGTAACTTACGAAGAGCTTGAAAATGAAATTAATGACATCTTAAAAGATTTAAAGTCATTTAAAAGTAATTTGATTATTGATATCAATACTTATCAAAAAAAGCCTCATTTAATATCCACGTAAATGATGTGCTCATATATATATAGGGAAAATATTAATAAGTTTATGATCCTTCATGTTATGTTAAACATAATTATGTTTAGTATAATACAATTGTTTAGTAAGGGTTTTAGTTTCTCAAGAAACCAAAAAATGGGTAAAGTTTGTTTGTGGTCACATGTTCACGTGATCTTCTTATGGACTTCTTCTACAAACTATGAGGGGTTTACGTTTACTCCCTTCTCTACTCTGCTTTATTTGATTTTTTTTTCCCCTTCTTAATAACGACAATATTTCAACTATTTACTTTAATATACTTCATTAGATTTAAGCTCGGGTTTTAAAAATGTCTTTGCAGGGAAAAGACGAAGGAGAAAAGTTCAAAGGTAAGAAAATATCTTAATAATGCATGGAAAGATTTCACTGACCACAAGTTCTTGTTTTAAATAGTTATGATCAAGGCATCTGACATGGTTAGTGATGTTTTATTGCTATTCTAATTTATTTTTCATAAAGAAGATCGATTTTCTGTGATGTCAAATGTTTGATTTCACCATTAAAATCATCATGTCTTGACATGTTACATTTTAGTATCTCCACAATTTAACATAATTCATGACTTTATCCTCAATATAGGCTGATGATATGCAATCACAAATAATTGAACTAGGTATACAATTTTTTTTTAGAAACGAATTTTCTTGGAACCATTGAAAAAACTAATCTAACAAATTTATTTAGCGCAAACTGCAATTCAAAAATATAGTGTGGAAAAAGACATTGCTGGATTTCTCAAAAAAGAGGTAGATATTTTTAAATTCTGAGCCAACGTTTAAATTTACAGCCAATGAAATTATTCTAACATAATATTTATAGCTTGATAGAAATTATGGTGCAACATGGCATGCGGTAGTTGGCAAGAACTTTGGAAGTTATGTCACACATGAATCCAACTATTTTCTGTACTTCTATGTTGGTCCTCTGGCATTCCTTTTGTTTAAGACTGGCTAGTTTTTGGGTACAGAATATTACGGGATAGCGGAAATAATAGAGAATCATCATTTAGGATTGTCAATGAAAATTAAAAATAAAGATAAAGATAAAGATAAATAATTTCGGATATATTCATTAATGCCTAGGAAGATACAACGATTATTTACAATACGCATACTATTAACAATAATGAATGTTGCGTTTTGGCGATCATCGACTGTAGTCCTTTAGTTAGTGGATGTTCTGCTCTTTAGAAAGTTGTAACTGTTTATGTAATAATATTTTGTAATAATAATACTTAAAACTAATATTTGGCTTATTATGTTTTCCAGAAGTCGTTTGCTAGTATACATGCCAACGCACTTTCAACATTAACCATTCACATGAGTATAAATCTCAATTTCGACCATCTTGCATTAAAAATTTAAGGATGCGGTTTAACTCGGCTTTAATCGTATTTCAAATATTCATATTAAGTGTTTTAGCCTTAGAATCTACTACTTCATCACGCAGCAGCAATGATTTAGCACAAAAAATTAGCGACTTGATAAAAAAGGGCGACACTTCTCGTACATTGGGTCAAGTAAACAACGCTCTACAATCTTATAACGAAGCTATTCGCCTTGATCCAACAAATTACCTTGTTATTTTTAAGCGTGGTGTCATATATATGAACATGCCTGGCAAAGAAAATTTGGCGATTGCTGATTTCGATAGCGTCATTAAACTTCGCCCTTCATTTGAAGGTGCTCTTAAACAAAGAGCGAGCATATATATTAAATTAGGGAACATTGATGAGGCAGAAAAAAATGCAAAACTTTTGGCTCAATCTGAAGCTAAAAAGTCAGGATCATCAGAAAAATCCGAAAGTTTGACACAATATTCTATTATAGTATTGGACCAGATTTCAACCATCAAAAATTCGATTAAAGCTGCTACCGAATTTTCAAAAAAATCTGAATTTGATAATTGTGTGCAGTCGGCTACTGAAGGTTTAAAAACTGCACCTTTTTCACAAGAGCTTTTGTCTATTCGAATAAACTGCAATTTGTTTCGAGGAATGTCGAGAGCTATTTCCCGAGATTTCAACAACCTGGAGCTCGTTATTACAAAAGAAAATTATTATTCACAAGATGCATTGCTATTATACTACACCCTGCACGAATCTGAAAAATCCATTACAAAACTTCAAAAGTGTCTTCGATTTAACATGGAATCGAAGCCTTGTAAGGATGCTTTTACCGACATTAGAGGCTTTGAAAAAAAATTCGGAAAATACGCAGGAATAGCAGATCAAACTCAGAATAATGGGCGTCCAAAATACACTGAAAGGGATAAAATATGGAAGGAAGCAAAGGCGGCTTTATTACCTGCTTTTGAAACCACTATTCGTAAATCAGTTAAAGAAGCATACAATAAACTTGGATTTCCAGATAACCTCGATCCTAATAAGCATTCCAAGCTTCTCTCAAACATAGAAGAAACTATTTGTGCAGCATCTTATTATTTGAAACAATTTAGCGATTTAGAAGCTATAAAATACTGCGATTTGATCATTTCTAGAGGGTCCTTACTTGAAACATTAGGTGATACCCAGTTTACTCCTAGTGTTGATATTCAGGTGATTGCACATTTGTTTAAAGTCGAAAAGTATCTATCGGATGAAGCTTATGATAAAGCAAACGATGTGATTAATAATGCCCCAGACACGGTCAAGGCTGATAATCGCATAACTTCCAAAAGGAATGAAATTGAATTACAACGCACTAGATCTAAAAATACAGACTATTACAAGATTTTGGGTGTTTCGCGAAATGCTGATGATAAAGAGATTAAATCTGCATATCGTGAAAAAACTAAGCAGTATCACCCCGACAAATACCGTGGTGAACTTAGCCCAGAGGAAGTGGATCGGAAAATGGCCCAAGTTAATCAAGCATATGAAGTATTATCAACACCGGAACTTCGCCAAAGGTTTGACAGAGGTGATGATCCAAATAACAATGAAGCAAATCAAAACTCGCAACATGCCGCTCAAGAACAAATGCAGAAATTCTTTCGAAATGCTGGAGGATCCCAACAATTTGCTCAACAGTTTGGTGGATTTGACTTTGGCTCTTTTCATCGGCAGCGTCCTGGGGGAGGGCGAGCTCAAGGTGGTGGGCCAACAAGAGTGAAGTTTACAATGAACCATGGGCATGCTCGTCAAAAGAATAAACCAAAATGATTAACTATTTAAGTACTAAGATTTTGCTGTATTATAGATTTTATGTATATATCAAACTATTTGTGAATTACCCAAAAAATGCCAAAACTATTAGTTTATATCCAAAGACTGCCTTGCAAACTTGTTATTCTTAATCTCATTCCGAAAAATATGACCTTGTGACAAAGTAATTATTATATCCGCAATTTCTGTTGGTTCTTTTTGGTGAGTGATTATAATAATAGTCATTGTTCGCTTTTGTTTGTATGCTTCAAGTTTTGTCAGAATTGTAGCAGTAGACTTTGAATCCAAACCAGAAGTGCATTCATCCAAAATAAGAACTCTGGGCTGTCTAAGTAGTGCTCTTGCTAATCCTATTCTTTGCATTTGTCCGCCGCTCATTAAGTTACTTGCACCACTAGAAACTTGACCGGTTGAACCACCAATCATAGTGTCATACTTATCAGGTAAAGTGCTGATAAAATCATCAATTGCGCAATCCTGACACACTCTTCGAATTTCATCCATAGATATATTGGCATTAAGTCCAAAGGTCAAATTTTCACAGATTGTTCCTCTAAAAAAGTTTAATGGCATTTGTCCAACAACCGCAATTTCAGATCTCAGTGAATCGGTATCAATATCGGTAATGTCAACCCCTCCAATAGTAATAACTCCGGAAGTGGGAAGATAAAGTTTAGTTAAAAGTGATGTAAGTGTAGACTTGCCAGAGCCAGAAGGGCCAACTATAGCAACAACTGAATTTTTAGGAATTGTTGTGTTAATGTTATATAAAACAGGAACTTCAATAATGCGACGTCTAGAAGCCTTTTCCGAAATCTTGGCTTTAAGAATTTGGCTTTTGGAACGCTTAAATAACAAATCTAGGCCATTTAGAAGATTTTTAAACCCATGCTTGCTTGTTTCTTGTTCTGATTTTTTGACAGGCTGAGATGTAGTGATGACTGAATCTTTAAATGTATCAGGTGCAAAAAAAGAAAAAGAGCTAACGGGACGTGTAGATTCTATCTTGGTTGTAAAAGTAAGATCTTCGTCATCGCTTGATTCATCGAAATTGACCAAAGTACTGATTTCTTTTGGTGTAGTATAACTAAAGCAAACATCCTTAAAAATAATTGTGGAGCTGGTTAAAGACATTTTAATTTTTTGCCCAATTTTTTCTTGGTTGAGGTCTGAGTTATCGTCAAGAAAATGAAAAAGGCGCAAAACAGTAAGCAGAGGACCATGCATTTGAGGTATAGCAGTCATGAGAACACTAATAGAGGTTATTGAAAATAAAAGAATAGTGAAAATGATCATTACTTGCTCCAAAGTATATTCACCATCAGCAACAAGCTTCATTCCAAAATAAAGTAAAATTCCCTGGCAGGCAAGAGGAAAAAAATCAGAGATTGCAAATCCAATGCCTTTGCACATGGAATCCTTAAGTTTAATGACAGAATATTGGCTTATTGAAGATTTAAAAGCATCATTAAAATACTTTTCGATGCCTAAAATTCTTAATGTGCGAATTCCTGAAACCATTTCATAAAGTATTCCGTCAACCTTAGCGCCCAAGCTTATGACTTGAGCCTCCCAAATGTTGTTAAAATACTTAAAGATGAGATACGAGATATAAGATCCAGGAATTAAAGATAACGCCACAAAGCATAGTTTCCATCCCATAATCATAACCCAAATGATACAAATTAAAGAAAGTGAAACACATGTCGATAAAATTGTAAGAAATAATGTGATAATAACTCTAATATCTTCAGTGTTGTTCATAAGAAGAGTAGTGAGCTCGCCACTGTCAATCTTGTTGTCAGTAAACCATGAAATATCCCGAGAAGTCACAGATTCAAAGGCTTTAAGGCGAATAGAACAAACCCAACGATCGGCAGCAAGGCACAAAACAGTTGTACGCAAATAAATAGTTACTGAATCAATAAATGCAATAGAAATTGCCAACGCAATCCATTTAGAGTTGGATCCGGTTGAAGATCCAGGAAACATACTAGTGAAAATTTTGGCAATAGCAAAAGAGAAAATTGGATTGACAGCACCATTAATGATAGCAATGCAAATTCCAAAAAGTAAAACGGGTTTATTTTGAACTGTTTGAAAACATTTATAAAGAACCGATAATGTTGGAATTGGAAGTCCTTTGGTATCTTTGGGATTGATGTATCCAAGCTTAAATGCTGTTTGTTTTTCTGGTTTGCTTTCCATGCTATCAAAAGTAAATTGGTTTGTGGGTGTGTATGGGGTAGGTGGCTCGGAAAATCTTCTGCCATCAATAATATTTCTGTTTCCAGCCTCTAAAAGATTATGAATAGATTCCTCCCCTCTTGGATCAATAAGCAATAACGACGGATAAAATGATGAAAGAGGGCGGACAGTAGACAAACGGTTGATGTTTTTAAGTCGTTCAGATTTTGGATCAATATTAAGAGGCGCTTCTTTACCTTTGATTTCATTTAAAGAAGAAAAATCTTCAGAAAAATCTTCAGAAAATGTATCCATAACGTGAATTGTTTCTCGTTTTGAAGAGTTAAGCGACATCCCATAATAATCAGAGAAGGGTGAATGAGAACTAGACGAGCTAACGGTACTCATGTTATCATTGATCATAATACTATTTGATTTTCCAGAAAAGAAATTGCAATCATTGAGATCCTTCCGAAGTCCTTGGGCTAAGGTTTTGCCTTTGTGAAAAATGTACACATAATCTTCAGGTTGTATTTGATTCAACTCGTGAGTGATAATAATGGTAGTTTTTCCTTTACGCCAAGTACGAATATTGCGAAGAATAGTTTCTCTTGAACGTGGATCTAAAGCGCTCAGTGATTCATCCAAAATCAAAATCGGTGTATCTCTAACACGGGCTCGTGCTAATGCAACTCTTTGGCGTTGACCACCACTGAGTTTACTACCACCAGAACCAACAATGGAATCCAACCCCTTCGATGCAGATTCAATAATATTTCTCAATGTTGCAAAAGAAATAGAATATTCAAGTTGAACATCGGACATTTCCGTTCCACGAATACAGTTACCCAAGGCAATATTTTCCTTGATTGTGGTATTAAAAAGAACACTCTGCTGTTCAACAACAGTAATATTGTTTAACAACCATTTTGCGGAAAGAGTTTCAATAGGATACCCGTCAATAAGAACCACGCCTTTTAAAATATTGTATAAACGCAAAACAATATTGGAAATGGTAGATTTTCCACAACCAGAATTACCAACAATAAATACAGTTTGTCCAGGAGAAATATCTAAATCAAGACCCCGTAAAACTTTAACACCAGGGCGTGAAGGATAAGAAAAATGGACCTAAATTTAAATGTTAACAATTATAGCTTAAAAAAAAAAAGATAGAACTTACGTTTTGAAAAACAATAGATCCCTTGCAAGAGTCGGGAAACAAACCAATCATACTTTTGAAATAAGTAGAAGATGACATTCCAAGATCTAAAAATTCTTTGATTCTAGATGAAGCAACAATTCCTTTGTGGACGGGTTCCATCCGTAAACCAAGTTCGCTAAGGTTGTTGGCAATCATCATTGTAGACCAAAAAACTGTAAGAACATCACCTGGATAAGCTTTACCTTTAGCAACTAATTTACCACCATATACAAAAGCAGGAACAAACATTGTAAGCATAATAAAGCGAGAAATTCCTTGTTGAAATCCGGCAAAAACAATGAATCTTTTATAATGTATAAATGCTTCGTCAAGATATATATTGAGTTTTCGGATCTGTACAAATTGAGCGTTGAATTGCTTTACTGTAGCAATAGATGTAACTGTCCAATTAATTAACGATGATGCATCTTCAACAATTGCTTTATATTGAACGAGGGCCTTTGTCATTGGGGTAGTTGTGATTCCTGTAAAGATAACGATTACAGGTAAAGAACAGAGAGATATCAGTGTAAGACTCCAATCAAATACAAATGCAACTATCAATGCAGCAATTATACAAGAAATTGAACGAATGTTTAAGGCCAAATTCATAGATGTAGCGAGTCTAAAATCATCAAATGAGCGGTTGAGAAGAGATAAAGTCCCCATTACACCTTTGTTTTTATCATACCAAGTAAAATCTCTACCAAGAAAACGAAAATATGCCTTTTCTCGTGCACGACTAACTTGTACAGAAGAGTAGTAATCCCAAGTCGCTACCATGAAACTTTGAAAAAGCAAAATGGCACCACTAAGACCAATTATAGACATAGTATAAATAGTGACATCTCTCATAAATGCTTGAGGTGAATCATACACAAGTCCCGTTGAAAATTTGGAGAGTGAAGTAAAAACCTTTCCCATAAGAATTGTTTGGATTGGTTGGCCGACTCCAGCAACACAAGTAACAAAAATTGCAGGAATGACATATATGAAATCTGCAGGAAAACGAGAAAAGGAAAACAAGGAGCCATCAACTGTAACATTTTTGTCTTGATCTTCGTCTTTATCGTCATCTGTGGGGTCGTTTAGATTCTTGTCATTTTTTTGTTTTTTAGAGGTTTTTTTCTTTTCTTCAGGTTCTTTGGTTTCTTTATAGGTTATCTGTTGTAAACTTTCATCTGAAGGATCACTGATATTTCTTGGTGGTTGATCTCGCTGAATTTCTTTAAATGTTATGTCGGGTTTAAAAATGCTACCTCCGTTCATGTCATCATTTTCAAAATCAGTGTCATCATCTTCATCATCTTCGCGTTCGCCAATGATTCTTTGGGGATCAATTAAGCCGCGGTTGCGTCTCGAAGTGCTTAATTCTAGCTTTGGATAATAAGTAACTGGGGAGTTTTTCTCAAGTAAATCTTCATCTTGGTTTACTTTGTTTTGGGATTTTAAAGAAGAGAAAGGTAATGCTAAAAACTCCTGAGAGTGACCAGCGCTCACAGATTCTTGATTTTTATTAGATGAATTAGAAGTAAGCATGTTAAATAGTTTAGCTTTTTAAAAAAAAATAAAAAAGAAAGAAAGAAGAAAAGACAAGAAGAAGAAAAAGAAGAAAAAGAAGAAAAAAAAACTTGAGAAAAACTTGAGAAAAATTTAGAAAAATTTAGAAAATAGAATTAGTTTTAAGCGTCCAAGCTATTGTTTTAGTGATAGCAAGAGTCTCACCATTGCTATGCTGGCCACTTAGCCAAAAGAAGCCAAAATAATCTGACTGTAAAGAAAACCCGATTCCCCAATTGATCGAGTATAAGGGGAAAATGATATTTGAGTCTTTATATTTTGACTACCCATGATTAAGTTGCTGAATATTTCAAACGCAATTGTTCTGGCCCAAATAGGAAATAGCTTCAGCGATATGCACCCTGGCGCATAAATATTTTTTTTTATCTTTCTAGACGAATTCCATGTATCGCTTCACAAAGAGAAAAGCAAGAAGTTGAAGAAGAAAATTTTAGAGATGAAGTCTACAAGAAAGACCAAAAAAGTATGCTGGGCACTATGAAAAAAATAACCAAAATAACCAACATAGTGGCTTTCAATCACTATCAAAATCATTAAACATCTTTCTACTAACTATGAAAACATAGTACTACCGTCATTCGAAACCCAAAAATGGGTTGGTATTAGCAGAAAGAAAAGGATAAACAAGGTTTTGATAGTGATTTTGCACTATTCGTTTTACCAGCGCCTTTCCATCAAGTACCAATTGACAGAGACGAGACTCTCTAAATAGAGTGAGGGGTTCACCGGTAAGAATTGCACCAGTTTCGGGAAAGCAAAACTCAAGCTGTCCCCGAGTGATCATGTCTACTATTGTTATTCGTGTGGAATCTCTGTTGACGTCTCTGTCAACAAAACCAGAAACACTCTAATCAAGTGTCTAGCTTCCTTCAAATAGATTCAAAAGACCATACATTAGAAAATAATATAACTCTGGTTTTGCCAATATTTCTTTGACATTTTCTGTAAACAAAGTGTTTATGCTTTATTTACCTTACTGTAGTGAATAAAAAAATAAAAATATATTTGAGTGGGAAAAATTAGTGAGAAGATGTTATTTTAAGGTTCGGAACTCTTTAAATTCCCATTTGTTACAATATTACAATGTGTAACAACTTACAACCAAACATCATGAATTGACTTTCACATGTCAAAACTCCTGCTATTTTGTTGGGACCAAATTTCCATTTCCTGGGGAAGCTGAGCTTTGCCTATTGGTCTATCGAGGTTAACGTGTTCCTGAAAATAAGTGATTTTTTTTTTCAAGTACTTCATATAAGTCCTGTTCTCTTTTTTTTTTTCTTCTTTTTTTTCTCTCTTTCTGTTTTTTTTTATCTCGTTCAAGCTTTCTTTAATCTCTCTGTTATTCACTTATATCACACGACTGATTCCCTATTATATATAACATTTTCTGTAAACTACCCCTTTTTTTTCTGGTTTTACATTTTTATTATTCAATTATATATTATAACAATGTCCGTTACTTTTTCTGAACTTGCTACCGACTTTATAAGTCATATTGATTTCTCCAAGTTATCTTTGGCAATCTCCCTTGGGTCAATTGCATTCAATCCTATTTTTTGGAACATTGTTGCACGACAAGAATATAAAAATAAAATTCTCACAAAGCTTGCTGGTGGCAATAGACTGTATGGCTGTTATGGTCTGGCTGTTACCATTTTCTCGTTAGGTATCATCCGTGATCTTCTTTACGAACGGGCTCTTCGTGATCAACCTTCATGGCCACTTTTTGCTAAATATGATTTGATTGTGAAAGCGCTTGCTGTCATTTCGTTTGCTATAGGAAACGTGTTGGTCCTTTCTTCAATGTGGGCCCTGGGCATTACAGGTACCTATCTCGGTGATTACTTTGGAATTCTAATGGACAACATTGTTACTGATTTCCCCTTCAATGTTTGCGCCAACCCCATGTATTATGGATCTACGCTATCCTTCCTGGGAACCGCTTTGTGGTTCCAGAAACCTGCTGGAATTTTTGTGACTGTTTTCGTTTTTGTCATGTACATTATTGCTCTTGGCTTTGAAGAGCCTTTTACCGCACAAATCTACGCTAAAAGAGAGGCCGAGAGAGCTGCCGAATCTCAAAAGACAAAATAAAAAGTATCTGTTACTTATTGAAAATAATGACTTAATAATAGAAACTGTCCGTAAATTTTAATTTTTAGCATATATGGGCATCGGGGGCTTTTAGATTTGATTTACCACTTAATGATTCTTTTCAAAAAGTTATTATTTTTAGCCTATAGATTTGTGTATATATATTTACCACGTACCCATACTTTTTATAAACATTAACGATCAATTATTACTCGTCTTCCGGTCCATCAATAATAACCTTGACTGCCTTTCCAGCCATAACTGTCTTAAAAGCATCTTCAGCTTCAGTGAACTTGAAACGGTGAGTAATCAGTTTCTTAACAGGGACTTTTCCAGAAGCAATAAATTCAACGGCAAGTTTGTAATCGCCATATCCATATCTAAAGCAACCAGAGGCCTGAAGTTCCTTGGAGCAAAATTCAGCAATAGGAAATGTAACTTCATCCGCTCCCATACCAGCTTGGACAAACATACCACCTTCCTTAAGGACATGGATTGCTGTGTTGATTGATGCTTCTGCGCCTGATGCGTCAATAGCAATGTTAGGCTTGACTCCACCCAAAATATCCCAAATCTTTTGAGCAGATTCCTTGTATGAATCTCCCTTCACTGGCTGAAATGTGTAAGGAATTCCAAGTTCACTCTTTGCCATCTCAAGCTTGTGAGGGAGAATATCAACAGAAATTACCTTTGTGGATCCAAAAGCCAAAGCACATGATGCAATTAACAAGCCAACAGGGCCAGCACCAAAAACAACAACCACATCACCAGGTGAAATTTTAGCAAGTCGGGATACATGAACACCAACCGAAAGAGGTTCGGCCAATGCACCCTCCTCCAAACTGACATTTTCAGGGAGCTTCACGCAGAAATCTTCCGGTAGCAAGTAGTATCTGGTGAGAGTACCATGATATGGGGGAGTGGCAGCAAACGCCATATGAGGACATAAATTATAGTGACCAGACTTATATTCATCTGAATAGCGAGAAGGAATGCCAGGTTCCATGGCCACTCTGTCACCAACCTTGAGAGTTTTAACTGCGGCTCCTACTTCGACAATTTCGCCAGCTGACTCATGACCAAGAACCATGGGTTCAGTGACAACAAAATGGCCAATTGAGCCATGTGTATAGTAATGGACATCGGAACCACAAATACCAGTCTTTCTGACCTTGATCTTAACGTAGTGAGGATCGGTAATTGTAGGAATTGGTCTATCAACAAAAGAAACGTCGTTGATTTTGTTTAACACAAAAGAAGGATTGGGCTATAAGTTTTTTTTTTAAGGATTAGTAGGTAATAATAATAACAATAAAATAAAAAAAGAACAATTAAGAAATCTTCATACAGTCATTTTAATGGAATTGATTTATTGTCAAAAAAAAAAAAAGGATAAAAAAAAAAGTTGTTGGAATAGTGAAAGGAAAAAAAGAATAAATGGATGGAAAAGATGCCCATGTTTATATATATATATATATATATATATATATATATCTTCAAGATAAGCCAAAACCCAAAACCTGAATGTAACAAGGTCTTATAATTTATTCTTTTTAAAGAAAATTATTCTCTACCAACAAGCATAGAGCCAAATCATCCGATTTTTTTATTTAATGTGCTTCCCGCTTCACAATCAATTGGTCGATATCTAAAATAGAACTAAAAAAAAGTCGCAAAAAACAAAGAAAATTTTACATCAAAGTTTATTTTATTTTATTTTTTTTCTTCCTTTCCTCTCCTTTCCTTTCGTAACAAATGATCAATTTTTTAAAAAGTTTTGCTGCAATAAACCTATTTAATAAATAATTAAAAAAAAAAAAAAAAAAAACAAGACATAAAAAATAAACGTTAAAAACTAAAATAAACAAAATAAACAAAACAAAATGAATGCTCTTTATCTTTAAATCACCTTCACTAAAAGGGACTTCTACCATGCAAATACTTCGGTGTATACCTTCACTTCGTCATATCCTTCTTGTCTCAACTTGCCACCTGCATTTCTAATTTGTTTAACAAGCTCAGAAGGTCCACATACACCAATCCAGCATGAGTCGTAACACTTTTCTCTTCTTTTAACACCCATGGGTTCTTCTTCTCCGTCAAAAAACATTGTTCTAATTTCCTTATCAATGTCTGGGCGTCCACCTCTTTCAGATGTCACCCAAAGACGAATATGCACTGATGTATCATTTTGTTCTAGTGATTCCAGTTGCCGAGAAAATGATTCTGGAAGCCATTCAAGATATCCGCGGTTAGGAATAATCCAGAAAAACCAAACTTCTGGAACATCAATTGAAGTGATTTTGCAACCTTCAATTGAACCCAGACTATATGCATCGGCTTCTTCGTCATTAATTTCATGATTCTCTCTTCCAGAGCGAATAGCTTCAGCATATTCAAGTGCCATCCGATATTCTTCATATAGCGGATAAGTAAATGCAACCCCCGACCCTCCGGCTACAAGAATGATCTTAGAACGTGATGGTTCAAACTTTGTCTCAATTTCTGCCGGCAGGAGTGACGATATGCTTTCTCTTGATGATGACGATGACAGGTGGTTGATAGATTGATAGTTGACAACAACTGAATTTTTAACGACGTCATAATTTTCATTGTCGTAGTAGTTGGGTAATTCACTGTCAGAGCTAATACCGGCACCTTTCTCAACGGTAACGACCGAAAGCGGTCGATCTTCTATCGGAGTTCCATAAGGACCATGAATAATAACCCATCGTTCACAAATTCCAGTGTTTTTTGTTTTCTCTAATAGACAACGAGTAAACCCATTACGTGCTCGAATTACAAGGTCCATCGTAGTACTTGATTCATAATTTGATGCGATTGTAAAGGGATGTGATTCAAATAATTTGCACCCGACAACAGTAATAAATACATGTTGCCCTGGCTTCCAAGGAATAAGCGGTCTACTTGACAGCAAACGACCCAGAAATCCAAAGGGAATTTTAGTATCAAAATTATTGTTCTTTCTAGTAGGGATTTTGATAACAACTGTGTCACCTGGTTTAACTTCCACAGTGCTATATACCAATCGGTAATCTTTTATGACGCGAATTACTCGATCATAAATTATTGAAAAAATAGCTAAAGCAACAAAAGGACGAGTAGTAGGATGATGATACCAAAGGGCAGGTAAGCAAACAATCAAACCAAAAAGATGAACAATATAAAAAAATTCGTAAAGTTTTTCTTTAATAACTGGATGAGCGCTTAAAAGTATTATAAAAAAGCAGAATCCTGCAACTATACCAGTAGCTGACCAGAGATGTGTGAAAAGATATTCTAACCGAAAATAATATAAAAATATAATGGTATGGGCAATAAAAGTTTTGATGCAGACATTGCCAATATGTTGGTGAAACATATTTAACTGTTCGTATGACCAGCCAATCATCCATGAAATCGGAGAGTGTTTGGTTCCAAAAACATATAGCAAAGGCAGATTGGCAGCTGAAATAAGACCTAGTCGAAATGCTAAAATAACAGGGTACCTTATCTGCACTTCATAAAATATAAATCCTAGAGTAATCAGATAATACGCCGTAATAAAAAGTGACATCCCCCAGTTGCAGTACATAAAAGCTTCGATCTCTGGTTGTTTAATTAAGAAACCACTGATCTTGTAGTATATCTTTTGATTAAAAGTGAGTTGTTCTCGCCGAGTCATGGCTTTTGGTATTAGAGGATAAATGTCAATACTATCAGCTGCAATGCGTGTACCTCCCGATAATGTAATGTTCTTGAAAAGCTGTTCGTTACTGTCATTTGTTTTCTTTTTTTGATTTTTTTCATATCGAACTTGATAAGCTGCTGGATTAAGATTGTTGAGTTTTGGTGCTTGTGTTTTAGAAGATCTTAACTTTTGAATCCAATGAATAGCTGTGGCAAAAAGAAGAACTGATAATAAAAAAAACTGATAATATAACCCAATTGTTCGACCTTGGAATATATATTTTACCATTTCTGGTACTCGCTCGGGGGTGAACGGGCTATGGCCAGGACGAAATGGTATTTCTCTACTTGGTTTTTGTTCAAGAGTATTCACAGTTTGCGCTATTAGTGGCAACGACATGATGCTAAATAATTTAAACTTTTAATGTTGTAAAATATGTCTATTTATTTGTCTTGATGTTTATCAAAGTGATTGCTTGCTTGTACAAAATCCTATTTAAGTAATAAAAAAATGCTGGATTATCACAGCTGATTAGATGGAAAAAAACCGTACAAGGCCAGGTTGAAATGTATTCAATATATATTGATACCTTTAAAAAAAAAAAAAAAAAAAAAAAAAAAAGAAAGAAATTGAAAGATTTTTAAATGATTTATCGCACTGTCAAACGAGAAAAGATTGTGGTTTAATCTTGATCATCAGATAACCCCTATTTAGGTAAAAAGAATTTACGAGGAAAGAGACCAACCAATCAAAAACTCCATGGTCAGGGTAAGGGTGTGCCATTCTATTAGCTTGTTTTGGTACACATTCCGCGCCTTGGCCCATGCTGTTTCTACATTGACATACGTCACAAGCGTCCGTGCCGTCGCATTGTAGCAATAGGCCGCCACGCGGTATATCTGTGTGCTCCGAGACCCTAGCCAATGACAGTACTTTGTATTCCCAAGATCCGGCTTCCCGTGAGTCCTCGCCCTCCCCGTTGAACGTGAACCCGAGACCATCAGTGTTGGAAAACACGCGGTCATACACAGGCATACCTACCACAATCTTGTGTATCTGTGAAAAGATAGTAATTTTATTAAGCACAACAAAAAAAAAGAGTAAAAATGATTTCCATTATTAATATTACATTCGTTACTTGGCAATGATTGTTTGAGTTTTTGTAAAAGAAACCTGTTAAATTCTAGGTAACTAATAACCTAAAGTAGTTCATAAAGCTCATTTGGGTTTTCGAGGGCCAGAGGGTTTTTGAGTTGGGACTTGTTTATAATTACTAACGTTTAACGTTGGTTTAATTTGGTTGGTTTCCCCTGCTAGTTTTTGAATCATTGCAAAATCCGAATTACTAAATCCCCAGTCTTGAAGAGTGGTTGTAGTTGTATTAGCATTTGATGTAGGCTCAGGTGTGCTACTACTAGTTGCAGCAAGAGCTGCCGCCAGAGCTCCAGTCAAAGCCAAACTCTTAGTGTTAGTTTTACCAAACCCAACCGATTTATCTAAACTAATAGGAGAGTATTGTGATTGAGCGCTCTGTACTTGAGCACTCTGTACTTGAGGTCGAGATACAAATACGCCAAGAATCACTCTTTTGTCTTTATGAAGAAAATTTTCAAGGAGGTTTCGGGCTTCATCGGAAAGAAACAAGTAATCTGGGATTTCTTGGCCATCTTCAATAGGAATTAGATATGAATCCTTGACAATAGGTTTGTCCTTTTTAAAAACGCCAAATTTCTTGCGTGTGAAAAAATAGTCAAAAAGAGCTTTAAACATTGGTCTTTCACCATGAGGTTGGTTCGGAGAAATTCCATTTTCATTGGTACGAATGATCATCGAAATGATATCTTTAGATTTGCCTACCTCTTGTAAATATGAAGCGGCACGATCACTAGGGAGTCTACCCTCGACCAATAACAAAGGATCCATGTTCATTATTGTTGGCCAAGATCTATTAGGATCAAAACCAGGAGGCCCACATAGATGAATTGCCTTTACTGGAAACTCTGTGATGATGTCCATGAAAATTGATCCAGACCAAAAATTGCATGTTGAAGATGCAAGATACTCCTCATCTACATCAATATTAGTTTCATTTTCTAAAAGTTCATCAGGTGCTGATGCAATATCCATATTGCTTGTAGATATTGCAATGCTTTCACCATTTCCCCATAACCCATTCTTATTAGCTGAGACAGGCTCATTGTTTTGGTTGTTTTTATCAAGAGACTCAGATTCTTTCCTAGCAAGAACTGCATCCTTAGACCCTCCTGTGTAATCAACTTTGGAACTAGTTATAAGCTCACTGGTTGTTGGCAACTGGTTATCAGAAAAATTGTTGTTTGTATTTTGATCATCAGTGATATATTCCTCGCCCTTATGAGTTCGGCGTATCCGTGGGCCATCATCGACTTTAAGAATTGCATTTCGAGTACTTTCAGCACGCACTGATTCGGCAAATTTTTTTAAAGTAGGGTTCATGCGGTCTTCTTGTTCCATTGTGACAAATTCCTTTGCTTTAACTTCGTTTGTCACCAGCCGTCTATGGAGGTCGCTATTCGCATCATCTTTAAGTATTGAAGTGATAATCCTAAAATTTGAACGGTATCTGTGGCCAACATCGGAACTAGTATCATCTTTATCAGCAAATTCTTGATATAATGCTTCTTCAAGAGCTACGCTTAAACTTTCTGCTAAGGTTTCTATCGTTTCAGGTAATTTTATTTCAAAAGTTGTTTTTTCAACTGTTTTGGGAATCGTTGATTTACAAAGGATATTTCGAAGAGCTTCAACAGCAGTCTTCCGGGCTGAATTTCTTAAAGTGTCCGTACCAGAAGGGTGATCATGCTAAAAAAAAATTGTTAGAATAAAATATGAGAAATTTATGTTTGCTTACCCCATTAGCACGGTGTTTTTTGTTTGGTCTTTTAGAATTTTTGTCATCAAAGCTATCTATGGATTGCTCTGAATCCTGCTGATCTTCATTTGATTCTCTAGAATTTAGAAGATGGGTTGCATCTGGCTCATTTATCTTTGAGGTTTCCAAGTCTAACGACATTTCTGATGTTTTCAATTTGCTTTCAATTTGTGAAGACAGGTTCTCCTTTTCTACCTCCACTTCAGTTTCTAACCTTCGTTTTTTTGTTGATAATCTAGCTGAAACTCGGGTTGGTTTTAATTCGGGTTTGACAGGTGCCGTTCCAGTAGTTAATTTTCCGGATTTACTAGAAATGTGTTGCTGAGAAGAATCTGTAGGCGAATGAAGAGGTGGTGATTGCGAAGATTTGTTAACTGCTGCAACAGTCTTCTTGGTGCTACTTTTGCGACGTCGACGCTGAGGTTTTTTTGCATTATCGATTGCATTTTTTGTTAGTATCTCGATATTTGGATACAAATCGGGTCTGCAATCATGACAAAAGTAATGATCCGGAAGTTTTTCAGCATCATCAATCTCTAACATGCAGGAACTGTGCTGCCATTTTAAACACTTTTCACATTCAGCCATAAGTTCACCATCATCCTCAGAGGCTCCACAAATACATGAAACAATACCATCACTACCATTGTTTTCTTTATCTTCCCCGTCTTGTTCCTCAATTTCTTTAGAAACTTGAGAGACATTACCTTTGGCTCTGCTTGTTCGCACGCGCCCGCTTCCTTTATTAGAATTCGACTTTTTCTTTTTGGAGGAATTGCTTGTTTCGTGATTTGCATCAGCTTGCCCCGCTCCACTTTTACTTTCTTTATCTATTGTGTCATAATCTATGTTTTGTTCTTCTTCTTCCTTACTTAGTCCAGTGTTTGACCTAGAAATTTCTTTTGATATCTTGGGCTCAGTATTGTGGCGTTTGTCTGGGGTAGATTGTTCAGCAGCATTCAAAAGTTCCTCTTCACGCTCAAAACGTGAATGTTTTCCTTTAGTCGTTCTAGAAGATCGTCTTAAACTAATCGAAGGTGGTACTAACAAGGAATCAGACTTATCCTCCGAGTTACTTGTTGCTAAGTATATGTTTAAAAAGAATCGAGATAACGAGGTTAATGATTTAAGATTTTTAAATAAAAAAAAAATTAAAGAAATATATTGACAAACCTTTAGACATGATGAAAGTATTTGAAACTAGTTGAAATATATATTATAAAAAGATATGAGAATGTTTGATTGTGCACAGTGAGTGCAATGGTAAAATGTATGAGCAAGAAAGGTATGAATTTCAATTTTTTATTCAGGTGAGTAGTGTCGGCAAGACGCGCGAACCAAAAATAAAAGATATATATGCTTAAATAAAATAATAAAAAAAAACGCGAGATGTTGAAAAAAAGCCAATAAATTTAAGTCATAACTTAATGTTATGTTACAATTATGTTATGTAATTACATACTTTAATGCAATTCTAATAATTGCAATTTTTATATATTACTAATCATTTATCATTTGTATGTCATTAAATTTACCTTATTTAACAATAAAGCTTTCAACTGTAACCCCATGGTAAAATGAAACTTTTTAGGTATCAATAGATATCAATAGATTTTGTTTTCAAGGTTATTATGATGAATACCGTGTAAATGCAAATCTAAACCCAAATAATACATTGTTATATTAAAAAAAAAAAAATTAAATTGGTTTTTTGTAAAAAATGTAAGAAATCCTTAGGCAGGCACAGAAGACCCAGGTCCCGTTGGAACGCTAACCCCAGGAACAACTTCAGTGAATGGACTATCAATAGATGTGACACCCTCAGCAGGATTAATTTCGTAAAGCATGGTACTCCGAACAACGACTCGCCCTAAATTTCTAACTCGTGGTTTTTGGGTAGTTGTGAGTTCTTCCACTAAAATCTCGTCAGTAATTGAAAAAAAAGGATCAAAAATTAGGCAATAAAACTTACAAGTGACAGTTTCAACTGTTTCATCAAGTACTAGGTTCATCAGTTGATCATAACCTTTCAAAATTCCAACAACTATAACATTGAGAAATAAGCGTGTTAATGATCATTTAATCAAATTATAAATTTTTCGAACATACCCTCACGATTACCCATCAATTTAACCTCTACTTTTTTATTAAAATATTGAGCAAGATCAATAATTGCTTCCTTTTTGGGTCTATCTTCACCTGGTCTAGGAGCACGTTCTTGCTTTTCTGTACTTCCAGCACTGTTTCCACCATTGTTGGTATGATAATTATTTGAATAGTTCCTTCTTTGGTAGTTTCCTCTGTTATTATTATTATTATTGTTGTTATTGTTGTTGTTGTTGTTGGTGGTGGTGGTGGTGGTGGTGGTGGTGTTGGTGTTGGTGTTATTGTTGTTATATTGCCGGTTATTAGAACCTCCACGGTTCTGATAATTTTGGTTGTAACTGTTGCTAAATTGCTAACACGAAAAAATTAAAATTTTCTTATATTAGAAAAACTAACAGATAATTTAATTCTTGGATATCTTTCATAGACTTACACGAGTTTGATTCTCCATTGTAACCTAGGTATTTATTTTAAACTGATAAGACGTTGATGTCTAAACTTATGTTTTATGGCGAAAGGTGGTAAAATTTTTTGATTTATTCTTAAGCCTATCTTGCCCATTACAATTTTGTTACAATTTTTTAAAATTTAAAATTTCCGAATTTTCGAATTTTTCATATTTAAACCGGGTAACATATTTGTGCAAGTTAAATCGAGTGTTTATATTATTTAATACAAGAAAATTAATAATTATTTTTTTGTGGAATTTTATTGTACATATTGTAGAGAAGGCGTTGCATAATTTTGATACACTTCGACACAGCCCCTTTTAATAAAAAATAATTACATAAGCATATTAAACAAAGGTGCGGTCTAATAGAGTTACCCAAAAAAACTTTCATATTTCCTATTTCCAATTTTGAATTTTGGTATTACGCCTGTACGGATTATTTTGTCCAAAGCTGGAAGCAAACAAAGAACATCTTTTCATTTTTAAGGGAATATTATCAAAAACATAAAAGACATAAGAAAATTTGGCATAAGTTCAGTATTGATAAAATATCTTTAAGAAGTCATGAACAGTGTAATATAAGGATTCAAAACCTATTTAAGAGTTACATAGATTATTTTGATTCATCAACTTAAAATATAACCCATTAGGTGTGCTGGGATAAGGCGTGTTATTGTAGAAAACTTTATTTAATATGTAAATTGCTACTGTAAAGTTTTTTAAGTTTAGTTCTGGGGTAAGCATTTAATAAAGAGTAGCCATACAATACAGATATATGTAACTACGAAGAATATGCCAACTGACCTTAAATTTACGGGTAGTTCCAAAAGGCAATGGCAATGACCATATATGTACCAAACAACATGGTACCTTCAAGCCAGTTAGACTCTCCATCTTGCACAATATAGTTGAGCATGAGTACCGAAACAAAAAGCACACATGTCTCGAACGTAGTGAAAAGCAGCGACATAGGTTGATCGATAATCCAGCCAACAATCACACAGAAAGGAGTCAAAAACAAAGCAATTTGCATTGAGGAGCCAATGGCAACACCAACAGCCAGATCCATTTTGTCTTTGGTAGCAACTACAATAGCAGTGACATGCTCAGCTGCATTGCCAACAATAGGGATCAAAACAACACCAATAAACGTCTTAGAGATACCCGTTTCAGTGACAATCTCGTCAATTGAATCAACCAGATAGTCAGCGCAGTAGGAGACAACAATTGTAATAAGGCCCAAAAGACCCAGGGCTTCCCAGGTACTCAATGTAGATTCTTCTTGGACTTCGACATCACTTCCACCAGCAAGGAGAGGTGTGGTTTCATTTCCATTGGAAATGATCTGAGGTGAGTTTTCAATATCATTGGGCTCTTCAGACATGCTTTCAAAGTATTGGGCATGTGTCTTAAGTTGGAAAAAAAGATAGAAAATGTAAATGATAAGAAGGATAATTGATGTTCCATGAGAAACATTGAGAACAGCCTGGTTAGTGTTTTGACCAGGCTCACTAGGATGAGGGAAAGAAGAGTTAAAAGCGGCAGGAATTAAAAGCGATGTGACGGCCAGAGCCATGAGAGATGACATGGTCTGTGCAACCGTGGCATTGAAAGTTTGTTGAATTCGATTATATCCACCAGCAATGAAGGAGCAGCCTAAAACAAGAAGCGTATTGGAAAGAATTGAACCAAGCATGGAGGTTTGGACAATGCGAATTTCACCTCGAGCCAAAGCAACAATGGCAACAATAAGTTCAACTGCGTTACCAAATGTCGCGTTAAGAAGACCACCAACAGTCTCACCAACATGAGATGAGATTTCTTCTGTAGCATAACCCATAAGTGCGGCAAGCGGAATGATGGCCAAAAAATTAAGCAAAAAGATTGCTTTGGCACCCCAGCCAAGCTGGTAAGCTAGAATACCAAGGGGAACAAAAATCAAAAGAACATTAACATAGGAAGAGGTAAATATGTTGTTGATCTTGAGTATCCATGGATTGGAGTTGAAACGCGTCCAAGTTGGTCGGCTTGCCTTGAAAGCGTGAAACCGCTTCAAGAGAAAAGACGTGTCACGGTCTTCAGCAAAATTGGATGACGCTGCCGATGATCTGCGCGTGCTATTCATTACTTATGAAAAAAATAGAAAAAATAGAAAAGTAAAAAAAAAAAACTCAGAATTTCTATATTTTTTTTAAATAAAAATATAGGGAGTTAAAGATATAAAAAGAGAAAGAAAAAAAAAAGAGGAGGAAAAATGTGTAAAATATATTTGCGTTGCTGCGCCTTTGAAAAAAAAAGTTTAACTCCGACCCAACATACGCCTCTTCAATTTTTTCTTCAGTGTCTTAAGTAGGAAACTCTCAACTCTACCCATTTACAATGACTGAAATCCCACTTTTTGTGACATCTGAGAATACTTCATCTGAGCGACGAATTAATCCATCATGGACAATAAAAAATCTCAGAGTTCGGCTTGAAACAATCACCGGAATTCCGCCAGCCAATCAACAAATCCAACTTTATGGTGCATCAAAAATATCGAAGCCCATCATCATTTCTGCAGCAGATGAAGACACCACCACCTTGGAAGGCTTTTCTTTAGAGAAATATGGACGCATCAACGTTGACGATACCCGACCGCTTTCAAATCGACCGAACTTTACTGATACGACAAATGTCGAGTTTTATACAATGCCTAATTCAGTTTATGAGAAAAGAACGGATTCAGTTTTAGCATGGAAAAAACAAAATCACCTGGGCCGCTTTGCTGAAGAAAATTCTGGTGATGAAGCTAATGGGTTAACAAAGCAACAAGAACAAGAAAAACTAGAGCTGCTTTCTATTGCGACTAGAGGAATAAAGGTTGGAGCTCGTTGTATTGTAATCAATCCTGTTGAACCGAATGGGCCAGAAAGACGTGGAACTGTTCGATATATAGGAAAGATCCCTGAAATCAAATCAACCCAAATAAACTACTGGGTTGGCGTAGAATATGATGAACCTTTAGGAAAAAACGATGGCTCCTTAGAAGGGACACGATATTTTGATGCAAAGAAGGGATGCGGTTCATTTGTGAAGCCTGAAATAGTTCAAATTGGCGATTATCCAGAAGAGAATTTGTTTAGTGATGATGAAATTTGATATTCAACAGATATTTCTAAACATTAAGATATATTAACTTATTAAAGATTGTATCACATACTAAATATAATAAATGTTTTATGCCATTAGAACGGCATGTTTAACTACTCTTCATCCTCCTCTTCCTCTTCCTCTTCCTCATCATTACCAGTACCATCAGTTTTACGTGCTTCTTTAAGGGCATTACTAAAAGCTGTATCTTTGGCCTGCACCATAAACAGCTTTGCTTCCTTCTCTGTCAAATTTTTTATGGAGTAGTAATTTCCCATTGGAACTCGAAATGATCCACCAGCTCCCACTGAGATAACATTTTCGGAAATATTAGCTTCCACTACTCCGCTAATCACAAAAAAAAAGTAGTCAGTTTCACGCGAAGGTTTAAACGGCTTTTCACCGTTAGGATCAAAAACAATCATTCCAGCAGCCGTTCCAGTACCATTGTAATTAGGGTACATAATAAGCAACTTGTGCGTGGATCCCGGGATAGAGGAAAACTGGTTATTGCTGATATGATTGCCCCATGCCAAAACCATCTTTTCTGTACGCTCCGTTGTAATATTTCCATCAGAGTTGTAGTCATGAACAAGCCCACTAACACTGTTTTCTTTGACCAGATTCTTTGCACGCTTTACAGCACGTTGGATTACAGGATCAGTCTCTTCTAATGTGTTGTTCCTTGCCTTTCGTTTTGTTGTTTTCCGTTTTTTAGAATGAGTGAGTTCATCAGAACTATCTTCATCTTCCCGATGAAAAACCTCTTTAATTCCAGGGACTTTGGTATGCGCTTCTTCATCTTGCTTCATGGTGTATAAAATTCGTTCATTTTTCCAAAACTGAAGGGGTGCTACCCGTACTCTACCAGAACGTCTCAACCCTGGAGCAGATTCATTTAAATCAACTCTAATATTTTTTGCTTTAATAGCTTTTCCAGATGGTACCGACTTCGGTTTTTGAATAGTGGCAAGCTTTGTAGCAGATTTAGAAGTAGGTTGAACAGCAGGTTGAACAGCAGATTTAGCAGCAGATTTAGCAGCAGGCTTAGCGGCAGGTTTAGCAGAAGGTTTAGTGGAAGAATTAGTTGAAGATGTCGTAACAGTGGCCGTGTGTTTAGTTGCTGATTTCTGTGATTTAGAAGCACTATTCTCAGACACAAAGGAATTAGAGGCATTTATTCTTTTAGTTGATTGCTTTTGAGCACCAGCTTTACCAGTTTGAGCTTTTGGCTTTGGGGGGGGCGGTGAAAAAAGGTCAGATTCAGATTCAGATTCAGATTCCAAAGTAGACTCTGGTTTAAGGCCAGAATCTTTGTCTTCTTTGTTTCTCAAATTCTTTGAAATTATGGAAGATACTGGTAAAGGCTCCTTTTCATATATCACTTCTTCTTCTTCTTCTATCTCTTCAAATTCAATTTCTGTATCGATATTGTCATCAGTTTTTTGGCTTACAGCCGTATCAGGGTTTGTGGCTAACATTTTTCTCCTTGACGATCCTCCCCTTTTCGCATTGTTCAAAGTATTTTTTTTAGATTGTGACACCGAAAGCTCTTTGGCGTTACTTTGAAATTTACGAGGCTCCACTTTTTCAACTTCAATTTCATTTTCAAAATCATCATCAGAGTAATCGTCTCTTATAGACTGTGTACTTGGAATGTTCTTTTGGGCTTGTAAAGAACCTAAAGTTGATTTTTCGGCTTCAGAAACAATTTTTTTATTTTCAATTTTGCGACGACCTTTTTGCGACGCGTATGATTGTTTTCGCTTTGGAAGATCCTCTGTTGGAGAGTTTTCTTCTTCTTCTTCACTTGTGTAAGCAAATAATAATTCTCCTCCTTGTTTTGGTCCGGTTCGAGAAACTGGTAAAGGCAGACCGTCATTTTCTTCTTCAACTATACTATTAGTTCGCTGTGCTATCTTTTTCGCCTTAATAGATTCAGTTGCTTTTTTAAGAGGGTCGTGGCTTTTTGCAGAGTTTAATTCGTTTCTTTCTTCGTTTCTTTTATGTTGTAAGCTTGGTGCACTTTTAGTGGGGTTCTGAGATTGAGCTAAGTTAAGTGACTTCATCCGAGTAGACAATCTAGGTTTTACAGAGCTGGATGCCATTTTTTTTCCGTTTGATGTCGGGGATAATATATACTCATTCTGTATTTTTTTTGTAGCCTCGGTCGACACTTGAAGAAAAGAAGTATCTTGTAACTGACCATTCCGGATAGGTGATGAATTGACAAAAGACGATTTAGATTTTCCTGCCAAAGATTCTGATCTAGGAGACTTCAATCGATTATTTGTTAAATCCATACTAACGTCATCCACACTATGAGAAAACATGTCTTTATCAGAAAGAACAGTAGGAGAATCTTTTAAACGAGCGGCAAGCGTTGATTGAGTTGCAGAGATTACCTCATTAAATGAATTTTTTTGCCTATTTGCTGGAGAAGACACCAATGGGCCAGTTGTTGCCCGTCGATACATGGAATTAAAGGATTTAGTAGACTTATTAGAGTCATTTAAAGATTTTTTTGAGTATGTTGCTGTAGGTGTACTGAATATTCTAGCTGCATGATTATGACGCGTCTCTGTTTTGTTTTTTGATGGTCCTACATCCTTTTGAGCTGACGCCAAAGATTTTTGCTTGTCATTGCTTGGGCTATCATAGTAATCTTCCATAAGTTCCATTCCAGTTTCATCTCGTCTAATTCCATCTGGCAAGACAGTTCCACCTTTTCTATATTACGCGTTTGAGTTAGTTTTAAAGAATATCCTATAAGCGTACTTTTAATTCTTACCGTCCTATTGTACCAAGCTGATTCTTATCATTGACATGACTACTATTCCGGTGATGTTTCGGTTTCATGTATACCATCGCAATTTGTAACTTATTGAAAGTCAAAAAAATAGGAATATGATAACTGCTGAAGACTACTCAATAATAGATATATGTGTTTATAGGATATATAGACTAATAAAAGACGCGTAAATCAATCCTCGCAATAATCAAAAACGGGTTTAAAAAATTACTTAAGACGCGACACTAGATGTAACGAGGATGAGATTTTTTATGGTGGTGTGTTCAAAAATTTAGCTTACACAATACTTGGATTACATAATTATATTAAAATTTGCTGACTACGCGTTAGTCTTTTGTTTCAAATTCCTTTGCCCATAAACATCAAAATGAGCACGATGTTCAGTAAAATTCCAATTCCCCTCAAGTAAAATCTTTTTAACACCGTTTTTAATTCTTGGAATATTATCAACACTGTGCGTCCCAGCCCCCGTGATTATACGTAAGTGATGAACTGTGCGGGCAGCCCCACGAGAACTACTTTCTTTCGTCCACCAGTTTTCGATTTTAGTGCGTGTGGCATCTAAAGCATAGCTTACCGAAAGATGGTGCAAATCAATACTATAATCAGTAGTTTGGCGAGCCAAAACCTCATCAAACTGTGAGGCTAAACGCGCATTATTCGAAATTGCATGCTGACGAGCCATGTTCATGTAATGTCCAGCGACACTACGATACAAAGGGTTAGAGCTTGCTTTGCGATATGCCTCAGCAGCACGTCTCATATAAACCATGCGAGTTTCTTGCTCTTCATCCACAAGGTCTTGAATGTTCATATTATTCCAACTACCAGTGGAAGCAGTGGTTCCGGAAGAAGATGGCGTATTGATGTAAGAAGCATCAATGGCAGTAGAAGGTCTTGATATACTCTCTTTAACAGAATGTTTAGGAATAGGAGCAGAATTAGGCTTATAACCACGAAACGATGGAGAAGGAACAGATGAAATAGAACCGGGACGCTGCACTTTCATATCCAAAGATGTCAAAAGGCGAGAGTGTTTTACTGGTTGTTTTTTAGCATTCTTGTTCATAATAGAGGTAATAGCATTAAAAAGATTACCGTTGCTATTTTCGTACAAAATCTGAGCTGCTTTTTTATCAAGACCAAAATTATCCATCAAAAAATCAATGTTTTCATCTTTGGCTTTGTCCTTTTTATGACGTGAACGAACTGTTTGAAATTTTCCTAAAGAATCTTGTTCACGACGGTACTTTTCCCATTCTGTTTCAGCCAACTTTTGAAGATGCTGGTGTAATTGCATCTCCTCTTTAAAATTAATAATAATTTCTGCGCTTAAAAGTTCATCTGATGCAAGCATTACATCACCATCATTACTTTCTAAGGCGTCTGCAATTTGCTTATCAGAAGTTTGTGGAAAAGACATTTTAAGAAAAGCCACAGGATCCAAATCATCTTGCTGGACATTTTCAGTGGATATGTTTGTTAAATTAGGATCATTAGAAAGCATTTGTAAGGTTAATAATTCGTCAGAAGAACGAATTAGATCTTGATTGTTTGATTGGTAAACTCCCTCAATAACATCTTTTGACATATCTGGAAACGAATTAACAAGAAAAGCAATATTTGATACTTCTTCAGAAATACCAGAGTCGTCATTACTTTCATTTGAAATTCTGTTATTGAAAGGTTCGGTTACGTTACCCCAAGCATGATTCTCGATTGCATTAATATTCAAAAGCTGGTCAGAGGTGCGGCCGGGATCATAATCGCATTCCTTAAGAGTTTTGACAATAATATCGGAACTAACATCTGGAAACGACATTTGGAGAAAATCAAGGTATTGATGGAACGTCTCGTCGTCAATTCCTATTGAATCATCAGAATCGTCGTTTGTCACAAAACCATTTGATATTTCCCCGTCCGCTTCATGTGCATTATCATCCCATTGGTAATCTTGATTTTCAAACTTATTGGATATTTTCATTTTTTTAAAATCATTCAAAACATCAGAATTTTTATTTTTTACTGTAACAGGGGTAGTATACTCAAGATTACCTAAAGAATCTAAAGAGCTATTTCTTTCAAAAGAGGTGAAGGAATCTTCAGAATGTTCCCTGCTCTCATCAAATCGAATATCTCGAGACAGATGGTTACTATTTTTGTTTGAGTTATTGTTGGTTGTTGTTTTATTTGTTGCAAGGTAAGTTGATTCCGGAGTAGAAGAGCGTGAAGAAAGAGGCGAAACAGATGGAGAAAGGTGACTAAACGTTGAAATCTTATTATCAGATGCGGTTTCATTATCATAGTTGGGAATATAGTCATCGTCTTCGATATCATCCATTCCCGGAATGTCGTCAGTGTTTAGTTTTGTTGAAGAGCTTGAACTAGATGACGGGATATATATATTTTTTTGTAACTCATTTTTATAGGCTTCCATAATTTTAATGTGATCAATATCATCAGCACCCATAAATTTTAAATTAGTGATAGCATCATCAAAATTTGAAAATGTATTAAGCGTGATGTCGACCATGTCTTCAATCGATGGGTACATTTCTTTAATGACATGGGAAAGAACATTTTTGTCCACATCACTCAGGGATAAAGACATTTTTAAATAAAAAATTGGCAGATAACTGCAAAATATGTTTTCTTCTCAAATAGTAGTTTTGATATTTTTTTCGAAAAAAAATAAGGGTGAGTATGGCAGGTAAATAAGTATAGGAGCAATGTTTAATAACAAAAAATAAAAAAAAACAAGAAATGAGAATTGAGAAATGAGAGGAAAATCTAAACCATCTGATGAATGTAACATTGTAATTACATTTTGAATTTAAGTTTGAGGTTAGGTTTCAGTATTCCCTAAAAATGCTAAATCATACTACTAACAATTGGCTTCTGCTAATTATTAGTTACATTACATACTATTCATCACTATTCCGTAATTTTTAATCTCACTGATTTACCTTTATAATTTACTGATGTGTTTACAAGTTTTTGATACTAATAATGATATTGCTAATTATTTTTACACACTCATTTACTTATTCGATGAAACACATCTATTTCGCCCAGATGTATATCGAAGAGTAGAACCCGTAATACCTTGCGTATTATTGTTATTCCATGATGATTTCGAAAGGTTTGGTGTTGATTTAGTAAAGTATTTAGATCGTTCTAGTCTAGATGGATAAGGTAAAACTGATGCAGATAACGATGGAATCAATGATGATGACGGCGATGGCAATGATGAAGATTCAGAAGAACCAGAGTAAGCATAAGAGGCTTGTGTAGTCCCATGTGTCTTTAGCGGTATCATTGACACTCCTAAATTGTTAAATGATGACAGCGCCATGCTTGATGAAGAAATAGGGATTTTTGAAGGGTGTGAACTGTAGTTTTTTGAAGAAGATGTTAAAACATTTAACGATGGTGTCCTACGAATGACTTGGTCATGATTTCCTGTATGAATAGATGCTGATGTATTAAAGTTAGCTGACGAAACAATCGGTTTTATGGAAGAGGTTGAAGGCAGCAATGTTTTTTGACGGGTTTTTGTTACTGCTAAATGCTCATTGCTCTCTATTCTCCTTAAATTAGAATTTGAAGGAATTTTGCAATTTGTCCGAAGAGACTGAAAAGGTTCTCTCATATTTTTTGTTGGAAATGATTGCTTTTGAATTTTTAAAGTAGGTCTGGATAGGCGTAGTTTTTGAAGGTCTTCTTGATGCGTTGAGGGTAAGTCCGGACTGAAGTCACGGTGTGGACATGGTGTTGGGGAAATTGACCTTATATGCGATTTATTTGTACAAGGTTTTGTGGGTGATAATGTTAGATTACTTGTGTTCACTTGCAAAGATGGTTTCAAGGTGTTGACTCTGATGTCTGGCTTTGACTGATTTGGAAGACAACTTTCTTTGTAGTCCAAATTTACTCCTGAGCGTAGATTTGACCGGGAAAAAAGACTGTTTTGATCATATTCCAAAATTGAATTAGAATTCTCCATTTCTTGCATATGACCAATTTCGCTTACTCTTCTACGTTTAGAAGATGATAAAATTAATTGGTTTGATAGTCTTTTTGGAGAGTCTTGCTCGGGCGTTTGGTTTAGAAGATTTAATGGAGTAGTGCGTAGATGGGATGGTGTCTTCAAATCTGGCTTATCAGTACAAGACTTTTCGCAATATTTTGGAGATGGAGAAGAGTTTAAAATAGAATGCTTTGGTAAGTTGGAATTCAAATTAATACGTTTTCCGAGCCTTTCGGAAAAATTGCGATCTTGAACATGGATTTGCCGAGTGCCATTTCCTGAGTTAACAGTGTAATGCTGATCAATACCTTCCATTTTCGCAAACCCCTTTTGATGAGCCTTGAAATATCTTTGGCTGTGTTTATTAAAATTTCTGGAAGACAGCTTTGCAGAAACAGATGCAAGAGCTAAAGGCGAAGAACTTGGGGATGTAGAAAGTTTTTTCGGTGTGGAATCAAATGAGGTGCTTTCAAGTATACCTAATTTTTTTTAAATGTTAATATATGTATAAAAGTTTCAGATATTACTACTTACTTTTTGCTCTTTCATTCATTTCTTTCATAATATCCTGTGTTGTACTGCGATGATGAGTTTTGATTTTTGAGTGGTGGAAATTCGAAGTATGTTTATCAATGTTATTTGAATATTCATCGTCAACAACTGGAGCAGAGCCTCCGTTGCGAGAAAACTTTAAGGGAAGTTTTTTCATGGTGACGGGGAAGAATAAATTTTTTTTTTTTGAAAATTCAATAAAAAGGTAGCTATTTTGGTTAAAAATGAAACAAAGAAAAAGCTTGGTTTTACTATTAAGATAAGATTAATAGTAGACTATCGCATGGTCGGTTTTTCATAAAACAAAATTTCGCAAAAGTAAACAAGATAACTTCAACTTTACGTACTGGTGGTTAAGGTATAATAATATTTCGGTTTTTAGTAAACAAACTTCTACTTTGAGAAATACAATCACGTGATAATATATCAACACTTGTCTAGGACAGTGGCGCTTGATATTCATTGATTTACAAAAAAGCAATATTGCTTTTTAATGGTAACGGTCATAAAAATTTAAGCTCTTAGCGGCCAAAGGATGCCCTAAGTAGACCACCGATTTCGGTGGCAGCATATTAAGTTAACCAAAGCAAGACCACAATAAGTTTTGATCGGTGGCTGCTGATTATGTCCAGTTGCGGTTACGTTTTCCTCTAGAGATCTCAAAAATATCATTTCACTAGGCGCTTGTGGACTACACCAAACAAAAAATTTCCAGTCGAGATTCCTAACAAGGAATAAAAAGAAAGGCCTCTTTTAAATGAAAATACTACAAGTACGATATAAATGGGGAATAGTTCTAATGTAACAAAAAAAACTGTTTTTGCAGTTGTAAATTTTGGATCGATATTTATGTCTTATAAGGTTGCAAATGAAAATTTCTGTAATCGTAATCTCTGAAAACTGTTCAAATGTTCTTTAATTATAAGTGGAAACAAGCTTATATTCAAAAAAATATTAAACCGTAAATTTGATATTCATATTCTATATTGAAGAATAATTAATTTATTGAGCGAGATATTTAGTTGCCAAAAAACCGAAATGGTTATTTGGAATTGTTCAAATAAATGTCATTTTTTAAATTAGAATAGTAGGTGTAAAATTAAAGGATAAATATTAATATTGGGTCAGCCTATACATGAATTTATCTTATGGTTTTAAGTAGTAATTTTTATGTGATCTAGGTTTTTTTTTTTTTTTTTTTTTTACTTCAAGCTGTCAAAGACAGCCAACAACAGGGGTACATTTTGGCCTCTATAAATTGGTTATGGTTAACTTAACAATTTATCTAATTACTTGATTTTATAGCTATACAGTAGTACGGTAAATAAAATGCTAATTTTAATTGTCCTTAAATGATGTTAACATCTGGTTAAACACACTCAGCTTTCACATGGATTTCATTTCCACGAAAACACTAAATCTGGACTTTTGTTGAGCAAAATTTATGCATTAAAGAAATAAACAGGTAGGTGGTGAAAGAAGATTTAAAATTTACATGATTTAGCTAAACAGAATAATAAAGTTGCTTTTGATTCCCATTATTCTGTGTTAAATAATAAGCAGATCATGCTTACCAAGAAGTAGGTTTCTTTAACATAACGACCAGTATATAAACAAGAGAAAAAAACATGAAATTCCAGTGGTTTTCATTAAAACAGCTACCAATCTGAAATATAACACTGCCAATTTAAAATATCTCCTAAAATCTTGAAGAGTATTGCGATTATTAAATTATTAATACAGCAGTGCCTTTTTTACATTTAAAATATTATTTTTAAAAAAGTAAATCCAGGTCTTGATTTCTTTTAAAGGCTACACCTATCAAAAACGCACAAGGAAAAAAAAAAAACAACTGCATCGCATTTCCTCTGAAATTTGCCCCTTTCTCCCATATTATATCAGCAAAATTCACCACATTTTTTCGCTTTCTTTAAACTTGGTCATTTATAATCTCACTATTCTATTTGATTCATTTTTTTTTTGATAAGAACTTTTAAGAAGTTTAACTTTAATAATGGCACTTGGTGGAAATTTTTTACAATCACTCAAGGATTATGACTTTCGTGATTGGATCAGAATTATTGTTATTGTCTGTGGCTATATTTTGATGCGACAACAGTTTGTTCAATGGAGAACTCGTCGATATCAACGACAACAAGAAGAAGAAGACGATGTTCTTAAGCAAGAAGCCCATGAAGAAGCGAAACGTGTTGCTTTGGAGAAGATGGAATCTAAGGTCAAAGGTACTAGTGCTAAAAGTAGCGGTGCTTCTTGGGGCTGGGGAAATACTGCCAAAGAAAGATTTGAAAAACGTCGCAAGTACATTGAAAAGCAAGCTATGCGTAAGGCCGAAATGGCTCAGAATGAAGTCGACATAGATTCTGATGATGAAATCAATGAACTCCTCCATTAAACATACATGAAATCATCTAGTTGGCATTGAGAATTTTTACGCTCGTTTTTACAATTACAACAAATAAAAAAACATTACTATTTATTAATGATAAATAAAAAAACTCCCTATTTTGCTATTTTGTAATATAATTTATTAAAAACTAATTTTTATTTAAACAGATGCATGGACGAGTATGATTAACTATTTGTTTATTGCTATTTATTTTTAGTTGTATTACGTTTATTTAATTTTTTTAAGTTAAATATGAAATTAAATTGACACATAATTTAATCATAACAAAATGATCCATGGTATTAAACAGCCCTATGCAAAATAGTATTACTCCACGTGATTTATCACGTGAATGTTTTTTTTGGTCACCATGATTTTAAAAAAATTTCAGAAGTGTAAAGATTTGACTTACTAATTGATTCGATACACAAGCGCGTTTTTTTTTTTTTTAAAGAAAGCCTGTCCTTAAGCTTGACGATATATAAGTCAAGAGTTAAATTATATTCTAAAGTTTTTTTTTTAGCGATTTTAATAAATTTATTCCATTTGTTAAAATCAGAAGTTCTCTTTTGGTTGAGTTCAACAGCCTAATTTTTTTTATTAAAAAACCTATATTATTCTGTAACATGTCTTTTCGCGGTGGACGTGGTGGTCGTTTTGGCGGACGAGGAGGAGGTGGTGCTGGTGCTCCTATGACTGAAGAAGAGCGTAAAGCTTTTTCATATGCGTTTCCCACGCCTACATACCCTCCAGTTGCGGTTCCTTTACAATCTAAGCCCACGAGGGTAGAACGACTATGCGCTTCACAATTTCTTCAGTTTCGAAATCAAGTAAGAGATGGTCCATTTTATATTGGCAGCTATGTTGGACCTCTAGTAGATGAATCTACTGGAAAAAGCAAAAAAAAGACAGCGGCAATAGCTATAGAAATTGACGAGGGACAACAACTGAACGATGGAATCAAAAGATATACTGATAGATACACCAAAAAACGACGGATAGGAACTAAGCCTGCAGTTGACGAGCATCCTTATGTCATTGAGTTTTTCCCTAAAGAGTTATACGAACCTATGGGACACATCACTTCAGGATCCGGGAAAAAGATAAATCGAAAACTAGATTTATCACGATTTACAGCTGAGCTTTTATTAACGGAAGCTGGTGATGAGTTAGATGATGATCCTGAAGCCAGGGAGCGTAAACTTAAGGCAAAAATAGAAGAACTTAAAGCTTCTGCTGGGTCCGGAAATGATAAAGATGATGATAAGAGTGATGATAATGATGAACCCGAAGAAGAATTTGATGATGAATTTGAATCGGATGACGACGATGATTATAATGCTGAAAAATATTTTGATGATGGTGAAGGAATGGATGATGATGATGATGGGAATGATGAAGCTGCCTATTAACTAACTTTATATAAAAAATAAAATAGAGAACCGAACTATCATTAAGACATTCAAATCACTTATCTGAAGCAACTAAGGTTGATTTATCGACTCCAATATAAAGTAAGTTTGGCTATTGCTTTATATTTTGTAGTTTACAAACTGAAAATCTATACCCATAGCATATTTGGAAATTATTTAAAACACTTAAAAAATCAATAATTAAAAGAAAACAGTAACAAAATAGTTTGAACGCCTATAGTGGCCTAAAAATGATTATAAGAAATAAAAAACAATAAAATAAAGAGAAAAGATCAATAACTAAGATTGAACTCTGGCAGATCTTTGTTCAGCTAGTTTCATCTTTTCATACTCGTGATAACCAATAACAACATCAGTCCATTCATAAGAGTTGCCAGTGCAATAGGTTACTGAAATATTGAGGGCCTCAAACCAGGCATCCTTGGAATCAATAGAGTCAGCATAAAATGTGATTTCTTCTCCGTCCTTAAAGGTCACTCTAAATGCACGATCATAATATAAACAACTAGCCATCATCTCACGTTTATCTTGAGGAGACATCTGATCAAAGTCAACAATAGATGATACATTTGTAAGGTTCATCACACTTCGAACTTTTTTTGTATCTTCTGTATGACCCACAAGTTCGGCGCCACGGAGTGTAAACCATCTTCGTCTCCAGTAATTGCAATCGCCTCCTTCTTGTGACAAGTATCCATCTAATGAAATACTTTTGTAGGTTTTCATCAAAGATAATTCACGGATAGCAGCTTTCATACTGGGAGGAAGCTTTCCACCCATAGTTGCACGCGGAATGTACATAAACGTAATTTGCAAAGATGCAATTTTCGATGGTTCGAGTGGCACCTTTTTGATAATAAGGGAGTTTGATGTCGAACCAGCGTGGGGGAAAAGAGAGTCGCTACCGGTAGAAATATCTGACCCATTCGATTTGGTGTTTTCCTTGTTCATGTCAAACATTGTCACCTCTTTATAAGCCCATTCATTGTACAAAGTAATATTGAAAGTACGAGAGCGACCGTACACTTCTTTTTCATATTGTGATTCAACAAGATAACATCTACCAAACTCGCCATGAGGTCCTACCAGACCTTCCCAAATATCTTTTGGTTTCTTAGCAGGTGGTGAAGGTTTAGAAATAGAGGGTTTAAGAATGTTAAGTTTTGGCGGAGCGGCAAGATCTCTAGTTCTTAAAGCAGTGGTATTTTGAATAGCACGAGTGGTAGTAGTAGAACGAATTGCGTTTTGTGAAAGCCCCTGTTGAGAAGCAGCAGAAAGGGCAGCTGAATGCTTTTTCTTTGGAGAAGAAAAAATAGATCTAAACTTGCTTTGTTTCTTAGGGCTTCCTTGAGGTGTGGTAGGCTGAGATGCAGCTGCAGCTGCGGCTTCCGCATCTCTAGCTTCTTTCTCTCGGCGCAATCTTTCTTGTCCCTGAAGCAATAAGCGTTTCCTTTCTTCTTCAGCTTCCTTTTGCATTTCAATTCTTTCCCTTTCTCTTTCAGCTCGGATTTCCTCTTCAGTTTTCAGTGGAGGTGTGTTTTTAGCAGGATCCTGAAAAGCTTGAAATGTGAGAATAAATTGAAGATCTTCTCCAACAACTAGTTCAAACTCCTGATTAACACCAGGATTAGTTGCTGTAATAGGTAATGAGTCAATTGTTACGCTCTGAACTCCATTATCAAGCGTCATGTTAAATCTAGGATTGCGATGAGAAAGAATGGGAAGTTGCAGATTCTGAAGACCTTCAACACGAACAAATAAGCGACCTCTGTCTTCAGGGTCAATATCAGTTTCTGATGTTTTTTCTTTTGATGAATTTTCATCTTTCTTTTCTTCGACAACATCAGCCCTAGAATCATCTTCATTCAGCTCATTTTCTTCATTTAAACTCTTTTTAGAGTGAGTTTCAGCAGAAGCAGTGCGAAAGCTTCGTCCACGTCCAAGATGAGTTTCAGATTGCTCAGAAAAAATTGAAATCGCATCCACATCTTCATTATCTTCCGTAGAAACAATCACTGCATTTGTTGGAGGTGAAAATGAAATTGCATTTAATACTGGGCTAGGGATAGTACAAAGCTGGGCAGCTATATGAGAATCAAAGGACCCATTAGAAGTGGAAGAAGTGGTTGATGGTGTACGTGATGGAGAAGAAAGAATATTAAGAGATGTTTGAGAAGGTGGTAAAAGATTTTTGTTAATTTGTGGATTTTTTGAAGAGCTAGTGCTGGAACTCCAGGTAGTAAAATTGCTGCTAACGCTATTGCCACGCTCCACCGAAGTAGCTTCAAAAGGATTTGAAGATTCAATGACTGAGACAACTGGGGAAACGGGTGTCTCAGGATTGATTTCATCCTTTAACGTAGGCTCCAGCTCTGCAGAGCGTGAAGAACCTGATACAGATCTAGCAGTCGACACACGAATAGAGCGCATACGTTCAAAAACATTTGGAGACGTTTGACTTTGAGTAGTAGTAGTAGATACCTTTCCTTTGACCGAGATGGTGTTTTTACGCCCCAAAGAAGACTCAGTCGTAGGAAGTGATCCTGGGAGAGGAGGCTGTGAAAAGTTAAAGGTTGAGCGAGAAAAATCCTTTAGAATCAGAGAAGAAAAGTCATCGTTAGCAAAAGACAATTCAAGAGGAAGAAAACTAGAGGTACTATGAGTAGGAGTGCTGTCAGCTGGAAAATTTTTGTAGTTGTCACTAACTCGGCGAGGAGTGTCAAGAATATTACTAGTAATCGGTTTTGTAGAGAGCGACTCAGAAGAAATCGATTCTGAAATAGTATCCTCGTCAAGATCACCAGCTAATGGGATTCCAGAAGGAATTTCGTCGCTTTGATTTTCCTGCTCATAAACCAAGGGAGACGACTGCTTTTGTTGGTGCTGTTTCTCATTATAAGACATAATAGCTGAAATCGGAACCTTGGAAGGACTTGACTCTGAGAGGTTGTTGGAAGTACAGTCGGTTTCAGTAGAAAAAGAGGAATGAGAAGCAGTTGAAGAGGAGCTAGAAAATGATTGTTTTTGAATAGGCTGATGAGAATCAATGGGAGGTGACAATTCTGACAGACTAGATAGGTTTTTAGAAGCGTTAGCGTAATCGTTAGAGGTCGTCAAGTCAAGAAGGTCGAAACGCGATGATATTATGTCCGAGCCATTAACATCAGACATATTGACTATTATTCTTAAGGATAGTCTGATGATCTCTCAAGAATGACTTTAATAACGTTAATTTATGTCCTGCAAAAAAAAAAAAAGATTACGATGAATAATGAATGATAGAAAATAGAAAAGAGGATAGAAAGAAAATAAAATTCAAAGTATTTAGGAAGTAGGTATCTTTTTTTTAAAAAAAAAAAAAACAAATAATAAACCTCATATTTCAGCCGCCGTTTCTAAGGATGTTTTTTAAACATATCAAGCTATGTTTGTTTTCTATTTTTTGTTTATAAATTTCCATAATTGGAAATGATTAACATTTACAGCTTGTTTTTGTTGTCATAGGAACCTAAACAAGTTATGTAATAAACGCGTAAAAATAAATATTGACGCGAATCTAGTGATTAAACACATAGAGGCTTAATGTTACTAAGCATAATTAAATTGATTGGACAGCATTGTTAAGGATGAATATATGGGGTAACTACATAAGTACATATATTAATATGCCTTAGGCAGTTACATCTAAGACGTAACTAGTTCTAACTTTTCACAGTATCAACTTATAAATAAGCCGATAATAAGAATAAGAATAAGCATAAATAAATCCTAATATTGAGGAAACAAGTCTCTAATACAAACTTAACAATATATTCATACAAATATATTAAAACAAACACAAATGAATAATGCTGTAAGCCATCTAGCCTGATATCAATATTTCAACTAAGTTTAGTTTAAACTTATTGGAACTTATCTTCATAAACAAGAATAGCTATTATTGATTAGTTTTATAGAAAAGCACTTTGTTTGCTTCATCAAAAAAGGCAAACTTATTATGATATGTTGATCGATAATGGAGTTCAGGATACAAGTTTTAAGATAGACGTTTTTGTATTACTGTATCTAGTAAAACAAAATAAGAAAGTATCAATATTTGTTTACCAAAGCTTTCTTATAAAATAGAAATAATATTGAACTCGATGTGACTTCCACTATTTGCATTATATTGAAGCCATATAGTTTTTTTTGCAACTCCATTAATTAATGCACTCCACTCTCTATTAAGAAAAAGAAGTAATTGGTTGACATAGATTTATTTGAATAATACTTATTGGCAAATTTCAAGAAACCTTTACAGTTTACCAAATGTGAAGTGAGTGGTCAATTGTGTTTACAAGTTGACTATTCTTTGTGATTTCTATATTCATTCACAGTTTTAACTGTTTTAACAACTCAAACAATTTAAAACTTAATCCACAAAACACTTCTCCTGCACGGCTTAAAAATAGAAGTTTCTCAATTTCAATTTCAATTTCAATAAGAATAAGAATAATAAAACAAAACAAAACAAAACAAAACATTGACACAAAAATAAATAAAAATCGTTGAGAAATTTCGAAAGAACAGATAAATATGGATCATTTGAAATAAAGAATTCTTATCATTTTACAAATTCTGTCGTCAGTAAGCTATTCACAAAATATCCCACCACTATTTTCATGTTTGCGTTTGTTAAGCAAATTTCTTTGTTAAACCTAAATTGTAATCAATAACGCTGTAATTATTAATAGATAATGTTACAATTATTTTTTGGGCGTGCGCAACAGGCTTTGTTAATATTTTACCTGTCACAAAGATATTGCAACATACCTAATTTGAAATCATGCATATTTATTGTTTTTTTCTATCTGCTTTTGACAGTAGGTGGTGTTCGAAAAATAATTATGTAATATTTTTGGCTTCTCAAATCGATGAACCCAGCCAACCTAAAAAGAGCCCAGCCAGCCTAAATCTCCACAGCCAGCCTTTTTCCTGCACTCTGAGGTTTAAAATTTCTTTCTTTTCTTTCTTCTCTTTTTTCTTTCTTTCTTTCTTTTTTTTTTTTTATTTAATACTAAGCTAATAATTAAATTAGCCTGAATTTTTTTTTTTAATTTCAAAGATTGTTTAAAGATTTTTAATTATTTTTTCTGCAAATACTGAACTTTCAAACCTCCGTTTATCACATTTCTTAAGATATATTTCTACTATTTATTCAAATATCGTTATATTTCAACAAGAATTTTGCATTTTTTTTACAAAATTTGTTTAATTTTTATTCAAACTTTCCTCGTTTATTAATACCACTTTTTTTTTTTTTTTTTTTTTACAATGAACACTTCTTTGATTGACTCTAAGCCTTTTGGAACTCTTATTGTGATATTTGCAAAAGCAGTAAGTTTGAAACGGAACCATTTTAACCAATTCTCAACAATCAGCACCTTTTTTTAACCAACTATTAGAGGAATCTTCCAAATAGACGCACACTAGGAAAACAAAACCCATACTGTATTGCTCGAATTGGTGCAGATGCAAAACGATCGAAGGCAGACCAAAGAGGAGGTCAAACTCCTATATGGTAAGCATGACAAATTTTTTTATGTTTACATTACGGTCTTAACCAAAAGAAACTTTTTTGTACAATAAAAATAGGGATGATGAAGTGCGTTTTAAACTTATTGAAGGAACTCAGATTAGTACGTTAAAGCTTTCTATCTTAGACGAAACTGAGTCTAAGCCCGAATTAATTGGTGATACAGTAATTCAACTGGCACCTGTTTACCAAACACTTCCAACTGAAGGTTATGATAAATGGCATGAACTTACTTACAAAGGGAAATATGCTGGTGAGGTTTATCTTGAAATGACTTTCTATCCCGAGAAAAAACCTACAGGACGCAAATTTAAGCGGTCTTCCATAATGGAATCGTCTGTTAACAGATCGGGAACTTGTTCCACTACAAGATCTGACACTACCAGCTATTACGATTATACAGGATCTTTAAACTTTTCTTCTTCAATGGTCAGCATGGCTTCTTCGCGCCCTCTTCCTTCTCAACCTTTACCGGCCACTGCATCAACAGCAGCTCTCCATTCATCTACTGCACAGACTCTAACAAGTTCTCTAGCAACAGTCAGAGCTCCCCTGAATACCCAGCAGTTACACTCTTTTTCCATGTTTCCTGGTGTACCTAAAGTAGACCCAGCCTTAGACCCTTCTAATTTGTCAGGTACACACTCTGCACATAACTGTGGGTCCCACCACTCCAATTCTTTTAACATGAGCGCAATGTCTCATAGTTTACCGAATCCCTTGGACTTTCAAATCGCTTGCGAAATCGATCTTCCCGCAATTCCTCCAGAAACTACTTTAGGTCAAGATCATACGGTTTCAGAACAACATAAATATGAAGAAAACGCTTTTGAATACCAATTTGATAATTCTTTTGACAATGGAAAATATACAAAAGATCCAGAAAATGAATTCCACAAGTTTTTTAATACACCAATCCCAGATGTTCCAGAAAGCCACATCCAACGAAGCTCAAATGAGACTTATACAGCTAAGCCTCTTCCTGAACCAAATTATCATCAATCAACCCAAGTTTATTCATCTACTTCACTTAACAGTTCTTTGAATCGTTCAACAGGCTCACAGAAAAGCACTGGGTCAACTAATAATTTTAGCTCCAATAGTAATACTGATTTAGGTACGTCACTAGTTTCAAAAGGTCTTCCAGTTATGCCGAGGCCTGAGAGCAAAGGCTTTTCTTGTAGTGAAGAAAATCTTGACTCTTGTCCCACAATTTCAAATAAAATGTCAATACGACGAAAACCTATTAGTTTAAAGTCAAGTCCTGCTAAAGAAACACCAGTTTTACCATACCCAGGTGCTACACACTCTGTATCTGATATTGGTGCAGAAGGTCACTCTATAAATGATGATGAAGATATAAAGGAAATACCATTTTCTCCAGACTCTTATGTTTTGAGAAAATCTTTACCCCAACCTCCTTTACATGCTCATTTAAGAATTAACGAAGCACCACCTTCGCCACCAAAAGAAAAAAATTTTAAGTCTTTACAACCATTAAATGAACACATGCCGGTACTGAATCTTACTGAATCTTTAACATTGGAACCTCAATTGCGACCAATGAAACCACTGCCTCCTTCTCCCCCCGCAAAAGAGCATGACGAAAGGATTCGTGAAATTTCTCAAGATTCTTACTCTGATTATAATAATGGGTTTAGCCAGTATCAGCATGATGATTCATATTCACCTGTTGAACTTCAGAATTTTGATAGCTCATATTTTTCTTTAAGTAAGCAAAATCTAGAGCATGATTTTGAAAACACAGCCATTTCTAACAAAAATGTTTTTGGCCAAATTGGAGCGCTTGGTAAACGTTATTATAAACCTCAACCACCTATTCCGACTCAGGAGCCTCAATCTGAATTTACATATCCTACTATGAGCATGTCTTTATCATCAATGTCTGGCAGTGTTTTGCGAACTTCTCCAATGCCAAGGGTCAGAGGAGGCAGAGACTCTCCAAGTAATTTTACCGAGTCTTTTTCTGGGAAGTTTTCTAGTTAATTGGCTACAGAAAATAAAAGCTACTGATCATTAAATCATTTTTAAAAAACCTTATAAGGAATTTTGAAATTGATGGCTTATTACTTTTAGCATAGAATACATAAACAAGTAAACAAGTAAAAATATGATTAATTTGTTATATATATATATATATATATATTTTTTGTATGTTTAAATATAAACATGAGTTATAAAAACAACTGAACAAAACATTTATAAACTAAAAACTGACTGAACAAAACATTTATAAACTGAAAAACGACTAATGTGCAAGTATTTATGCCCAAAACCTTTTAAGGATATTTTTCTTTGGGGAAAACTCTTCAACGTTGGGTGATATATTTTTACCCTCAGGATATTTTTCCTGATCTTCAACGTTTAATTCTGGTGTCCCTTGATCATCAAATCTATTTTGTGCCGAAACTAATTTGTGATTGCGTAAGCAAAGCGTGAATGCAATTAAGGGGACGCAAAGGCATGTACCAGTGATCAAAAGATATCGCTGAACCGTTTTATAAGCCACTACAACAGCCATACGTTCAGGAGAGCCCCATGGATATTCAACTATAAAGGTGAATGGAGAGCCATAAGCAAGAGTGATGAGATCTAAAGAATAGGCTCCAATTTTGGTTAGCTCTTTTTCAATTTCTTTTGCTAAGGTCTGTGTCCAGATGGCTCCTGAAACGCAGTTACCAAGTGCTGATCCAATATAGTAGGAGGCGAGGTAGAGACTTGTAACAATCGACAAATATTCATGATTTGTAACACTTTGAATAGAGTTTTGTGTGGGATAAGTAAAAAAACCAGCGCCAAAACCAAGCAATACCAAAGAACCGATAATTCCAGATCTCGCTTCCATACCTCCACGGTAATGAATCATTAGACCCATTGCAATAATCCAGATGCATGCACCAAAAACAATAAAAGGTTTGAGGTATCTGACTTTTGCTACAACAAAGCCTAATATGGTACCAGTGACAACAGATGTGAAAGAGTAAAGTTGAGTGATTCTAGTGGCAGACTTTACACTTTGATTAACTGAAACAACCAGAACTGTGTACATATAGTCGCCCTGCATATACCAAATGAAGTTGATTAAAACGGCAATGCAAAAAGCAGCCCAAACACCTCTGTCTTTTATCAAGAAAAAGGGGATAACAGGTTCAGGTGAGTACATTTCCCATGTTACAAAAACAGGAATCAAGAGACCGCCAATTATAAGAGGTGCAATGATTTTTGCATGTTTCCACTCAGTAGAAACACCACCAGCAAGTGTGAGAGGAACTAAAATCAATGCAAAAACGGCAATGATCAAGAACAATCCAATAGCATCGATTTTAAAGAAAAGATACTTAACGAACCCGAAAAATCCTCTTTTTCTGTATTCTGTCTCATCTTCATTAATCTCATCAAAATCTCCATTTTTCTTTGCCAGATATCTCATATGGAAAAGACAAAAGAAAAGGGGGATAGAAATAACGGGAAGAATGATAGCCCAACACGCTATACCCCAACTCCATCTTGTTCCAAATGCTGCTGAAACATTACCCGAAACCCAAGTATTGATAATAAAAGGAATAGCTGGGACAAAGGAACTAAGAAGACGCCAATTAAGAAAAGAGAAATCAGCGGCAAGAAGTTGCAAAAGAAGCATAATTCCTGTAATACCAAATTGATAAATGATGGCACCTCCCGCAAAAGTTTGGACATTGTCTGCTTGGGACTCAATGATTGTTCCAATAACGTAAAAAATGACTGAAATGAATAGGATTTCGGTACGACCAAATACATCTGATAATCGTGCATAAAAGGGCTGAGCTGCAACGGCAATAATTGATGCAGCGACGTTAACCGTTGACAGAAGTGAGTGATGTCCATATGAAGATTGGGCTTGTGCCAGGAAAACATATCTGATTGTTTGATCTAGACCATAAGTATAGGCAATTAAAAACATTGAAAAGAAGAATAGAATCTTTCCATATCTTCCGTATTGTTTTGACATAGCCTCAATCTTTTTGATACCAACAGTTTTAGTTCCATTGTGAAAGCCATCTGGATGTCCTGTATCACGAACAATTTCTTCAGGATTCCCGCCTTGGCTTGAATTTTCTATAGATGTCTTTTGCTCCATATTGATGTAAAAATAAATCAATTAAAAAAATTATCTGATGGATCAGCAATTGAAAAAAATTTTTTTTTTTTTTGATAATTATCAGGATAATCTATTCATTAAATAGTTTTTTCTTTTTTTTTAACAAAAAAAATTAAACGGCTTTATTTTCTTAATAAATTGTGTTTAGGTCATAAAGCCTAAATATGTGATCAGGATTCCCACCTCCTCCCCCAAAAAAAAAAAAAAAAAATTGTGCGGACTAAATCTTTTGTAAAATTTACATATGCTAACGTTAACATATCATTTAAATTTCATTTCTTTTTATTTTACTTCGTATCGCATATATCGTTTTTTCTTTTTTTTTTCTCTTTCTTTTAAACTTATGATCACAAGTTAAATCATGATTTACAAGAAAAAATTTTTATACAACTATATATTATAATGTACAAAATAGAATAGGGGAAAATAAAATATGATTGTTTGTGAGCATATCTTCGAACAGGTTAAAGCTGCTTAAACTTAAGTATACTTTCTTGGCAAGGTTTTTTATTTTTTTTTTTTTTTAGAAACGTCATTTTCACTTTTCGGGAACAAGTCTTATTTCAGAAAAGAAAAGTTTTTTTTTTTGTTCTTTCTTGCGCAATAATCTTTGTAGCTTAGATTTTCCGTTTATTACTTGAATCAGTAGTGATAAGTGATGTCACTACTGATGGATTTGATAATCAGATTATTCAAAGTATGTGAATAATTAAATAATTTGGAATTTTTTTTAATTTATCTAAATATGAATATTAATTGAATTTCTTAAAAAAAAAAACAATAATTTGATTTCATTAGAATAATCCATGCAGCTGTGGTTTTGCTAACTTTTTTAACGAATTCATGGCTCATATAGAATGCAATAGGGAAACAATAGCCGTTGGACAAGAATTATTAGAAATGTTAGAAATATTAGAAACATTAGAAACATTAGAAACATTATAATTAGAATATCAGAATATTAGAAATACCTGACAAATGATTAAAAGGGGTTTAATTAATACATTTGCTAATTAATATGCTTGGTAAATGATCAGTTGCTATGCTTATTTAATTTTTATTTAAAGAAATAATTTTTTATTAATAGACAAAATATACAATGGTTTATTGTACTCAAAATTTTTTTTTTTTTCACAAATGTCGTGGAGAATACTGGTCGGATAAAAAGACCTAAGGTACTAGTCTACATTTAGATAATAATCCACTCGGTTACATGATGTTAAATAGTATCTTTCCACTCTTAAAACTAGGCTTACCATTTTATTTTCAACAACAGCTGGAAAAATAATTACTTAATGAATTGTTATTTTGAGTTTCCTGAAAACAATAATATTAATGGTCATGAATTTCCAAGTAACAAATAATTTTCTTTACAATATTTCATAATCATACTAAGATCAGATAAATATCTGAACATTAAATTTTAGAATATTATTGATTATCATGATAATCTTTTTTTTTTTTTTTTTTAGTGGACAAACTTTTATTTTTTTTTATATCCGAGGTGTTCACAAAAAGTAAAAACAAAACAAACTAATAGAGACAGGGACTACTTGATTCTTTACAAAATTAAAATAGCAAAAAAAATTTTTTTTTCATGAAATTTTAATTTCAAATATTCGAAGATTTGAAACCTTGTTGTATTGGAGGTGATTAACGACACTTAAAAAAACTTCCTAAGTTAAAGAAAAATTTTGATTTTGAGCTTTAAGACTAATTGCGTTTATTAAATAAGTTCAATCATAACCTTAGTAACTACTAAGAATGAATAACTTCCTCCGACGGCGATTAACAACTACTTTTATTTACAAAATATAAGGCACACTGGGGTTTATTTTAACTTTTTTATTTTATTTTATTTTAAAGGCTGTAGAAATATTTCCAAAAGCTTTTTTTTTTTTTTGTTTTGTTATTTGAGCTGATAAAAAAAAAATTGAGGAGAGGTGTTGATTTTATACTTATTACTCTTTTTTCAATAGGATTGTTTGAAAATTTATTGCGGGGAAAAAGTAATAGTGACGTAAGCTTTTTAATAATTAATTTATAAATTATTTATTTATTTAAAAGTTTGATTCGAAAATACCAAGAAGTTCCAAACCCTTTGAAAACAAAAAACAAAACAAACTCTGCCAACTACTTTCAAGAGTATTCAAAGATTTATATGCCAAGATTGACATGTTAATACTTTTCAAAGCTCAACTTAAAACCCATCTTGGCAATAATAAAAACCCAAAAACCATCTAGGTTTAGAACTCTGTAAAGCATTTTAAAAAAAAAACAAAAATTACAATGAAGGGGAAAAAAATATATATTTCTCTATTGCGTCAAATTTCCCTTTAAATGTTACTTTTTTTATTTTATTTTATTTTTTTTTGCCATCACGATGGTTCATCAACAAAAATTTGAAATACATTTTGCTCACTAATCAAAGCTCTTCAATATATCTATGGCTAAAGAAATTAATGTGAAATCAAAAAATTTACTTTCAGATAATTTTAAAGATATCTACTGTTTAAATTGAATCACATTTTCATGAACATTCCAGAGTCTTCAAAAAAAAAAAAAAAAAAAAAAAATCAATAGTGAATATTGACTCGTATTTTATTATTGAAAGGTATTTATTATGCACATTAAAAATTTCTTAATAAACATGATAAATATGACGAAGACGATGATGATGGCAAAAAAGAAAAAAAAAAGAAAAAAAGCTAAGTAAAGACAAAAATGGCTGGTGCTTTACTGTACTTTTTAATTTTTTTATAAATATTACATAATGAAACAAATTAACACTTACACTTTAAGCCATAAGTTTAAATAAACTGACACGTGATTAAACACTACAACTTAGGTTAAACTTCTCTAAATAATGTTTAACTTTTTTTTTAACCAAGTTATATTTTTCTTTTATATTCAATATATACAGTATATAATATCTACTATACCAGACTACAGCCTTTTGAAAGCTAGATAATGAACAATCAGCCTTCAGTCCCTCTAAGCATTGGACTTCGTGTGGGACATCGTGCTGATTCTTTGTGGAAAGTAGGAACAATCAGGTTTATTGGCACCACACAGTTCTCTAATGGAGTATGGGTTGGCATAGAACTCGATCAACCGGAGGGTAAAAATGATGGGTCGATTGGAGGCATCCGCTATTTTGAATGCGTTGCCAGTTCATCAAAACAATATCAAATTGATAATGATAGTTTGTATGGTTTGTTTGTGCGCCCAAATAGTGTCAAGCCACTTTCAGAGATAGACCGCCTATCAGGTACTACTACCCCAATAATGCAAAGGTCAACATCTTCAACGATGACGAAAAAGGTATGTATTGGTTCACTAATCTATTTTCTATTTTTTTTTTACGATAATTAACTAGAATTATATGATCAGTCCTTTGGATCATTGTCTGATAACTCTTTAATGCCCCCTCCTAGTTTACCCTTCACTTATCGAAAACCATCGGGCTCCTCACTGGGATTTCAGCAGCCTATTTCTCGTTCCATGACACCATCTAATGAATCTTTCATGAGTGATCCCCAGTCTGAAATACCAGATGAACCAACTGAACTTCCGGAAATACTTCCGCGTAATAGACCTCATTCTCCAGTAAAAATTGGCGCCACGCCTCCTCTAGGAAATGTATCACCAGGATACTTTAGACAACCGTCGCCTTCTCAACTTCAAAATTCTGGTATCATATCATCTCCAAAATATAACCGAAGTTTAAGTACTCTTAGCATGCGATCAGATTCTTCTTTTGTTTCAGGGATCGGAGCTAGTGGAGGTTCAGCTACAGTGTCTTTAGAACTTCAGTTAGACAATCTTCGAAAAAAATTAAGGATTATGGAGAAAAAACGCATGGAGGATCGTGATAAAATTCTAAGACTCCAATCAGAAAACAAAGATACACAGAGACTTGAAAATATTGTTGGACGCTTACAGGCTAAGCTTGCACCAATGCATGATGAGGTTGTATCGCTTCGCACAAAACTTCAAGAGTCCGAAACTGAGAGAACACGACTATTACAATCATCAGCATCACAAGATGAGATATTAGAAATGGCAACCCTTGACCGTGAAATGGCTGAGGAAAAACTTGAGAATTTACTTGTTGAAATAAATGAACTTAAGGAGGAATATAATAACTTGGAGATTGAGTATGAAGCGCTGCGTGAAGAAAACGCTTTATATGAAGAACTTCGTGCAAGTGGAGAACTTGGAAGCATAATACCTGGCGATAATTTTGAAAGTTCTAACGATTTATCCATTGACAATGCAAAATTATCAAAGAAAAATGATCAGCTTCAGGCAGCTTTATTAAAAATTAGAGATGTTATGCAAGAGCAGGAAAAAAACCATAAAGATGAAATTGATAGACTTAGTGACAATGCTTCTTCAGCAAAGTCTATGACTGAATCTTACAAGCTAATTCAAGAGCAACTTAAAGATGCAGAAGATATTATTTATGATCTGAGAGTCCAGTTAGACGATGCTCTTGGTGCAGAAGATATTATTGAAAATTTATCCGAAAAAAATCAGGAACTTACTGAAAAATGTAGCGAACTTCAACATACCATTGACGAATTGGAAACTCTTAAAGCACTAAGTGATGAACTTGAGTCAAACCATATCCTCACTGAAAAACAATTGATGTTAGAACTCGATGAACTGGAGGCTTTGCACAACTCTAACGAAATCAAGCTAAACGAGGCACAAGAAAGAAATGCTTATTTAGAATCTGCTATTGTTAAATTCAGAGAGGTTGTGACGACATTGGAATCAGATTTAGAAGAACTTCGCACAAATAACCAGCTAATTAACGCTGACTCAGCAGCAATGGCTGTACACACAAAATCTTTAATGGAGCTTAATATGAAACTTAATAACACTGCTTTAGAAGCAAATTCAAAAACTATGGATCTTCAGTTAAGAAAATTTGAAGCAGAGCAAGCTATTGAGCACCTTTCTATTGTAAAGTGCTATTTATCTGATGGGTATTTATCCGATGAATCTTCCATCAATGCATTATTACGCCTGGATCGTATATGCTTCATGTCCCAAGTGATTGAGGATTATTTATTAACACGAGTTAATTCATCTGCTGACAATCTAATTCCCATCATACCATACGTCAAAATTATTTTATCCCTTGGAGAAATCAAGAGATATGCGTCTTTACTTGCTTATTATTTAAGACACTCTGACCCAGACGAGTTCAAGCAATATTCTCAGCTTTATTCTCAAACTGAACCAATCGAGCGTATATTTTCTTCCGTTATTGATATTTTACATAGCAACAACTTACAAGAGGATACTTTTCTACATGAGCTTGAGGATGCATTACATCAATTATGGACGCTGTATGAAGATACTCGAAAACAATCTAGTAAAGAACCTCGTCATGAGCAAACCATGAATGATTTAAACCAAATTCAACTTACACCTCAATTCATTCGCGACATATTTTTACAAATAGAGAAAATTTTGTCAGAAATAAATATGAATGGGATTTCTAACATAGGCTTGGACGGAATATTAAATCAAATTTCATCATTTATGAGAGTCAAGGTTTTTGCAACCAAATTAAGTAAAGAGTTATCATTATCTTATGAAAATGAACTTATGATACCCCCCTCTTTTTCTTTAACAATATCCAATATTTCTACAAAATGTCGATCTTTAATCCAATTTTTCATTCAAGTGTTTGAAGATGTCCAAAATCATACTAACGACTCTGGACAAATAAATCTCACTGAAAAAGAGATCTTCGGTATTTTCAAAAAAAGAGTTGAAAAAAATATTAGTGGAAAAGATGACTGTACGACGCCAAGTCATGATGATCAAAATAACACCGTTATTTCGTTGATTACGCAAGAACTTCAGACAATAATGAATCAGATGAAGGAAATATCAAGCACAGATACAAATGTTTTTGAGCCTATTCAAAAAAGTCAGCCACCTTGGAAAATCAACGCTGATAAGCTAAAAGAAATCTATGCTGTTCAAAATGAAAAGGAAAAAGAAGTCGTTGAACTGAAAGCTCAGCTTCAAAAGCTGGCTACCTCATTACGAGCCCGAGATAAATCAATCGAAGAATTTGAAGTCAAAGTTGGTTTGCTTAATTCTAAGATGCAAAAATCAAAAGAACAAGCAGAGATGATTACTGAGCTTAAAAACGCACTAACTGAATCTTTTTCACAAGAACAAAAACTCAAAGATTCAATAGAAAAACTTCGCAAGTCTTTGATTGATCAAGAAGTCTATCTAACTGAAAAATGGAAAAAAGAAGGCTTGATTTCTCTAGGTGATAATATCAATGATTCCCGACATTCCGAAAATGTTAAAATCGAAGAAATTTCAACTGCCGCTTTGAAAAATGAGATCCAAGGTTTAAAAGAAACTATTAATCATCTCAATCGAGTTTATAATGTGTCAAATATTGCATTTAAAAATCAAAATATCGACTTTTCATGGTTAGATTTTGATTCTAAAAAAGTTATTCGGGTAAATAATTCAACGGCTTATAGATCTTACAGAAAAAAGGTTCACAATACTCTTTTAGATGCCAGAAAATCTCTTCTAGAATTCCAACCTTCTTTAATCAAAAAGCCTGAACAGGTGATACCATCGATAGATAGAAGAAACAGAACTGAAAGGCAGCATTCTTTATGGATTCCTAAAAAGATTGACCCCAATTATGTTGTCGCGTCTCAAAGAGATACATATTTTAAGGTTCGTCTGATTATCAAGAATCTCGCTTCATTAGAAATATAAATATATATTATCCAATAAATTTATCTATCCATTTCCGAAATCAAATTATAAGATTCATCGAAATAATTAATTGTGTCTTGAGGTGGCTTTTTTCTAGGCCATTTTTTTGCTTTGTCTATTGATTCAACAGGCCAAAAATATTCAAGAAAATGCAGCAAGATTACATCAACGATCACACAAATAACAAAAAGCTTCCCTGCCCAAGGACCACCATGATAGTATCTTGCTAGACGATCTACCAAAGGTTCTGTCAGTGTATTAGAGTCAATCTTGTCATATACTTCCTCTGTTCTTCGTGCAACGTCTTCCCAGCAATACATGTTTTTGATTTCATCATGAAACTCAGAAGGTGTTACTTTTTTTTCTTCTATCAATTTAATAGCTGACAAAGTGGATTCAACTAGAGAGTTTTCAGAAGGTGAAGCGAAAACCGTCATGTGAGATGGTAAAACTTCAGGAATACCACCCACATTTGTTGTCACAACTAACAACCCACAAGAAGCAGCTTCAACAAGAACAGTGCCAAACGCTTCTGTTAATGACGGATGCAAATATATATGTCCCTTTATCATAACATCTCTGACTTCTTCGTGCTTAATACTTCCGATAAGTTCCACTCGTTCTTGGAGTCTGTACTTTTCTCGCATTTGCTCTAAATCTATAGCTTTGGGACCACTGCCAGCAATGGTAAATGTCACGGTGGGGTGTAATGCACAAATTCGAGGTATAACTGCAGTAAGTAGGTCTGTACCTTTATTTGGGTATAGTCTTGATATCACAACAATGGTGATATGATCCTTACTAGCTTGAGATGAATCAGGTCTAAAGTTAGAAGCAACCACAGCGTTAGGTATAACACTGACGTTTAAAGGATCAAGAGAAGCACGAAGAACTGTATTCTCTTTACAGGTATGAGAAACACAAATAACATGACCAACATCACTAAGTGTAAATTTAAGAAGTTTATTTCCTAAAATACTGCCAGCATCTGCAAAGCCAAATAGAGAATGATCAGTAAAGACTGTGCGAAGTCCCATAGTACGACCATGAAGAATCGCTTCATGACAGAAACTACTTAAACTTCCATGACCATGAACAATGTCGATTTGTTCACGAATAAGAATTTGTCGAAGAATAGGGAAAAAGGAAAAAACTGATGGAAATGTTGATTCTCGATAAAGAACAAAAAATGGAACATAGTAAACCTTTAGTCCGTTTGTCAGGACTCTTACACCAGTCCGAGATCCGTAGGCGTGGGTGATAATTACAACTGAATGACCTCTATCAATTAATCTTTGAGATAGATGATAAACATGTAGTTCAATACCACCAGGCTGTGGATAGAAAAAGTCAGAGACCATTCTATAATTATGTTAGCGTGATCATTAATATAACATATAAACCTAAGTAACTACTAACGCTATATTATAAGGCATTTTTCAATGAATCCCATAGCCACATTAATTGCCACTTAAATTTCAATTTATCTAATTCTTATTTTTTCTTTAGACGTTATAGAATTTAGATTTGATGTTATGATCACACAGTAAAAAAAAAAAATTGTGGTGCGTGTTGTTTAGTCCTTAACCGCAAAAATATCACGTGAATTTACACACTTTCATATTTTTTTATTAGCATTTTTTCTTGTACTATGCAATTAAATTTTTCAAATAAAAAAACTCACGATAATAAAATGGAAAAGTATACGAAAGAAAGAAAAGTTGGTGAAGGTACTTATGCCGAAGTGTATGTGGGTCGAGACCAAGAAAACGGAAGGCTGATAGCCATTAAAGCTTTGAAGGTTACTGGTTTTAAAGAAGGGCTAGACATGTCGGCGATTCGAGAAATCAAGTTTCTTCAAGAAATACGACACCGCAATGTTATTGAGCTGATAGACGTTTTTGCAACTGTGAACAGTATTAGTTTAGTTTTAGAATATCTTCCTGCTGATTTGGAGATGCTGATAAAAGATAAATCTTTAATTTTTAAGCCTGCAGATGTTAAATCGTGGCTTTTAATGACACTTAGAGGTTTGCACCATTGCCATCGATCATTTGTTTTACATCGTGACTTGAAGCCAAATAACTTATTAGTGGCTCCAGATGGTCAAATAAAACTAGCAGATTTTGGTTTGGCTCGCGCTATGGCTGTTCCTCGTGAAGCCATGACACCATTAGTTGTCACTCGCTGGTATCGAGCCCCTGAGCTATGTCTGGGCGCAAGATTTTACACTGGTGCTATAGATATCTGGTCTGTTGGTGCAATTTTTGCAGAATTAATGCTTAGAACTCCTTATCTTCCAGGAGAAGATGATGCAAAACAAGCTATTCTCACTTTTAAAGCACTTGGAACTCCCACGGAACAAACATGGCCAGGAATCACACAGCTTGATGGTTATAAAAGTTTGGAGCCATCTATTGAAAAATTTCCTGCACCAAGAAGAGCAGATTTACAGCATTTATTTCTTGCTGCTTCTGACACAGCTTTAGATTTACTCCAAGGCATGCTCACTTTATGCCCCTCTAAGCGACTGAATACTAAACAAGCGCTTAAATCACCTTACTTTGTAGAACTTCCCAGAGCAACCAAGCCTGAAGATTTACCAAGAAAAGCGCCATCAGCTGTAGAAAGTGAGGGTGATAGCGAAGAACGAAAGCGTAGGGAAGAAATGAGACAAAATATGATTAATCAAACTCGTGAAAGAAGAATGCAACCACAAGTTAAAAGCGTGGTTAATTAAAATAGTAATTTAGCAAAATATAAAATAATCTATTAAATGTTTGGAACACCGTTATAGATATTACTGACATATTCAGCAATAGCCAAAGATGATGTTAAGCCTGGACTTTCAATATTGAGAAGATTGACAAAGCCTGGGAACCCTTCTTCTTCCCTGATTATAAAATCTTGAAAATCTTTTGTGTTGATTATCTTTGGACGAATACCAGCATAATCAGGAACAAGTAATGAAGTATCCAAACCAATCATATATTGGGTGATGGCTTCTATAGCTTGGGGAAGATTAGCAGGGTTAGGCGTTAAATCATTTGGACTATCAACCCATTCAAAATCTGGTCCGAACTTAATTTGGCCTCCTAAATCAATTGTGAGATGGGTGCCAAGCGATCCATAGTCTGATGGACAAGGATATATCAAACGATTAACCTTGGGATGAGATGACTGGTATAAAAAGTAACTTCCCTTAGCATAATAAGCTGTGAAGTGACGAGTTTCAGGTAAGAGCATATTAGACACTGCAGGAGCTCCATGGCCCGCCGCGTTAACTACAGCGTCAGCTTCAAGAACAATTTCTTCTTCTTCTGTATCTTCTTCAGACAAACGACTCTTCAAAGTGACTTTATAAGTATTTTGCGGTGTTTTTTCAATGGCGGTGACTCTGGTTAATAAAGAAATATCACCACCGTATTTCTCAAACTCTGCTTCAGAATACGAGACAATAGAATGAGCGTCAACAATACCGGTAGATGGCGAATTCAAAATCGCGGTATTTGCTTTAACCGCCGGCTCCAATTCTTTTGCCTTGTCAAGAGATACAAATTCAAGAGGGATTCCTAAAGAAGTTCCCTTTTTCAAAAGACCATCTAAGTATTGTGCTTGCTTTTCATCTTGGGCCACAATCCATTTTCCACATCTTTGAAGCTCAATTGGTATACCTTTGCTTGCAGCGTCATAAATCATATTTTTTCCTTTTATACAAAGCTTTGTGCGCAAAGCATCCGGAGCAAAATATAACCCAGCATGAATCACACCTGAATTTCTAGCGCTTGTTTCTGTGCAAAGTCTATAGTGGCGTTCAGCTAACAATATAGAAGCTGGTGAACCAGTCTTTTTATAAGTATCTTCCGCTAATTTTGCTGCAATGGCAGTTCCAACAACACCGCCTCCAATTACAATATGAGAATAATCGGAGTTCCTATGAGCAGAAGATGAAAAAAGTCTTTTAGAGACTGAAGATTTTGTGAAAGAGGAGATATTGCGAAATATTAAAGCCATTTTTTGTTCTTGGAATCCAATAATTGTTTGAATGCCATTTATTTCAAAGTTGATTTTCAATGGGAAAGTTGTGACTTATAAGTTCTTGAACTTAGTTACTTAAAGTTTAAAGAAGAGTCACCAACCGGTTGCACCTACCCATCCGTCTAACAAAAATCAGATCACCACCACTTCTTTTTCGCGGAAAATTTCCAGTAAGTGAGAACATATATGCTTACAAAAACCAAAAACCAAAACACAAATTACCGCCAAAATGTCGTTTTTATTTCCAAAAAGACCTTTTTTAATAAGAAATTTACCACACGTTTGCCGACATTCCCCCCAGCGCCGTTATGTTTCTGAAATAGTTATGGATGAAGTTCGAGATATTTTACCATCAAAAGGCCAAACCAGATTATATTTATTCCAACATAGGATTCCGCATTCCTACCAAACTGTTTTAAAATCATATGCCGCATGTTTAGGATCAAATGATGCTCCACTACCTAAAGGTATTAAGGGGAGTGATTTAGTTAAGTTGAAAAATGTGCTTGAAACACATAGAAAACGAACAGGTTCTATTGTTAAATCTGCTTTAAGGTTGGAAGCAAACTTAATTGAACGAGCAGCAGAATTAGGTGATAATACAGCTATAGCACTACTTTGTGGCCGAACACTTTTGACACCATTAAAGGAAAATATTAGCGAAGAAGAACGGAAACAAGAAGAGGATGACCGGTTACATGCTGTCAAATTGTTAGATGAATTGTCTCAAGAGCATGATTTTGGCCTTGCCTATAAGATCAAGGGCGATGTAGCTTACAAGCATGGTTCTGTTACCAAAGCAGAAAGTCTTTATCAAGCTTGTATTGACAGTTTGCCTGCCACTGGATCGAGAGATAGTGACAGTAATACTGCTACACTTAGGGTGGAATGCCTAAGAAATATAGGTATTATCCGATTTCGCGACTTTGATATTGAGACATCTAGAACTTATTTTGAGCTTGCCGTATTAGAGGCCGAAAATAATGAAGTTGGTAATCCAGTGCAAGCCATGGACTGTCATTATTATTTAGGACAAATCATGTCAGAAAGTGACAAGCAACGCGCACGGTACCATTTGGAACAGGCGGCAAGGCAAGGATTGAAAGAATCTTTTGCACCACTTGGGTTTTTACTTTTAAACTATTTTAGCCGAAGTGATTTGGCTCAAGAGTGGTTTGACCTTGGTGCAGATATTGGCGAAGTGACTTCATTAATCGGTCAGTTCGATGTTGCAATGCTACAAGAAAATTACGAGCAAGCTGAAAAATCTTTAGAAAAGATCAAAAAGAATGTTCTGGCTAGTGATCCCAATAGTGTTGAAAATCAGCAAACCCCAGCAGAATTGTTGAATCAAATCTTAAAAACCAGGAGCGATGCGATTGAAAAACTTGAAAAAACTAGGCCACCCAGTGTTGAAATTGCTAAAGAAACCGTGTCAGAGACTACAGTTACAGCTGGCGAATCGGAAAACACGCCAGATGTGGATTCAAAATCTATCGAAAATGGAAAAACTCAAAAAGAAGAAGTCGCACAATCTTCTAATTACAATGAACTTAAAAATACTAGTCGATGGGATTTTTAAAGAAAACAAACACAATTAATCTGTATATATTTATTAGAAACAATATTTTATTTCAATGAGTAAACAGCCAATAAAATTTTTGTTTACGCGTGCCTTACGTGATGTTTACGCGTACTTAAATTAATAAGCCCATAAGCTCTGTTTGTTTTTAAAATTTACTTCCCCCTTTGTAACGTTCTAATTGTCCCATAGATCCTTTCTCTTTACTTCTTATCATAACTAAATGAACTATTAAATATGCCTCCCAAAAGACCAGCTCCAACACTCACCTCTTATTTCAAGTCTATTCCTGGCTCAAAAAAAGGGTCAGCTACTCTCCCTCCTGCAAAAAGACAAGCCATCGGATCAACAAAGCCGGCTACAGCTTTTTCCAAGCAAAACTCTCTTTCATTTGTGAAATTTGATAAAGAGAAATGGGTAGCATCATTAACTCCAGAGCAAAGAGAGTTACTTCAGTAAGTATATATTTATTTATATTTATAAATAGAAGACTAACCATTGAAAGATTGGAGATTGATACTTTAGAAAAATCATGGCTTGAAATTTTGTACCCTGAACTTACCAAAACATATTTTTTAAATCTTAAGAGATTTTTGGCGCAAGAAAAAAAAAACAAGCAAGTTGTGTTTCCTCCAGAAGCTGATATATATTCATGGTCTCATCTGACGCCGTACTCCAAGGTTAAAGTTGTAATTCTTGGCCAGGATCCTTATCACAATGTCAATCAGGCACATGGACTTGCCTTTTCGGTAAAGCCACCAACTCCTGCTCCACCTTCTCTTAAAAATATGTATATTGCTCTTACAAATGACTATCCTCAGTTTAAAAAGCCGCCTCATAATGGTGGTTACCTGGTGAAATGGGCTAAGCAAGGAGTTTTGATGCTTAATACATGCTTGACTGTCCGCGCTCATAATGCAAATTCACATGCAAATAAGGGCTGGGAAACTTTTACAGAAAAAGTTCTTGCTGCAATTGCTCGTGGAAGCATTGACGGAAAAATAACTGTTAATGTACATCCAGTATGCTTCCTTGCTTGGGGAAATCCTGCTGGGAAACGTATGGATATGATCAAACCAGATCCAACTATACATAAGGTGTTGCGAACAGTACATCCATCACCGCTTTCCGCATCTAGAGGATTTTTTTCTGCTGGTCATTTTAGAAAAGCAAATGAGTTTTTGGAAGAAAAGTACGGGCCCGGAGGTATTATTAATTGGGCACTAACCAACGATAACAAAATTGACGAAATCGAAGAAAAATTGGCATTAGGAAATACACAAAAACAGGAAAAAGAGGCCAAAAAGGAAGAAAATAAAAAAGACGAAAAAACAAAAGATGAATCAGAAAATGTTTCAAAAGAGCAAGATGAAGAAGAATTACTGAATAAAACTAAGGAAAACATATTATCAGAGTCTGAATTTAATAAAAATAAATTGGATTCCCTTATCCCAGCTCGCAACCGAATTGTCGAGCCAATAAAATCAACTGATATTACTGAAGAAGACAAAAACAATGGGCCTCCTAGAGTTTTAACTGAACTAACGAATGTAAACGAAAGCAATCCTAGCTCTAACAACTAAAATCTTAGAGATTAATATGGAATCGGACACTTTTGTATCTACAATGAAATACCTGTTAATTAAGCATATAAACTTATGTACAATTCTTATTAAAATGCTTTTGATTTCCCAGTCTTTGTAAAACTATTATATGAAAAAGACTAATACCTGAGAAAATTTAGAATAAGGTTGTCCATCCCACTCAAAAAAAAAAAAAATGAGAATAAACAATGAGCTTTTAGTTAGTGGAATGCTACTTTGGGCAGCTAACTTATCTTGAGGTTAATAAAAATTTATAAGAGATAATGTGATAATGTTATGTTATCTTGAACATACCTAAAACAAATTTACTGAGTAAATTCATTTATATTTTTAAAAGTTGTCTATTTGCAGTAAACAATGACGTCACCTTGTCTGCGCGAATCTTCATGGAAATACGAATTGAAAAATCTCCGACACTATAATAAATATTAGTAGCGATCCATAATGATTTTGTTTATACATACCTCGTAGTAGGGTGTTTCCTGTAACAAAGATTTGATTACTGGTTCCAAAGATTCAAAAAAGACTAAGCGCGAAGGCCAAATGTAGTCATAATTGATTCTTGCTTCAATATTATTTTCATATTTTTCTCCCAAAACTGATAAAATTGTTTCTTCGTTTATTTCTTCTCCCCTCGATGCTTGACGCGAGATTACATCGTCTTCCTTCAAATCTTGTTCAGCATATTTTTTATCTTTAGCGTTTTTTTGAAAAGTTAAAGTTGATAATGGAGGGAAATGCTTGCTAATAAAAGTTTCAGGGTCATTATAAAATTGGTCCGAAACATCTATATAGTTGGCTCTTTCGGATATATTAAGACCCAATGGAGGCTCGCACGTTAAAAACCAAAGCTTATCCCACGAGTCAAGTTCCGGTCTGTGAATATGGCTTTGCCAAGGGGTTGAATGACATGGCATTAAAAATCCAATACTAAGTGGTGTTAGACTGCCATCTGGTGATGGCTGAGATGGTTCGTTACGAAGGTATTGCAAAACCTTCATGACACCTTGCTGGTGAACAGTGTTAAAAAAAGTTGCAACAATAATATTGAGCAAAATAATTACTGCAAAAACAGCTTTAGAAAATATGAAAGAGCCTCTCCCTTTCAAAAAAGCATTTAGCGTTTTTAGATGCAAAATTGGAATGATAGGATAAATAAAACGAACTTCCTTGTGTTTAAGGAGAGAAAACACCCCAACGATAAAAACAACGAGCAAAGTGCTATGGGATGACTTTGAGCGGAGCATATCAAACAATGTGAAAGGAAGATATCCAATAAGAAGGAGTGGGAGACCTTGAACAAAGTAGTAGTGCCATGGTGATGTTCCGTAAAAACTAGAAACAGACTCTAAAACATTCACTCTTAAAAAATTGAGCATGGGGAAAACCCACGTGGGCGATTCTGGGGTAGAAAGTTCGTAAGCTTGAGAGTGAGCATAATACCAGCGGTCTAAATAAGCATTAATTCCAACCACAATACTTCCAATGGTGACTACACTAAACATGACAGAAACTTTTTGGTTTGTCTTGATAAATAAGATTAATCCAAGAAAGATCCAAATCAATGCATTTGTTGGTCGACAGACACATGAAAAAGCAGCTATTAAAAGCGACGTGTAAAACTTTGGCCATTTAATGGATGTAGGTCGCCAAGGCCAGTAGGCAAGGGCGATGGTTGTTAGCGAAGTTTCAAGTGAATTTGAAAAAGTTCTGGTAGAAACAAAAAGATTGAAAGCCGAACCTGTAGTAATAAAGAACGAGTAGAAAGTAATTGTGTCGGTGGGATATTTGTTGCGAAAAATGTTTTTACTGAAAACAATAAAGTAGTAGTCGCCAATTGCAGCAATAAAGGCCTGAAGAATTCGAGGAGCCCAAATAATTGCGTCAGGAGTTTGGGGTAAACCTAGACGAGCACCCAAAGAGTAGGCACCAGAAAAAAGTAATGGATGAAGGGCACTCCGTAAAGCCACCCTCCATTCCCAGGTGAGGTAACCGTAGCCATAAGCAATACTGTGCGCCGGTTCCAATGCCTGCCAGTACTCATCAGGTTGCCAAAAAGTAGTGGTAGTGGCTGCATTGAAAACTCGAAATGCAAAAAGTATTATTAGCAGCAAGACCGACTTTTTGCAAAACATGGTGATGGGAAATGCAGTATTGATATGATCTTACAGTACGAAATGTTGGGAGATTCTGGGTGACGAGCAAAGGATTTTACAAGGGCAGTTAATGTTATTACATATCTGTTACAAACATGTGTAATTTTTCATTACATAAAAAGATGGGTTTCCTGTCTTAATACAGAAGAAAAGAAGAGCCGCCGCCTTCTACATTAACAAAAATGATTTTATTTCCCTTGCAATATATATTTTATAATAATACTATTATACAATATTTCAACGACCATCATGTTTTTTGCAAAGCTTAATAAACCAGACAAATCAGGGTCTTCATCTGAAAAACCAGCTCCAAAATTACAGTCTTCATCTGTGAAAATAAAAACAGTTAAAATCAAGCGCGCTGTGCCACCGAAATCTATTCCTAGCTTAACGTCTGCAGATCCATTGTCTACCAATTCACGTTTTGCACGTTATTCAGGTTCCCCAGAATCAAGATCTGGATCTTCAACGCCTAAGCGTCATCTAAATGACAGTAAAAACAATAACAATAATCAAAACAGTGACGAAGAAAGCAGTAGTAGCGCTCACAGCAGAAAGATACGAAGGCGATCTTCATCAGCATCTTCCAAAGGGAAGCAGACAAGAGGCACAACTCGACGGGGAAATAGAACTCCTGATTTGTCTCGATTCAATAGAGCCACGAGCGATGATGATGAAATAGATGACAGTAACTGGGAGGCACAGATTCGAAGATTTAGTTCCTCGACACGTCTTGCTGATTCCAATAGTGGAACCGTATCGCCAGCACCTTCGGCGGGTTCAAATTCTCAACACCAACAAAAAACTCGTGAATTTTACTCTGGGATTTTAGATAAAAAATCAGGGCCATTAAATATTATTCATGCGAAAAAGCTTGTAGAATTTGCAGAGTACACTCCACTTTTCAAAAACAAAAAGGATTTTGAGTATACGTTAGCAATGCCGTGTACATGGTTCAGAGAAAGGTATGAAAAGCCAACTTGATTTTCGTTGTTATAATGTTGTTAACTTCTTTGATTTTTCTTTTAGATATATGGCAGCAATACCTAAATCAGCCGATGAATTCAACCCTGTTTTTGAAACAGAGCGAATAATGGAGCTGGTGGCAAATTTTTTTGTCCCAGAGAATTATACGTCATTAATTAGACATCCATCATTAGAGGATTGTATTGTTCGGCGATATCGTCGTGCTGTTAAAAATAAAGACCCTGATGCTTTTCTAAAAAGCGTTGAAGAGTATAATACACTGATTGACAAACTTCGATCTGATGGAGCGATTGATACACACCTTTTACAGCAACAGGAAACCAGATGGGGTGGAAATATTAACACACTTCCTTTGCCAATTTCGCGTCTTATTTTGGACCAAGTTTATACACGAGTTGTTTCACCTGTGACTGATAGTCTTCGAGATTATAAGGCATTCTCTAATAATGTTTATGGAGAATTGCTGCCAGTGTTCATGACTCGAATATTTAAAGAAACCGGCTTGGAAGCTGAAATGAAGTTTATTGATCTAGGATCTGGCGTTGGAAACTGCGTTCTGCAAGCTGCACTAGAAATTGGATGCGAAAGTTGGGGATGTGAAATGATGAAAACCGCGTCACAACTGGCGGCAAAACAAAAAGAAGAAATTGAAGAGCGGGTGAAGATGTATGGAATTTCGGTAGGATTAGTTGAGGTGCGATCGGCGGACTTTGTTCACAATGACGAAATACACAAACAAATTTCTGAAGCTGATGTGTTGTTAGTCAACAATTATGCGTTTGATGGTAAACTCAACAGTCACCTTCTAGATATTTTTCTTGACCTTAAAGAAGGGGCACGCATTATTTCATTAAAATCATTTGTACCACCAGGCCATGTCATTTCTCAGCACAACATTCAGTCACCTGTAAACCTGCTTCGAGTGGAGCCTAAAGAGTTTCCAACCGGGAGTGTCAGTTGGACAATGGCCAGTGGAAGATATTATTTATCAACTGTTGATCGCACAAGGCTAGATAAGTTTTTGAAAGATCATGGGATGATTTGAACCTTAATGATACTTTCCAACACTGATGATTAAAATAAAAATGGAAAAAATTAGTAACGATAATTAAAAAAAAAATGGAAATTGTAATAAAAAATATCGTTCTTTTTTCTTTTTTTTTTTTAAAAAAAGCCTGATATAGCACAAAATATTCGTATTAACACATACCTTTTTAAAAATGCGTTGGCGTCATTCATTTTATCAGCTTCCTCAGCAACTTTGCGCATCCAGCGATCAACAAGATTTGCATTTTCATCTTCCAGTTTCCGTGCCTTTGATTCTGCAACGTTTAATGACAGCTGAAGTACAAGCATGTCGTCTTGGACCAATTGTAATTCTCCAGATTTTTTAATGGTTTCATTTCTGTAATCTTCAAGCATACGTTGACAATGTGCAAGTTCTTTTTCAAGTGCAGAAATCCGTTCCTTATCCTGCAGGGTAATTGTTTTAAGGGTATCGTGTTTCTGAGTTAAAGTATAAATTGTATCTGTATTATTGGCAAGTTGTTGTTCAAGTAACTGAATTTTATCCACTTTTTCAGGACTAAAAGTTCAATTGTTAATTATTAATTTTTTTTTCTTAAAATAGAATAAATATTTTATAATTACCTCTGAGTGTCCAGTGATTTTTGCTCAGCATCTAAAGCTCTTTTTGCAATTTGAGAGTCTTGACTATGTTAGGTTCCTATGTAATAATATCATTTAGAATACATACAGGAATGAATAAAGTCATCAAATTTCGATTCAACATCATCTCGATCTACCAGTCTCTGGAAAAAAGACGTTTTCCATGAATTAAATTCCATTTTCGAGTATTTAAATTTTTTTGATAGTAAATAAGTAAATAACCGATTTTATATAGTTTTGTTGTACTAAGCTTGGAAGATTAAGTAGAATATTGATGGGTTTGTTTTGCTTTCAAAAAAGTGGTTACAGTGTAATGTGATTAGATAATCATACTGCTATCACACCTAATTAGAATCAGTTATAACTGATTTCGAATGTGAGAGGAGGTCATATTAGAAATTAAATTTCAAAACACGAATTTGAAATAAACCCGATTTTTATGTTTATCGACACACAAAATTGTAATTACAAATATTTTTTTGGTAACAAAAAGTTTTTCAAGCAAACACCATACCCACATCTTTCAAAATAATGATTAGCCAACTGCGACGGTTGGGATCTCAAATGGTTCTTGGACCATTATCTAAATCAAGTCGATTAAATAGGAGTGTTTTAAATGATTCTTCAAATATTTGTTATGGATCGAGTAAGTAAAAGCATTATCTTAAATAAAAAAATTTCATTGGCTGATCAAGTAATTAGCATTTGTGGGGTTGCATCCATTATTGAGAAAGAGAACCGAACAACTGGTTGAGGAGCATAAGGTTTTGACAAATGAAATGGCTGAAGGGGATAGCTCGTCATTTACACCTGAAAAGTCGACCCGATTTTCTAAGTTGAATCAACTGGTTGCAGAATACGATCAGTATCTTTCTGCCGAAACAGAAAGAAAAGAATTAGAGAGTCTTCTAGAAGATCCACAACTTAAGGGTGATGCTGAAACAGAAATAGAGGCCTTAGATGAAACTCTTGAAAACCTTGCACAGAATCTCCAGGGTCAGATTTTACCACAAAATCCATTTTTGGAGCGAGGAACAATTTTAGAATTAAGACCAGGAGTAGGTGGATCAGAAGCCATGATTTTCACGCAGGACCTGCTTAACATGTACCAAAACTATGCTAGCAAAAAACGATGGTCCGCACAAGTTCTTTCAATCAACGAAACAACGACAGGTGGAGTGACAGAAGCAATTTTAAGTGTGGATCAACCGGGGTCTTACGCATTTCTTCAATATGAGGGTGGTGTCCACCGAGTACAAAGAATTCCATTAACCGAAACTAAAGGGCGAGTACATACGTCTACAGCAGCAGTTGTTGTTTTACCTCAAATGAATGATAATGATACTAGTGGTAACAGTGACGAAGCTGAGCGAACCTTTGCAGCTGGAGAGGTCCGAATTGATGTAATGAGAGCACGAGGTGCTGGAGGTCAACACGTTAATACAACTGAGTCGGCAGTTCGATTGACTCACGTTCCAACTGGCATTGTTGTTGCAATGCAAGATGAAAGATCACAGCATAAAAACAAGGCCAAGGCATTTATGATTTTGCGAGCCAGAATTGCAGAAAGAGAACGAATCGAAGCTCTTGAGCGAGAGAAAAGCAAGCGTACATCCCAAGTAACAACAACTCTGAGATCAGACAAGATTAGAACATACAACTATGTGCAAAACCGACTTACGGATCATCGGTGTGGTCATACGTCCTATCATCTTGCAGACTACGTTGCAGGAGATCCAGAAACCTTTGACGATATTGTCAAGGTGATGGACAAATATACTAAAGAGGAAAGCTTAAAAGATATGATTGCTGAAGAAAATGAGAAGAGAAATTGACTGGAAGAATTTAAATTTTGTACATAAATTGTAATTATAAACCGATATAATAAATATAGTATAATTATACTATTCTTACTTAAATCTTTGAATTTAAGTTTCAAAAAAAAAAAAAAAAATTACTATGGTGTAAGCTATTTGAAATTCAAAATCAAAATTTATTGAAGTGAGTCAGCAATAATCTTACGTTTAGTTAAATATTGAATATCAATTGAAATCGATTTCTAGCATTCACATCAAAACTAGAATAAACTTAGATATTATCTGGAATTAAGACTTCAGGTTAGATGACAATTTGATATCCAAATTATAATTAGAGAAATTGTTTCTTTAGATAATTATTATCTAAGATAATAAATAATGAATAATAGATGTTTACTTATAAATTAATTAATTTATTAACAATTAAAAATAGTGTAGTTAGCACCTATCGCCAACATGCCAAAAAAATCATAACCATTCTGTTTTTTTGAAATTAAAAGGCCTATGCTTAGCTTTCATTTTCTTATCATCATCATAAGTGGAACAAGTTTGGTATCTTCATCGCTTTTGCGTATTTCTTTTGTTGATAAGACCGTATTCCTAAAAGTTTGGAAAAAAGAGAAAGAGGTGATACTAAATTAAAAATAGTTTATAATAGTTTAATAGGAGTGTATCAAATTTTTGTAAATGAAACTATAATACAAAAATAAAGAAATAAAGACTATAAACCTTCTTCCAATGCCTGCATTTTGACTAGTTGAAAATAAAGTCCATTAAGTGCAAGCAGTTCGTCATGAGTTCCAGCCTCAGCAACTTTACCTTTGTCAATAAGATAAATCACATCAGCATTTTGAATTGTTGAAAGTCTATGAGCAACTGCTATTGTAGTACGCCCTTTTGCTGCTTCATCTAACGCTGCCTGAACAACCTTTTCTGATTCACTGTCCAGAGCAGACGTCGCTTCATCCAATAATAATACTTTAGGGTTTCTAATCAATGCTCGCGCAATTGCAATCCGTTGTTTTTGTCCGCCAGATAATAAGGTTCCTTTGGTTCCTGTTTCAGTATTATAACCCTCTGGCAATGACATAATGAATTCATGAATATTTGCCTTACGTGCTGCCATATAAAGCTCCTCCTCAGAAACATCTTGGGCTTGATATTCATCCAAACCAAGTAAAATGTTGTCACGAATTGTGCCACTGAATAACACTGGCTCTTGTTGCACTAAACCGATGTGTTTTCGGTACTCGCTTACATTAAGTGTTGTAATATCAACACCGTCCAACAATATACTACCAGATAATGCCCGGTAAAACTGTTCAATTAAGCCAATAGTTGTACTTTTTCCGCATCCTGAATACCCTACTAAAGCAATGTACTCGCCACGTTTGATATTCAAGTTTAATCCTCTCAAAACAGGAACATGTGGTCTTGTCGGATACCGAAAGTGTACATCTCGGAATTCAATTTCTCCAACTACATTGGTAAGAAGATCACCATCTTTAGAAGTAGGATCAATTGTTGACTGAATGTCAAATATCCGTGCAACATTTTGTGATGCTTGCCGTGCCTTACCTATACTTGGAGCATATGAAAAAACTTGTCCAGCGCTTTGAGCACCAAAAACAACAGCCACAAATGCTGTGAAAAATTGATATGACGAACTTTGGCCCTTGCGAATTAAAGTTGCACCATACCAAAAGCCAAGACCCATAATTCCTGGTAGTAATCCTTGTGAAAGGCCATACATAAGTGCAGAACGAGCCATAGGAATACGCGCACGCTTGACTTGAGTCTCAACCGAATTAGAATAAGTTTGGAGAACATAATCTTCCTTAGTAAGAGATGCAACAGTACGCACTGAGCTTACACTTTCACAAGCATATTGGCCGGAGTCGGCATAAGTTTTTTTAGCACGTTCCTCAAGTTTAGTCAAAATATAGACACGCAAAAACCCACACCCTACCAAAATTGGCACACAAGACGTGCAAACCAGTCCAAGACGCCAGTTGATAGAAATAGCCATGATGATTCCACCAAATAGTGTAGCTAAACTGTTTAAAATTTGACCTAAAGTCACACCGCCAAACCCTTCAACACTTTGGCCATCTTTAGATAGAGTTGATGTTAATGCACCAGTAGAATTATTTTCATCATCAAAATATGCAATGTCCATTTGCAAATAATGTTGAAAGACTTGAATACGAATGCGTTTGACTAATACCTGTGTATGATAAGTAAGGGATCCAAGAAGACCGCAAAAAATGAAAAACTCAATGCCGCCCAGTAAAACAAAATAACCAGACAAAACATTTACTTCATGTCTCATATGTCCATACTGATCAGGGGGTACCATAAGACTGTCCAAAATCTTACCATAAATATAGGCCATAATTGGATAACCAACGCCAGTAGTGAGAGCACAAATTGCTCCAGATATTAAAAGTTTATTATAACCGACGGTGAATTTGTTGAGCTATGACAAAGTTAGTAAAATAAACAATTAGCTTTAAGGAACTTACATATTTCACAAGAGCAATAGTAGATCGAGTTTGGACAGGTTTATCAAAGTATCCATCTTCTTTCATATCAGCAATGGCCTTATCTGAAATTGAATAATTAGAGCTATTGGTTCCGCTCTGTGAAAGTTCAGCACTCATGCCAGTGCTGGCATCACTGAGTAAAGATTGTGTTTCGTTGTTACCAATACTAAAACGTGAAGAGTGTACGGGTTCATGTTGGTCTCGCTTTTTAATGTCTTGAGCTTTAACTAAAGTGTAATATGCTCCTTTTTCAGCTAAAAGCTCGTGATGTGTACCCATTTCAATAATGTTACCAGAAGAAACGACAACAATCTTATCGGCATCTTTAATTGTTGAAAGACGATGAGCAATAACAATAGTAGTGCGATTGGTAGCAGCACGATCTAAAGCCTCTTGAACAACACCCTCAGATTTGGTATCAAGAGCAGAGGTAGCTTCGTCTAAAAGCAAAATTTTAGGCTCAGAAACAATGGCTCTGGCAATAGCAATACGCTGTTTTTGCCCACCAGAAAGTAAAAAACCTTGCTGTCCAACATTGGTATCAAGGGCTTCTGGGAGAGTCTGTATGAATTCCCATGCATTAGCTTTTTTACATGCTTCAATAATCAAGTTTAATTTTTCTTCTTTAGAGGAATTTTCATATTGTGTGCCAATCAAACCATATGATATATTTTCAAAAATTGAAACGTTAAACAAAGTAGGTTCCTGAGAAACCAAAGCCATTTGTTGGCGTAGCCATTTGACATTAAAAGAAGAAAGCTCAATACCGTCCAAAGTAACTGATCCTCCAAGATACGAATAAAAACGTTCAAGAATACCAATTATCGTGGACTTTCCAGAACCAGATGCACCTACTAAAGCAACTTTTGTTCCGGGTTTAATATCTAAAGAAAAATTGTTTAAAACTGTGACATTAGGACGAGATGGATAAGCAAAGCGGACATTTTGAAATTTGATTTCACCTGTAATTTCATTAAGTTTTTTTCCTTCTTCTGAAGAAGAATCGATAAGGGGGACCCTGTCTATTGTTTCAAAAATTTTTTTCGCAGCACCAACTGACTTTCCTACAGATTGAAAAGCTGGTGTCACACCACCAATACTAACAGATCCAATAATAATAGACATAATTACAGTGACTGTAGAGCCAACAGATCCAGTTCCATCAGCGATGAAACGGGCACCTTGCCAAAAAGCAAGACCATATGTCCAATAAATAATCAGCCAAAGACCAGCAACCATTAGCATAATAGTCCTACCAGCCTTGACGCCATAACGAAATGACTCATCAACATGAAAATCATATTTCTGGGATAATCTTCTTTGGATTCCAAACGCAGTGGTGGTACGAATAGAACTAAGAATATCTTCCGCAACTGAAGAAGCTTTGGAAAATGCTCCTAAAGCGGAAATAGTATATTTCATCATGAATCTTGATGCAATACCCATAGTTATTATGATTGTAACAATAGTAGAAAACAAAATTAAAGTAAGACGCCAGGAACGAATAAAGCCAATAACAAGAGCAGCAAAAAATGTTGCAAATCCAGAAAAAATTATATTGACTTTTTCAGAAATCCCTTCCTGAATAAGATTGACATCAGAAGTAATTCTATTGGTAATTTCACCAGGACCAACCTTATCAAAATAAGCAATGTTTTGGCGAAGAATTGCCTGTATATAGTGTTCTCTAATACGGGCGGTAATAACTTCGCCTCGATCAACTGCAACATATGTTTCTAGAGTGGTAACAGTGCAAATTCCAATCATTAAATAAAGAAAATAAAGAGTATTGTGGTTCACTGAATGTTGAAACTCATCAGCACCTTGACCTGTAGTAAGAAAACGGGAAAAATTGTCTGTGATGTTACCCATGATAAGAGTAAATAGTGGTAACGCTGCGCCCGAGCATATTGCACCAAAATTAGCGAGAATTATCATAAAAAGATCAAATTTGGTAGCATAACGATAAAGAGTAAAGTATGATACTGAATTATCTGGAATTATAATTTGTTTCTTTAAAATATCTATTTCTTCGTTGGTGCGACCTTCGTAGCTAAGGTTGAGAATATGAGCGTTTGGATCAGCATATTTGTCTTTTTTTCCCTTTTTCTTTTTTTTATTAGGCAGCGAATTTTGCTTCTCATCAGCGTCGGTTTGAGTTGTTATTGAAGACAAATGATCTAAGCCAATATTCTTTTCTTGAGACGAGAGTGCATTATTTCCAAGTTGTGGTGATCCCATTATTTTTATGTGGGGGTAGACAAGTTACGGAAAAAAAAAATATACAAATACAAATACGAGGCAAGACCAAAGGATTTAAAGCCTTTATTTATTTCAATGTGTTGGATGGTTACATGGCTGACTCAGGCACTCGAAACGATAGAGAGTTGCTTTGTAACTTTATATTTTTGTCGGACTCCGAAAATATTATCCTTTGAAAAATCAAAATCAAAATCAAAATCAAAATCAAAATCAAAACCTTGCAATGAAATGAAATGAAACGAAATAAAATGAAATGCAACTCGAATATGAATACGATAAAATGAAATAAAACCATGGAAAATCGCACTTCTTATTTTGGTCTTATTAATAGCATTAATACTAATAGTAATTACTAAGGGTAATTTGGGTTAGGGTTGCAAATTATATTTAGTTCTGATCAATAAATTATTACTTCTTCATAAAAAATAAATCTAAAAATGGCTCCAGCTCTAAAAAGAACATCAAGAAAATCCCCAAAGCTAATAAAAATACCATCTTTTACTTCCAGAAAACCAACTTCTAAAGTGTCTCCAGCTCGCATTAAGCAGCCGTCTTCAATAAATACATGTCAACTTTCACATAATATAATATCATTAACACCTTTCCCGGACTTAGACAAATACTCCGATGTATCCAATCTTTTGAGTCTAATTCAAGAACTCGCGTCTCGAACATGGGAATCGCTTCCTGATCCAAAAAATAAAAACCATGAAAAAGCAGCTGCAGCTTGTTCGTTTTTAGCCAGGTCATATATTCGGGAAATGCTCATTTTTCAATCAGGAATACCTGCATCAACTTGCGTACCCAAAAGTTTACTCATGGGTACGAAGATAGGAACCGAAAATCCTACTAGCATGGATAGGGAATTAGCAAGGCTGGCGGATCAAGGTCTTATATGGATTTTGAGCATGGACGCTAGAGACATCAAAGAAGTTGTTGTCTTAAAAAGTGGTATGCTTGAAAAACTTAATATTCTTTGTAATGATCAATCTTGTCAAAAAAACATCAATCAAGATGAACATGCAGTCGTTACAGAATTCTTTGGGGGTACTCAGAAAAATATGGAAAACAGAGATATATATGTCCTTTTTCGAGAGTTTTTACTGTCTCATGGGAAGGCACTGCGCTATATTACTCGATCTCATTTTATAGAATTTGAGCAATTTTTTCTTGAAAACAGAGATATGGATACACCCGATGAAGTGGAGCTCAAGCAACGTTTGGTGAATTATAAAAATCATAATGGTCTTTGTGCTTTATGGGAACATAGAAATTTGCTAATGTCAGCTGGGTATTTAACTTTAGTTCTAGAGGCAACAAACACTGGAACTCTCGATGAAGCAGAAAAAAGTTTTGGAGAAAGTGGAAGTTTTAGATGTGCAGCTGTGGTAAGTTCCAGTAGTGAAATGAATGGTATTATAGTAGACGATGATACAAAGTTGCAGAGCTTTAAAAATCAGAAATATGAAAAAGAGCAAGATCCCGTTTTTCGTCTGAGTTTGCCTAATGTAGGTGCCCTGTTATCGACAATCAGAGTAACAAGAAAATGGATTCTTGATACAATAATGAATCGGCGTCGAAGCAGTGGCGACCACAATGTTACTATTACCCCTGTGGCTGCTTCTTCACACAATAATTTTCGACAAATTACACAACCCATGCTATTTGAGAAATGGACAATAAAACGGAAATCAACAGCATTTTATTATAAATTTAAAGGTATCAACTTAGAATATGTTTTAGAAGAAGCATATGGAGGAGGTTGGATAGAACCTTTTAAAACACCAGCTGGAGTTTGCTGGAAATATACTGGGAAAACTGTATCTATTTAAAAAAATAAAAAAATAAATAAATAAACATTGATAAATAAAATAATCCGGAATGATTCTATCATCAAATGAATAATATAATATTAAACAACTTCACCTTAGAAAAATCCTTAATTAACTTACAAGTTATTGATGATTGAAAGTCTGCGAATTATTAAAAGTGTAATACATTTATGTAATTAATCACGTGATATTTTTGTTTTATTTTAATTTTTCAGTGCGCGATACTTCAAACCTGGTTTTTTTTTTGTCAAGAACTGAACTATTAAGAAACTTAATGTCTTCTAAATTATTGACGACTGGGGCTAGTCTCAGCTCACCCCCATTGCATTTATATTCTGTTACTTTGAAAAAGCCTACCGCGTTCATAAAGTCTATTGTGGGTCAATTTTCTGGTAAACGTTCCCAGGATATTATTGTTATACGCGGTTCTTATATTGATCTTTATCATATTAACAAAGAAACTGAAAAACTAGAACTGCAACTTTCTTATAATCTATTTGGTATTATTCGTTCCATTGCCCCTTTTAGAATTGCGGGATCTTCTAAAGATCATGTTATAGTGACTTCTGATTCTGGACGTGTGGCGATTTTGGATTACAACCCTGATAAAAATGTTTTTGAGCAGTTACACCTTGAAACCTTTGGAAAGTCTGGAATTCGGAGAATAGTACCTGGACAATATCTGACAGTTGATCCAAAAGGAAGAGCCGCTTTAATTGCATCTGTTGAAAAAAATAAGCTTGTCTATGTTTTAAATCGAGACTCTGCAGCTAATGTTACTATCTCATCACCTTTAGAAGCACATACGCCACGAACAATTGTTTACGATGTGGTAAGCGTGGATGTTGGCTACGAGAACCCCATATTCGCGGCATTAGAAGTGGATTATACACATGCTGAAAGTGATCCAACAGGTGTTGCATACGATGAATTAGAGAAAAAAGTCACATTTTACGAACTCGATCTCGGCCTAAACCATGTTGTTCGGAAATGGACTGCCCCTGTTGACAAACATTCCACTATTCTTTTGCAGGTTCCAGGCCCAGATGGAGAAAACACATTACCTTCTGGTGTTTTAGTCGGAACAAATGGTTACATATCATACCGCAACATGAACCAACCCGAACTCAGAGTGCCAATTCCTAGACGCCATGGGACTGATCCTACAATTGCGCCACCAACATCTATTGTTTCTGGAATCATGCACAAAAACCATGACGATTTTTTTTTTATTGTTCAAACAGAACTTGGCGACTTGTTCAAAATCGAATTAGAGCATGATGGCGAAAATGTGATTGATTTAACTATAAGATATTTTGATACTATTCCTCTGGCAATTTCGTTGAACATTTTGAAATCAGGGTTTCTGTTTGCATCTTGTGAAAATGGAAATCATAAATTTTATCGGTTTTTGACACTTGGATATGAGAATGGTGAAGTTGAAGTCTTTTCCAGTAAAAACTTTACAGATGGCGAAATAAATCAGTATCCAGTTAGTTACTTTACCCCAAAGTCATTGACCAACTTAGAAATTGTCCATGAAATTAAAGCTCTTCATCCTTTAATCGGTTCACAGGTTTTACACTTAGATGAAACCCAAGACATACCTCAAATTTACACCATTGGCGGACAGGGTGCAAACTCGCACTTACAAAGTCTAGTTCATGGCATGGATATTTCTGAAATTGTCGCCTCTGAGCTTCCTGATACACCAATTGGTGTGTGGACAGTAAAAGTTACAGACATTGATAGGTTTGATAAATACATTGTGTTTTCGTTCCGCGACCGAACTCTAGTATTGTCAGTTGGTGATAATGTCGAAGAGGTCACTGATTCTGGTTTTTCCTTGGAAGTTTCTACATTAGCTGTTGAGCAGCTGGGACAAGATTCAATTTTACAAGTGCATGAAGGAGGTATTCGACACATTTCTAGCAGTAAAAATGTTAGTGAATGGGAGCCTCCACAGGGATGCCGAGTCACTTGTGCCACAACGAACAACTTTCAAATTGCCATTGCATTGTCAAATAACTGTATAGTTTATTTTGAACTTGACGATGAAGGCCAGCTAAACGAGTACGAAGATCACAAGGAATTACCTAGTGCACCTATTGCCATGAGTATTGGTAAGATCCCTGAGGGTAAACTCCGAAGCTTGTTTTTGGCTGTTGGATGTGATGATTCTACTATTCGTATTTTATCACTAGACTTGGAGTCGACTTTGGAACCTTTGACGATGGCTGCATTAACCGCGCCTCCTAACGACGTTTTAATTCACTCCATGTTTGACAACTCTTATATTCCTAAGTCAAAGAATGGCTCAGTATTACCATTACCACCATCTACTTTATATCTTCATATCGGTTTATCCAATGGTGTTTATGTAATGTCCCAAATCGAGGATATCACAGGACAACTCTCGAACACAAGAAAGCGATTTTTAGGTCCTAAAAAGGTTAAGCTGGTTCCCATAAGACACAATTCGCAAAATTGTTTGCTCGCCTTGTCATCAACCCCCTGGATGGGCTACATGAATGGTGTAAATTATGAAATGACTCCATTGGTTTGCAGCTCTCTTTCTTATGCCGCAGGCTTATCTATTGCGCAAAATGAAGAAGCCATTGTTGGCACCAAAGATAATTTGATCCAGTAAGTCTGATCTCTTTTTTTTTTTTTTTTTCTAACTTTTTAAGAATCTTTTCTGTCAATGATGTTGGAGAAAAATTATTTCAACAGGCAGTTCCATTAAAATTCTCCCCACGACGGTTTACGAAAAACTCTTTTTCATCATACTTTTATGTTGCAGAAGCTGACAACCATACCCAGATTGTAAATTCTGGTAACCCAAGCTTAAACGGGAAAACCAATGGTCATCATGATAATAGCATTAAGGAAGAATTTAAGGAGTTGTATGAAGACCTTGACCGAGTACAGGCTGGATACCCTCATGTGCTAAAATCCTGGGCATCAGCAATTCAGGTTGTCAGCCCGTTGACACAAGAGGTTCTAGACACTGTTATTCTTGATAACAACGAGGCTGCATTTGCCATTGCTAATTGCTATTTTATTTCTCATGAACGTGAGTTTTTAGTAGTTGCCACGTCTTGTGACACGGAAATCTTGCCTAAGAAATCAAGTGGTGGGTATATTCATGTTTATGAGTACAAGGATAAAGGACGGAAGTTGAATCTGCTACATAAAACTAAGGTTGCAACAGCACCATCAGCCATGATTGAGTTTCAAGGTCGGTTGTTAGTTGGTATGGGAAACTTGTTAAGTATCTATGAACTTGGTATCAAGCAACTTCTGCGCAAGGTGGAAACAAAGTTGAACTTAAACACAATAATAACTCTGGACACTCAAGGAAGCCGGATAGTTGTTGGAGATGTTCGTGATTCAATAACCTTTATTGTATACAAGCCAGTCACCAATTCGCTGATTGCATTTGCGGACGACGTGGTAGCACGACACATTACTAGTGCCATAATGCTTGACTATGATACAGTACTTGCTGGTGACCGTTTCGGAAACATTTTTGTATTACGGTGCCCTGCAGCAGCATCACGTGCTAGTGATGAGGACGACTATGGTGGAAACATTCTCAACCAACAGGGATATCTTGGTGGTACTGGGACCAAACTGGAGTTGCTCGCACATTACTTTGTGGGAGATATTGTGACCGGATTGTCACGTGCAGCCCTTGCGGTTGGTGGCCGACAGTCCGTAATTTACACAGGAATCCAGGGAACTGTAGGAGCAATTGTTCCGTTTGCTACCAAGAAAGATGGAGAGTTTATGGCTCAACTAGAACGCCAGATGCGAATTCATGCGCCACCTATGGCGGGCCGCAACCATCTTGTTTATCGGGGCTACTACGCTCCTGTTAAAATGGTAGTAGACGGCGATCTCTGTGAACAGTTTGGTGGGTTGCCTGGGTCACTGCAGGACACAATAGCAAAGGACTTAGAGCGATCTGTCAAGGACATTACCCGTAAAATCGATGATATTCGTATCGGGTCTGTCTTTTAGGATATTCAAAGATCTATCAAAGGGTAATACTAAATTATTTAGATTTTTATATTTATATACATCAAAAAAAAGTAAATTGTCTATGCCAGAATGCGGCATTTGGAAATGCCGGCTTGTTGAGGATACCCCGCAGCAAAGTCTTGAATGTGAAAATTTCCTTTACGATCAAGGGAAAAGAGTGCATGTCCAGTGGGTGTAAAGCGAAGTGATGCTGCTTCCATAAATGTTGGTGCAGAAGCCATTTCTGTGAGCACGACTATGCGCTTGTGCACGCGGTCCTGCGTGTGCATCAAATACACAAGTCCGTTTTTATCAAGATATGCAACAGAAATTGGTTGGCCTAAAGTCGAGCCCGTTGCTGAAGAAAAGGTTGAAGATGAAGGGAAAGGAGGAATCCCTGTACTAGAACTAGTCAAAGCTGAATTCATAAAGATTGGAGAAGTTGAGGCTAGAGCTGAGAAACCCATACTTGTGTTGGTCCCGCCAACACTGCTGCCCCCACCTCCACTAGAGCTAGTGCTCGTCATTAAAGTATTACCACCAAACCCATTACTCCAACTTGTACTGGTGCTACCACCACTAAGACCCCCGCTGTTACTCACACTCACGTTGGCACCGGATATGCTCCCTCCAAAAAAACCAAAACCGCCAGCATTTGCAGAGACACTATTGTTATTATTACTGCTTGGGCCTCCGCTATTATTATTATTAGTGTTGCTGCTACCACTGCTGCTTGTCCATGGCCTCGACACACGAGGAGACACAGCACATCCATAAATCCTCGACCCGACCTTTTCCACATGCATAAGCACTTTGAATTTGGTCCCACCTGTCCCAGACGCAGATGCAGATGCAGTTGACGAGGTACGGAGAGTAGGTGCCAAAGCCGAAGCACCAGAGCCTGGATCTCCGGAAGCTGTTGGATAGAGTTGGGTGGGATCATTAGTATTGGTTTCAGGGTATTTCGAAGTTTGAATTGATTGATCTGAGGGAATAATAGGAGTTGCGTGCGATTGAGAGTTGGTTTGAGAACTTATTTCTGTAGCAATGATAACAGGATATGATTTGGGGCACGCGGCTGTGACACTAATTAGATGGTTGCCCGGGTGGAACTGGACAGAAGTAGTGCCCTCAGACTCTGCGTCATCCATATTATATGATCTAGTTAGGGGCTTTACCAGTCGCGGCCGGTGATGATTGGTGATGTTAATAATAAGAATGTGAGATGTGTTTCGAGTGGAACACGCGATATAGGATTCATCGCTAGAAAAAGAAAGAGTGTTGATAATGTCTTTATATGGTACCTCAATGGTAATTGTTTCTGCTTTCTGAAAACTAAGGCGGGGGTCTGCAGCATCAACCAGGTGTTTCGGAAGCGCAGAGAGACTTTGAGTCATGTAATACACAAGTTGGGGACAAAAGTCACCACTAGAAAGCCAGTGTAGCACAATCATGGGGACAGGCTGATCCGGTTTCTTTTTATTGAAACCCGTTGTTGCGCAGGCAATACAATTTCCACTTGAAGAAATGGCCAGGTACTTGATGTTGAACTTGGACTTGTAGTGGTAAACCAGTCTACCACCGCGTTCAATGTCATAAACGCGAAGAACACCCCCGGTACCAGAAACTGCCAAGTATCTGTTGGATAAAGATGCGAGCTGATGAGTCCAATTACGTATATCGTCTTTTTCTGTGGGGTAAAAATTGGAATATAAGTCCGGATCGATTTCTATTGAAGAAGACGAGATAGAGTAAGAGGACAACACAGATGAAGAAGAGGAAATAATTGACGATGCTGTAGATCCTTGAGGAGAAGTCGATTTTCTTTGATTTTTTTCATCAATATGGTTAGTAATGACACCTGCTGTATTTCCTGAGAGCCAAAGGACAGGGGGCTCGTTGTAGTCAAGAGGAATTCTGTAAACAGACCACAGGGTTTCCGAAACAACAACGAATTTTGTAGCATCTGGCGTAATTGCAGTTGCAATGTAGGGTTTAGTGCGTCCAAGTGGAAATCTGCTGTTAAGAGAATGCTTGAATTGCTTACGATAAGTCGGAAAACAGCGACTGTAAAAACTTTCCCGCTGCTGCATGACAGCCTTAGGCAATCGGATTCCACCAATAGAGTCTGTCATGAGGCGGTACGTTGCCATTTCTTCTGGAGTTATGGATGATACAAAAGAAGGGATCGGTCCGGAATTTGTGGTGATCGACGGCAATAACTGATAGTCAACATTACTAGAAAGAGGCCCAACTTCCTTAGGCACAATTACTGAAGGTTCTGTCAAGTACCCAGTTTCTCGCTGAAATTTATCTACTGTGTTTGTAGCGGTGCGGAAAACGTCAAGTAGTGAAGGTTTTTGGTCCGAGTATGAATTAACTGTTGCATTTTGAAACCGCTTGAGAAGGATTTTATTGAGAGTAGTTCTATTATGAATGTTAGAAAACAAGATGGTACATGGCTCATAGTAAAAAAATTTCAACATACTCGGCGTTATCAGCAATCTAGAAGAGTTAGAGGGAAAAAATTCCTTTAGTTAGACAAAAATAATGCATGGAAAAAAAAGGGAAGAGGGTAATCGCGCTCTTACATTAAAGTTCATCAGAGAAACATTTGTAGGATCATCGAGAGACATGCCAAACAGAGATTCAAGAGTAGCCGATGGTGGAAGAGGTTTATTTAAATCAACTGAAGGTCCCGTAGGCGTCATGGCCGAGTCTATTGTGCGGTTTTTATCATTGGTGACTGTTGGCGAATCGCTTGGTGGACTGAGAACAGTGAGAGCGAGCATTTTTTTCATAGCATTAACATAAGTGTAAATGTTTCGGAGTTGTGTCAGAGGCCGTAAAACGGTGGTCGGCGACTCACCGCAAAATGGGCATGTTGGTGACGTTGATGAAACTGAAGAATTACGTGTCGGTGAGTTCTTTAAATGCGTTGAAGTTGAAGAGGGAGAAGATAATGGGCTATGGTGAAAGTCGGTAGTTGGTGCAAGAAAAGTCGTTCTTGCTTCATTTTCTGAAACAATACACCCACAAGTTAAAACACAAGCATCAGAAGCAGGATTAGAAGGTGTAGAAGGAGTCAAGGTAGAGGTTAAACCTGGAAGTGGTGAAGATGAAAATGAAGAAGAAGATGGAGATGGAGATAATGTTGAGGAAGAAGGAGGCTTAGGGGTAGGTGATGGGAGTATGAGTTCGCACTCAATAGCATCGAGAAGAAGCGCGATGCCAGCCGTAGGGCTTGATACCGTGTCGGCAACATAGTTCTCGGAAATGTCATCAAATAGTTGATGTGGAAGATCAAAAAATGAAGGTAGAGAATGGCTGTTTTTATTGACAGTTGCATTTATATTTGCATTGGTAGTGTGCTGTTGGGACCTGTTTGCACCATTTGCGGAAAGATCAGCAACAGCCTGCGTGATCGACCGATTACTTTGTTGCGCATCGGAAGGCGGTGTTGTGAGGTTGTTTTTTGATTGAAGTGATGTTCCTGATGAAGAAATATCAGAAGTGAAGGAAGGGTTATTAGCTGGGTTTGTAAGACTTGGAGCCTGTTGATGGTGGTTGTCTCTGTCTGGAGGACGCTCATGACGGAGCGAAGAAGTTACAATATCATCGGCCGGAAGGTTTGCAGCTGATTTCTCTGCTGACTGAGAAAGCGTGACGGGCATAGCAAAAGAAAAAAGCGAGCCCAGGTCAGCATCCCGTGGCATAAAAATGAGAACAGATTTGAAATAGACTGGGGTAGTAGTAGTAGTTTTAAAGAGTTGAGTGGGAAGTTTTTTTGTTTTGCTTATGGTAGCGTGTTTTGGTGGTAGTGGTGAAGAAGAGCGAGGCAGTGCATGTGCCAACGTGCCCAAATAGATACCTGACTAATCATATACGGCTGACATTCAATCTAATCAATCTTTATCTAGGTTACTAAGCTCTATATTTCACAAAAACCTCCAACATTGATATTTAAAAATAACAGACCCCGGCCTGTCTGATATTGGGGAACTTCTAAATTAATATTGAAGATTTTAGAGTCCGTTTAAGCACCAATAACAATTCAATCACTGTTGAGCTTCCCTCCCCGATGAAATTCCTCAATCACATTGCCTTTTAAAAGAGTTTCCGATACAATTCCTTGCACGTTCTCAGGGAACACGTTTCCGTACCACAGCCCTGAGGACCCAGGCTTCAAAATAATAACATTACCAGCATACTAAATCATTTAGTCAGTAAAAAAAAAAAAAAAAAAAGGATTGAATATTAAACTTACCACATGACCACCAACATGAGTACATAAAGATACCATGTATGTGTTTTCTCTCGATACATCTTCTCCATCATCAGATCCGCGCAGCATTCCTCGATCACCTAATACTCGCCGAAACTCTTCAGCAAGCAATGGACCAACTGCACCGCAACGTGCATCTCTTGCAGTGTGACCGCAAATTAATATATGACCCCCTGCTAAGTTGCGTCTCTCGAGTCTTACAGCAAGATCCGCAGCTGCTGTCGCATCGTGTTGATCAGGCGAAAGTAAATGTGCTTTAGTGAAAGCCAAGACATCTGTGAGTGGGATTTTGGGAAAGTAGGCACCATCCGGGTACATGACCACGGAGCTTGTTGGTCCGTCGGATGCATCTGAAAGAAGTGAAGCAGCTTTGCGCGAAAGAGAAGGTGTGGAGCCAGAGTGTGTTCCGCGGGCTCGAGGGCGTAAGATCAACTTGGGAGAGCTTGGGGATGGTTCTGGAATTGAATCGTCATAGACAAGATTAACAGGGAATGTAGGGTCAAGAACTTTACGTCTAGTAAGAAGGAACTCTGATCCAAAGTTGTCTGGCATTAGTGCAGGTTTGCTGGGCCAATCTGTAAAAAAAAATTAATGTTAATAGGGAAACAAGAAGGATAGGATTTCTAAGCGAACCTGAAGTTCCAGTTTTGACAATTAAAAATTTTTCAAAGTACGGTGCAGTTCCACGACAATCTTTCCGCTCAGAAAACAGAGACATGTCGGGAGGCATACAATGCGTACATCCAGTATCATGGTCAGGAGGAGGGCACCGAGCCACCGAGCCGTTTGAGCGATAAAGGTGGGGGAGAGCAAGAGTTTTGCGTGTCCCTGGTTTCAAAGTATTTAGTCGAAAAGATGAAAGCATCGCACTTTAAGTAGTTATTCAAATAGATAGAAACATGAAGAAAATGAAATAGTATATAAATAAGAGAAAAAGAAGATAGAACTGGTCAAGTCAAGGGAAAATTAGGTGTGTAAAAGTCTGAGATGGCCAGTCACCGCCTCGGGAATTGTGATTTGCGAGAAAAAAAAACACCTTGGTAGCAAACGTCAGGATATCACAAAAAAAAATTTGTGCAGTTTCTTTTTTCTCGGTTCGAAGCCCAACATTTGCCATTTTGAGATTAAAGGGGATTTACTACGGAATCGGTCCGGGATAAATCTACGTAAATTTGAATCACCTGAAAAAAACAGATTCGAAAGATATCGGTCCGATTTAACTAATTAATGGGCTACATTTCATTTTTCAGGGGAAATAAAATGCTTTTTACTACTTAAGTAGTATACTTAACATAGTTGATATGAATAATATATTTATTGTTTAGCTATATAATGAAGAAAAAAAAAAATGTTCAAAAAACTATTATAATGCATAAAAATCATAAATCTGGTTACTTGTTATAAGTATATTAAAAGTGTTGTCATCGTCATTGTCATCATCATCATCATCATCATCAAAAGTTTTAGTAGCATGAGTGGTCCAAGTCCTGCTTGCCATTATCAATGCCATAAAACCGAAGCTGTTGCTCAAGTTGCTTAATCTTAAATTCCATGCGCTGATTGCTCAATTTAAGCTCGTTATTTTCACGAGTGAGCTCGTCCATTTTGCGCTCCATGAGCTTATTCTTGTCCATCGACTCCTTGTACTTTTGGTTCTTAAGATCACGGGAACGTTTAGCATAGATTCTGTTTCGTCGTTTTCTCTCTTCGTCTGTGTGAATGGGATCAGTAGGTAGAGGAGTAAGATCTGCAGCAGATAAAGAAGAATATGAGTTCATGCTGGAAACATTGCTGCTGGTTTTTGGAGCAGATATTTTGTTGATGGTTGGTCTTACATTAGAGCTGCTATTTTTTCTGCTTCGCAGCTCCGGCAAAGGAAGTTGTGGAGGAGATTGTAATGCAGGAGAGCTATGAGAAGAATATGGCAAAAATCCAGATGTATTGGTGCTCGCAGAAGTAGATAACTCATGCTCGCTAGGTGATGGAATAATTGATGGAACATTAGGGCTTTGCTTTAAAGATGACTTTGTAAATTCTGGTGAGGGTGAAGTTTGTTGCATTTGTGATGCTGGAAGAAGAGACATAAGCAAGTCTGGTTGTTCTAAAAGTGCACTTTCCGAATCGGTTGTAGTGTGACTATGATTGTTAACGGGTGGGGATGTAGTATGGTCTTGAAGTGATTCAAGTTTTATAGCTGGAACAATCTGTGTATTCATTGCAGTGATGTCCAGGCTATTTGAATTAGTTGTTATCGACATATTATTTTCTGTATTGTGTGTTGAGATAATATTGTTGAGAGATTGTTGGTCAAAGGGATCAGCAACAACAGGAGTATTAGTATTCATATCAGAAAACTTTGGGGCTGACTTTTCTTCTGGCTCTAACAAAAAGTACGTTGAGTCATAAATAAAAGATTTAGTATCAATTTCGGGCAGATTTAAAAAGAATTGCTCAGAAGTGACACCGTCAAGAACAGAAGACTTTTGCGCATCTGAGTTGTTGTTAGTAGATCCAAGAGACCGGACATGAACATTATCGATAACATTTTCCACATCCTCTTCCTCTTCGTCAATATCTACATCGTCGTCGCCATCTACACCGTGGTCAAGGGGAGGTGGATTGTTTTCTGAGAGAAGGTCACCAGGCAAACCGTCATATGAATAGACTGAAGAAGTTGACGTAAGATCGACGTAGAAATCCGCTGAGAGATAGTTTTGATCCATCGTAGTTTAGTGAATGTGAATAAATTATAAAAAAAAAAAAGGCCGGGAAAGATTTAGACAAGTAGTTATTTCAACAGCAGTTAGATATCTGAGTTTTTAGTAAAGACTTTTGTATTGGCAAGAATGATTTAATAGAAAGACAGATACCGGGGATTATTTTGAATAGAGGGGATGTAGAATTAAAGAAAATTCGAAAATTTTTTTAAACCAAAAAATGGTGGATTCGAGCTTCATAATAAATGGTTTGCCACCGGCGGTTTTGGCCTTCAATAAAAAAAAATAAAAAAAAAATAAAAAAAAGGCGCAGAAAGTAATAGTGCTGCTTATTTCAATAGCTATGGGTGGCTTAGTAACCCTTGCACATCTGACATCAGATTTTCTTCTTCCTTGCGGGAGAACGAACTGTAAGTATTTCCTTTAAAATAAAAAGGTCTATAAATGGAAGCTATAGCTCATGGAGAGTTTTTGTTCCTGCCCTTCCTAGTCACCCCTAACCCTAGGTTATGTAACATTAATATGACGTGTTAGGAATTTTTTTTTTTTATTTTTTAAAAGGCGCTGATGTTTCGCTGCAAGTATGGCTCATCGCCCCTTTTAAAAACTCTTTCTGTTGTACAGAAAAAAAAAAAAACAGCAACAACAACGTTAACAGCAACAATCAAACATTCAACATTCAAAAGGCTTCTTTAATTGATAACGTTTCTATCATATAATTTGGTCTAAAAAGCCAATTGTGAACACCGTGTCACAGGAATATTAGTAAAAAAAATATCAATATATCTATCTATATATCTATTTTAGGTAGTGTATGGATATAATATACATACAATCTATTTTCACTGTAAACTTTCAAATATATAACGACTGCAAAAGGTAATAATTACCTTATAAGTTGGGTGGGTCCTTGTCGAACTGGCATGGAGGCTGAGGTCGGTTAAACCAAACCAAAATCGAGGACTTTTTTCTCTTTTACCAAATTTCGCCCTGAGATTTATTTTTTTTTATCTCTTTTTTAATTTCAATATTTATATTGGATCACACCCGGATCGGTGTATCTTCTTTTACGGCTGGATCATTGCTCCGGTTCATGTAAGACCTGTGCCACGTGCAGACAAGAAGTCTTTTATATTAAAAGCAATTGAGTCTCATATAAAGATTTTGAAGCTGCGTGCCGGGTTTTCGTTGCTATTTAAAGTGGTATCTTTGTTCCGCCAAACGGAGGTGAGCGGACGGACATTAAGTAAAAAAAAATAATTTTAAAATACGTTAACTCCACCGTTTAAGTTGAATTGTAGTGTGTGTGAGTATCTGTGTTTTTGGAAATTCTTCTGGTATGTACTAATTCGGAGTCCGACACCTTCTTTTATTATTAATGTGACCTCGTATTTTTATTCTCCCCAACATGGGATCCCTACTAAGCGTTTTTTTTTTCCCCACAATTTTTTTTTATTTTGGTTTGTTTTAGTTTGTTTTAGTTTGTTTTGTTTTTTGTTTATTAATGTAATTATTAACCAGTCCATCATTGTATCAATTTTATTTTTTTATTATATAATCAATTCCAACAAACAAACAAACAAACACTAGATCAATATCCTCTACTATGTTACTATGCTATGCTAATGGCCGTAAAAATGGCTTTAGCACCAATGTCTTTTCCGCTTCTCTTTCTAAATCTCCGTAGCTAACAAGCCCTGAAATTCTCCGGTGACCGAAATCGTCAACGCTGTTACTGTTCCGTCCAAATCCAGACCCAGACCCACCCCGCGAATGCCGTGACCCATTGTTCCCCAAGCCTCTACGACCACAAACTCCATACAGCGCAGCTACCCCATGCGACTCCAAAATCGACACAATGTCCATAAAGTCCGCGTAACCCAGAGGCGTCATGTCTCGCTCTTGGTCACATGCTTGAACATATCGTTCATACAAGATAGCAACAGTAATGTTTCTCACACTAATTGTAGACATAGACCTAGTGGATCTCGAAACAGACTTGGACCCAGGCATAGGCCCACGGTGTCTTTCAAGAGAAACGAGAGTGCATAGCACGGCCTTTTGCTGTAAATTTAGCGAGCCAATTCGATTTGTTGTTGTATTTCCAAACATAACTGAACAAACTCTGCTTACATGTGCAATCGTGACCCGCGGGGCAGTCTCTAAATTCAACTCTGCCATTTTTTGAGCGCATCTACCTGTCACCACTGCCCGCTTTCGGCCTCGTGCACTCTTAAGAGCCTCCTCGCCATCCTTCTCTGCTAAAATAAACCGTAGCCGCACATCCTCCTCCACAATTGCAAGTGCTCGTCGACAAATATCAAATGCTTTCCGTAAATCACCGGTATTAGCTGCTGTCTTCTTTGCACAGAGCATGATTCCAGAAGTGTCCATCATCGGCGGTTGAGCAGGCTTCTTTGGTGCACCGTTGTTGTCTTCCCCAGTCTGCCGCGGCATATCCGTGGGTGCCATTGACCATAACCGCTCAGAAATGATCTTGACGATTTGTACATCAGAATACGGCTTGAATGGCAATAGTTGCGGCGTCAAACTACTCGACCTTAACCGCGGCAAAAACCGATCAGTCAAGTCAAGTGCGTTGGCAATTCCAAATAAAATCAAGCTCGAGTTTCGTGCAAAGGCCCATTGGAATATCCGGAAAAGTACTTCCTGGTCTTTAGTCATAATGCTGTCCAGTTCATCTAAAATGAAAATGTGTCGCACACCAGCTTGGTGAAGTTTTTCATACTTGTTCTTCCTCCTTCTCTTTTGAGGTGAATTTTCTATATTCTCTGGAATATACTGTTCGTGCTTTTTGCTGAATAGTCGTTTTTCCAAGTCTCTGATTATGGATCTTGTGTTTGCATCCTGCATAAGTTGCCCATAAGTTTGAATAATATCATTTCGTCCATCATCCTCTAACTCATCTCCATCATCATAATCTTCAAAAAAGTCGCTTGGAACCCCTTCCTGAATAGAATTGTCAATCAGCTCGCGGTGAATATTACTGAAAATATCCACCGCGTTTTCCATCGTCATGCAGTTAATGTTAACTATTCGAATCGGATACCGTGATCGGTGCTCTTGAATCACTTGTTCTGCAACCTCTGTCAGTAATGCAGATTTTCCCGTTCCAGGTAACCCGCTAATATACAAAGCTCCTTTCCCCCGGACTTTAAGTCGCGTCTCTAAGAACTCTCGAATCGTTGCACGTTCAATGTCCCGACCCACCACAGATGTCATACCTGTGCCTCGCTGAAAAAGTGCCTGAGCTTTAGTGTATATGTTAGATCTTGATGGGTCGACTTCAAATTCTCTTTTTGATCGTCTTTTCTTTGGTTCTTGTATAATTTCTACTATTCCTTCGTCGCATTCAACCTCAATCGTCCGTTTTAGTCCCATTCCGGACCCCAAACTTGTCGTACTACTTCTTGACGAGCATTCATGCGATAATGAGCTGTCTATTATCGAATCGTCGATGACCATAGGTTTTAAAAAAGTCGACGATGATGGAGCCGACGATGAAGATGGTACTTGTGTCACATCTGAAATTGGCAGCTCTAGTACTCCAGAATCAAGAACTACTGCTGGAGAAGTTTCTGTTACAATGTGGGACTTATGCCAAATTTCATCTTCTTTCTGAATCCTGTTGATTTCTTCTAAATCATCAGTCGAAACCCCACTCAAGTCATTATTTGAAATAAAAAGCGAAGTTGAAAATGTTGGCTCCCGTCGCTTAATTTTCTTCTTGGAAACTAAAAAAAAACAAATTAGAAATTTTAAAGTCGTTTTCAATTTTACTTTTATAATATCTTTTTAAAAAAAATTATTACCTGCTAAAGTGCCAAACATTATAGTTAAGTATCTTTTTTCCTTTCTTTCTCTCCTTGTGTATGGTATATACTTCTGAATAGATCGAAGTAAAGGGATTTAAAGGTGAAAGAATGCAGGAGTTATTTAAGTGGTGTGTCTCTTCAACCTTCCACAATAAAAAAAATTTCTGTTTATTTTTTCCAACCACATACACAAAAAATACGCGTCTTCCAGAATTGGTAGTAACCCTATCCCGTAACACATATAGCTTTAAGGAAAGCAACTTCCATCAGCTTTTAAACATTTGGATTTTGACTACCAAGCCTTTATTAGAAAATGGTAAGTTGGAAATCCCTGAAACAATTTCTTATATTTTTTTATTTAACCAATAATTTAAACCCTATAGAGCAACCCTGTTCCAATTACCATCCGCTTCAAATACAATAGCATTACTGTCTATGTATCGATCAAACCCACTGAAACAGTGGTTGATTTGAAGGAGAAGCTAGCCGAAGCCCTGAATGAGACCAAAGTGCTCAACCGTAAAATCAAAACAATTTCTACTAAAAAGCTTTTGGGTGAACCAGGTGATGACGAAGACGAAGACGAAGACGAAGATGATGAAGAAGAAGAAGACATAGATATTCCTATGCCTTCATTTGCCACTTCATCTTCTTCCACATCAAAAAAGGAACAAAATAAACAGGAAAAGATTAATGAAAAGGATGAAGCGGAACAACAAAACAAAAAAGAGCCAGATGTCATTTATTCAACAATTTTACCTGAAAACATCAAAGTTGGCCGGCCGATTCGCGAAAACGACGTAACAAGCGGGTTTACAGAGATCAAGAGCACAGCCAACGGTAAGCCGCAAAAACTTGAGCTTGCAGGAATAACCAGTAATATGACCCTTGCATTCACTCCGACTCAGGAAAATGATTTTGTTGTGAATGTAATGGCGGACGATTATTATCGCGATGACGACTAAAGACTTTTTTTTCTTCTTCTTCCTCTTCTTTTTTCTTGTGCGACCAGCATATCATTGTTTTTAAGGTGTTTTTAGAAAGATGTATTTAAGGTGTTGTAACTGTTTTTTCTGTTAAAAATTTTAAATTTTTTTCCCTTTTATTTTCCCCATTTTTGATCCATTTTAATTTTTAAAAAAGAAAACCGAAATCACCATGAGACGAGTGCATTTTCGGAAACTTGATTCACATAGGATTCCAGTACTACAGTTATATAAAAGTATACTTAGAAATACCCTACATCTCACATTACCCCAAAATGATGTTCACACGCTACGTACCGAAATTACCGAACAGTTTAAGGCTGGTCGCAATTCCATGGCCATCATAAAGACAAAGTATTTACTCCAAATGGCTCAGGTTTGGAGTACGCACATTTACAATGCTGTCCGAGACCCAAAATCAGAATCATTGAATTGGATCAAAGCTCGCATGATTGAGCAGAAGCAACAGCGCGAATATGAGTGCCGAATCCAACAGGACAAGAACATTACCAAGCCAACACGGCCGACAGGAGAGGCACTGGTAAATGTCCAACGGAGAAGTACATACACCGTGTTCCGACACCGAATGTTACGGTCATACCAAAAATCAGGTCGTATTTCGGCGAAATCGGAGCTCGATGAAACATATCTTAATTCGGTGTTAATTCCAGAGTTTATGGAGCGCAAGGCTGAGCAAAAACTACAACGAAGGCGCGCAATCGAAACAGGATCACCCCAAAGTGCAAGGATAGTGTATATACCAACGCCTATAGGAACTTTTTACTTTCTGCGATATCCACCTAAAAAGATGAAGCGCAACCTGGCGTCTCTTATCCATAACCACATTCACACCAATAAAATGGCTCAGATAGACCAGCTTAAGGGCCTAATAAAGCTTGCAGAATATGAGGCACAATGGGAGTATGATTTGGAACAAGGGTCATCTGGTGGCCAACAACAGCTCGATGCTTTAAAGCGTGAATGGCTGGCTCCAATCTCCGCATCAATTAAAGGCATCAACTCTTCAGTTTGGAAGCGAGGGCACAAGAATGAAATCTATCTAAGCACGTTGCTAATGCGTAAAAAACAAAAGGATCGCATATATCAAGGAATTCACGAGCGCAAACTTAAAAAGTGGAAGCAGTACGACCAGGAAAGAGAAAAGGACCCTCTTCGGTTTTTGATGCACTACAATGTACGCAATGCCATGTAAATAGAGTATATAGAATAATAATAATGTACAAACACGCATCTTTTTTTCTTTTTTTTTAATTTTTAATTTTTCGTAACGTATCCTTCAATCACATTGGGATTTCCAATCAGTTCTTCGTCAATTCCTGCCAAATCATCCATGTTCGTTTCGTTAGGGTTCCGCTCATTGATGCTTGTGAATGATAGTTTATCTGCGAGCTTGGCCAGCTCTTCATCTTCGGCTGTTTGCTTTTGTTCGTTTGTTGTTGATTCCTGAGCTGTATCACGTGCGGCTTTGATGGCGTTAACTGCAAAGTACTGTGCGGCCTGGTGCAATGACATGCCATGGGTCGTCGCCAGATATTGGAGTTCTTCTAGTGATGCGACGTGGCTTTCATAAGTGCTTTTCCCATAAGGCAAAAATGTAATGTCAGATCTCAGAAAAATAGGTTCCTGAGAGAGCTGTTTTTGGAAAAACATAGCGGCATGGGCGTGTTCGCGGCTACAGTACTTGGTCAGATATGGGTGCATAATCTTAAAGCCTTTGTACTTATATTCAATTTTGTATTGGCCGTTGGCATTCTAAGTGGGAGAAAAAAAAAGTTAGAGAAAACAAATAGTAAAACCAAGGTCTGACATACTTTTGGAACTTGGGCACATAATGGGTAGCCACATGTGTGCACAATGTTGCGTTCGGTAATAACTTCTTCGAAATCTTCAGGAGTTAAGAATCGTGCAGAAAACTTGAGAAAGTACAAATCAACTGTATCCACTAGCATCGACAAAAGGCCCATTGCAATTCTATCGCATTCCGACCGTGATAGAGTTCCTGGTCGAAAGTAGGGAGAAATCACTTTTGTAAAGGCCTTGATGTAGTATGAATTAGTTCCATCAGCCATATAGTCTTCAAGACTGACACCAAAAGGCAGAACGTCATATTGACCTGTAGTTGGGTTTATAGGAATTTGAAATGTATTAGAGTTCATATTTTTGATTATTTAAATGAAGTAAAAAAAAAAAACGAAGGTCAAATTTTTATAAAAAAAGGGGGGGAAATAAAAGAAAGAGATTTGTTAGAATAGTCAGTGTACTTATTTGGTATGGGGATGTAGAAGCAGTTTAAACTCGGGCTACGACTTTAAAGATGAGCCAAAGGCTAGGGTTTTGAGTAAGGTGGAGAAAAAGGCCTCTAGAAAAAGGCAAGCGCGCCCACATGACGTTGATTTCTATATCAAACAGTTTATATGCTTTTTAAACTTGAATCTCAAGTTGTTTGTGGTTTTTGTTTTTAAAATAAAATTTCTTCAGAAAATCGTCTTCAAGAGGCTTTGCTTTGTGATTGTATTTCAAAGTTATTAAGAGCACATAAACAAAAGTGCTCTGGGGTGCGGCGTTTTTTAGAAAAACTATCCGTATTTGGTGATTTTGGTTGGCAGCCCGTAAAATTTTTTTTTAACTTTTTTTCATCACCACCACCTAATCTGATCACAGTTTTTATTTTTTATTTTTTTTGCTTCTTCACCACGCACTCATTTTTTTCCATAAACTTCTCTTCATCTACTCGCAATAAAAATGAACAGCAGTCTGTCAGAACAGCAACAGCCACAACAGCAGAAGGAAGCTCCTGGTTTCTTTCAGGAAGCTTATGAAGATATCACTTCTTCTTTTAAAGGCAGCCCCGTGATGATGGGTGCAACTGCCATTGCAGCAGTTTGGGTTGTCAAGTCGCTCTTTTTCTCCAAGCGCGGACCTGGTGTTGGTGGTCGCGAGTTTTTCACTGGTGGGTTTGAGCCTAAGATGAATGCTAAAGAGGCTCTTCAGATTTTGGGTCTTCGTGAGTCTACTCTCACCAAGTCTAAGCTTAAGGATTCGCACCGCAGAATCATGCTGCTGAACCACCCGGATAAGGGAGGTTCGCCATTCCTTGCCACCAAGATTAATGAGGCCAAGGACTTTTTGGAGAAGAGAGGTGGACTGAAATAAATTAACCTGAAGTTACGAAAAAAAGAAAAAAAAGAATAAGAGAAATTGGTTTCTCTTAGATAGATTTAATGCCCTTATATGTTTTTTGTTTAACCTTGTATATATGATGAACTGAATTATTATTATTATTATTAAAGTGTATATTAAGATTTTGTAAAAAGTGTGATAACATCTCCCTCAGCCACCCTGTGCTGAAGACCACATCTTTGTGGACTGTGCTTGGTGGAGGCACCCCAGACCATGGCATACCGGAACTTATTTTTGATTTCTCTGTGAATAGAATCACACACATTTTCCACCGAGTTGTGGGCTGCGCGAACGACCATAGGTTCCGTAAAATCCGGGGCTTGACCCTTGGGTTTAGTGTAAATACGGAGAAGTGACAGGTCCGCCCAGATACGCTCTAGCAGATCGTCGAGACCAAGGTCCATGGCAACAGAAATAACGGTAGAATGGGGCTGTCGGGCAATTCTGTCCACTTCCTCAAGCGACACAGCATCAATCTTATTGTAAGCATAAAGGCAGGGAATATAAGAGCGGTGAGATGAATTGATAATGTCAATGAAGTCCTCGACCGTGCAATTTTCATCGCGGATAAGAACTTCAGCATTGTGGACTTTGTAGTCCTTCAAGATATCACTAACAAGGCGTTCATTCAGGTATTTGGGGGGCGAAATAGCATTGAACTTGACACCACCAGTCTTTTTGATCTTAAGATAGATGTTGGGTCGTTCCTTGTTAAGACGTATTCCAACAGCCTCAAGTTCTCGCTCGAGAATGACACGCTGCTCCTCAGGTTTGGTAGCGTCAAGAACCATGAGAATCAAGTCAGCAGTTTTAGCTGTTGCAACAACCTGACGACCACGACCTTTGCCCTCAGAGGCACCTTGAATAATACCAGGCAGATCGAGAATTTGGATCTCAGCACCATTATATTCAAGAACACCAGGAACAGATGTAAGAGTTGTGAAAGCATATTGGGCCACCTCCGACTTAGTCTTGGTGATTTTAGAAAGAAGAGATGATTTACCAACGGAGGGAAAACCGATAAGAGCTACACGTGCATCACCACTTTTTGATACTTCAAAACCTTGACCTGGAGAACTAGAGGATCCTGGGGCTGGCTCAAGAAGTTGTTGGCGGTACCGCGCAAGTTTACCTTTAAGAAGACCAATGTGGTACTCGGTAGCCTTGTTCTTTTGCGTACGAGCAAGTTCCTCTTGGATCTGCTGGATTTTTTCTCTAAGAAAAAAAAACGTTAGCAAGGTGATATGATAGAAACAAATTTATACCTACATGATACCCATGATGAAAAAGATTTGGTCAAAGGTGTGCTAGAAATATGGAGATTATAAATTTTTGTTAAAAAAATTGGTTTGGGGTTTTCGTTAACAAAAAATTTTTTTAAGTTATCCACATCATCACTACCATTTTACACCCCACCACCACCACTACTACCACCACCACCAACCATTATAATATTTTGATTTTTCACAAGCAGTCTTTAACAATGACGATAGTTTATTTACATACGACTATGGGCACAATTGGCCTAGAAATGTATACAAAACATGCACCGCGAACGTGTGCCAACTTCATTGAGCTAGCAAGACAAGGCTACTACGATAATACGATATTTCATCGCGTTATAAAGGGCTTTATGATCCAAGGAGGCGACCCAAGCGGAACAGGATATGGCGGTACAAGCATATACGATGATTCGGGAGATGGGAAAAAGTTGTTTGTAGATGAGAAGGAAGCTTTAAAAACGCTGCGACATACAGGTGCAGGTGTTTTGGCAATGGCCAACACGGGTCCGGATACAAACGGGTCGCAATTTTACGTTACTCTTGCGCCTACACCGTGGTTAGACAAGACAAATGTTGTTTTTGGGCGCGTTGCATCAGGTATGGGTACTATTGAACGGATTGGGCAGGTAGCGGTTGATCGGGAAGATAAACCGACCACCGCGGTGATCGTGAATCGTACAGAAGTAGAGGACGATGGGGATGAAGAAGAGTATGGTGGAGAAGAGTAAGAAAAAAAAATAACAAGTTTGGATATTTGATAGAATCAAAAGAAATCCCCGGACTTTGAAAGATTTTTGTGTCTCCACAGTAGTTCTCATTATGGATTTGTAATGAAGTTAACGTTAGAAAGTGGAGGGGTTTTTTGCTTAAAAAAAAAAAATTCCAGATCCAGCTTTTTTCCAACACTCACTTACACCCACACCTTAACAACCAACTTAATACAACTGTACAACGTTCCACTTCACACACCAGGTGTAGAGTCGTGTATATGAATAGATAAATAGAAGATCGCCATTGTCTTCAAAAACATTAATATTATAACTTCAGCATGGCACGAAAACTAAGCGGTCTTCAGCGCGAAGGTGAGTAAACAGTTTTCTCATACTTCGAGGTATTTTTGTCTAACTGCATCTCTTTTTTTTTTTTAATACAGTTCTTGCGCTTTACCGCGAGTCGATCAGAGCTATCTATAAGAAGCCTGTAGAGGCACAACCCAACTTCCGAGAATTTACTCGCCGCAACTTTCGGAAGTATTCAGGCATGTCGCGCAAAGAGTTTGGAGCGATTGAGCACTTGATTCGCAAGGGCAAGAAGATGCTGGAGCTCTACACGAATCCCGGCGTGCGCAATATTGTTCTGTGAGTCACGTGGAGAATTATGCAATTTCACTTTATTATAATTATTCACTTGTAATAACTTTTGTACATACTTTTCATTACACTTTTTTTTTTGTAATAATAATTGGTACGATACCGGAATTAGCATCTTTTCAAATATATGCACGGCGTTTACAAACCTATTTTTAAACCTACGCGGTCAGCCGCAAAGATTGTTTTGAAGATACACCATTTAGGCTGCCACTTAAGAATTCTCTTAGTGCTTTTTTCGTCGGTCCATTCTTCTTGTGTCATCCACAACAACAACAACAACAACAATAATCCTTTCTATATATAATTCCTTTTCTATCCCACCACTTTCTTTTCTCTCTTTATTTTTTTAACTGCTTTTTCTTTTCTTAATTTTGAAGTTAAATTACTTTATACTATCAATCCTTAATCCTTAATCACTAATCCCTATCTTTAATACAATGTCTAAGGAATACGTTCTTGTCACTGGCGGTGCTGGATACATCGGCTCACACACTGTCGTTGCACTGCTCGAAGCTGGCCGCAATGTTGTTGTTGTTGACAACCTTTCTAACTCTTCCGAAGAAGCTTTGGAGAGAATCAAGAAAATCACCAAGGTTGATGACATTCCCTTTTTTCAAGTTGATATCCGTGACACTGCTGGTCTCGAGAAGGTCTTTGACGCCTACCCCACTATCACTAGCGTTCTGCACTTTGCTGGCCTTAAGGCTGTAGGAGAGTCCACCCAGATCCCCCTCGAGTACTATGACCAAAACGTTAGTGGTACTATTAACCTCACTAAGGTGCTCAAATCTCGTGGTATTAAGAAATTTGTCTTTTCATCCTCCGCTACTGTCTACGGTGATGCTACTCGCTATGAAAACATGATTCCAATTCCTGAGGAGTGCCCCACTAGTGGTGAGTCGCCATACGGCCGTACCAAGCTGTTTATCGAGCACATTCTCCGTGATTACACTCTCTCGATCCCAGGAACTTACACAGCCCTGCTTCGTTACTTTAACCCTATGGGTGCGCACCCGTCCGGTCTTATGGGCGAAGATCCTCGTGGCATTCCTAACAACTTGCTGCCCTACCTGGCTCAGGTTGCTTCAGGCCGCCGTCGTGAGCTGCAGGTTTTTGGCAACGACTACGATTCCCGCGATGGTACTCCTATTCGTGATTACATCCATGTGCTTGATTTGGCCTTAGGTCACTTGGCTGCACTCAAGAAGCTTGAGGAAGTTGAGGCTGAGGAGAAGGCTGCTACCGAAGCTCCTACTAAGGGATTTTGTCGTGAATGGAACTTGGGCACTGGCCATGGTTCTACTGTCCTTGAGGTCATTGCAGCTTTTTCCAAAGCTGTTGGCAAACCTCTCCCTTACCGCATTGTCGGTCGCCGTGCCGGTGATGTGCTTGATCTTACAGCAAAGCCTACTCGTGCTAATACTGAGCTCAAATGGAAGGCTGAACTGTCCATGGATCAAGCTTGCGAGGATTTGTGGAACTGGACTAGCAAAAATCCTTATGGTTACAGCAATGAGCCTGATTCTACTGACGAGACTCCAGCTTCTATTAAAGCTTAACCGATAGAATTTGTAAAATTGCCTTCTCTTTTGTTTTCTTTTCTTTACCTTTTTGTTTATCACTGTAAAATTATTATTGTTATTATCGAAATTTGTATACTAATATCTGACATTTAATCTTTTACTAATACATTAATTTCATATGTCTCTATGGTGTGACGATGTGGTTTATCATTATTTTTCGAGAATCTGCCAGTACATAATTAGCTATATATGATGAGGCTACAGGATTACGTGGCCAAGTGGTTAAAATAATAGGTAAAGTACCGAAGCAGAGCGACGCTGGGCAGCTTTTTCATACACAATGACTTTAGATTTTGAAGATTCTAATAATAATTTTCTAAACTAATTAGTTTATTATAATAAATGAAAAAAAAAAGAAAAAGGATTTATTTTTAATAGATATTTATTTTAAATTTAGATCAAAATAGATTCTAATTTCCGTTTTTTTTTTTTTTTTTTTTTTTTTTTTGGGTCTTTAAAATGATGATGGTCATGAAATAGAAATAAAGTTTATTATTTGGTTTAGATGGGATATGAAGAATGTGCGGCCAGTGTTATTATCAGGGGGAGAATGAGTCTAGTGCTTAACACTTGAACCATATAATTTTAACATTATTAAGGTATAAGATTTAAGTCATATAATTTGTCACGTGGCTCATTTGAAAATTTTTTCTTTGAAAAAGTTTTGTGATCTCCCAAAAAGTAAAAATATTTTGAGCCCCACAGAATTTTTTTTTTTGGGCACAAAAATTTTTGTCTTTACAAATTTTTTTTTTTTTTTTATCTCTTATCATCATTTTCCCAAACTACATATAGACAAACACCATGAGAATCGAGACCTGCCATTTCTGCTCTGCGCCAGTATATGTAAGTTATATATTGTTTAAATCTTTTAATCTCTTTTTTTTTTTCTAACTCGTTTTTTCTAGCCCGGCCACGGTATCATGTTTGTGCGTAATGATGCCAAACAATTTCAATTTTGTCGCGCTAAGTGCCACAAGAACTTCAAGCTGAAGCGTAACCCGCGCAAGCTGCGTTGGACCAAGGCTTTCCGCAAGGCTGCTGGCAAGGAAATGGTTGTGGACAAGACTCTCGAGTTTTCTGCTCGTCGCAACGTTCCTGTTCGTTACAACCGCGAGCTTGTTTCCGAGACACTGCAAGCCATGTCGCGGATCGAGGAAATTCGCCGCAGACGCGAGCGCGCCTTTTACAAGAACAGAATGGTTCGCAACGCCCAGATCAGAAAGGAAAACGACAGAAAGCTTGTCGAAGCACACCCGGAAATGCTGCGCATCAGAGAAGTCGAGCTCAAGAGAGCAGCCGAGAAGAGAGCCAAGCAGGATATCGATATGGAGGACGACGAAGTCGATGTCGACAGCGAAATGGATGTCGACTCGGAGGACGAGGAAGTTACTCAAAAGCAAAAGGTTGCTATCACTCTCAAGAACAAGAAGAAGAAAGCTCTTTCTGCATAATTGCATTTATATGTTGGGTTCTCATGGGAATGAAATGGAAAGATGGATATACAGTTCTAATACCCACGGTTGTTTTGTTTTAAATAAAAGAAATGAAAAAAAGAAAGAAAGAAAGAAAAGTTTTAGTTACTATGTACAAAGTTCTCTAAATGGTTGTAGTTATCTCTTGAAGGGTTTCGGTCTCGGGAGCATTTTGAGATTCAGTATCTTTGGAGTCAGTATCCTTGGATTCTTGCTTCGCCTCCTTCATCAGTCGGAGTTTGATCCGAGCCTGATGAGGAAGCTTTCTAAAAACGGCCACAAAACCTCCACCACCAACACCGGTTCCTACACGCGGTCGGCACACACGCGCTACCTCACCAGTTTGTCTTATTACCGCTGAACGAACGTCCCAGGCACGCATTGACCCACCAGCAATACCAGGCATGAGTTCTACGGTGTTTGCCAGGGTCAGGTCAATGCTTTCGTCAACCCGAATGTGTTCAACAATGTCCTGGATCTGTGTCACGCTGGGGCAAAACACAACCAAAGGTGCATCAACTATCAAGCGTTGGGCAATGGCAGTTACCGAAGTGTCTGGGGATGGGAGATCCAAAAACGCGCCACTTAAAAATGATCCAGGCGTTTCTGCACTTGCTCCTTGAGCAGGCTCCTCTGGAATCCCGCGTGCTCGCCATTCACCTTCATTTTCAGCTAGCCACTGCTCCGGCGAGTCGCTAACATGAAATTCCACATCACCATAGTACATGCCGTTCCGGAAATCGCGCACATTGTGACGACCTGTGCGAGAATGCGACGCGTTTCTGTCAATCGAGTGTAAAACTGCACCGCGAAGACTCAAATCACCAAGCCTTCGCGCATCACCATTTGCGGCATGGATGGCTTTGGATATAGCCAGTGTTAAAGATCCATGACCAGTTCCGGCCTCGAGATACTGACGCATCTTGATAGGCACAATAGGAGTCACTGCTGTCTTGCCTTCAGCAGGCAACCCTTGAACAAGTTCTTCGTCGCTAGTCTCTAGGTCTCTCGCAGTCCCAGTTACGCGCCCATATCCGCATGCGCCTGTTTCATCTTCATGGATATCAGCGAGAGAAACAATGGCTGCCGCGTCCAGCGGATAAATTGGTTGAGCTTGGCGTTTTCTGTGAACAGTATACTCATCAAGTGACGGAAGTGTAAGAATAAAAGTCTGGTTTGTCTCAGCACCACGTTTAGTTAATGGAGACACTGTGGTACGCACAGGTTGTCCGATGATAGACTCATGTGGGACCGAAGAGTTGCCCAATGTCCATTCCTTGCCAACTCCTAGGGGAGTTGAAAGAATGGGTCTGTCAGGACGCAAAACATGGCGCGCTAGGACAATGTCACCTGGTTGAAACGTTCGGTATGTAGCTATATGAACGCGAGATCCTAACCGTGCAAGTAGCGACGATGTTTTAGACGTAAAAAGAACCATTATGGTGATTTGATTAAAAAAAAATTTTCTTCTGCGATTTATTTTTCAACTTGATTAAATTTACCCTACTCACTACTATCTTCATCTCTAGGTTTATCTTTGAACAACGATCAACAATCAACGATCAACAATCTTTTCTACACTTTAACAATTTTCTTGAAGTTTTTCTTCTTGGTTGGAATATCATTTTTTTTTTACTTTTTCATTGACTTAGATACCCTATGTCACATTTCACTACCATCCACGAACTTACCTCTTATCTTTCATGGTATCCAGCATATACATACGTCCGCTTTTTTGGTCGCGTTGTAAGCTATGATGACCGTAAAGGCGTTTTTACACTTCAGGAACTACCTGCGTTTTTTGTAGAAGCCACTGTCAATACCTCTTTCTCTAGCCAGTCTATTTCATCACAACAGTCGCCACCTATTAGTCTAACCCCTCGCCCATTACCTGTAGCAAATCTCTATGTACAATCAGAGTCGGGCGTGACCGCAGTCGTCATCGAGGGGTCGCAAGTCTCGGATACACTACATAATAATCTGATAGTTGAAGTATTTGCACGCGTCCGAAGCAGGCAACCGGGTCTCGGTGCTCGGAAGTCTTCTCAGATGTCGCAACAACGAGGCGACAGCAATGCGCCAACTCCAAATGTGGCTCAAGATCCCCACGTGCGCGCCCATCCAGGCGTGGGTGACAGTAGTAGCAATAACTTTGCTATGCCGCAGCCACAATCTTTTCTTTCTTTTCTTTCCTCTTCTACCACTTCTTCTACATTAGATTTACCTCCTGCTGTCTACTTGGACCTAATGTCTTTTAAGAAACTCGATACCCAAACGCTTTTTGACAACCCGACTTCCGAATACGTGCAAGCCGTACTTCTAAAGGCAGTTTTGGTGCGCGAATCGCTTCGTATGCGAGTTTTGGCACAGGCTGAAGAAGAGGAATATGCATGAGCATCTGAGAAATTCAACATAGCTGATTCACAAGAGATCAACAATTCAACTTTTTTAAAATACTTGCTGAAGAAAATAAAGAAAAAAATTACAAAAACTGGGAAAAACGCCACAAGTGGTTTAAAGGTGAAAAAAAAAAAAAATTAAAAATGAACTATTGAGCGTCATTGGCACAGAAAAAAACAGGTATTTTCCCATTATTATCTCTCAGAATATTAACAAAAAGAAGTAAAAAAGAAAGAAAAAAACTTCTTCACAGAAATAAAAAAAAACTCCCATTTATTGCCATTCACCATGAGGATTCATCATGACACCCATATTACTAGGAGCGAAAAACTGATCCCAGATAGCAGCCATGGGAACCTCATTAATAATGTCAAACAACCTTGGGCCACTACCACCGCCTCCAGGACCATTTGCACCTAAAAAGTCGTCCACACCGTCCAAGTACTGGCTCAGCTGTTGGCTCATGGGTGACGGCGCAGCATTTATTGAGCTTACACTGGAGTTGGGGTTGTTGTTTCCCACAGCAGAAAATTGTGTTTGCTGATTTTGTTGATACTGAGGAGATACTTGTTGCTGTTGTTGCTGGCGGGGCATGGGTTGGGAAAGAGATTGCGATGACACAGGTATGGTTTGACGAAGTTGAGGCCGTAGCTGGTTTGAACTGTTATTGATCGCAAACGAAGCAAGAGACGACCGCCGCCGCTTCTCAAGTGATTGCTGAGGTTGTTGTTGCTGCTGTAGCTGTTGTTGCTGTTGTTGCTGCTGCTGCGGCTGAGGTTGTTGCTGAGACACTCCGAGTGGAGTCGAGCCTTCGGACTGCTGATCCGGCATAAATATCATGGGCATACCTGCCTCAAGGAAAAATTGTTCCAAATCAAAGTTATCAATCCATGGCTCATCAGAAGAGTATGATGAGATGTTATTACTTCCTGCCATAGATTGGGAGCGAAGCTGCGGTGTTGTATTTGAAGCTGAGAGCAACGAAGATGGTGGTGGCATTTGTTGCTGTTGCTGTTGCTGTGAAAACTGGCTCACCAACAATGGCTTTTGAATTGTAGATAAGGACTGCTGTTGAGGCGCCGATAAAGGTTGGTCAAATGAAACTGACATTTGCCGATTAACTTGAAATTGCCGATCTTTTTGAAGTACTATTTCAGATGGCAATTGCGGTTGTTGTTGTTGCTGCTGCTGCTGCTGTTGCTGCTTCTGCTGTTGCGGTTGTGGTTGCGGTTGTGGTTGTTGCTGTTGCTGTTGCTGATGCTGTTGCTGTTGCTGATGCTGTTGCGGTTGCGGTTGCTGCTGTTGAGACGGAATATAAGTCATGTACCCTTTAGGAGTAAGGGCCTGGGGGTATCCCATACTATTACCTTCAATTTTGATATCAGAGTATGTTGCTGCTGTTGCTGTTTTTTCCTGCGTGCAAAGCTTAATAATGGCTGCTGTGAGTAGCTCAAAAGTAGAACGGCATGATATAGCGGCATCACAGCGGTCTACAAGAGCTGAAAGTACTTCGATACAGGCGTGTGCATTATAATTGATTTCTTCAATAGTTGTGTTTTCACGCAGTTTTGGTGAATGGTAAAGGGCATAGAGATACGATGTACCAGCCATGAAAAGGTTGTGGACTGCGACCCAAGTATAGTTGATACTGCGGTGACGGTGCAGGACTTTGTAGTGCTGAATAACCTTTTCACCGGCATCTGCAATTATTTCAAAGTGATCTTCTGTGGGTTGCGGTGCATCGGATGGAGTGGGTCCATAAAGCAGAAGCCGTGTTTGATGGTAGTTGAGTTCGATAAATGCAAGGTTAAAGTTGCAGTTCATCTTTTTAGCCGACTTGGGACAGGATGAATGCCACGCCTCAAGCCGTTGACCCATGACCGTACGCCACTGTTCAAGTGTCTCAAACTCTCTGGGGAGAGCGGCGCAATCATATAAAATGCGTTGAATCTCAGCTTGAATTTTCCGGATGCGGAAGAAACTAAGAGAGATGATTTTATAAGAGGGGGCCTTACGAGTGTGATCGCTTTGGATATCGTTGAGATCGCTAAAGTCGTCTTCGACAATGAGTGTATCGTCTAGTTGAGATGGGAACGGGACCTTGATACTTTCTTCAGGGATGCCAAAAGGACGGCCGAGGTAAACACATACCTGGCGATCAATAGCATAAGTGCACCAAAACAAGCGCCGGCGCATGTCGAGAGTGAAGGGGTCATAGCTGGGCCCACCACCAGCATTGGAGTTTGAGGCAAATACAGAGGATCGGAAGCCGGCCTCAGTGTGAAGACCGAGATCGACACATAGGCGCAGAGCCCACCCAAGCACGTACCAGATACCAGGGACAGATGGCCGCATGATTGAATACTGTGCGAGTAGAAGAATACCCTGCAGAGCTTCAAGACGGTTTGGTGAGGCAAGAACTGTATCAAGATACTGCATGGCAGCTGCGCGGAAGGATTCAGAAATTTGAGCAGGGTGTGTTTGATGATGGATTGAGGTTGCAATAGCGAACATAAGGTGGAGGAAGTAGAGTGCCTTTTTTGGGGTTTCTTCAGTCACTTCAGGTGCATTATAGTTGGAGATGGCAATTGGGGTATTGCTTCCAACATACGTGGATGCGTGATTACTGCTAGAGCTGGAAGTACCTCCTGGGGAGGACTGGGGAGGACCATTTTGATGGCGAAGAAGGGGGGACATGCCCGGGGTAGCAGGTGAGGGCTGTGGGGATGGTGTGAGCGGAACGCCAATTGTGGTATAGTCAGATGCGAGAGAGGTTCCCTCCGAGAGGGGCCCATATATGGGAATGAAGTGGTTTGTGAGGAACTGTTCACGGTGGATTACGGGGAGCTGAGAGTTTGCTTGAGAGAAAAAGAGATAAAGAAATTTTTCTGCAGTTTCTTTTGAAGGAAGTGAAGCGGGCTGAACCTTGTGGGTTCCAATCTTCAATTGGGTACTGGAGGGTGGGACTGTTGAGGGTGCAGAACTTGTTGAAGAAGAGTCGGTAGTGTTAGCTGTTGCAGTTGCATTTGCTGCGGCAGCAGCGGCAGCAGCGGCAGCTGCTGTTTGGTCTTCTGTCGCGTTACTTGATAGGTTTTGGGCGTTATTATTTGGTTGGTTATGGTCCGGGCCGTTTGCATTTGCGTTAAACTTGATTGCAGTCAACAAGAGACGGGCAAAAGAAAGGCCGGAAGACGAACCAAGAAAAGCAGAGGGTGCAGACGTTGCTGCTTTGGAGGAGACCATTTTGACAGTGGACATAAGGCCTTCGACTCCAGTGGAGTCAACTTTTGAACCCTTGGGGGATGTGGAACCCGGTGCAGCACCAGATGAAGAAGAGGATGCAGCAGTAGTAGTAGTAGCAGCGGCAGCGGCAGTTGGCACAGCCGCAGTAGTTGCTGTGGGGAGAATAGCCTTAGCGCTTCCATTGGACGTGTCTAATTGCTGGATATTATTTGTGTTATTGGTGGGTGAAGAAGAGGAAGAGGGGGAAAATGAATTTTTAGAAACAGATTGATTTTGTTCAATGCCTTGTTCAGAGCCATTTAAAAGTGAGTGGATAGAATTCATGGAAGATGAAGAGACAGACGCAGGAGGTAATGCTTGGGAGGTATCTAAGGAATGAATATTGTTATTGACGGGTGTTATTGAGGGCGACCCATTTGTTGATGGTGAAGACATGGGACCAAATCCTGCACTCTTTGTCTCTTGGAGCTGTCGTTCAAGAGTAGCAATGCGATCTTCTAGATGCGAGACATAAGAGCGGGGGATTTTACGGCCAGTGGCTGCATCTATACCTACACATTCGACGCCAGCCTTTAGACAAGCATTACATGAGGGGAATTTTTGATCACAGCGGGTTTTGCGCATACGGCAACGATGACATGCCGAAATGGAGCGTGCAACTCCAATGACTGCTGGACGGAATGGAGCCGTTGGGGTAGCAGATGGGGCTTGAACAGATGTTGTAGATGCAGATTGAGGAGAGAGTTGTTGAGAGGAAGGGTATTGTTGTGGTTGTAGTGATGGAGAGGAATGTGGTTGATTTGATGGTCCAGGGAAAGCCATGAAGGGATCCACTACACCTTGATTTGCTGCGACCTTTTGTCGTTTATTTTTTGCGGATTCCTTTTGTTCGCGTTTGATTGATCCTGAGCCATTTGGAGCTCGTTTTTTTCGTGGAGGTTTCACTGGAGGTGAATTAGTAGTATTTGTAGCAGAGTTAGTTATATTATTTGGTACTGCATCGTGAGAAGCCATAGGGTAAGGATTAATTACGGGGTTTATTGGAATATTGTTATTGATTAGATGAGGGAGTTGTTGTTGTTGTTGTTGTTGTTGCTGGTGGTGGTGATGAAGTTGTTGTTGTTGCTGCTGCTGCTGAGAGGCCTGCTGCATGAGATCAGGCGAAGAAAAGTCTGGTTGCTCGGTGGTAGCGGAGATCATAACGGAATAACGGTAGCGCGATTTCTCGACGCAAGAATCATGAGAACAATAGAGATGAAAAAAAAGTCCTTTTTTTTTTTTTATAAAGAATAGTAAAAAGGGTTTAGAAGGGTTTTTGTTCCAGTAGAAATGGAAAATAAATAATAAAATATTTTTAAAAAAAATAAAAAAAAATTATATAAATAAAGGGGAAGTAGAGGAGCGTGAAAGTTTAGTTAGGACTTCAACAAGAAAAAAAAAGGGTGGTGATCTAGATATTTGGAGGATTTTTTGGTAAGCCAATTTCTACTTTTAAAGAAAAAAAAATAAAATAAAAAGAAAAAGAAGAAGAAGGAAGAAAAAAGGAAGAAATATTAAATGGTGGATTTATTATTTTAATTATTATTTTAATTAATTTTTTTTTTAAAGGATGCAAAGAGTCAGGATTATTCATATCTATTATATATATATAAATATATATATATATATATATATATATACACACACACGCCTACATACACTCACACACACAAAATACTCCTAACCCAAGGATTTATAGTGCCGACGGATAAGAGAGAGATTTTTTAAGAAAGATATTCCGTGTATTTGATTTTGATTTTGATTTGAAATATACAATGATTATTGTGGAATAAATTCTCTGAAGGAACTTTTTTACTTGGATATTTCCATTATTATTTTTGAAGTTTTTTTTTTATTCATCAAATTATTAAACATATATGTATATATATATAAAATAAAATACCCCTTTTGGGTCTATTAACAATAGTATCAGAAAATGCTATTATCAATAGGGACGGGGCCACGGGCTAAAAAAAAAAAAAAAAAAAAAACTGTTTGTCTGTTTGTGAAGGTCCCACCAAGCACCAGTACAATGCCATCATTGATTTCTAATAACCGTCCAAGTTGATTGTCAGCAATATTTACATTAGAATCGGCACCTCCGGCGGTAAGTAGTCAACCAGCTAGCCGGCATTCTAGTTCTAGGACATTGTCTACCTTTTTTTTTTTATAAAGTTTTTAATAAAATAATGAGCACGACTTTTAATTTTTTTATAATTTTTTTTCAGTTTTAAAAAAAAAAAAAAAACAAAAAAAACACTTTCCCACCTAAAACGGCAATGGGTGTTTTTATGTGGGAGGACCTAAACAGTGTTTGTGGTTATCTACAATCTCTGAGGACTGTTATAGGCTGTGCAATGCAACGATAAACGACAAAAAAATTTTTTTTTTAGAGTTAAAATATTATAGGGCCGGGTAAGAGTCCGAATTAGGTTTAAAAAAAAGTGCACGGCTTATCGCATCACGTGTTTCTTATCTGGGTTAGGGCTAATTTTTAACATGTGACTTAACGAAATTAATAAAACTTAATGATTAACACTTAAATTTTAATAAATAACACTTAAACCTTAATATTTAAAAAAGATAGCATTTTATGTATAATACTTATATCTTAAAACTTACAACATTATTGCATGATGTCATGAACTGAATTTTTTTTTTTTTTTTCAAACCCTTCATTCCAATACTCTCCTTGTTTGAATTAAAAAGAAATCTCAACATGAGACCCTTAAACGAAAATCGTTTAAATGACACAAGAAAAAAAAATATTAAATTCCAAACAACTGGAAATTGATGATGATGATAAGGATGATTTCATTAACGGGTACTCTTATTAAATTTCTATGCTCTATTTTTTTTTTCTATAATTAAGCTTGAGCTTATTTATGTCTATGATTTAACAAGTTGAAGCAAATCTTGATTTTTAAGCAATCATCTGATTAAGAAGTTCAGTAAAAAAATATTACATCTGAATATATAAATATAGATATCATCTTTTCTTAATAAACAAAATTATAATATTTGTTGCTATTTCTATTTCCATTATTATTACATGATCGGTTCACTTGCTAAGAATATTTTCATTGCAAATATTTGACAAATAAGACTCAAATTTCTCTTTTTTTTTTTTTTTAAATTTTCATTTATTATTATTCTAGCCTTACATCTTTCTTATAATAAGAAAGATGTAAACTAATTAGTTTAAAATCAAAACTAACGATGCAATGATAGTTATATTTTAAGAAAGAAAAAAAAAAGAGAAAGTATGTTTTTTTTTTCAGACAAAATAAGTAATTGTTCCAGAAACCAGGAACCTGATTAAGTGGGTTTTTAAATTCTCTATTTCTCTTTTTGTAGAGGCTTTTTTTTTTTTTTTTTTTTTTTTTTTTTTTTTTTTTAATTAGTTTGCATTCTTTCGGTACATCTTGCAAATACTAGAAGTACTTATTAGTACTGTTCGTAACTAACATTATGAATCATTTAAAACCTCTATATATATAAATTTGAAAAAAAAAAATTTTTTTATTGAGGGCTTTTTTTTTTATTACTGATTAAAAAAAAAGGAACCATATTTATAAATGAACGGGCTATTATACTCTCGCTTGTTGGTGATGAAACATTGATGACTTTGAGTATTTGTCTGTATGATTCATATGTTTGTCTTTCATAACTATATAACCTATGCTCGCTTGTCTTACACTGCATTTTGTTAAAGTCAATATTTATTTATTTATTTAGTCATTTAAGTCTATTCATAAAACAATTTTAATTTTTTTCATGTAAATAATAATTTACCAGAAATTAATTGTTGGTGTTATTAATTTCTTTGGCGCGGATTCTCCATTTTGGGCTGCTGCGTCTAAAATAAAATAAAATAAAAAAAATAAAATAAAAAAATAATAATAATAATAATAATAATAATAATAAGGGCCGTTTAAACTTTAGTCTAAATTCATTACTCCAATAATAATAATAATAATAATAATAATAATAATAATAATAATAATAATAATAAATCCCATAATTCATAAATATTCCCAATTCTCTCCTTTTTTTTAAAAAAAAATATATCATTTCATTTAATTATATATATAATATATATTGGTCTTGGTCTATTTAGGTCTGCACGAACTAATCTCTTTTTTCATTTTTATTTTATTTCTTCTTTTTCCTTTTTTTTTCTTTACTCCCCACAACCATCCCCAGTGTGAAAAATCAAAAACCTCCCTATTTTTTTTTTATACTTATATAAACCTACCTACCTACCTACCTACCTACTTACCTACCAATAATATATTCTTCATCAACATTTCTAAAATCATCACCACTACCACAATGGAGGCTTCTTGGGGTTTAGCAACTCAGACCCTCGAGTCTCACCTCCTCGTATACCACCTCAACACTCTCTTTCTATATCGCGACGCTAATGTGGCCACCCAGCCAATCTCCTTCCCATTCCCCCTCTTCAGTACTTCTGTCTTCACAACTCACCGCAACTTCCTCCTTTGTAGACCGTCCCAAGACCGTTTTGCAGTCTTTCAGTTTGACCTCGAAGACTTCTCTCCACCATCCTTAATAGGCATCTGGAACGTCTCACCAGCTCATAAAATTTCTGTCGCTTGTTGGGCAACTGAAGATCCTGACGACTCAGACAATACCACTCGATACCAAGATGACACCACCGCTAGCACTACTCTTTATTTAACAACTCTTTTAGACGAACATACAAATCCCTCAGACCTTCCCCTACCAACACCTTACACTCGACCATCCCCCTATGCTCTTCTAGGAACTCGCGATGGAACTATCCTACGTCTTGACCTCAGCTCTCCAGGAATCCTTACAACCCTCCCAATAGTCCCTATACATTACCCGCTTCAGGCTTTGTCCCTTCCATCAACCCCCTCCTCTTTCATAAAGTTTATTTCGTCGCCGCCTTCATCTTCCACCGCCTCCACCTATCCAACCTCCCCCCTGCATACCGTCGGCTCAAGACTCAGCTCTAGTGAATCTTCGTCCTCGTCTTCGTCTTCGTCCTCTTCTTCTTCATCCGCTGCTTTCACTCCAAATGACTGCTCATCGCCATCTTCAGCATCCTCCTTTTCCTTCCTGACCGACCCGCCAGGTCCTAAAACTCCAACCGATTTAGTCAACGCACTGTCTTACCACCAGGGAACCGTTTCCAGCATTGCAGCAGCCCCATGTGGTCTCGGCATTTACGCCATTGGTTATGCAACTGGCCATATCTCTATCGTCCAGCTAGTCTCACATTCTCCTTCCTCTCCCGGCGCTCCTACTCAGGTTCTGCGTCCCATCCACCAAATCCAGGCCCCATCCGGATCCCCTCGCACAATTGTGGGTCTGGCCTGGCACTACTCTTCTAAAGATATGCGGGCTCAAAACCTTGCCGTTTTAAAAGACGGTACCGACAAATTGGCCATCTGGACCGTTGACATGAGTACAGCCTCCGGCGCGTGCAAAAAAATTCGTGAGGTACCTCTCCCTGCTCGTCATTCCACTTCCGCTTCATGTGCTGGATTTGTTCAGTGGAGCAAAAGTGGTAAAGTCGTAAGATTATCGAGTGGAGGACTGCTGCTATCAGACGTCCGCACTAAAAAAGTCACAACCCGTTCTATCGCTGTTCCAGGGCTCCCAGTCATAGCCATTGCTGTGCGAAGCAGCCGTGGTCGTGCATGGGTCGTCAACAGCTCTGGTCAAATCATGACTTACAATTTACTCGACGGAGGCGCACTTCTTGAAAAACATAAGCTACCATTCTCCCTTAGTCCCGTTGATGCAGAATCTCCAGCAATTCTCGACTCTCCTGTCATTTTCTTGCAAAATCTACGCGTAGGCGAAATCACACAGGTTACAATAACCAAAAGTCCGCACAACCGTGGAACTTGTTCAATGGAGCAACAACAGTCGAATGCCGCAAAACCTTCTCCCGTAATTTCATTATCCTCATCAAAATTGGAAACCAATTCACCTAATTCTAAAACTCATCCCATCCAACTCTGCATGCCACCAGTCAAAATAACCTTAAACTCTCTCTTCCCCACAATCCTTAAGGGTCTCGCCAAAATGCCTGCTCAAACTGTCCCGGAGTTCAACCCAGCTCAGCTCTCTGTTGAGCAATATGTTCTTTGCGCCCTTTTTGGAGGCATCCTGGGATCCACTGTATGCTTGGCTGGTACTCGCGAGGTTCTTCAAGCCACCCAAAATGTTGTTCCACCACCTTCACCATTCCGCAAAGCTATTCTCGCAATGCTTATTCAACATAACCCACCGACTCTTCAAGCCTTCATGGACCTTTTGTCTTCGACAACTCAAACTATTCCTCAACCACTCATGGCAGCACTGCTCTATGCCGGAGCCGAAACTTCCGAGTCAATGGCTTCGGCTGCATCAGCAATCACAACCTCTCTCGGCTCCTTCGACCAACCTGAACACTTACATCTCGCAGCTGCATATTTATGCGCCCTTGGACGGCATGCCCATGCACGCACCCTCTACTCCAAAGCCGCATACTATGTAGAAGCGGTGTCAGTATCTCTTCTCGCCGGACTTGACGTTGTTTCCGTTTTGCGTGAGTGGTACAGTGCACTGGCCATCCCTGCAAATTCCAAAGCCGCCTCTGCTCCACTCATCAAGTACCTGTCCGATATTGCCTCCAGCATTGAACGGGCACTTCCTCCTTCTCCTGTAGAAGTTTCATCCTCGTCCATGGCAGTCACTGCAACAACACCAGCATTTGTTGCGCCAACCACTCGACATCCGCGTGTTCCTGCCCCAAGCTCAGATCGTACAGGGTTGCTATTCCGCACTGACGTGGATGACGACTTCGACGACACTCAATACAGTGTGTCTTCAGTCACTTCTTCAGTGTCTTCTTCGGCCTCTTCTTCTTCCTTCTCGCTGTTTGTACCCCCTCTCACTCGTACTATGCCTCTACCTTCACCCGCGCCGCCTGCGCCGGTCCGCACTCCTCCGCCGCAAGTATTCAATAACAATTCTGGTGCACTCGGTTCCGAATTCAGCACGCCAAACTATAGTCATCACAATAATAGCATCCACCATAATATCCACAGTCATTTGGCTGCCTCAGCAAACTCGACTCCCCAATCCCAGGAGTTTAGTTTCCGTGAAGGGACAGCAGTAGCAACGCCGATTTTCGACCAATCCACTAGCCCAGCCTCGGTTGTATCATTGTCACGCGCCAGCCATTACCATAATCATACCCACCATCATCATCACAACCATGGCAATAATCAACAGTACCATGCGGCCCAACCTTACCATTACCATCAACACAGGCTACACAATGTATTTTCGGCGGCAGCTGCCATGGCCGGAAGCCCGACTACAGCATCCTCAGTAACAGCTAAAGAACAGGCCACAAATGATTATGTGATTACTTATACACAGAACTCAAGCAACAACAATAATAATAATAATAGCACAACTGCATCCGAGGGGTTATTACCACCTGTAAGTGCTGCAACGCTTGCCAACAAACGAGCTGGCATGGCCAACATTTCTCCTCCAGATTCCATTACAGGGGTTGGTCTAGGACTTGGATCTTCAACAAATGTTTCTTACAATAATAGTGTCACTGGCAGCTCGGGTATTTCAAATCATAACCACACCCATACAGTCCCAATGGCTATTGCATCCCCGCCATTGTCGATTGCACCTTTGTCACCTTCTTCAACATTACAGCAAGAAGTTCTGACTTCCCCTAGTCGCAATCGCCATCCTGCTTATGCCCAGTCTTTTTGATTGTTGGTAAATCTAGGATCTTACGAAAAAAAACCTTTATGATATTTTTTTTTTATTCTTGTTTTGTCCATCTTTTTTTAAAGAAACCTTGCCACCAAACTGGCTTTAATTTTTTTCACAAAATAATACTTAATGTCCCCACTTCTTTTTTGTTTCTTCTTAATTTATATAATATTTGTAAAAGTACGTTTATGATTAATATTTTCTTGTATTTCTAAAACTTATAATATCTTCTACTACGATCAGTTTGTTGTACAATTCATCAGACTGACTTTAAAAGGCTTTCTCATAAAAATCCACCTAAATCTGAAACTCTTTCTTTTCTTACTTACAACACGTCAAACGTCTCTACAAGAGGTATTATTAAAGTCTCCAAAATGGATTCCACTCGCAAGGCCCCTAAATCCTTCAAACCATATCGGTAAGTTCCACTTGAAACTATAATTTCTTTTCTTCAACATAACCATAGGGCTCGGAAAAAATCCATAAGGTAATTAGTAGCAGTTGAAACTAACAGTTAGTGGATGTTTCCACTTTAATAATATTAGAAGCACTAAACGCAACAGGAAACTAGCTGGAGCTGGAACCTACAAGAAGAAGAAGAAACCTGGAACTAAGTCAAAGCAAGCTTATGCTAAAGATACACATGATTCTCCTACGATTTCACAGATTTTAGCGCCATTAGTACCCGTATCTGTTGAGGCTGCAGAAAAGAATCAGCAGCCCATTAATATCATTGATGTAGTGGAATACTCTAACCCCGCAAAAAATGATGGCGATTACAAGACTAGCGCCGGGTTTTGTGCTGGTGTGAAGATTCCCGCAATCGCGTTTGAACCTCCCGCATGGGCATGGGACTGGGCATGTGAGCCTAATACGCTGGGATCTATGACAATTGCAGCATCAGCAAGTACAACACCATCAACACCAAGCTTGATCATAGAATTACAAGGCAGGCAAAAGAGTTCAATGGAGAGTATTACTAGTGATGAGGCTTTATGGGCTGCTGCTGCGATCAGTATTGGAACCCGTAATTGCACCAGTAAACTTAACAATAAATTTTCTAGCAGTGAAGATGGGTGTGAACTAGATTTAGACGCTCAAAGCTCGGAGTGTCCATTGGCGTCGCAGTTATTGAGAATCAGGAGATTTCCACGTGGGACCCTATCCCAAAATGTGGGAATCGAGGGGGTATTTGCGCTTGAAAAATCACCCGGTCGGAACATGACTACTACAATTGAAGAAAACAAAGAAGGGGAAAACCCCCAAGATCATGAACAAGAACAAAAGCAAGAAGAGAAAGAAAAAAAGCTACATGAAGAGAATTTAAAGATTTTGACGCGTGAAAAAATGAAAATGAAAAGAATTCATCAATCTAACAAGGAGTTTTTGAAGCATTATCAAGACGCTTGTTGTAATGATAAATTTGCAGAAAATGCACAAATTTTACTAGTGCCGGCATACGGCGAAAGCTATAATAATGTTGCCACAGTTAGTAGTACGAATACTAAAATTGCAAAAAGCATCCCTAGTCTGCACTGTTACGAGAACTTGGAAAAAGAAGATAAGCGTAATGCAACATTCAATTTTGGGTCGTCTGCAATTTCAACCACTGATAACAAGACTGATGGTGTCATATCGCCAGACTGGTCTTTACATGCACATGATGGGGGATCAATCAAGAATGACGAAGAAGTGGCAAGCATATTTGACAGTAGTAAGACAGATCAATGTCTGGCCTTTTCAAAAAATATAAAGCTACAAAGGCAACTCTCGTCTGGATCTCTGGAGTTTGGAGGCGCTGTGTCGTCCCTTGGTTCAGCATTCCCAAGAAGCCCATTAAGTCGCAGCAGCACAATTGAGAATGGAAGATCTTTTGCAGATACTGGTAGACCTAAAAGCACTCAAAAAAGTGATTGGAAAACTCTGCATGATTGCGGTAATAATTTATCATTCCAGGTTCCTTGTTCTTTGAAAAATTCTGATGAAGCTGCACTTTTGCAATTACCACCACTACTACCACCATTGCAGTTTGACCCTAATAGTGCAGCACTAGCACTCCAAGCTCGCACTATGTCAGATCAGTTTTCCTACTATTGGCCTTCACCATCATCTTCCGCTGCCGTGCCTTCTCCTGCCGTGCCGTCGTCGTCCGAGTCCTCTGACGGTTTTTATTTCCCTCCACAACCTCCCCTAACACAATCAGTGCTGTCAGGTGAATTATTTTCCCGAGGGGCTTCTGCAGGCACGGATGCACTATTACCACAGTGCAGTAGGGCTGGCATGATGGTAGGAGGTGTTGCGGCAGCAACAGTCCAAAATGGGTGCGAATGTCGACCCAGTCAGCAAACTCATCATAAGCACCATCAACACCTCCTGAAAAATGTGCTTAACAGTGCAATACAAACTGAGTACCAAAACCTGGATCAACTAGAGGAAGAAAAAATACGAGAACAAATAAAGGCCCTCGGCCCTGAGAGTTTTCCTTCTCAGGCAACACCCGCCCAGTTTTATGCCGGAAACGAAGCCTCTTCAAGCTTAGTGACAGCAATAGTTGCACCTGGCTGTCGCTCATTAAAGAAAACTGCCAGTGTATGTGGCCGTGGATCTTCTGGGACTATTAGGGATAGTAAAGCTAGAGGAGACATCATCCACCAAGAAATTGGTAATACAGGAGAACTTGGCGATGGTCACTTTAAGGACCCTTTGATTGAGTTTTTGGCTGGCTCCAAGTCTACTTCTTTGCTGGATTATGACGGTTTTCTGGAACAACAAAAAGGCATGGCGCGGTCTAAGCGTCGCGCAAGATATAAATCTGAAGCAAAAAATGGCATTGATTCGCTCGAGTCGCTTTTTGAATCCCCGGACCGAGTACATAAAACAATGTGTGAGGAAACTGGAACGTGCTTTTTCACCTATGAAGTTGGTTCAGATGAGTGCTACGACGCCGACGATGATGGTAGCGGGTTTTATAGCGATAGTGAATCTAGTCTTGATGAGGAAACTGTTACGTCACAATTTTTGGAAAACCTTTCCTTGCGGTCGCAACCCCCTGCCGTTGTTGCTACCACTGATGTGAATAGTCTTATAAATCTTCCTGCCGATCGAAACGGAGCCTTTTCTGCTAAACCAATTTTTTCTGATAATGCTATCGTAACAGTTACAGAAAAGGAATGCACTGAAGATGAATGTGAAGAATGTGAAGAATGTGAAGAAGAAAGAGAATTAGAATTAGAACAAGGACTAGTTTACTTGACTGTGGATGGCACGCAAGATGTAAAATCTGCACTTGAGGTTTGCTCTAAAGATCTGCTACTGCTTTGCCGAGAAATCGAGCTACCTCTATGCAAAGATGAAGTCTCCAAATCGTTGGATCTTAATACCTTAGATCTCGAAAATCTGTTAGACTTTTCTCATATTGGCTTTGAAGAGATCCAAAATGATTCTGATGAAGACCAGATCCAAGATGGGACTAGGGATGAACCTATCTTTAAACCTCCGACTGTTTGTTTTACTAAGGCTGCCAAATGTGTGGCTGCAGCACTGATTACCGGGAACTGTGTATATTGCCATGCACCTCAATGCTCTTTAGGTGAAAGGTGTCCCGCAAATCCATCTGTTGAGCTTTTGTCGCCTTTTGAAAATTTCAATTTATATACCCCAGAAAATACCAGTACTCCTATAAATTTAGAAACAGGAGAGGAGGAAGAAGAAGATTTAAAAGGAACCGTGATTTTCTCTGTGCCTTCGCAATTTTACGAGCATAATAGTGAAGAAATATTGGGGTCAAGTGTTAGTACAGGTACTAGTATTAGCTTGGAAAATGGGTCTATTGTGGATTCAAGTTCCCCTTTACTTAAATTGACATCGTTCCTTAATGGATTAAAATTCGGGGATCTGGAAAAGTACCCCAAACCACATTTGGTACATAGTGGATCTTTATACCCATATGCATCTCAAGATAAGAAGGGAAATGAAGAAGGTGAAGTTTTAAGTGATAGTAATAGTGATAGTGATTTGAACATTGATAGATACTTTGGGTCTGTTAACGAAGATGACGACGATGACGACGATGACGATGACTATAATAATAATAATAAAAGTTTGGGTTCCGGCAATAATAATTCCGTCATTTCTTCAGGCACATTAAAACGGTACTCTCAAATTTTAAATTCACTAGCCACTTGGTCGATGAAGAAGAAAAAATCTTTGAGATCTACAGCTAAGCCATTTGTTGATTCCAATAATTTCCTAATCACCGCAACTTGTTCTGCAACTTATGACGATCCCGATACCCCATGTTTTGACCACTCGCCTAAAAACTCAAGCACTACAAATTCAACAGATACCGGGGTTTTGATGTCCATAACTCAAAGCAAAGATAATTGTTTCATGACTCTGTCCCAAAACGAGGATTTTAAAAATAACTTGGCCTCATATCAAACAGATGGTACAACTGAAAAAAAAGAGTACCCAATATTATGGCAATAAGTTAAGCAATAAGTTAAGCGGTATACCCAAAGAAATTATTAACACCAATGCGAATAATACCGCTGAGATAAATGCAAATATACAGCTTGAAATTCCAGAAGATTTCCAACGCGACATTATGGCTTTTCCTTCTCAACAGATAAAATCGTTTACATCCTCTGTTTCTTCAGGATCTGAAATTTGACTTGAGAAATTACTTGTAGGTACCTTTGATGATGATACTCCAAATAACATTGCTTTGAAAATTGTGATTACAGTGAAAAAAATAAACAAGGGTAAAAGTAAAGATCAAGATAAAAATAAAAATAAAAATAAAAATAAAAATAAAGATGACAAACCAAATACCAGTTACCAGCTAAACTCATTTCAATAAAATAAAGAATTTTTTATGTATAATCTAATTAATTAAAGAAATTTATAAATTATAGATGTCAATTTGTTTTCCACCTGTAGAATACAACTCTTTGAGTTGTTCCAAAGGTGGATCGTAAATCATTACATGAAAATGTTCCAGAGCCGGGATGCTTTGTAACCCAGTCCAGTTCTTAAACCAGGTGACACGGTCCGGCGTTAGGTCCAATCCCTCTACAAAATTTACATTGACGAATCTTTCAATGAGTTTTTGGGATTTTTCAGTAAGTCTTGTTGTGGGGATGTCGTAGGTGACAACATCTGGTACATATTCCAGAGGTTCTGTGGAAATAGGTGTGCGTAGCCAAACAACCACATGAACAATTTTGGGATCAAGCGCGTAAGGGAAATCGTTGGCAAGAATGCACGCATCACTTGCCACATTTTCAAATAACGATCGGCCCTCATTTGTTGGGTAAACGGGGAATTGAAATCCCCATCGACCTTCTAAGCGGACCCGCAGGATGTAGATCAGAATTCCCGATATGCGTTCTCCAGTTTTTTCGTCTATTCTAGAGTATTCCTTATCTGTAAAATACTTCCATCGTAAATAGTTGCGTAAATCATGTGGAAGTCGGGTAAATTTGCTAAGATCCATTCGCTCCACAACATCGCGGGTTTCTTCCCACGTAAAAATTTTGGGTGTGGTTGTTTGTGAAAGAATTACAACATCCCGATCAAGCACATCAATGTGCTCCAGTCCTGCTAGAGGATTTTTTGGATTGACAAGACCCATAGGCTGCGCTAGATTTTCAGGTACGGTATCGTCAAAATAGTAAACGTCATGGCCGTCATCTGGCAATGTTTGAATAACAGGGCTCTCTAAGGTCATTGGATATCTGTATCAAAAAAAAGTTTAAAATATAATGAAAATTTTATTTTTTTTAAACAAAAGTAAGATATGTATGGTATATATATTAACATATATATGTTTTAATATATGTTAAAAAATATTGCAAGCAAAGTGAACAAGCCATTTTTTGAAACTAAGTTTTGCATTAGGTGTTTTTAACATAATATTATGTAATCATATATTATTGTTATCTGTACTGCAGTCGCTAAATTTTGAAATTTGATCAAAAACCCATCAGTTTTTTTTGACATCTATGTCATTAGGTAATATGTAACTAAGCTTTAAGGTTCGAATGAAGTACAATAGACTCTCGTCTTATCAGATACTATTATCAGTTCGATTCAATTAATTGTATTCATATCATAATTGGGATTTAAAAAATTTTGTACTGGATTAAAATTGATACATCCAAAAAAACAGCCATTCTTTAGGAAGATGAACAATAATCTGGAAAGCGTTAATAGGATAGGATAGGATAGGATAATTATCCTATATATCACGTTGAATTGTCTAGTTAAATCATGAATGCTTAATACTCAGTGATCAATTATTATTGTATAAAAACCTTTTTTCTTTTACTTTTGACATTTAGGTCAATTTGTTTAATAGCTTTTTAATCAATTGGTTTATAAATTAAAGAATTATGTGAATGATATTTTGAAAAAATTTAAACAGGTTAATCATATGATTTGAAAAATTAAGAAATTATAACTTCTTAATTTTCAACTGAAGCTTGTTTTTTTCAATAAACTTTTGATTTCGCTAGAACAATTGTTTCATCTTATTTCCAGTAAGAAGACACAAAATCTTTTTTTTTATCTCCTTATATACATAACTTTTCGTTTTCACAATAAACTTTTAATTTGACTTCAAACTTCCACTCCAAGCAACGAAAATTAAAGTCAGTGTTGTCTGTTCAAAAAAATTAAAGACCAAAAATTAAATACAAATCAGTGTTTGTTTGTTTTGTTTTTATTCAAGGGTTATAGAATTATATAACATCAGCATCTGTGCTATTCTTCTTGTTCATAATATATCTTTTCATTTTGATAATAAACTTTAAATTCTGGCTTCAACATTGCATCTCCAACAGCCAGAAAAAAAAGTCCTGATGCCAGCTTACGAAGAACAGGGAGTTAAAAATAACTAAATCTTCACAAATTATCTTCACTACAAAGCAGTTTTAAATTGTCTTGATACATTTTATTTTTAAAATAAATTTAAAAGTACACATTTATTTACATTTCTAATCATGTGATCCGATATAGTGTAATGGTTATCACCTCACGCTCTCACCGTGGAAATCGGGGTTCGATTCCCCGTGTCGGAGTTTTTTTTGTATACCAATTAAACAATTTCGATATTATCAAATGAAATATACTATAGTTGTTTTCATTTTAGCAAAAATAAACGTGTTTTTTTTATTAAAATGCAATAATGATTCAATTACCATTTGTTTGGGTAGAGAACAAACTTTATTTCATTATTCTCCTGAAACACCTGTACCTACAAAATACTTGAAAAGGTGTAAAGTTTACCACTGGTCAAGTTCTTCAGCAGCTTTTTTTCAAGCGACAAGTTTTTGCAGTCAATGATAATTAGATTTAAAATAAATTAATCAAAAACTGCTACAGATTGTTCCATTTACTCCAAGAAGTAGGAAATTTAGGCAAAACACAAAGTATAGTGTAAACTGAAATGAGTTCATAACTTATAAAAGACTACTACAACCTTTCAACAGATGTTACAATATCTTATTATCTATCAAAAATTAAAAAAAAAATTAATTAAAATAAAATAAAATAATAATAATAATAATAATAATAATTAAAAACAAAAAATGAGGGTTTATGATTTAAGTTTGGAAGTATTATCTCGTGAAAAAGGTTCAAATGAAATAACCCTTTTAATCCAAATAAAAGTTAAAAATTCAAATGCATAAAAATATCAAAAATTTTATGTTAATAAAATAAGTAGAGATTTTTGCCAATTAAGCTTGAATTGAACTTTTTTCGTAGGCACTTTTGGGTCATTCTATTAAATTATTAAAATTCCACTGCATTTAGACATTGCTAAGTTCTTCAAAATCTTTATAATAATTTCCCGAAAAGAAATAAATAGACTTTAATGAATTTTGGGACTGAAAAAGGGATGGAAAAACAAAAAACGGGAATAAGGGAGTTCATGATTAACATATTGATATTAAATATAATGATAATTAATCAATATTGGTTATCTATGAGGTTATAAATAGTCTACTAATAATTGCAATTGAATAGTAAACCTATGGTTTATAGTGTGATAATTGACAAGATTCCTGTGTAACAAACATCTTTTCAAACAAAATAAAACAAAATTTGGAATACCTCAATTTTTAATTTCCCCAAAATCGAGTATCAATCTAAATATCACCATATTACTCCAACTAAATTGGTTTACCTTCAATATTTTTGTTATTATAAATAAAACTTCATTGAATTTAATATTAAATTTTTTCAAGGTTTAGATTGAGGCTAAGAAATGTTAATGGTTAACCTTTGAATTAGTCAACCAAAAAGAAAAATGGTTGAATTAGAAATAGATATTAAAGAAAAAAAATTAATTGAGAAATTATGCTCATCAAATAAAGTCCATAACTAACTTACTTATTGAATTTATAAGCTTTGCTTTATAAATAATTGATGAATGAAAAACTTGGAAATCAAAAACTCCTATAATTACAAAATATTATCACTAGTTTTAATCATTTATTTGAGAGATTTTTTTACCCCCATTTTTTTTTTTTTTGTAAATTTAGTTATTTGTGGTTTATAATGAAATTCTTACATATTACTGTATGGTATCAACATTGTTTAAATTTGCAGCTTTTCTAGATATCTTAGCGATGTAAATGGATCATAATTCCAATCTTTGTTGACGTCTTTGTCAACGGAGACAGAAACATTTCAATCAGGTGTCTACCCTCCTTCAAGCAGTGTTGAAACCGGTGTACGTTTATGCTCATTTAAAGAAGTCTTCCGTTCAATGGTGCATTTTCATGAATTGATGTTTTATATATTGTTATTTTATTCCACTTTAAATTTTTATAGGTTTGATTCGTTTATTTAATATATTTTTTTTAGATGAAATTATTTGATAGTATCCAATTAAAAAGTTAAATTATTGATACTTTAGTAATAGTTGTTCTCATATTTCAAAAGCTAACCTTATAGTTAGTAAAACTTAACTTTTTTGGTATGAACTTAAAAATTGAGGAAATATATTTACTACCCCATTTCTCTCCTTTTTTTTATTTTTTCTCTATATTTTTTTATAAAAATACCCCTTTAATTACATTTCATATTTTTTAGCATACACTATGGTCAAATTATCAAGAAAAGATCAAAAATCCCGAGGTCGAGGTTTTGATGAAAATGAGGAGTACTTCAAAGCAGTCCAGGAAAAAAATTTTAAGTATGATGGGAAGTTTTTTTTTGGTGATAAGACTGCTGGGTATTACTGCAGACCATCTTGTGGAAAATACACAGATATCAAAGAATTGATTCGAAATAAAGACAACTTTGGATGGTTTGAAAATGAAAAAGAAGCGAAAAGCTATCAATATCGGCCTTGTGGAAGATGCTGTAAAACCAAATCACCAAAACTTCGACATTTAATTATTAAAAAAATATACTTGGAGTTTTATGAGAAAAACAAGCGATGGCCTAAATGGACAATAATTACTAAAAATCTTAAAGAGTATGCTATTAGTGGAACCAAGTTTCATTTATGCAGAGAGTTTCAAGGTCGCGAAGGGATGAGCCTAAAGACATGGGCAAAAAAGGTATTAGGTGAGTAACTGAAGAAAAATATACCATTTATAACAATAAAAATTAAAATTGGAATTGGAATTCTTTGAGCAATAATCGTTATTGCAGTTTTTAGACGGGTTGTCTGACTAGAACAATTTGATGTGAAATTTCTCTCTGAAACTTTTGGGAATTAAATACAGATTCTGGAAAAATTAATCTTGAGATTAAGAAGTTGAACTTAGAAGTCAATAGTAGTGATATCAAATTGCATCAGATTGAAGAGAAGTCAAAAAGCACTTTTAATCAAAGTGTCGAAACTAATGATCAATATGAACTGGCTAAAAAAACAGAATTAAATGAAAACATTCAAAATCAATTATCATATGTCCAAGACTATCTGTTACCTATTTCAGAAGTTATTGATGACGGCTCTAGTGGTTATGAGGGTCTATTTAGAGAATATGATGCTTTTGAAATAGATAATAGGTTATCTAATACCCATATAATGGATGATGAAAGTGTTGATGATTATCATGAACTTAACGAAAATGTTTTCGAAACAAACGGCTTGACACCAACAGTGTCAGGAAATGATTCTAACACTAATACGTTGGATTTTAAATATAATTTTTCTCAAGATTTGTTATCTACTATGAATCTTTCAGAAAACGAAAGTCCGATAACAAATTTCTCAAAAACCGAAATTCCTATAAAAAAAAATTTAAATTCAATGCCACTCGAAGATTTATTTTTTGTTTGAGAAAAATGTTACCACCTTCATCTCCCTCATTGACAACAATAGAGAGAAGAGTTAACTTTTCTCTCAAAAAATCATTGGTAAAAAGTCATGAGTAAATAGCCCATTTAATGAGCGAGGTTTGTGATATTTATTTATGAGAATGAGAAAATCAGATAGGCAGTGAATAATCGAGTATAGTTTATTATTATGTTTTATGTAAGTGTTGAATTTTTGATTATATTTCAAATACGAAAAGAGTCATCAATATCAATTTTGTGGTTTGATTGATCAGCTTTGTTTTTGTCAATACCTTATTCTAAAAAGTACCGTTTATATATAAACACTTTAACGAGACAAATAAAGAACACTCTTGTAATAATTTCCGTAAAGTTCTGATCTTTTCGTATATGTTTTTTTAATTTGGTTAATACACTGTTTTTTTTTGAATTTTATTATTGAACATGATTGGGAAAGTAAACATTTGTTTAGTTAACTAATGGGTTAAAGTTCAGTAGAATGCAGTTTTACAAACATGGAAATACAAAAGAAAATGTTTAAAACAATATTATTCCATATCCCAGAAAAAGATAAATTGAAACTTAAATGACTTTATTTCGAATCTGTTGTTTAATCTAATTCGTATAATTTAAGGTTCAGCTTTTAAAAAAGAATGAGGGTCTATCAATTCGTTCAATTTATAAAAATATATGTGAAATATATATGAGTTGGAAATTTTAATGGTATTAGTAACGCTCAATGTCTTCGTGCAAGCTTGCGGGCCAAAAATGAAAAAAAGTTCTAACGTTTTAATTAAAATTAAAAATAAAAATAAATTTGTTTGAGAAAGCTCTTTTTTAAATATAGATAACATAATCTATATCCATTAATGGACGATTTATTATGTTCTTTAGCAGAGTCGTGTTAAAAAATAATTTTTTGCTAAACGTAATTATAAACAATTTTTTTTAAAAAATGAGAAGATAGAACATAGTAGACTTAAAGATTTTGTCATATAGTCATTTGATTTTTGTTACAATGATGTTTTCATACGAATTTTGGATATAAAATATTCAAATATGTCTTCTGAATAGTATATTTATTAATCCTTCCTTTTTGCAATAAGTTTGATCAATATTGTATTATATAATTAATGCAGTTAAATCTTAAATAATTTGAAGAAGATTATCCACGTTTTTTTCTTAATACAATGCTAGTTTTTATAGGTAACAAATAGTTATTAGATGTTAATTGGTATCAATTGATATTAATACTATTTGATTTATTCAACATAACTATAAGACTTATTGAATAGCAATGACTTTAAAAAAAATTAAAAAAAAATTAAAAAATTAAAAAAATAAGAGCTACAAGTTTAATCTCATGGTATAAAATGACTGGGGTATTTGAAAAATGAAGTTCAATAATTGATGGAATTTGATATGACGAGATATGTTTCTTTAGGTATGGTGGTAAGATAAAAAAAAAAAAAAAAAAAAAAATACTGTATTTGTGGCTCTTCAACAATGATTGCTTAACGGTTTTATAATTATGTAAATTTTACATAATATATATTTGTTACAAAAGTTTAATGACAAATTGCAATAAATGAAATTTTAGTGTGAAAACAGAAATTTGGAACTCCGATCTGTTGCGACAAAAAAATATCCGATTGCTTTTTAATCATTTTTGATTCTAATATATTTTGTTCCCGGATAATGATAGGACTTCTTTTGTTATTTTTCATTTGCTGAGCTTTGATAAATGTTGCCAAAAAGCAATAAATCACTTATTTCTCAGTTATCACTAAAAACTGAAAATTCCTAAGCAAAACACGTGAATTATTTTATATAATATTTCCAACAAGGATGAACTTGGTTTATTGCTTATTATAACAAGTAATTACTTGTTTTTAACTAATAACGACTTACATGAAGCTTTTCAGCTGTAATTCTTTTCTGAAAAATAAAGACCAGCCAATGCAAATATATTCGCCGTAGACTTCTCTAAAGCATTTTCGGTAAAGATCGGGGATTAAGAGATGCTCAGTCTAAATATCCGTTATTGGAAACCAACAGCAAAATAAAATAAAATAAAATAAAATAAAATAAAAAAAATTTCTGTATGCAAATAGGAATATTTTATTTAAAAAAATAATAATAAAAAACCGTGTAAGATTCGATAGATGTTACCAAACTTGGATAAGTTGAGTACAAATGAAAATGAATTGCATATAAATTGAATACTTTAAAAGTTTTTTTATTCATTTTTAATCATTTTTAACTTTCAGTTAGTTTTCAATGTTTTAACATTTATGTTAGACTTTATTCTTGATTTCTTTATTTCCTTTTTTTTTTTTTTTTTTTGTTCCAAGAAAATTTCAAATTCCTCGATGCCCGCTTTTTCGGGCCATTGCGGGGATCTAGAAAGCCTCACATAAACCAGGCACCGTTGTTACGCAAAAGGGCAATTAAGCATATTTCTCTTCAAAAAAAATTTTCACACAAAAGGGTTTCGTATTAACCACAAGATTGCTAAATTAACGTAGCAAATAATAGAGCTATTGTAAGGAAATTGGATATGACAGATAAAGATAAAGATAAATATAAATATATATCTGTTCCACCTAGTATCATATGAGAATCGGCGGGTTTGTGGCAGTAGGTAAGAGGTACAATAGGATTTTTAGCGTCGATTGCAAAAGGTTTTGAGGTAGAGAACGATTAAAAAATAATAATAATAGAAATAATAATGATCATTAAAAAAAAGAAAAACATGGGGAACATAAGGCCGCAAGGTCGTGAGATATCAATGGACACGCCTGAAAGGGATAGAGGTCGTGTGCCATGGTGGCAGTAGTTGAGTGGTCAATGTAAAAAAAAAAAAAAAAAAAAAAATGGTTGACGGATGACAGCAACTTTGACCAGAAAACTTTCCAGGTAATTAGAAACCATTTCATTATAACGGGAAAATTTTGGCATAGTTTCAATAGTTGTGATTTCAGATAGTACGATGATTATGATGATTACATGAAAAAGCAGAAAGGCCTAGGCGGTAATATAATATAAGACACAAACCTAAATGTATTGTTATAAGTTGGAGTTAGGCAGTTAATCACATTCCTAGATTTGATTGCAAGAGCAGCCTTCACAGCCAATGAAACAAGCGATTCAGACCAGAGAAGTCGCGTGTATTAGGAACGTGGGCTGTATGTGATGGTGGTAGTAGTATATTAAGTGCATAATATTATTTTTATATTATTACTATTATTATTATTATTATTATTATTATTATTATTATTATTATTATTATTATTATTATTATTATTATTATTATTATTATTATTATTATTATTATTATTATTATTATTATTATTATTATTATTATTATTATTATTATATTTTTATTTATTAAAAAAAAAAAATAAAAAAAATTATCATCACCATAGCTGAACTCCAGGGGTTTGTTATTTCCAAGGTCGTTTTGAAAAACAACACTGGGCGCACGTGCTCAGATGAGTGTCTTTATTTCGACGGTTGTGAGTTTTTTTGAGAGCTTCTTTGTCACCGGCGGCTTCCATCCACGCATGCACGCGCGTGCTTTCTCTCTCTCTCTCTGTCAGCCAGCCACACATCATCACACACAACAACATATATATTAAAATTTTATATATTAAAATTTTTAATCCCAAACAGATATTCCGCGCGCCGCAGAGCCTGCCATGGTTCAACATTTGGGCCCACACAATATTTTGGTTCATAAAAAAGAAATAAAAAAAAAAAATTTCCCGCGAATATTTATAACTTTAGTATAAATATAAAACATTTCCTCTCATGTTGCTTTTTTTTTTTTTTTTGACTATATATATATATTTTTTTTCTTTGCTCTTTTTTTTTTTTTATTAAGATAGATACTTTTTTCTTTCTCCATCTTATTTCTTTTTTTGATTTGTATAACCAACTCAAGGTAAAAACCCTTATGTGTTAGAAAAAATCGAAATCATCATGATCTACAAACTACAATCCACATTCACAGTCGTCCTATTACTGCTGCTAAGCCTGGTAACAGCCCAGCAGCAAGCTGACAAAACTCCAAACTTTTCAGAAGAAAATGAGGAACTCATCAGAGCCAGTATTTCACAACTCAACAAAATTATGAAAAAATCATCAATAGACTCATGCGAGAAGTGTGTTTCGGCCTTAGAGCTGGGCCATGAGCTTGCTAAAAAGGCTGATGCCGGTGTCGTGACTGAAATCATGACTCGATTCTGCCGTAAACATAAAAAATCTAAACATGCAAAGGCAAGATGTGACTACAAATTTGGTCTTTCAACTGTCAACGGAAGTGCCTTTGGCGACGACATTACAAATGTCCTCACTCTCATCAAACCACGCTCGTTAGACGGAAAGTACATTTGCAACCATTTCCTCAAGGGAGCTTGTCCCATGCCAGAAACACCGAACTTTGACCTGTCTTCATGGTGGCCAAAGAAGCCTAAGAATGCCCGTCAACCTGATGCCTCCGGTGAAACCTTCAACGTCGTCCACATCTCTGACTTTCATGTCGATCTCGACTACGAAACTGGCACTGAATCTAACTGCACTCAGTCCATGTGCTGCAATGAATGGAAATATAATGAGGCTTCGCATAATATTGTTCTTCAGCCGGCTCAAGCATACGGTTCTTATCAGTGTGACGCCCCCAACTCACTTTTACAAAGCTCTCTCGAAAACGTGGCTGAAATTAATAAAGACAAAAACTTTGAGTTTGCCATCTTTACTGGTGATATGGTCGACCATGATGATACTCAGTATCTCACCCTGGAAAATGCCATTGCTACCGAAAAGCTTGTTTACAGCTCTATGAAAAAACACATGAATATCCCCGTGTATGTAACCCTTGGTAATCACGATACATACCCTTATGCACAAATTGCTCAGGAAAAATCTGGCTTTGTTAACCGTTTTTCCTGGAACACCGACTTGGCCTATGAAATGTGGACTGACAGTAACTGGATGACCGAGGAAGAAGCTGCCAACGTAAAGGACCACTATACAGCCTTTGCAGTGACCACCAAGCGCGGCTTGCGCGTCATTTCTCTTAATGCCAACCTTTGGTTTAAAGAAAATTACTACAACTACTGGGGCACGGATACTGACCCGGATCCATCCGGCCTCTTCCGCTTCCTCAGTGACCAACTTCTTGACTGTGAAAAGAATGGTCAGCGTGCTTGGGTCATGGCCCATGTTCCGATGGGAGGAGAAACCTCAGAGGCACACCCGCCTGCCACCCAAGTCTTTAACCAAATCATGGAGCGCTTTTCTCCTCATGTTGTTGCTGGTATCTTTTTCGGTCATACCCATCGTGATGAGTTCACAGTCATGTACGCAAAGAACGCCACCGAAAAAACTGAGGAAAATGCCCTTAACGTTGCCTTCCTTGATGAGTCCGTCACTCCTTACAAGTTCCTCAACCCTGGGTGGCGCTACTACGAAATTGATGCAAAGACATTCCAAGTTATTAACATCCATCATTACTACACTCGTCTCAATGACTCCTTCACTGAAGTCCCCAGCGCCAATGACACTGAGGCTATCAAGCTTAAGTGGGAGTACGAGTACTCCTCACGTGATGCCTATGACCCTGAAGGCTTATGGCCCAAGGAGGCTCCTCTCAACGCCACTTTCTGGCACCATGTTGTCAATAAGATTCGCGATTCAGCTTACTATCGTAAGCTCTATCTTGAATACTCTTACCGCCGTTCTCCGTATGTGCCAGAGTGCACCCACTGGAACTGTGTTAAAAAACTCTACTGCTACATTACCAGTTCTACCGTTCCTCAAGTCCAGACTTGCATGATGGAAGAACAATACACTCCCAATGGTGATATCAGTATTTTAGGAGCTTTACTTTGGGTTATTTCCTTTGTTATCATTTTTGGCGTTCTTGGTTTAGGATTGTATTACTGGTTTGCACACCATGAATTCCCCTATGTCAAGAAGGTCCCTCATTCAAATCGCAGAGATTACATCTCTCTTAATTAGCTATCTGCTGCTGCCGGTGGAGACACCGGTGGTATCCTTACGGAAGATCCATCTTTAAGTTCTCGTCAAGATAGAGAGAATATTGAGTTGGAAGATCTTCCTCCTAGTCAAACTTCCTAAAAAAAAAGGAGAAGAAAAAGTTTATTATTGTTATGATGATGATAATGATAATAAGAATGCATCAGGACTCTTATAATAGTCTAAAAACATTTGGGGATTTTTATTTTGTTTATTTTTATTGGGGTTAATTGTTTTTATATAGTTTTTTTTTTTTGGGGTCTTTTAGAAATTATAATATACTATTCTTATATATGAACATCTATTTGTTTAAAAAGAGACCGTATTGACGGGCCAAATCGAAGCCATCGGCAACATTTTGAACTCTTGCATCAAGTTTAAAGCCCTCAGACTCTAGTTTGCGCAAAGTCTCGGAAAATTCCTTTAGAGGAACTATACAAAAGTTAGCGAAAAAAAATATATATATATAATCAACATAAAGGCGCACACATACCAGTAAATGTCTCAATGAACTCGCCTTCTTCAGGCTTAGACTGAGGGTTTTGATTTCGTGGATCATCCAAGTCAATATCAACCGTGATAAGCTTCATATTAGTGTTGCAGAATCCTGGGTCACTAAACATGAGTGGACTGCTACGTGTGGCTTTGCCAATGTATCCTGTTTCCTCAAACAACTCGCGCACGGCACATTGTTCAAGTGTCTCACCAGGATCCAACAATCCGGCAGGGACTTCAATGCACACGCCGCCAACAGGTGGTCGGAACTGTTTCTGAAGAAGAAGCTCGGGACCAGATGGTTTTTTTAGTACAGCAAGGATGCCAACGCCATCGCAATCGCTTCCCGGAACACGGGTTGTTCGCGATGCAAATTCCCAGTCACGGGCTTTAAAATGAGTGGTTAGTTCTGGATCGGCAAATGTTCAACTGAATAAAGAAAAAAAAATGATTGAATAATAATTGAAAATAAAAATACATACGTTTGCCACTGGCATCATTGAAGTGAATCTTTTGAATCTAAAAAGAATTAATCACTCAGAAACAAGTAATGATAGTGATTCTTTATATACGTACCTGAACCCAGCGGGCAGCTTCACTTGTCTGGGAAAAGAGTTAGATGTGAAGTTTTCCGAATTAGTATTGGAAGAAAACAAAACTTACCAATGGCTCAATTTTAGTGATAGCAGCTTTGCTAAAGTTGATCTTTGGAGGCATTTTTAATGGAATTTTATATGAGTTTTTAATATGAAATGAATAGTTGAATGAAAGATGATAGTGTAAAATGATCGGGGGAGGGTTAACGTGGACTTATTTTCTACCTCAAGCCATGCTTATGATTTTCTTTGTGGCATTTCTTTTTTTGGTTAGAGCACGTTTATGGTTAGCCAACTGCCCGCGGCGGCTTTTCTTCCAGGAACTATGGCCACCTTTTTTTTTTTTTTTTTTTTTTTTTTTCCTACACTAAACATCCTTCACAAACTACCTTCACACACACATACGAGAGTTTATTGGGGAAAAAAGATTCTCCATAATTGTGAAAAAAAAATTTTTTTTTAAACTATTTCAAATTTTTTTTAAAAAGTTTTAAATTTTAAATTTTTGGTTTTGATTTTGATTTCTTTCCTTGTCTTAAGCTGAATATCTATCAAGCTTGGAACCGTAATAAAAAAAAATAACTACAAAATGAGCACAGCACGACCAAAAAACGAAAATTCTGCAGATGTCATCAAGGTTAAGGTCCACGACAAGCTGCTAGAAACTGGTGAATATGAGAGGTGAGATAATGATTTTAAAATCAAAATGAAATGAAAATAAAAAAAAATAAAATGGGAAAAGAACAATACACATACAAGTTTCCATATTAGGAAATACCCCGCGGCTACCACATACCTTTATTTTATTTTTTATTTTTTATTTTTTTGATTCTTTTTAAACATTTGTTAACGCTTAAATCAAAAACATAACCATATTTATTCCCTTATATATAATGTGTTTGGTATATACACACGCATTTATATATGAACCTTCTTATTCCTTAGAATGAAATCTTTTTTGAGAGAAAAACTTTTGGAGGCCGGTTGGTTTGATGAAATCAACGTCCTGGCACTAGACAAACTCAGCACTCAAGAAAAGCCCAGCTTTGAGACTGTGGCCGAGTCGCTCGAGACACAAGCCCTTGGTATGTTTTTTTTTAATATATAAATAAAGAGTAAAGTGGTTTTATTCTAACATATAAATCACTTTAAGATATGATACCTGACGATATCAAAATCGAGCTTTTGCGGAAAATTAGAGGTTTTCTCGATACCTGGGTCGAGAGCAAAAATTCATGAGCTTCCAGGTTTGGTTTGGTATCCCCAAAACCAGTATATAACTAACTAGACACTTTATGACGACTATTCTAAAATAAATTTCCTTAATTTACTACTCTCATGGCATGTCCAATCTACTCAAATCCCTCCATCATCGCTTTGCCTCATTCATTTAGAAATTTCTTTTCATTATGCAGGTCACGTGGCTTGAGCAACAATTAGTATACTGATTAAAAAAAAAAGGTCAAACCACCATTATCAAAAAAAAAAAAAAAAAAAAAAAAAAGTTAGGCAATTTAAAAAGACAATCATATTAAAAAGATCTTTCAAATTATAATTCTTTATTTATAAATAAATCGCACTATTATTTTTTTTCATTTTATTTAACAAGTTTTTTTTTCCTGTAGTTTGTTATTGATGGATGCTAATAACTCTCTAAAGTAGACTGTACAAGATTCTCTAAAACAAAAAACAAAAAACAAAAAACAAAAAATTCTAAAATCCCCTTCTCCCGTTAAACCAGTGTTAAACTGCAACTAAATACACAAGCTTGGTTTACTTTTTAATTTTTTGTTTACCACACCGCACAATAATACACAAATATACACATCACAATGGTAAGCTTTTATCGCACGCGCACAACTACTTGATTACAACAAAAAGGCTGATTCCTGGATTTCCTAACCTCGTCATATTGATCTCTTCTTGCAGAATGACAAACAGCTAACGGCCGTTCAAGGCCTTATAAGCATTGCCAGTGTTACCAGGCACGATGCTATTAGCATTCTCAACAAGCACGACTACAATCTGGACCGTACTCTTCGATTAGAATGGGACCGTATTCCCAAGCGACGCGAAGCAGTCATGCTGGAAAATATCTTCAACAATTATAGAGGTATTTTGAAAAGGGTTTTTGTCTGGATTTTTTGGGCTAACCTTTTTAAATAGATCCCGAAGGAGGTGACATCATTGGAATTGATGGTACTGTCCAATTTATCACAGACCTTGGTCTTGAGCTCTCTGACTCAGTTGTTTTGGCTATCGCCATGACTCTTAATGCTGAAGCCGAAGGTGAATTTTCTAAGCTCGGTTTTATCTTTGGCTGGCTGTCTCTAAGGTAAGTTTATTGGTTTTGTTTATGATTACAATTGTCACTCGTTGATGCTAATCACCTTATGCTCAGTGCCACCTCAATTTCTGAAATGAAGGTCGCTGTCGAACACATGAAGGAGCAGATGCAAAATAATCCTGCATACTTTAAGAATGTGTATCGCTTCACTTACACGTATATTTTGCCGCCCAATACCCGCAGTCTGCCAACCGAGTCTGCCATTGCATACTGGGAGCTGCTACTTACCGGTCGTTTCCAAAAGCTTACTGAATGGAACGAGTTCATTCTTAACGTATATAAGAAGAGTATTTCGAAGGATACGTGGAATATGATTCTTGAGTTTGCAAACTATATTCCAAATGACCCTGACCTTGAAAACTACGACCTCGAGGCTTCGTGGCCCTCTGTCATAGATGAATTTGTCGAATACCTGAAGGAAAATAAGAAATAATTGTAAATAGTTGGCATAAAATATATATTGACTGTTTATATTATCTATTTCTTGATTTTCATATTCAAATAATGTATTAACTTTGGGAGTTTTTTTTTCTGAGGTTGAGAATCTTGCGTTAGGGGAAAGGGGAATAAAAGCAACGGGGAATGGTCAAATTCTAGATCAATTTGTCATCTACAGACGTAAGGCCGTATGGTACACATGTGCCTAGGTGATTGTTGGTTGTTGTCTCTCCAATATATTCAACAATATTAAAGGCTTTTTATTTAAATCTATATATATATTGAAAAAAATTCGCAACTTCATTTCAAGATGGTTAAAAAAACCGTTATCTTTGCCTTCGGTTTTCCCAAAATCATTCAAATGAAGGTATGTTGCAACAAATTGTGTGCTTTAAATTTAACTTGCATAAGCTCCTCTCCCCCCACTCCCTCCCTCAAAACCACCTCTCCTCAGAAAAAGTTTATGTTTATAACTGTACATTTTTGTACTAACTCACATTTTTTTTTTTAAAAAAAAAAGCTCTCTAGAATTTTGACAATTGCCCTACGTGTCGCTACTTTTGTTCAACTGCTCATCATAGACGATTCCAATGGATGGCACCACTATTACTTTTTGCCATCTTCGCGACATAAAACTACCTTTCCGGGTAAAAATGTATGTTATTTTACAAGCTATTTTTTTTTTATTTCCTTAACATGTCTTTAACACACCTATTATTAGTGAATCGCTCGAGGGCACCAAGCCGACGAAAAAGGCTTCCGAGCTGATCCGTGACCCAGAAAAGGCTCTTACGCTTTCAAACACAGAGTGCGTAACTTCTCTCTCTCTCTCTTTTTTTTTTTTTTTTTATAGCTTTGGATCTTCATCACTAACTTCAGCGTTAAAGTCCCTACTCGGATCTTATGGTCACGGTCCAGTTGTTTGCTGATAGCAAGCCTCTTACAAATCCTGTTGCCACACGTCACAAAGAATTTAAACTGACTAGAAAGTAAGTTTTTTTTTTTTTTTTTTTTTGACTTGATGAGAATAGAGATTCTCTATTTCGTGTGTTTTCTCTAGCAATCTAACTATTTAGATGGGACGAGTGGCTCACACTACCGATAAGGTACTCGGAGCTTATGTTTTCTTCACAGCTGGCAATTACAATATGGGACCTTGCAGGTGACCAACAGCTTATTCCTTATGGCGGAACAACCATAAAGCTTTTTGATGAAACCGACTGGTAAGTATCTTGTGAACCTTGGTGGCAACTTGTATAAATGACTACTGATTTCTTTCTTCTAACACTATTATTTTCGATTGCAGTTCGTTAAAAAGAGGACGCCAAAGACTGAAAGTATGGCTTGACCAACCTGCCGATGGCTTGAGCAACAGCTCTACACCTTCAACGGTGATCCCTACGAGTGAAATACAGAGGATTGATACAGTAAGTTTATGGTGTTCTATTATCAAAATTTCAATCTAACAAGCTTAGCGCGTCAAACAACTTAGCACTCATAAAATACCAGAAGTAAAATGGTTAGACAGACTTGTTTCTCGTAAAATAGATCAAATGAACAGCGAAATGTCTAAGGAAATTGGCGGACAGTTTCTTTTTATTGAGTTTACCCAGTTTGATGTTCCTATTGCTTTTTCCGATTATTTATACCCTCCACCGCCTCTTCTTCCTTTACAAGGCAATACTTTAGATGGTAGTGAAAGCTCTTATGCCAATGGATCTTCTACTCACTACAATAATGGCGGTGTTTATCGAAATGGAGATACAAATAACAGCGTTTACAATGACTTCCCTTCGCCTGAAAACCTTATGCAAGTGATTGTTGACCCCGAGCAATTTAGAGAAAACCAAATCGAACGAAAACACAGGCGCCTTAACCGCGGTAAAGAAGCAGGTCCTTTTGACAAGGATCTCAAACCCAGTGCTAAAATCCGTGATGATATTAACAAAATCATTAGTTATTCGCCCGTCCATGAACTTACAAATGAAGAAAAGGACAAACTTTGGAAGTTCCGCTACTATTTGACGCGCCACAAACAAGCTTTGACAAAATTTCTCAAAACAATCACATGGGAGGACCCACTCGAAGTCAAGCAGGCTATTGATCTTCTTCCCCGTTGGACCCAAATTGATGTTGACGACGCTCTTGAACTTCTCGGTCCCAATTTTCATCATCCTGCAGTTCGCGCATATGCAGTGAATAGATTACGTCAAGCCAGCGATCATGAATTAGAATTGTATTTACTACAGCTTGTTCAAGCACTTAGGTTTGAAAAGCCTTCTAGAACTCTCAGTGCCACCTCTTTAAATTCATCATCCCCATCTTCATCTTCATTCAATCCGATTCGCAAAAAGTCGTCTCTTGCAAAGTTTCTTATTAACAGAGCAGTTAAAAACCCTATTCTTGGAAATTACTTTTTTTGGTATGTCACAGTTGAGTCTCAAGAAAAGGGAGCACCTTCAATATTCATGTATGTCCTTAAACACTTTCAAGCTGCACTTAAAAACCAAGAAGATGAAGAGGAAGCTGCTGCGACAGATGATATTGATATCTCTCAGTCTGGGCAAACTCCAACACCTGCTCCTCCAGCTCATCCGTCTATGCTTAGAACTTTGGAGCGCCAGATTAAGTTTATTGATCGGCTTTTAAAAGTTGCAACAGAAATTAAAATGGCTAAGGATCCACGACCTAAAAAGATTGAAAAGCTTCACCAGTATCTTTCTGACTCTAAGAATGGGCTTTTACGATTTGACCCAATCCCTCTTCCTCTCGATCCTTCAGTAACCATTGTTGGATGTGTACCAGAAGACTGCACTGTCTTCAAGAGTAGTTTATCTCCGCTTAAAATTACACTGAAGACTATTCCGTCTTCTTTAGCTTTGGAGCTCCATCAACAACAGCATCGCCGCAATCATCATAACCGTCATCATAATTCTGAGCCAACAGCTCCACATAGTACTTCTTCTTCAGTTGCAACTCTAAGAATAACGTCAACATCTTCCTCAATTGCCACGCTTGAAGACACTACGGAGTCTTTGCGAAATTCCCGATATAGCGAACAAACCCATGGCCTTGATAAAATCCCCGAGGAAAGCTTTGGCACTTACTCCATTATGTTCAAGACTGGCGATGATCTGCGACAAGATCAACTTGTTATTCAGATTATTACTCTTATGGACCAGCTTCTGCGCAACGAGAATCTGGATCTAAAACTTACTCCTTACCGGATTCTAGCAACAGGTCCTCGAGATGGTGCGTTGCAATTTGTTGTCAATAAGACACTTGATAATGTACTTGCAGACTACAATGGAGGCATTCTTGGGTACCTCCGGGATCATAATCCTGATTCTACAACAGCCCTTGGAGTAACAGACGAGTGCATGGATACTTATGTGCGCTCTTGTGCTGGGTACTGTGTCATTACATATATTCTGGGTGTGGGTGACCGGCACTTGGACAACCTGTTGATTTGCCCCGACGGTCACTTTTTCCATGCCGACTTTGGGTACATTCTTGGTCATGATCCGAAGCCTTTCCCACCTCTGATGAAGCTGCCGATCCAAATCATTGACGGCATGGGTGGAATCAATTCTGAGAATTATAGTCGGTTCCGGTCACTGTGTTTTACAGCTTACACAACGCTACGCAAATCAGCAAATCTTATTCTCAATCTTTTCGCGCTCATGTCTCACTCAACTATTCCGGACATTATGGTTGAACGTGATAATGCAGCGGTGCTAAAGGTCATGGAGAAATTTTGTTTAGATATGACAGAAGAAGAAGCAATTATGCATTTCCAAAATCTTATCAACGATAGTGTCAACGCATTTTTACCCATTGTGATTGACCGACTCCACAGTTTGGCTCAATACTGGAGAGCTTAAAGTGACCAAGAGGGCTTAAGATTGAAAGAAAAGAAACAAGTATGTAAGTTAAAATAATAATAAAACGCCATTTCACAATTAATATACAATCATAAATAAGAAACCTAATAGTTGATGACAGCGCGAATGCAGGTACCGGAGTGCATATCATCAAAAGCCTGGTTGATGCCATTGATGTCATGTCTGTGGGTGATGAACTCGTCAACCTTAATCTTGCCAGCCAAATAGTCCTCAACAATTCCAGGAAGCTGAGTTCTACCCTTGACACCACCGAAGGCACATCCCTTCCAGACTCTTCCGGTGACAAGTTGGAATGGTCTGGTTTGGATAACTTCGCCAGCGGCAGCAACACCGATAATGATGGAAGTACCCCAACCCTTGTGACAAGCCTCGAGAGCGGAACGCATCACATTAACATTACCTGTGCAATCAAAGGTGTAATCAAGGCCGCCATCAGTAACGTCGACCAGCTCTTCCTGGATTGGTCTGTTGACTTTTGTAGGGTTGATAAAGTGAGTGGCACCAAAATTCTTGGCCCACTCTTCCTTCTTGTCGTCAATGTCAATGACGTAAATTGAACCAGCCTTGCGGGCAGCGGCGCCCTGCACCACTGACAAACCAACACAGCCAGCACCAAATACAGCAACGTTATCGCCCTCCTGAATATTGGCAGTAATGGTGGCAGCGCCATAACCGGTAGTAATACCACAGCCAAGCAAGCAGATGCGGTCAAAGGGTGCAGTCTCGTTGACTGCGACAACGGAGACATCGGCAACGACAGTGTACTCGGAGAAGGTGGAGCAGCCCATAAAGTGGAGAATATCCTGGCCACGGGCACGGAAGCGGGAAGTACCATCGGGCATAACACCCTTGCCTTGGGTGGCGCGGACAGCACCACAGAGATTGGTCTTGCCAGATTTGCAGAACTTGCACTCACGGCACTCAGCAGTGTACAGAGCAATGACATGATCACCCTTCTTAACATTGGTAACGCCCTCACCGATGCTCTCGACGATACCGGCACCCTCGTGTCCAAGAATAACGGGGAAAGCACCCTCGGGGTCCTTGCCGGAGAGGGTGTAGGCGTCGGTGTGGCAGACACCAGTAGAGACGATCTTAATGCGGACCTCGTGGGCACGAGGAGGAAGAACCTCGACGTCTTCAACAGTCAAAGGCTTTCCTGCCTCCCAAGCAATGGCAGCCTTGCATGTGATGGTCTTTCCTTCAGTATCGGACATTGTGTGTTTTTGGAGATTGGAAGTGGTGGTAGTGTTGTAGGTGAGTGGTTGTAAGAGTAAAGATTGGTGATTGGTTTATTTTTATGTGGGGAGATAATCTGAAAATAGGATATACTAAATACCGAGACTCAATTACCAACCCTTGATGAACGAATTAAAAAAAGGAAAAGTAGGTAAAAAGCTAGAAAAGTAAGGGATTTACAAGACTTTTATAATATTTCAAAAAAAAAAAAAAACACCAAGAACCTCAGGCATGTGTCGGCTATTATGGCTTAAAATATGGAAAATGTCACCTCCTAGAATCCCAGCAAGATGTGATTGATGGCTAGCGCTATTTTAACAGCAGCAGTAGCAGCAGTAGCAGCAGTAGCAACAGTAGCAACAGTGTTGGGCTAGAAGTTACCCGGCTGGTTTATCGCTTGATAGGAACGAGTTGGGCTGACCGCTTGCAGTTCCACTTTGACCCCGCCGCTTGCTCTCAAATCTCACACCTAAAAAAACCTTCAAAAAAATCTTCAAAATGTTCCGGTGTGTGCGGCTCAAGTTTTTAATTTCACACATCACCACCATAAGTCATTCAAAACGTTTCTCGCTCAAACATCCGCCACTTACTCATACCTCATCATCCTTACGTCCAGTTATATTTATAAGATTATTTTGAAGTTTATGATCATCTTTAAGATACCCAATAAATTACCCCCGCTTTCTAGAAGTCCTTCTTGCTAAAAGTTTGCACGGATTAATATTTCCGAGTAAAATATATTCTTGCTTATTTTGATCCCCCCCACGACTTTGAACCCCTCACAGTATAATGGTATTCAGGATTCCAAATAGAAGTTAAGATATTAAAAGAGGAATAATTGATTAGGAAAAACAGGGTGTTCTTGGTATATCCTTGGATATCCTTGAACAAGTCAAGAAATATATAAAAACTATATTCACTTAAAAACACCAGATATTCATAGAAGCAAAAGAACTCCTAAACTGAAACAGTACAAATGAAAAAACAAAAACAAGAAGTCAACTCAAAAGTATATCGGTAACAAATCTTTCAAGTATATAAGAAACAAACCTCATCTACTCACAAGAAATATACTTCATAAGTCACAAAAAGAACTCTAGAAAATGAAAATAACGAAACTATCTTACCAAATTTATTAACCATGGTATCCAATACTTTAATGTTTTTGTTAAAGATTTTGTGAACTAAAATCAAAGTTAGTACAAAATTCAGCTTTAACGTAATATAAAAAGATACAATTACCAATATACTACCAGAACCAATAAATGATGACAAAATTCTGTTACTTGAAACCGATAACTTGCGAGAAATTTTTAATACATATAATTTACTATACTTTTGAAATTAATTCTTTAAAAGAAGCCAGTTTAATGAATAAGGTAAAAACAAAACTGTGATATGTTTAATTTTTTTTTCTTTTTAAAATATGAAGACTGTGGTGGTTTATAAATCGTTTGTTTGTTTGTTTGTTTTTATTCAAGGGTTATAGAATTATATAACATCAGCATCTGCGCTATCCTTCTTGTCCATACTATATATTTTTTCATTTTGATAATAAACTTTTAATTTTGGCTTCAACATTGCATCTCCAACAGCCCGAAAATAAGTCCTGATGCCAGCTTACGAGGAACAGGGGGTTAAAATAACCAAACCTTCCCAACCTATCTCCACTTGTCTTCATCAACGCTGTAATTGTATTTCTTAATCCCTCCAAGCAGAGATAAAGCTTACAATCTCTTGTAAGCCAGTTAAACTGTTTAAGAGAGTCGACATGTCCATCTCTGGAGATATCCGTTTCAGTCCTTTTCTTTCCTCTTCAAGCAAAGGACACTCAACTAAAATGTGATGAACTGTTTCCAGCTCTCCACATTTGCAGTTGTAACTATCCTTTTCAATTCCAAACTTTTTAAAACCATGCGCCAAAGTTGCCATGGCCTGTGCGAAATTGAGTAATATTACTCAAGATCCTTCGACTATCTTTCTTCATGATCACTCCCGTAACCATTTTGGAAAGATTATCAGTACATTTCGACTCCACTGTGATATTATGATACCACAGATCCTTACTGCTGTTCCAATACATTTCTTGCCATTCTTCCATTGCTTGTTTTTTCAAAATTCCAATCGTCTGATTTTGTTGTTGTTTCAGTGTAAGAGGTTCAACCCTCTTGCATTTTCGTTTTTCATCTATTTTAATCATATAGTCTCTATCATCTTTCGCCAACATGTAAAGCGTGGTTAGCTTTGCAATTGGAGATTTCTCAATCAATGTTAACAAATGACCATTAATAGGATTAGTTTTGCTAATATTTAGGTGTAAACGAATAGCTTTTCGTGCCACCATAAATTTTAGCCTAATACTATATGGCATAATACCAGCTTCCTTTTGTAGTACCGCAATAGGAGTTGTGCGATAAGCACCAACAATTCTTCTTAAAGCCATATTCTGCATTACTTCCAACTTGTGGATTTCTCCTTTCAAAATTTTGTGATGCCAAATTTCTAAGCCATATTCGACAATTGGTCTCACGCAAGCAATATACAGTGATCTGACTGCAGACCCTCGCATACCTTTTGCACGCCACCAAGATGCCAAATAGCACCAACAGCTTTTCTTGCTTTATTGATTTTATTCAAAATATGAGATTTAAAATCAAGCAGATTGTTCAAAGTAATTCCAAGCAATTTAACTTCCTTCTGGGGTTCACGAAGTTCTCCATTAGGTAAAGTAAGTTGCACTTTCTCATCTTTAGGTTTCACATTTTTGTAAAATGAATAAAACCCAATTTGTCACCCAAATCAATTTTGGTCATTCTTGATTTAGCCCAATTACAACATTTTTCTAATATGTTGCTTAAGCTTTTGGTATTTTCTTCAATTTTACCTTCAACGGTAATAGTCACATCATCAATAAATAAAGCCAAAAGGAGTTCCACCCCATTCTTTAATGGCATGATACATTGGTGTGGAATATATCAAAAAAGTAGTGGTGAAATAGGTGAGCCTTGCGGAATTCCAGTACTAATTTTTGTACTGATCCTTTTCTTCGGTCCATGAGCATACTAGCTTCTCTTTCACTTACAAATTGGTACGTCCAGTTTATAAGTGCTTTGGGTAGTTTCATATCCTCCATTGTGTGTGCCAATATATTTCTGTTAACATTATCAAAAGCTCCTTGAATATCAATGAGCATAGCTGAAATTTTTTTCCTTACTAGTTACAATTCTTTGGACAAGTTCCAAAACAGCATCAGTAGCACAATAACCTTGTCTTCCCCATATTGCTCTGGTGGAAGTAAGTGTGTTGTAAGCTTGGTCATTCTTTTTGTATAATTTTTTCCAGTACTTTAGATGGAATCTTAAGTAAGGAAATTGGTCGGTATGCTCTTGGCTTTGAATAGTCAGGTTTCTTAGGTTTAGGTATAACAACAATAATGCCATGTCTCCAGACTTTTGGGTGGTATCCAAACTTCACACAAGCTTGGAGAAGCTTGAAAACCTTTCCTTAAAGTCTTTATTCAGCCATGCCATCTTTAAAACTTTGCCAGTAATTCCATCGTCTCCTGGAGCTTTATCATTTGGGGTATCAGCCAATGCAGAGTCAACTTCATCAAACTCTAATTTTGGCCATCGAGAATCGTCATCAATTTCAAACTCTCTATCAAGACCATGATCAATTTCAGGTAGAAGTGCCTTCCATATTTCATGTCTTTTTTCGTCAACAGTAGTAGTGAGAGTTCCATCTTCTTTTCTAATTTGTGGTATAATGGTATCATTGCTTTTTGGATTAATATACTTCAAAATCTTCCAAATGTCATTTCCTTCTAAACTAGACAAATATTTATTCCATTGCTCAGTACTTGCTTCACGCAAACTGTGGTCAAAAATTTTTCTAGCTTTTTTCGCCTCTTCAATTTTTTGTCGTTTCAAAGCCAAAGAAGGTTGCCTTTGACGGGCTTCCCTTTTAGCTTCTAGCGCTTTTTCTAACTTCTCCTTAATTCTTGATTCCAATAACGTTTGGACTTTTTCATCACCTTAACTTCCTTCATCGACTTTGCCATTGCTCTTTTTACAACCTCCTCAAGAACTTTAGCTTGGTCATCAATTTGGTCAGTTGATTTTAGAGTTTTGTTATGCACATTAAAATCTTTAATGGCAGAAGAAAGCTCCTTGTCAAACTTTTCCCAATCTGCATTCTTAATATTCAATCTCTTCACCGAAGTAAAAACTTCATCCCCGTTTTACTCTGAGACATATAGATGTCCCACTCCACAATTGAGTGATCACTTAGTGTATTTTCATCCACTCCACTAAATGAAATTCTATGAAGTAAGTCCACTGAGCCATAAACCAAATCAATATTGGTTCTATTGTTGTATGTTTTTGATTTCTTGGAGTAATTAACATCATATCATTTTCATGTAGCCACTCAACAACTTCATCTGCTTCCGTATTCGGACCTGCCCTTGACTCCCATTCCTTGTGATGTAAGTTATAATCACCTGCAATGACAATCTTTGAGTATTGTTCCTTGATCTCCCGTTTGAGAAACTCAAAAACCGGTGGCTCAGGGTATTTCTTGGATGGTTTCGGTTGATTATAGACATTGACAATTGTAATGTCTTTAACCAAAATGGTAACCATATCTCGATTTGTAAACTTTTCAATTTTAGTAGTTAATGCTCGTAAGTCAGAGTTAGACCTAATATAAGTAATTGCTCTGCATTTATTTTTTTCTTTTCCAGTTTCTGTAAAGATTGGGATCCAATCTTTATGTTTAATGGGCCCATAGTTGTTAAAGTAAGGTTCTTGTAATAACAAGATATCAGGTTCTTTTTTATCTAAGATAGTTTCAGTAATAGATTTCGATTTATGACAATTGAGTTGGAATACTTTATAATTCATTGGATGTATTAGAATTGTTTTCGTTTTCTTCCTCATTGGATTCATCTAGTTCTTCAATATTTGTTTCTTTCATCGGTTCATCTTGTGAGTCGTCAGTGGAAACAGGATGGGCCTCATTATCCTTTTTGTCTGATTCATTTTTCAATAATCGTATCTTATTACGCATAGCTTGGAGTTCTTCAGGAGTTTTTTTCCTGCTAATAAAAGGTCTAACTTTAACTTTTGTGTACTGGATAATAAGATTATCAGCACACTTTGCATAGTCTTGGGCATTTCTGAATGAAACCAATGCTGTTTGGGTAAATTGGTTTCTGCTAATGATTTTGGGTTCGGTATTCAAAACAATATGGTAATCATTAAAATTGTAGAGAGTTTCTTTCAAGTCTTCAATCGATGCCGTATTAGGTATTTCCTGAAGTACAGCCTTGTACCAAGAATCTGTGTCAAGCACTGAATAAGTAGGGTCAACTTTGGGGATCCATTCTGCAGCTTTATCAGCAAAATCTTTGTCATTAAGTTGAACATATAAATGCCCTTTGACAGTATAGCCTATTTCCTGAGCCACCGGCTTTTGTGCAACCGCATCAATTTTCTTTCCAATCGCAGGGATATTAACTCTTTTCATGGTATCTGGAATTCTTATGCACACTCTAAAAGTGGGTTTGTCTTCATCAACTTTAGTTTCACGGTGTTGTTTTTGAGCCTTCATAATGTCTTTCAACTTTGGAGTTGTTCCATTTGGGGTTTTAGGGGTCAAAGCAAAAGGCAAAGTGTCGACTTTTCTTACCGCGCTCTTGATTTCCTTTTTTGCGTAGCTAAGTTCTTTGGTAGTTAAATCAGCCTTAGTTGAAATAGTTCCAACTTTGTATTCCATATTATCAACTCTTTTCTCAAGATTGTTGGTCATTTCTTTGAATTCCTTGATTTCAGTGTCGATAATTCTTTTGTTTCTTGCTTTTTCTTGAGACAAATCTTGAAGAGTCATCTTAGCTATTTCATCAGCTTTATGTTTCACTTTATCGCAATGATCCTTATTATCTTTAACTTCCTTTTTGAGTTTTTCAAACATTACATGTTTAACTTCTGTGTGAACCTGATTGTTTCTCAAAACATCAAGTTCTGAGCGAAGAGAATTCACTTGTCCTTCTGAAGCTTTAAGCTTTTCGGTCAAAGCAATGAGTTGTTTAGCTAACTCATTGTTTTTAAGTTCAAGATTTTGAAATTTTATTTCCCAATCTTCAATTGTAATACTCAAGTCTTCTTTAACAATAGACAATTCAACCAGAAATACATCCTTAAGTTTTAAGATGTATTCCCAGGCTTCAGAATTATCACCAAATGGATTTGCATCCGGCATGAGAACATCCATGTCACGTGATGGTGTTGCGTCAATTTCAACATCACCACCATCTGGTGAGGAGTCAAAGGTAGGGTTCAAGGTTGGACCAACATTCACAATAGGGGTTTCAACGGGGGTTTCGTGGTTTGAAGAAGCGTTATGCTTATCATTCGATTCAAGCTTTTTGTGGATAGTTTCAATTTTTTTATGGGAGTCTGGTTTTTCATTATTTTTTTGGATTTTTGTCGAGGGTTTGATGTGATGAGCTTCATGAGAATGAGGTCCTCTGGAATGAGAACTTTCTTTCTCCTTCAGTTCAACAGCAATAATTTTTTGCATATCATTAATATTAGTCTGTTCATTATTATTGTCGGTATAATTATTGTCGGCAGGGGGGTCGCCGCCACTAAACGTGGTTTGGTTGTTGTTGGGGGGGTCTGACATTTTTTTTTTTTTCTGTTCAATAATTTTAAGGGATGGTTGGTTTATAAATCATATCAAGTTTGAAATGACCAACACTCCAGGGTTATTCAAATACCCCACCAATAGTGATGCGATTCATTGGCTGCGTACCAATTTTATTTTTATTTTGATGCCGATCATGATGAATTGTCTGATATGCAAATTCCACTGTAACAGGCAGCTAAAAAAATGAAGGAAGAAATAAATCCAATACCTTTTTAGTTTTAAGTTTCTGGATAAGATTTTTTTTGCAACACAATATTGATATTTAGTTGTTGTGAGTTTAAAGAAAAATGCGTAGGTGAAAATTGAAATTATATAAGTTATGCCATAATATCAATTAATTTCAAAACTTCATCTATTCGCTATAATTTTTAAACTATACAAAACTTTTAAACATGTTGGAAAATAGCAGAATTCACAAGTTGAGTTCGGTATCCCTTTTTTTTGCCGCCACATATCTAGTAACATAGATGCATAAATAACTTAAGTTATATATTTTCGTTTTCATAATAAACTTTTAATTTGACTTTAACATTATTTCTCCAAGAACCTAAAAATAAGTTTTGACTCCAGATCAAAAAAAGGGATCAAATACCAATTTTTTTAAATTATTTGCACTTGTTTTAATTAACTTCAAGCCAAATTTATTGTTTGTTTGTTTGTTTTTATTCAAGGGTTATAGAATTATATAACATTAGCATCTGCGCTATCCTTCTTGTCCATACTATATATCTTTTCATTTTGATAATAAACTTTTAATTTTGGCTTCAACATTGCATCTCCAACATCCCGAAAATAAATTCTGATTCCAGCTTATGAGAAACAAGCCAAATTTGTTTGTTTTGTTTGTTTGTTTTTATTCAAGGGTTAAAGAATTATATAAAAGCCAAATTGTTTGTTTGTTTGTTTGTTTTTATTCAAGGGTTATAGAATTATATAACATCAGCATCTGCGCTATCCTTCTTGTCCATACTATATATTTTTTCATTTTGATAATAAACTTTTAATTTTGCCTTCAACATTGCATCTCCAACAGCCCGAAAATAAGTCCTGATGCCAGCTTACGAGGAACAGGGGGTAAAAGCCAAATTATGTTTGTTTGTTTGTTTTTATTCAAGGGTTATAGAACTATATAACATCAGCATCTGCGCTATCCTTTTATTGTCTGACTATGTGACTTGCCGGTTTTCATTTGTACCTTTTTAGTACTGGTGGTTTCTGTTCTGTGCGTCTCCGGTAGCCCGGAAGATGGGCCCTGATGCCAGCTTACGAGGAACAGGGAGAACCAGTCTGTCGGTCCCAAAACCTTCCCAACCCATTTCCACTTATCTTCACGGACGCCCATGTATTTCTTAATCTCTTCCGTCAGAGATACGGCCCGCAATCACCTGCAGGCTATTTAGACTGTACGGAAGAGTCGGCATTCCTGTAACCAGGGTAGCCTATGGTTTTCAGTCTAGGTGTATACTCCCGTACACATCCTCAGGAAAAGGGGGTATTCTGGGAATAAAAGCCAAATTGTTTGTTTGTTTGTTTGTTTTTATTCAAGGGTTATAGAACTATATAACATCAGCATCTGCGCTATCCTTTTATTGTCTGACTATGTGACTTGCCGGTTTTCATTTGTACCTTTTTAGTACGGGTGGTTTCTGTTCTGTGCGTCTCCGGTAGCCCGGAAGATGGGCCCTGATGCCAGCTTACGAGGAACAGGGAGAACCAGTCTGTCGGTCCCAAAACCTTCCCAACCCATTTCCACTTATCTTCACGGACGCCCATGTATTTCTTAATCTCTTCCGTCAGAGATACGGCCCGCAATCACCTGCAGGCTATTTAGACTGTACGGAAGAGTCGGCATTCCTGTAACCAGGGTAGCCTATGGTTTTTCAGTCTAGGTGTATACTCCCGTACACATCCTCAGGAAAAGGGGGTATTCTGGGAATCGAACCCAGTATCTTCCGCTTTCGAGCGAACGTGTTATCCTTTACACCATCCAGCCCTTTCCCACTAAAAGCCAAATTAATATTTTAAGTTTTTTTAGAAAAATAAAAGAAAGGAAGGAAATAGAGGTTTTTAAATTTTGACATTAACGATATCCGATATAGTGTAATGGTTATCACCTCACGCTCTCACCGTGGAAATCGGGGTTCGATTCCCCGTGTCGGAGATTCTTTTATTTTTTTATTTTAAATAAGCTTCACTTTGATTTACAGGCATAATACATTTCGAACGTACACAACTGAATGCACTTTTTTTTTGACTAGATTAGTGTAGAATGATGCCGGACACTGAATCTGGTGACTCTTTTCCCTCCAATGCGATATACCGCAGGGGAATCCCCATTTTGTGCTTTCTATTGCTATAGATTCTAGTCCTTTTATTAGGACTCTGTTCAACACTGGGAGTCACTGGGTGGTTGTTGTGAAGCCGGGTAACCCTACATCATACTGATTATTTATTTCAAAAAGAAACATCTCAAGAACCATAAGTATCACCACCACAATTTGTACAGCACGTTATGACATAACACAAACTCTAGAAGAAACTGAGCCTATCTTAAGATCAAAGGTGAAAGGTGAGAACAGTGAGAATGGTGAGAAGCTGAGCCTACGTGAATATGAAATCTAATTATTTATATCTAGACTATTATTTTAATTCAATAACTACTTTTTATAACTTAGTTATAATATTATTTAAAATACACTGGAAGCAAGACTGCACTTATATTTTTGTGAAATCAAACAGAAAAAGAAAAAAATCCTACAAAATCATTGCGTGCAATGAACCCTCAAGATAAAAATTCTTCTACTTTGCCCCATGGTTCTATTGCTACTAATCCATTGGTTGATTCAAGAAACCAACCTCCACTACAACTTCTTCCTCAAAATCTAGATTCTTCAATTCAGCAGCCACCTTTTCCTCAAAATCCGGTTCCTCAATTTCAACAACAATTTATTTCTTCAAATACTCAGCGACAAGAAATTCCTGGTATTCGACAAATACCTTTGTCTTCAACTTCAGAATCCTATTCAAACTTTAACAGAAATTTTACTCCTATTTCGTCTAATACTAATAAAAATGATCAATTTTTGTCTTCTAATACTACAAACATTCGAAACCAGTATCAAAATGAACAACCTGAAACCAGTATTTCTTCATCAATACCCTCTGCACGTAATAAACATTATCACCCAAGGCCGTTGCCCCCAGTGAGGGATATCCTTTCGATAAATTTATCTGACTCTGATTCATTTGATGAAAATTCAAGTACTGATAGTAGGTTTTATTACATTATTTTATTTTTACTCTGCTAACTTTTCTAGACTCTTTTTTTTGTTCCGAAATCGACTACTCTGATGAGGATGAAGATGGAGACGAAGACGAAGACGAAGACAATGATGAAAACGAAATTCGCCATCTATCACATGATTCTCAAGATAGTTTCTTAAAAATGAAGTCTCGAAATCCTGCCGATGTTTTGGCAAGCTACCATAAATTTGTCGCAACTTTGCTAACCACCATAAACAGGTTTAACAAGATCTTTAAAAGTGGAGATGAAAACCTTCAAGCTGCTAGGTTTTTTCTCATGGTAGAATTCTATCTAAACCGATCCTCTCTTCAGACTTATGACTCGGTAATCAAACAAATTTCATATCAGTCTCTAATGGAGATGAACGATATCATCAAGGAGTTTGCAAGCATCCTTAACAACATGAAACCCATTAAAATAAATGACTTAGTGATGCCTTACATGGGTGTTCCTTTACCTGGCTTCATAAAAGTATGCAGTCATGGCCATTATCCTTTGTTCAATGAATCTGCTACTCTTCCAAAGTGCCCAATTGAAAACTGTGAAAGTATTCCCACTAGTAAGACTTACTTCAATGGTATTATACCTTATTTAGTATTAGCTCTTAAAGACCCCATAACTGCTAAAATGATGAGGGTAGGTCCTAGCAAAAATGATCCAAGTGTAATAGACAGTTTTGCACAAGGAAACCTATTTAAGGATCGTTGCTTTGAAACTGCTGGTAAAAGCGATTTACATGTTTATGTTTCACTTTTTAGCGACCAATTCTCTCTCTTTACTTCAGCCACCACCAAATATAATGTCATTATTGCTCTTATCGACAATCTTCCACAAAGTGAGCGTGTAAAAAAAAATAATCGAGTGACGATTTATGCCTACCCTACTTCTCATGAGGAAAAAAACAATCTTCGTGATAAAGTAGAGAATATCAATTTTGACAGCAGGTTTCCTGTAGGGGAAAGCGACGTCAGCGCTTTCTATATGATTATTGCAGATCATTTTAAAACTCTTTCTGATGTTGGGTTTCACACCTATGACGCTAATTTAAAGGAAATGGTCCGAGTTTACGTTCATCTTCAAGCATTTGGAGGAGATATACCGGCTATTACCTTGGCAATGGGGCACAGCGGACCAACAGCTGTTCGACCTTGTTTGTACTGCTCTATACCTAAGAGCATTGATACAAACGACAAGAGGGGAGTTCTCACAGCTAGACCTTCTGATTCTGAAGGTAAAAATTCTTTGCATCAACCTTATGATAAGCAATGGTACTTAAATACAGTCGAGCCAGTTCTTGAAAGTCTCCGACAAAATTCTGGGAGATTTCATCAGCCTACCTCAGCAGAGAAGAGTGATTTGGGATTTTGGGCGCACTCAGCGGTTGTCCATTTAAAAACGATCTCCTTTCCTCACTCTTTCCCTTTTGATCCCATGAATATATTTTTTGAAAATATAACTCTTATGTTTTATCAAATCAGTACTGAATCTATTAACGACCAAATAGTAAATTCTGATTTGAGGGAATTCACTTTTTCAGTGATGGAGAAAAAGATTTTCAAAAGAATACTCATGACTGTGAATCAAAGTTTCGACACCATCTTTCTGGGCTCTGAATTTAAATCAACAAGATTTGCTCGTGGCCAATTTGACGGGATTAAGACTGCTCAACTAGAGGTTTTGTGCTATCTTATGCCTATTGTCCATCACCAGTTACAATTCAATGATGTTTTTCGTGAAGAATCCTCTAAAACCCTTGATATTTGGGATATATTTGCGGACTTTTCTATTATGATAAAAATTGCAAATGGGAAAATTATTAAAAGATCCCATTTGGATGGCATTGGGAAAAGTTTTGAAACACTCGTTAGAGATTACGAGTTCACTATTACTCATGGCTACAAGGACAACTTCCCTCTTTGCACCTTGCCCATTCATTTGTGCACTCATACAGCTGATATTATTGCTATGGTTGGACCTCTGTCACAATTTAGCGGTTACACTGTGGATAGCTATGAGGAATATAACGAAGATGTCACAAGTAAAACTTCTGAAATTTCGGAATTTGTCACGTCTCAGGCTAAGCACCAACAATTGCTCACTATTGCTCAATGCCTTATGAATTCCGTTGAAAATGCTATTCGCATAGGCTCCACCAAATTTTCCATGGAAGCGAAACCATTCGGTCGTACTATAGACTCAACCTTTAAGTCTTACCAAGGCATTGTCGAGAGACAGATACACGAGGAGTTAAGATCAAAGGGACTTACCTTAGAGGAAACATCTTTTAAATTGAAGGAGCAGAACAACTGCCGTTTCAAGTCTATCACGTTTACAGGCTATGATATTACCATCAAACTTGGTGATTTGGTTCGCCTTCACCCATCTCACTCTGATCTGACAGTAGCAACAGAAAGTTTTCAATACTGCAAACTGTTGGATATTGTGGAGTGCTATGACATTAAGGTTAAAAGTCAAACACAAAGCCAAGCTGCTAAACCAAAATACGGCAGATATAATCAAACATTCATTGTTGTTGTTCCACTTCCAATTCGATATGTTTATTCCAAACGTAACAAATTGACAAGTGAACCAGCCGAGAAACTGGTCCGTTGTAGCTACTGGTATAAACGTGAAGTAGTTTACGATAAGGTTTTTGTTGTTCCTTTGGAAAGGGTTGCTAATCCTGCTTATTTTATTCATCTTGATAACTTAAACGAGTTAGGTGTACGAGACGAGATAAATTATGTTTATGATCCATACGTCGCCTGCCGCATTGACATCAATGGTGTCTTTGAAGATGTTCTTACGCGAGATCTAGACGTCGACATCAACAGTCATTTGGTAGAGCCCTTCAAAGAAGCGGGGCTTGGTGATCTTGTAAAAGAAAATAAAAGGAGATTGGGAAATAGTAAAGTCTCTGATTTTTTTGAAGATTTGTCTTTGGACTAAGTCAAGTCAAGTCAAGTCAATTTATTTTTATTTTTTGTTTTTTGTTTTTTGTTTTTTGATAGCATGATTTCCATATATGAATTATATTGTGGATTGAGTGGATTGTATAGACCCTATATTTATCAAATTAGTTTCTTAGAAAAAGTTTGCAATTTGGTTTTAGATAAATTCCTAAATGGGACACATTTTTTGTTAATTTGAAAGATGTGTTTCAAACCACCGAGACTCGGGTAATCAGCGCCTTATTCCTTTTAAGTTTTTTACTTTACCGTAAAAGCACTTTTAAACTTAGAAAAAAAAGAGGACACAAACTAATCACAATCATGTGTAAATTTTTTTTTTTTTAAAAAAAAAGAAAAAAAATTCAAGATGTAGTCTTTCAACTTTTGGAATAAAATAAATTAATTCGAAAGCATAAAAAAGACTTATTATCTTCGTTGTCAATCAACCAACAGAATAAATATTGGTTTGCACACATAATTATGTAAAAGATATTTTTAAAAATACATGCAAATATTTAAATATGTAATTGGTTCCACTAATGAATTGAGGCTTGATTTTAAGAAACTTTTATAAGAATATTAGCTTAAAAAGAAAAAAAAGAGGTATTTTTTATTTAAATTTATAATTATGACTCCAGAAAGAAATAAAAACAAATAACATTTATCAATTTGTACAGTCTAGCCTAAAAAAACTCCTGCGCACCTTTTATGAATTTTTTAAGGTATATTTGATGATTGAAACCAAATAAGAATATTCTTATCTGATTACTATTAATGGTAATTGGGGAAGTCTTGTGTGACAAATAATTTTAAATTAGAAGTTAGAAATGGTATTAAGTAAAGTATTATTACATTCTTGAAAAGAATTATATAAAAAAATTGAGGTATCCAAAATACTTTTTTTTTTTTTTTAGATTTTTGATATCATGATAGTCTAAGAAAAATACTTGAGAGCCTGAGAAAAAAAAATATCATTGTCGATGTCTTTGAAGTATCTTCACGAAAACCCGGAGTTTCTTACAGCAATTCTGAATAGAAGTATTCAGTATAAGGGGTATTATGCAAAAATTAATGGTAAAACAGCTTGCAGACCATTTTGCAAATCTCGAAAGAAAGAGAACATTTTGAAAGACAAAAATCTAGTTTATTTTGAGACAGAAAATGAGGTTAAGGAACACCAGTTTGAATTTTGTAAAAAGTGCGAAAGTGGTATTTCTCCAGAAAAAAGAAAAATGTTGATTAATCTCATAATACTGAAAAGTTGGTTGAATGAAAAAAAAAAGATTTCATTAGAAGAGATCATAAGTAAACTAAAGAAGTATAATGCCGATGTTTCTATAAGTCATATGGTCAGAGAATATTCTAAGAGAAATAATCGAATTACAATTGGAAACTATATCGCTGAATTAAAAAATTTACATGGTAAGTTATTTCTAACAATAAATCAAAAATAATGAAACTGTTTTTCTTTTTTTTTTTTTTTTAGAACAATATTAACTAACATACTTAGATGATGAATTGAGCAACAAAATCAAAATTTTGGAAAATAAATTAGCCCCAATTGAAGTTCCTATTGTCAAACCACCAAAAAAAAATTCCCATTCACAGATTTATCAACCTTCAGAAAATCTAAATACTGAAAATAAACAATTGTTGAATCATGAAGTTGAAATTGACTGTATTACATCGGAGCAGATTGATGAACAAGATACATGCACACCTGTAGATCCGAGTCAAGGATCTTTAGGAAATTCGGTGTTTCCAAACTCAAAACTTGGGGTCAACTCAGGGTATTGTCAGACTACTTATGAGCCAAATACATTTGATTCAATTGTGTGTCCAATTCCTGACTCTTTAAAAAATCGAGCCTTTCAATTAATTCAGATTCCATCAAGAGATCCAACTTGTACTGAAAATTCGCCGATTTCAAACTGCCAATTGGAAAATTTGCAACCTCTTGATGTACAAGGTGAGCCTTTTTTTCCAAACCAAGATCCTAAGGCAAATTTAAAGCTTGTTTTTGAGCCTGATATACCTGTTCCTTGTCTTCCCGAGTTCAAATTTCTAGATAATTCGTCAATTGAAATTTTCGGTGAAACATTTAATACATTAAATCAAGAAATACTGGAATATTGTTTGATCTTGAACAATGGTTAAATGGGCTATTTCACAAAAATTTTAAAAATATTTAATTATAAGAATGATTGTTGATTAAACAAATGGAATCCGTTAGTGACTTGTTTTGGTATCTATTGAAAAGAGAAAACCAAAAAAAAAGATATTACTTTTGTATTATTTTTTTTTTTCATATTTATTAAAGTGAGTCGTTAATGAATTCCATTTGTTTAATCAACAATCATCCTTATAATTAAATATCTTTAAAAATTCATATTAAAAAGAAACAAAAAAAATCATTTATTTTTTATTATTTCAAGTAAGAAAAAAAAACTCCATAAAAATATATAAAAAAAAAAGATAAAACCCGGATAAAACTGAAAAGGAAAATGAAAACTAAAACTAAAAACTAAAAACTAAATTTCGTGAATACTTAAAGAAGGGTTATGTCGTTTCATTCATGAAAAGCACATAATTTTATAATCATTAGTAATTATTACATAATTTAATAATTAATTAATTAATTAATTAATTAATTCATTTTTTAACAAGGCTTGTTTTCTTAAACTCCATTTTTAAATCGCAGATAAATAAAAATCCCATCTTTACAGTTTCAACACGTCTTCTTCTTCTTCTTCTTCTTGCTTCATCTGTTTTAAATTTTTTTTTAAAAAAAATTCATTTTAGACAAAATTGTGTCATTAAGAATTCTACTCTGCTGATTTTATTTTTTTTTTTTTCATAAACTATAAATTGATTAGAATCCGTCTTCTCTCTTTTTTTTTTTTTTGTCCTCTACATAAAATTTTTTTATTGTCTGACTTAGACGTAAAGATTGACAGATCAAGGTACCACCCACCCCATAATAATTTTTTCTTTCTTTTTTTTCTGCCTGGTCCACTGCCATTCCATCTAATATCAATTGTATATAAATCTTCTCAATCTTTTAAACTAATAAAAAAATGTCATTATATCTTGGATTACGTCCCTCAGCGCGCCATAACCTGGGCCTGTGTTATCGCCGATACGCGTCTACCATTGCAACTAAGCCTGCCGCGACAACTTCGACTGCTTCCAAATCCACATACACACCTCGATCCACCACAACTCCAACAAGAACTGCTTCTAGTACCTATAACAATGCTTCCTCTACAACTACAGCCAAACCTGTAGCTACCTCAACGTCCTCCACAGCAGCTGCTCCGTCGTCATCTGCACCTACTGGTTCATCTACCGGCGTTGCCGCCTCGCCTATTGCGATTGGACGCAGCGTTTCCGGGACTCAACCTTATTCTTTATCAGACTCGCCAACTTCTTCTTCTTCTTCTTCTTCTTTTTCTACCTCTGCCTCTTCCTTCTCTACTGAGGTTGACTGGTCACGGAGTTATCTTGGGCTTGGGTCAGCCCCGTTTGGCGAGAAAACGGCTAAAGTACTTTCTGCACCCGTGTCTGAGGACGAAATTGAGATTAAACCGGACGGCATGATTTATTTGCCGGAGATTAAGTATCGCCGAGTGCTCAATCGCGCGTTTGGACCTGGAGGATGGGGGTTGGCTCCACGCAGTGAGACACTCATTACCCCACGAATGATTACCCGCGAGTATGCTCTTGTGGCTCATGGCCGGCTTGTTGCTGTGGCCCGGGGTGAGCAGGATTACTTTGATGTGTCAGGGATTCCAACGGCCACGGAGGGATGCAAGAGTAATGCTATGATGCGATGCTGTAAAGATTTGGGTGTTGCATCTGAGCTATGGGATCCCAAGTTTATTCGTGCTTTCAAGAAGAAGTATGCTCACCAGGTTTTTGTCGAATATATTCCCACCAAGAAGACCAAGAGCATTTGGATGCGCAAGGATGACGAGGTGGTTTATCCTTACAAGAAGACTTAAAGTAGATGTCAATAATTTGTAATTATAAAAAAAAGAAAGAAAGAAAGAAATAAAGAAGAGCTTATCAAGAGTATTAACTACATTGAAAATATGCACGATAACGGTTTCTTATTGTAGCGTATTTTTACACTTATAAAAAAATATAAGGAATGTGTGACATCTTGCTATAATGTATAAAATAATGATAAATCAAGGATAGGAAAAAAAAAAAAAGGAAAAGAAATGAAAGACATTGACATTCGAAGAGTAAAGAAACGTTTAACATGTGGACTCTTTCATATTTTTTCACTCTTGCTTAATGCTAGATCCAGAAGAACTGCTACTGCGTCTCCATCCAAACCAGCTCGAGGATCGACGTGCAGGAGATGGAGGCAACAAGGGCGCGTTTGGATCGGACGAGGTTTCCGAGTAAGGTGGAGGTGGAGGGCCTCTAAGAAGCGACGATGTGGCATCACTATTATCGTGCTGACCAAGGCTCACGGGATCAGCAACACTATTGGTGCCGGAGCCAAAGCGGGAGCCAGAGCGGGAGCCAGAGCGAGAGCCAGAGCGGGAGCCTGAACCTGAACCTGAACCAGAGCCGGTGGCATTACCGCGGGGGACATGGGTATCATCGTATTCACTATAACGCACAAAATCAAAGTCCATATCGCTTGCAGAAAGCGAAGAAGTGGAGTCCCGGTTATGCTGGCGGTTAAATGCGGCGGTACCTGCAGGTGGCGCAAGACCTCCGTCAAACCCGGCATTTATTTTAGAAGAAGAACTGGAGGAAATTGACGACGCAGTGGAAAGCAGCGAGGATGTAGAGACCGAGGGTGGTAGAGAGACACCTGCTGCGCGCGGCTTGAGGGTGGTTGATGCCGAGTAAACTGATGCACCTGACGAAACTGCATCAAATTCGGAATCTTTTTTGGAGAGAAGGAGGAAATCAAGTTAGTAAAGAAAAAAAAATAAAGAAATAAAAAAAAAAAGGGGGAGGTTATAAGACATACTTGAAGCATGGGAGGGGAATGCGTTTAGCTGGGCATTGTATGCTTCCGGTGTAACTTTGGGCAAATGTAGACCAGTTTGGATGGCCGCTGCACCAGAACGAGCAATGGGTTCCAGGATAGAGTTCCAAAAAGTATATGAAGAGGCAGGGTATGCAGCAAAAGACTGGGCATCTAAAGGTGGGACATTTGAGTCTCGGGATCCAGGTCTGCTAGAAGTTGTAGGAGCTTGAGAAGAGGGGAAAGAAGATTGTGATGCAGCAGGTGCAGGATGAGATGACGATGAAGTCTGGGGTTGATCCATAACCAAAGAGGGTGGGCTTTTAAACTTGGAAAAGAAGGCATCAAGGTATGCTGGTTGGAAATCTTGCTGAGGGGCTTGACGTCCACTCAAAGGGCTTTGTTGAGAAGAAGAAGAAGAAGAATAGGAAGACTTGAAGATCTTGGAAAAGATTGCGCCTGCGCTAGTATCCAGATCAGGTTGATTTGATGATGAAGAGAAGAAAGAAGAGAGTTTGGAGGTTGCACTACTACTAGTTAGCCCAGCGGCAGTGTTGTTGTTGTTATTGTTGTTGCTGGTTTGGGTATTATCGTTGTAGTTATTTTTAAGCTGTGATTGTGGTAGAGCTTGTTGCTGAAAGAACTGCTGGGGGGTTTGTTGCTCAATGGCAGGGAAGTCGCGGACTTTAGATCCTGTTGCAATGTGCAAGGCATACTCCTTTGCATAGAAGAGGAGTTTTGCAAGATACTCTGTGGAAAGGGAGTAAAGTTTGTAGTGAATTTTGGCAATGGTTTTATCAATTTCACTCTCGTGTTCTGTGAGAAAGGGTGCAATGTAGCTCATGTAGATCTGTGTTGCACCTTGAGTCTGGGGGAGGACCATCCAAAGGGTGAAGAGGAAGCGGAAGAATTGGAAAAAGGGGACAAAGAAAAAGAAGATCCCTAAATAGGACTCAATGGTCAGCTGGATGGAAACGACGACCCAGTACATGAGCCATGAGCGGATAAGTGAGACATCATTTTGCTTGAGTGCACGGAAAGAGCCTAGGACTGGGAGGGCAGTATTTGCGAGAGAACTATAGAAGAGATAGCATTAGAAAGAACAATAAAAACTTTGTAGAGGTTATCAAAAATTTTAATTACCTGAGGAACTTGAAAAAGATATCAAACATTGTTTTTTTTTTTTTTTTTTTAGATACAAAGAAGATCAATCAATAGTGACAGGTTAAGCGCAGTAAAGAATGAAGATCAAGATTACAATAAATCACGATAGAGCAATAGGAACAAAAGATTAGGTAAGAAAAGAAAGTAGGTTTTATATAGAAAAAAAAAAAAAAAAAACAAGAATAAAAACCTTTAGAGAAAAGAGGAAGACTAGATGAGATTGTTTTATATTTATTATATATATATAAATATATATATATATTTATTTGGCTTGAAGTATTAATATTATGCGGGACAATAAGTGTAGATAAAGAAAAAAAAAAAAAAAAAGTAAGAAAGAAAGAAAGAAAGGAAAAAAAAAAATCCCGATTTTAATAAAAAAAAAAAAAAAAAAAAAAAAAAAAAAACAACAACAGCGGGTGTTGCGCACTCAAAAAAATTCTGCCGTACGACCACCAACTGCTGGTCATCGCCATTAATCAACCACCGGACATTATTATTATTATTATTATTATTATTATTAAAAGACATTACATGCACACTTTATATATATTTCTTTTGATTAAAGATATTTTTAGTATATAAAAAGTCATTTTTTTATAAATAAATATTTAACAATCAAAACTTTTTTATGATTTTTATTTTTTTATTTACTATTGATATAGACATATATACTTGATTTGCACAACAGTCTAATTTTGCCATTAAAATGAGCCCAGTTCATGCATTTGTAAAGCCTTTTGAAGACAATTAAAAAAGAAAAAAAATACATTAAAAAAAACAAAAAACCTTCGCTTCAACCTTCTTGTCAGAAAAGTTCATTTATATTATAATGAACTGAGAAAGAAATAGAATTATATATATATATATATATAAAAACAATTGCGATTTCGCTCATGTATATATATATATATATATTTTGGTCCACACGTGAGAACCACCTCAGTTATATATAATTATATTTATGTCCATCCTAACTTAACCCAACCCAACCCAACAACAATCTTACCTTCTTCCATTTTAATTTTATTCAATAACAATTATATATAAATATATATAAAATATTTCAATCTTTCATCAGTATTATTATTATTATTACCGTTAAATAAAATAATTCTTTTGTTAATTCACACGTGTTTCTCGCCACAAAACATCTTTATTTGGGTGGTTGAAACTGGGGGAGGGGAGAGGAAAGAGGGTTTTTTTTTATTTTATTTTATTTTATTTTATTTTTTCTTGTCCAAAATTGCTTCATACATGTGTGGCGCGTCTTTTTTAAATAAAAACTTTGTATATATATATATATATATATCTTTTTTGTCAGTTTTTACTGAGCTTTAAAGAATTAAAATAAATATATATATTAATAAAAATAAAAATAAAATAAAATAAAAATGATTTCTGTTTGGTTTTTAATCTTTTAATATATATATATATTTGATTTCTATTATTTCTATTATTTCCATTTTTTTTTTTCCCTCTTTTTAAAAAAAAAATTATTATTATTATCTCAAAAAAAAAAAAAAAAAAATTAAAAATAAAAATAATCTCAAATCTCAAAATAACCGTTATCAATCCTTCCTTCTTTCTAAACCCGCACACACACACTTATATATATATATATATGCACACATGACCACCAAAAGTCCATGCATTCAAAAATAATAAAAAAAAAAAAAAACCTCCAAGTTTTTTCCCCCACAAACTTCTAAGCCGTATCTAAAAAAAATAAAAAAAATAATTATTTTTTTCCGCCGCACATATACGCATCACTAGCATCACTTACATCGTTAAAATAGTTAAAATAGTTAAAATAGTTAAAATAGTTAAAATCATCAAATATTAAACAAATCAACCATCCAGCAAAAAAAAAAAACCTTTCAAACATCATCAAAGCTAATTTACATATATTTAATAAGTGAAAATCAAGATGTACATATAAAAAAAACATATATATATATACTCTTAAAAAAACAAACAAACTTTTTTTTTTCTTTACTTCTTACTCTCCCGTCTAATAACACAAAAAAAAAACACACCATTACTTATAAAGCTTGCCTTCCATTTATTCATCTTCCTTGGTCGCACGCTTAACAGCTGTGGTCTCAGTGGCCTTGGACGAAGTAGAAGCCTCATCCTCCTTCTTATTCTTCTTCTCAACCTCACCCTCCTTCTTTTCAACAGGCTCAACCTTCTTCTTGTCAGATGCAGCAGGCTTCTTGGAAGAACCAAAAATCAAAGACTTGAACAAGAAACCAATGGCACCCAAAATGCCAAAGAAAACAGCAAACAAAGTAAAGCCAGATGCAACAAAGGCCAAAAAGACAAGAGGATCAGCCTTAATGGTCTCAACAGGATCAAGTGAAAAGTTCAAAATAAAGTGACGGGCAGTCTCAACAACAAAGTCAACTGGATCATCCTTAAAGTGATCCAATCGAGTGGGGTATGACTTGCGGGGCTTATCGTCCTTAGGCTTAATGGATTCAGCCTTAGCATTCTCCTCAGCCTGTTCAATGGCAAGCTTAGGAACAAATGTCTTGTTTCCAACAAACTCAGCCTCCTCAACAGAGTGACCAAAGTAAAAATTATCAAACAAAATATTGTTCTGCATAGTCCACAACTCAATACCAACAGCACCAATGGGCTCAAGATCAGAAGGAGTCTTGTCCTCATAGTAATCAGGGTTAGGGATAAGTTTGGGTGCCCATTCGCCCTTGTAATCAGGATTGGGAATTCTGGGCTGTACCCACTTGCCCTTGTAATCAGGATTGGGAACAAGAGGAGCCTTCCAGGGACCACAGCCATGTGTCGCACACTCAGGGTTCTCAATCTCAGGAGCAACAAACTCTCCATCCTCCTCATCATCCCAATCTTCAGGCTTCTTGGCCTCAGGATCAGGAATGTACAAAGGCAATTCCTCATCCCAATCAGCAGGCTTGACAGACTTGGGATCAGGAATCTTAGCAGGAGCATCCTCATCCCAGTCCTCGGGCTTGATAGCATTCTCAGGATCAGGAATGGTAACATCGTCAACCCAATCCTCAGGCTTGGTATCATTGGGATCATCAACCTCCTTGGGGGGAGAAAGAGAAGGCAAAAGAACACCCTCATCAAGGAGATTGCCTGCACGGACAACCTTGCCATCGATACGGATCTCAAAGTCCTGTGTGGGCTTGATAATCAAAGTGTAAAGATTGGAAAGGTTGTTGAGACGAGCAGGAGGAGGATTCTTAAGATGCTTTTCCTCGTATTCACCAGTCTTGGGGTTCTTGCGGCGAATGATAAAGTGAACCTTGTTGGTAGAGCCACACTTGTCGGGGCCAAACATGACCTGGTAAGGGGTGTCGTTGCTAAACTCCTCAGCATGGAGCTTTTCATTTTCTGAAAGAAGCTTAATGTAAGCGCCACCGCACTCCAGAGTTTTCTGGAGCTTGACTTCGTACTGAACAACAAGCGTATTGTCCTTGTTGTCAATGGGCTTGTTAAACTTGGCAGAAATAGCGTGATGAGCAGCAGGACTCTTGACAACAAGACCCTTGTCACCCTTAAAGCCAGGGAAGACAGTGGGCTCTTCAATAGCCCACTTACCAACGTAGGAAAACTCGCCATCGGTACCAGCCTTGACAGCATTAGAAGCCTTCCATCGGCCAGCAGTATCATCGGTAAATTGCTCAAAAAACAAAGCGCCCTTAGGAGCAGCAAGAGGCTAATAAAAAGTTAGATGACGTGGTGAAAATTTTTTAAAAAAATCAAAAAATCAAAAAATTCAAAAACTGATAAAACTGATAATAAAAAAAAATCAAAAATCAAAAATCAAAAAATCACAATCATTCAAGACTTACCTCAAAAGGAGGATGCTCAATCTTGGGCTTTTCTTCCTTAGGACGAGAACTCTTGACATTCATCTTTGGGTTGCCAGCCTTGGGGGCAATTACGTCGTCGAAATTTAAATCCTGATCAATGTCAATGCTGGCCTTAACCGAAGCGGCGACCAGAGCCGAAAGCGCCAATTGCGAAAACTTCATGATATATGTTGGTTTTTGGATATATGTTTACAGATTAAAAATAAGAAATTGTCTCAAAAGAAAAAAAAAAAAAAAAAAGAAGGAAGGAAGGAAGGAAGAAAAAAAAAAAGAAAGAGAGAGAGAGAAAGAAAGTTTAAGGGGAGGGAAAAAAGACTTGTTCAAATATACTAATTTTTTTTTTTTTTCTTCTTCTGACGTTGATGATTCCAAGGTTGCAAGGTGGCCTTTTTTAAAAGGCTAAACCTAGAATATTCTACACAATCCCTCGTAACCACGCGCAAACGCGTTTCAAAAATGTCACGTGTCTTTTCCATTCGAGTCAAAATTTTCAAAAAAAAAAAAACAAAAAAAAAACAAAAAATATTTCATCTTTTTTTTCCAAATTTAACAAATTTCAACTATCACCAACATCATTAACACAATTAACACAATCATCACAATCAACACTGCCACCACCATAATCATTAATTAAAACTTGAAATACGTAGCCATTTGGTGAGTAACCTGTTAAGAAGTGCCTATATCCAAAATCAAAACTTATATTATTATTATTTCCCCCCCCCATCTTTTACCTCTTCCTTTTAGTTTATTATACATTAAATTTTTGACGTATTATAATAATAAACAACTTTTGAGCAAATAATTTACCACATATTTAATTCAAAATATTTGCAAAAAAAAAAAAAAAAAATTTTTTTTTTTTGAAAAAAGTCTTTAAATTAAATTATAATTTAATTATTATTTACAGATTTATACATAGCTGATATTATGATTCATTCTTCTTCGTAGCAGTGCATCAAACTTATTTGTCCAGCTAGCATCCTTTGCTCTTCTTCGTGGCAACTTGTCAAACTTGTTCGTCGTAACCAAGTGAGCCATCTTTATATTCATGAAACTATTAAGTTGTTGATATCATGTCCTTTTCAAAACAAAACAAAACAAAACAAAAAAGAAAAATAAGAAACATAGTTTTTAGCTTATCTTAGCTTTTACATTATTGTCATCAATTACAGACTTAAAACCACCATTAGTGATTGCACCTTCGTTTGCAAGTCTATCCGCTTGATCGTTACCATAATTGTCTGAGTGACCCTTAATATGAATAAACTCCACACATACTTCCATCATCTCTAAAATATACAACAATTGGTGCCCCTTTTCAATCAAATCTGCATTTGGCATTAGTCGTCCGTCCCCTCGTTTATACTTTCGCTCTTCCCATTTGCTCTTTAATATTGTCATCAACTCAATCGCATACTGTGAATCAGAGTATATGTTGAGCTGACTAGGCCTATCAATCTTTGCTTGCAAAAGTGCATCAGTCATTGCTGCAAGCTCTGCCCGGTTGTTGGTTTGTGGTCCAGGCCCCAATAGCCGGCTTACATTTCGCAAATCGTTCTTACCATAAAATACCCCAACTCCTGCAACAGCTCCCTCGATCCCATTTCCCCTAGACGACCCATCGGTATACACATTGCAAACTTCCCCACTATTCATACCTTTAAACTTTGGATTTTCTCCAATTGAGCCTGTTTCAATATAAATCATTTCATGCTCTCTAACTTCATATTCTTCAGGATCTATCAACCCTTTAAGGTGCTTCTTAGCATCTTCATATGTGTCAAATAGCTGCACCTGACCATCACCAAAGTTAAAAGAGTAATCTGGCATATTCACACTATAACTCGTATGTTAGCATAATGGTAATACGTTAAACATGTCACTTACCTTGTCTGAAAAATCTCATAACTATCGCCACATTGAATAACGTAAAATCTGCGTGTAGATTTGGTCAATTGATCATTATGCATAATATAAACCTCCGCGTCATCCTTATTTTTAAAGAGTCTATACTCGGCTTTGCGGTATCTATCTATTACTTCTCTGGTCTCTTCCCTATATAAAATAGTAATTTTCTCTTGTTAAAATTGTACTAGTACCAGTAAACCCCCCAAGTCTAAAAACTTACCATGTACTAAAAATTCCTGTTTTACGCCCTCGGCGTACGGCATAGTATCGACCATTGTCGTTACTTTCTTTTAAACTACTGTCATCTGCTTGCTTCACAAATGCATCAGCTTCTTCATATGAAGTAAATGCTTTCCATCTGGAATTTTTGAATTTGTCAACACTTTGGAGGGCATCCCCGCTGAGTTTGTTAGAATAAAGATACTGCCAAAAATTAACTCTCATACTTACAACTTTTCAAATACGCCTATTTCCCGACCTTGTTGAACAGCATAATATCTCTTCTTTTTGTCTTCGGGCGATTTCAAAGATGATGCTATTTTTAAAAAATTTTCAGCTTCTAGTCGATTAGAAAATGATTTCATATAAGAATCCTTATGGTTATCTGTTAAGCTACGAGCATGTTCACTAGATCAAACTTGACGTCAGTTAAATCAAAAGCCGTAAAAAAAATTTTTTTTATATATGCTTACAACGAAGTAAAAATACCACGATCTCGTCCCAAAGCTACTGCATAATATTTTTGGGCTTTATTAAAAGTATTTATATTTGTAGAAAATTTTCTAATCTTTTTCGATGAACCTCGTAAATTTATCGGTACCATATTTTCAAAATGTATAGTGTATATGGAGATTAAGGTACAATTAAGATAGCCTTTCGAAATCTGACTATTAAAAGCATTAAATTTGAAGATCTTTTAATTGATTATTCAAAAAAAAAAAAATAATAAATAAACTTACAAAATATGTGTATTTTGAGGGTAGCCCGATGCCACTAGGCAATTTATCTTCTCCCAAGTGTTGCAAGCTAAAGATTAGTTAAGTATATACAAAGTTGATGATATAGTTGAAAAACCCATAATTTCTGTTGAGGCTAGGGTTTTTTTTAATCACGATTTTGCACTAACTCGGTACAACTTTTCATAAACATATTTAAGTAAACAACTCCATTAATAAAAAAAAAACTATTTATTTAAGTTTGCTCCATTTCTCGCTAACCGATCGGCTTCTTCATTCCCAAGATGGCCTTTATGGCCTGGAACATAGTGAAACTGTATATCAACACTTTCTTTTTCCAACTCCTTGATTAGCTTACGACCAGTTTTAACCAAATCTTGATTTTGAACTGTAGTTCCATTCACAGTTTTATAATCCTTGTTTTCCCATTTATCTCCCCAAGATGTCATGCAATTAATCGAGTATTGGGAATCAGTGTATATGTTGACTTTCTCAGGTCGATCTTTCAAGGATTGATTCAGTGCCTCGTTCACAGCGGAAAGCTCTGCTCGCTGGTTTGTTTGTATTGTTCCAGGAAGAGGTTTGCTTACATTGCGCAAGTCTCCATTGCCATAATAAACTCCATAGCCTGCCCTAGCACCCTTTTGACCATTGCCAAGTGTGCTGCCATCTGTATAAACATCAACTACATTTTTTTTATTTTCTGAAGACCTAGTAATAACTGCACTGGAATAATTACTACTATAAGCCTGCTGAAAATTTATCGAAGAAGTTTGTATTTTTTTACTTGTTTTCGTGATATGTTGACTTGAACGGACGACAGGTGTTCTTGAAATTCTGGAGCTCGTATTCACAGATGTACTTTCCTGTCTCATATAAGCTTCAGCTTCTTGCAAAGTATTAAATGACTTGTGTTGGCTTCCTTTAAATTTATTAACCTGGCCCTGGGCTTCATCCCTATGTTAAGTTAGACAAACAGTACATTTTTTAAATGGAGAAAACGCTATAATTTACCATGAATCATAGACTCCTGGGTTGTTACCCTTTGCAACGGCGTAAAACTTCTTTCTAGCCATCAGTTATTTAAAATTTATCTTGTTGGTATTTGTAGTAATGAGAGAATTATAAACCTGGTAGGCAAAAAACGAAAACAAAAACAAAAAATTGGGGTTATAGAAAATGCGGAGAAACTCTTAACTTTTCAGAATAAACACTAATCAGTGTTCATGAACACATCTCAGTAGGTTGAAATGCAATGCAGCGGGTTAGGGCTCACGAAAATGGACCACAATCAAAATCTATTTTTGATTCCTTTGGTAACTTAATACCAGTAAATGATATCATTATTGTATTGAGTTTGTCCATATACTACTTATTTTTTTTTTTTTGCTCAAGTACAATAGCTAACCAGGTAATTAATTATTGTATTTTTATAGAAACTAAGTTTCTTTATTGTCATTATCGACCTAGTGCTCTAGAATAACGAAAAGGGAATAAGAATGCCAATTATATTAATTTTTTTTAAATACTCTATAGGACTTTGTATTAACTGTATTAACTATACCACGAAGAATACCTCTTAATAGATTCAGCGGACTACATTGTCGCCTCCTCAGATAATTCGTTGTCCAATTGTTTATAATCGTGAATCAAGGAAATGTTTTCCTGTTATCCTCAGCCATAACATCAGAGTTCATTTGAGCTTCAGAGCTCCGATGAGAATTCCTACTAAATTTGGAACGTCTCTGTCTGGAACGTCTCTGTCTGGAACGCTTCTTAATAGCATGAAAGTTGGAGGAGCTGTTCAAAGATCGTTTAGCAGCCTTTCTGCTAGAAAGAGGCTTCCATTTGTTCCACCAAGAGATACGATCTTTGGCGTTATACATATTGATTAACTTCTTATCGACCACAAAAGGTCCGTTAGCCACGGAGTCCAAGCGACCAAAGAAACTGGCATGTTCATTCGATAAAGAACTCATATACGCTTCAACTATCATGCGAATATTTTTTTCATCCCATAATTTGTCGGTCAAGTTTGCGTACTCGACATTTTCTTTACATTCGGAACCCTTGGTGCGGATTTCGTGAGAAATTTCCAATATCCAAGGCTATTCACGGTAAGTCAAAAAAGGCCATTTTACGGCTCGTGTGTATTTAAGAATTTTAATGTTAACTCAAAGTTGTAAATCGTAATTTTGTCATGCCTTTACTTAGCTGACTAAGAATATTTAGTAAGAGATCGCACCAATTACACGATAACAACAAACGTCAAGAATAGACCCTTAAACTAAATTCTTAAGGATGAAAGCGATATATATAGCTAATATGATGATTTAGATAAAGACTAGACTATTGATTTCCTTAAGAATTCAAGAAATTCCATTCAAGAGCCAGTCGCACCCATTTCGCGAATATTCGGTGTTCATATACCAGTTTTTTTTTTAATATTACATAATTTATTATTTTTTGCCCTATTTCTACTGTACTACAAAATAAATTATAAAAACTAATTAATTTTTTTTTATAATAATTATATTACAATTATAATTGTCATGATAAAGGATCACAGACACGCATTTTAAAAAATGTTATTAATGATTATATCATTATTATATACATGCGGCGTTTATTATTACTTATTACCACCCCACGTTTTATCCGAAGAAACTTGTGTGGGGGGGAGGGTGGTCGTCATCCCACGCAATAAATAAGCATAGCAATTAAAAGTGGTTGCTTCCTCCAAGAAAACATTAACCATAAATAAAAAGAAAAATTAAATCAAATTATATTACACTGTTAAAGAGTAAAACTATTAAAATAGAAAGAATTAAATTGAAAAAAAAAGTGGAATAAAAGGCTAGTCAGATTAAGCAATGTACGGCTTCTTGTTGCCATTTCCCAAGTTGTCGTGTAATTCCTCATCATCATCTTCTTTGGCATGGTCCTCAAGACCAAGTTCGCTTTCATCGTCAAGTTCTCTAGGGTCTGCTTGTCTAATAGAAAGAGATGGTTTATCATTGGAGCTGCTATTCCATTCACGAAGAGCTGCCTCCGTGTCAATGATAATCTGCTTAGACATTTCATAACCATTATAACTCTCGCGTGTTTCACCAGGAGTCACAGAGCTATCATCAAGCAAGTGCAAAAGTACCTTACCAAAAGATGCACACAAAGCAATTCTCTCACTATGTTCCTTAATGGCATCGAATTGATAGTTGAAGGCTTGTTTCAACTTTTCACGCGTAATGTTAGAGAGTTGGGCTTCGGCAACAAGAGACTCTGCTTCAGCACGCACAAGTTCCTGCTCCAGTACCACAATACGAGGAGACTGTGGGTCCTTATACTTAAGACCGGCAATTTGGTCAGTAATTTGTTGTTTGCGGTTGCGGGATGGTATGACTGAAGCTTCAATGTTTCGAATGCTCTTCATTGCCAGTCTGTACTGATCATACTGGTCAATATAGGCATCATCAATCATGCCCATTTCATAAATAAGCACACTAATTTTATCTGTAATGTCAGAAACATCGTCCTCTTGTTCCTCACCCCACAAGGTGAGACCTTTGGCGGCATTTCTGCGTTCCTCAGCCAAAAGTTCAAGAGCTCTCATAACATTTTTTTCAGTCTTAACCAATTGGGAAATCTTACGAGAACCTTCAGGTGAGAGAGAACCAGCAGTACTTCTGCGAAACGTGTTTCCAATAGAACCTTTACCAAAAAAGCGACCAGACTTGGTTGTCGAAGGTGGGGGAGGAGGATTTACTTGCTGAGAAGCAGTAGGGGCTCTGCTTTGACGAAGTGAATATGTTCTGTGCATTTTCAGTTATCTTATCTTTAATTAAAGTCGTGTATATATATATTTTGTGAAAAAAAATCTTTTTTTAAACAAAAACCAAAAAGAATAATTGTAAAAAAAAAAGAGAGGAAAAAAAATAGAGAATTTAATTTAATTTAAAAGAATTCAGATTTTTTTTCTTTTTTAAAAAAAATAGCAAGAAATGTGGAAAGAAGAAGAAATTCACAAAGGGAATTTTCTTTTAAACATTCTGAATGAGTGCGCTTAAACCTTAAAAGGCCTCACTTTTTTTTGTTTTTTTTGTTTTTCTTTTCCTAAAAGGCGTCCGTAGGGTCTTTAAAACCCAAATAATAAATACCTTTCACTGTGTTCACATATTGTTGATTACGGGTGTGCTGATGCCTCTCGAGATGATGTTGATTTAGGAATGAAGTTTTGTTTAAATTTTAAATAAGAACGCCTGTATCATCTCAAAGTGCGGCTTGGGTTTAATTAGGGCTATGTTAATGAAAATACCTGCTTCTTCTCTACATGTACTATCTACTATATATATGAATAATAAAACCATCACAGTTATAAAAAAAAAAGTTTAATAAAAAAACGCATAGCTAAAAGAAAAAAAAATTAAAACATTAACAACTATTTAGCACTTCTCCATTTCCTGAGCAAGCACAGCTTGTCCCTCGTGAAAGTCTTCAGGAGTAAGCTCCTGCTGTTCTCTTTCTCTAGCCTGAGCCTGGGCTCTGTAACGAGAAACCTCCATGCTCTCTTGAGCGACAGCACAAGTACCAACAAAGAAATGGGCAGCCCAGTCCTTAAGGACAGAACCTTCAATGTTGAGCTGTTCACGAAGAGCTGTTCTGCGGGTGGCGCCAAGAATAAATTGTCCCGAAATTTGAGAGAGAAGACCGTAGAAAGGAGTATCAATATGGAACCAGTTAGTGTATCTTCTGTCAGCCTGAGCATCAGTAGGGTCTTCATTCAGCAAGCGCGATGTCGAGCCAAAAACACAAGGGGTGCAGAAAAAAGTGTTCAAGCCTAGTAACAATGTTAGTTTTGTGCCAAGTAGAAAAAAAAAATTGTACTGTCTGCAAAAGTGATTACTTACACATAAGAGGGCTACCAAAACAATCAAAAAGTCCAGTTTGGAAAGGGTGTTGGGGTTCTTCTTCTTCTTCCTCCTCGTAAGCTTCAAGGTCGGTTTCTTCATAAGGAGGGACTGGCTCCTTGACAGCTTCAGCATACTCAGGAGGAGTCAAAAGTTTGTATCCTGACTTGGAATCAGTCATTGTTGATGTCTTATAAAAACTGTTTTTTTTATTTATTTTTTTATTTATTTAAATCGGTATTTGCTTGTCTTTTCTGAAATATTTCTCAGTTGGTAATAAGTTGGAGAGTGTGGGATCTTTATACTCAAAAATTATTTATATATAAAGCAGATAATGTTGTAGGAGGCTGAGGTGTTTTACGGTAAAGCATAGTTTAGAGGTAGCTTATACATTACATAAATATTTACTAATACACTGCTTTGAAATTGCTGGTCTAACCTTGTACAAAATGTAGAACAAGCATGCAAACTATCTCTTAGACATTATGATGTTGTTAAACAACATCACCAAAAAATTTTGATTTCAAAAACCATTGAAAATAAATTAAAAGGTTCTCTAACAAAGAATTTGACAATATATTAAAATTAATAAATTAATGTTTTTATTGTCAAATACTATTGAGTTGAAAAAAAAAAAAATCTATTTACTTTGAAATTCTCGAGAAAAAAATTCAATGACACAATACATTTTACATCAATTTCTCAGCCACCTTGAAAAAAATTGGGTATCGGCAGTTACGGCATCTACGGCTTCAACAGATACAAGAAGTTCACTAACATATTTTATCCAAAAATCATTTTAGGAAATTCATCTTGTTTCTATTTTCATTTAAAATTTTATGAAAATTTTTCGATTTCCATACTGATATCCAAATGATATGACATAACTGGTTGAAAAATAATAATAAAAGCTTCAAAATCAAACTACTTTTCAAAAACTAAATTCAAAAAAAAAACATCAGTTTATTGATAAACACTTTTTTTTCATTTAGAGAACCCAGATTCTAACTCATTTTTAAAAGCTCTTATTGTTTACTTCACGCGATATTAAGAATATAACAAGAAAAAGATTAATTAATATTTTATAAATTTTTTTCTTTGGCATTAAATTCAGAGTCCCATAAAATAAATTCTTCAGCATGGAGCTTGTTAACCATTATAATAATTATCATTTACAATAGTATTTGCATTACCATGAATTTTTTCCTTTTTGTTTTTTGGGAAAGGTACTAATTGCTAACAGTACTGTTAACAATGACCACCCTAAATTTTTGCATGCTCTTTCCTGTGCAGCGTGAATTCATGCTCCAATTTGTGAAAAAATTAAAAAAAATTCAAGGTCGATTATAAAAGGGATGGAATTTTCTCAATTTCTTGAGTTTTTTTTTTTGATTTTTTTAAATTTCAAAAACTAAAAGAAAATACAAAGAAAATAAATATCAATCTCATATCAAGCAAAACAATATCAATATCTACAATGATCAGTGATCAGCAACTCAAAAATTTTCGGCTTGATTACATTGCCAACAAAAAGATAAGAGAAGATGGCCTTATTAAATTGCCAGAAAACAGAAGTGACTCTGAATTTGTCAATATCATGAGTGAAATCTATTATGATTCCTGGGATTTTACCAGTTTTTATGTCGAATATATTCAAAGAACTCACAGATGCAACGCATATTTCAAAATGAAATATTTGTTTCAAAATCCAAAACTTAAAAAAGTAAAAGTTGATGGAGAATCATGGTTTGACAAGAGTTCATACTCCCCTGAAAAATTTTCCCAAGATGTTTTGACATATTGGGCTTCATTTTATCGGTATGCATCAGTTGGTGAATACAATTTAATGACGACATTTGCCACAGAATGCTTAAAAGAACCTGCAAAAGTTTGTTCCATTGAACTTTCAGGAACTGAGTTATTTCATGCCGATATACCTTTATTTTGCAAAGACTATATCAACGATTTTGTCCAAGGAGGCAATATTTCCATGGAAAACCGGAAAGTGAGATTTAAAGACGAAGTGGAAATTTGTATGTATCCTCCAAATGATTATGCTCTTGCTTATGAAGTCAGTTATGCTGAAGTTTTCAGAGGAAATTATTGCCGAAAGTCGCTTGGATCTTTGTACGGCGAAAAAGATCTATGCCATGGTAACTTTACCAAATTTCATGAAAAGTCCAAGTTTTTAGATATTGGCGATTTTATAAAAAATTGGCACATGAATGTCAGTAATCAGTGCTCTTCTTTAAAAAAAGATTACACGCCAAAGTCAATATTGAAAAAAACACGAGGTACATCCTATGCGCCTCCATCTGAATTCTTCCCCTCATACCCTATTTTCATTTCACCTAGCAGCTCTGGTCGCCGACATTTACAAAATTATCCAGCACTTGTGCAATATTCTAGAATGAATGCTTGCATGGGTGTGCGCTCACCACCCCCATCAATTCTTGACTACAAGCCTCAATACACTTTGATGGAGAATGCAGAATATATGATATTGAGTTTTAATTCATTGATAAAAATGGAGATTTCAGAAGAAGGTACTTCAGGTTGGAATGATGTGGATTATGTGGAAGATAATAGTGGTTTGTTTTTTGATTTGATTAAGGCTCAGATTACGCTGGCAAAAAGCAAGAGAAAAGACGATAATATTGCTGGAGATAATTCAGGGGATGAATTAAAAATAAAGTCATTTGATAAAGAAACTGTTAAAGAAACACAGAAGGCCAAAGAATCATTAGTTTTACAACTAAATGAGTCTATGGTTGAAGCTTTTGATTATGTTGAAAAGACTCCCACAAGAGATTTGATGAAGGAATATAAAAAGACTAAAAAAAATGTTTCCATTGATGTTCCAATTGCATCAACTAAAAAGACCAAGATTTTAAAGTATGAGGAAACACTAATTAATGAATTATAATGTCTAGAAAAAATAATTTTTTTTATAAGTTGTAAAAACAATTTAAATTTAATTCAAATTGAAGATTTTTAATAATAATATTTTAATAAATTAAAGAGAAACATGAACATTATTAATTTTTAAAAAAAATAAACAGTTCTAGCTTACAAAAAATAAATTAGTAGCAAAGCTTGTTTGTTTTTATTTAAGGGTTATAGAATTATATAACATCAGCATCTGCGCTATCCTTCTTGTCCATACTATATATTTTTTCATTTTGATAATAAACTTTTAATTTTGCCTTCAACATTGCATCTCCAACAGCCAGAAAATAAGTCCTGATGCCAGCTTACGAGGAACAGGGGGTTAAAAATAACCAAACCTTCCCAACCTATCTCCACTTGTCTTCATCAACGCTGTAATTGTATTTCTTAATCTCTCCAAGCAGAGATAAAGCTTACAATCTCTTGTAAGCCAGTTAAACTGTTTAAGAGAGTCGACATGTCCATCTCTGGAGATATCCGTTTCAGTCCTTTTCTTTCCTCTTCAAGCAAAGGACACTCAACTAAAATGTGATGAACTGTTTCCAGCTCTCCACATTTGCAGTTGTAACTATCCTTTTCAATTCCAAACTTTTTAAACCATGCACCAAAGTTGCCATGGCCTGTGCGAAACTGAGTAATATTACTCAAGATCCTTCGACTATCTTTCTTCATGATCACTTCCGTGACCATTAGTAATAAAGCTTTTTGTTTTGTTTGTTTTTATTCAAGGGTTATAGAACTATATAACATCAGCATCTGCGCTATCCTTTTATTGTCTGACTATGTGACTTGCCGGTTTTCATTTGTACCTTTTTAGCACGGGTGGTTTCTGTTCTGTGCGTCTCCGGTAGCCCGGAAGATGGGCCCTGATGCCAGCTTACGAGGAACAGGGAGAACCAGTCTGTCGGTCCCAAAACCTTCCCAACCCATTTCCACTTATCTTCACGGACGCCCATGTATTTCTTAATCTCTTCCGTCAGAGATACGGCCCGCAATCACCTGCAGGCTATTTAGACTGTACGGAAGAGTCGGCATTCCTGTAACCAGGGTAGCCTATGGTTTTCAGTCTAGGTGTATACTCCCGTACACATCCTCAGGAAAAGGGGGTATTCTGGGAATCGAACCCAGTATCTTCCGCTTTCGAGCGAACGTGTTACCCTTTACACCATCCAGCCCTTTCCCCCTTAGTAACAAAGCATAATAATTATAAAAAATCATATTTTTAAAATTGATCTATTTATAAAACATACTTTACTTATTTTCATTGGTTGGTGTTGTGGCGCAATGGTGAGCGCATTGGATTTCGGTTTCGATACTTTCCAAAGGTTGCAGGTTCGAGTCCTGTCAACATCGTTGCAACTTCTTTTTAATTTAATTGTCAAAAGTTTTTCATTATCTTGTTTTTTTTTGAGTTTTTTGAATTTTTTTCTAATCAACAAGTTAGAAAAGCTTACTGGTCCACAAAAAGATAATACGATACACTTACAAGATGTTACAAATAAACCCTTCTGTAGAAAAGTTGTTTTTTTGAATGATGAATGGTGGCATTTAATGGCTTCCCATCTTTGTAGTTGAAAACCAAGGATATTTTATAGTAACAAAGAAACGGCATAATTAATGAAGAGGTACCGTTTGTCTACAATACAAAAGAGCCAACTGGCAATTAATAAAAAGAAAAAAAAAAAAGTGGCGCGGCCAAAAAAACAAAATGTATATTTGAGAAACGTCATAAAAAAAAAAAAAAGAAAAAAAATCGTCGTCATAAGTTCGTCATTGTTGTTTTGAATACAATCACCATATCGAGTTCTTTGGAGTACCTGCAGATGCGCCAGCAGATGCACCTATGCTAGAAGCGGTAGTACTAGAACGCAGAGAACTAGGGGCACCAAAGCGGGTAGAGTATGGTGAAGGAGATGGAGACGAAGAGCGAAGTATGCTGCTAGCTGCGCTTTCAAGGTTATGGCGTGGGTACCCTCCAGGAGCAGGTGTTTGATGGAGGAGCGATGACCCGCTAGAGTTTGACTGTAAAAACAAACTCTGAGAAGAGAGAGAAGGAGAAGAAAGAGCAGATGAGGGGGTGGTGCCCCACAACGAACTCCCGGCAGTTGAGTTAGACGAAAAAGTTGACTGCAAATGCTGGGGGAATCCGGCGCTGGCAGCTGTAGGTGCCATCCCGGTGATAACGGAACCACTACCAAAGCTTGTGTTAAAGCTATTTAAACTAGTAGTACTATTATTATGGCTGCCAATAAGACCTCCATTAAGAGCAGAACTAGAGCCACCATATGTAGCATTAGTGGATGATATGCTGACCGCACTTTGTGTGCGGGAAAGCAGGTTGCTATTATACAATGCCTGTTTCTGGGCACCCTCTTTGAGAGACTCAGAATGAATTTTAAATTCAAATAGTTGTGTTTCAGGAAGATCCAAAAGTTTACGAATGGCCTCGCGAATTTCAGGATTTCCTTCCCCATGTTCACCTGAGCGTGTCCAGATGCTGAAAATGTCCTCATCCTTGCGAACACTCATCACAATGCCTGTGACTTCATTAGTGTCTACACCAGCGGTTTCCGCAAGAACCCCACCAATCATGGCAAGCAGGAGTTTCTCCCAAAGCAAGCGAGCGTGAGAGCGAGCATAGTTGGGAGTGGGTTTGTTATTATTGTTAAACTGATGAGGAGAAGACATGGTAGGGGTAGTAGTTCCATCAGTGTTAGGACCATTATGGGTATTGAGATGCAAGTTGTTATTGTTTGTAAAGGTTGTTGCGAGCAATGCGTGAGATGTAGTGGGAGTAGAGGTGAGCGAATTGTTGGCAGAGTTTTGAGTAGAAGTATTAAAAAAACTGTTTGCGCCGGTATTATTGTTATAGGTTTTAAATGGTCTTTTAAAGCGGAAAACCCATTTGCCACCGTTAACATTGACTGGATCTTCCCACATGGGCTTAACACCCTTGCGAAAAATTTGGTACTCACTGGTAAAAGGAAGTCTATCAACACGCTTGAGATGAGCATAAATTTGCCAAAACTCTTCCACACTACAGAAAGACTGGAGTTCCTTGGTAGCGTCAAGGTAGTTTGAGATTTTAACACCCGGACCACGGTTCATAAACCAAATGGTCCATGAGTTGATAAGAATATGAGTTCCGGAAGTAGGCGTAACGATAACTTTGCCGTCTTCGTCGAGCTTGATCACTTCCTTTGAAGACTTGGAGGTTAGAGGCTCAGAAAATGGCGTGTCCTTTGGACGAAGCGCATAAGGTGAAGATGCAGGGGACGAAGATGCAGAGGATGGATTGGTATCAGATTTCAGTCTCGCGCCGGTAGAAGCGAGAAAAGCAGATTTTTCACTAGAGTATCAAATTGTTAGTTTGATGAAAAGAATAAAGGGATGGTGGCAGACGATGGGTTGGTTGATTGGTTGGGAACAAAAACAATTAAAAAAAACAAGACGAGGAGGCGAGACGAGAGAAAAAAAAAACTTACTGAGTTCTTCGAGACCAAATGGAGCTCGATTGAGTAGCAGTGGCGGTAATAGATTCAGACATTGTTTATATATATAAAGATTTGAATAGTTGAGAGTATATTTCAAGTGGTATCTTAGGGATTTGAAAAGTATAAAATTTTCTTGATCTGGAGATAAGCGAAAAGTATGGGTACACAAAAAAAGAGCCGAGTTAGATATAAGAATATAAGATTATTAGTCGTAAGATTTGCAGAAATAATATACAAATGATTTAGGGTAGTCTATAGAAAAAGCGATAGAGATTAATTATTATAAGTAGTGGTTGTGAAGATTGAAAATAATAGCACAGAAAAAACGAAAAATTGAGGATTAGAAAAATTTTGAGAACAAAAGAGGTTGGAATTTTTTTTAAGAGTAAGGAAAAAAAAAAAAAAAAAAAATGGCAGGTGGAGCAGAAAATTTTTAAAAAAAACAATTGGTGGCTGTTACAGATTTGAATGTCATACAATATTGTAACATTAATTATATCACGTGTATTTATTAAAAGTTGTATTGATATAACCCTAACCCTGATTTTTTTTTTCCGGGGAATGATTGTCCAAACGTAAAATGGATGAACCCGGCATGACGCGCTTCAAAATATAAACATCAGAGCGCCGACATTAATATCGAATTCAATTTTTAAGTAAATTCATTTCTTAGATCTGTTAGTCTCTATCAATGGCCGTTTCAAAAAAAAAAAAAAAATTCAGACGGCGTTAGTGCGTCATTAGCCTTTAATTGCCGGGTGCCGTGTGCTGCTCCGTGCGTCTGTGTGTTGCCCTCTTGTTTATTTTCTCATCAAAATCCTTCTTCTCCAATATTTCTTTCCTCTTTCCAAACGCCACATCCTATATAAACTCTTCAACCCCCCGCCAGTTTTTGCTAAATTTTCATCCTTTTTTATATATATTCAATCTCAATAATTAAAATCTAATAAAAAAAACACCCCAGTCTTTTCACAATGTCTGAAGAATCCATCAAGTCCTACTTTGACAAGTACGTGATATCCTCTTATCTTTGTGCCCTAATGCTAATATATTGTTTTTAGAGTCGACTCTCTTAAGTCCAGTTTTATCTCTCGTACGTGTCAACAACTATTCTAATCATATATTTCAAATCTAATACCAACCCCTTAGGACTTGCTGATGCCGTCGCCATTCCCTCAATTTCCGCTGAACCCGAGCGTCGTCCAGATGTCAGACGTGTATGTTTATCTTGTTGATTTTTTTTTTTGTTTGGGTTTGCTTATCGGAACCATCTACAATTGTTCAATTACTAATAACCGCAATAGATGGGCCTTTGGCTTGAATCTCAACTCAAGGAACTCGGTGCCACCGACATTGTTCTCAAAGATCTTGGAATTCAGCACGATACTGCAGATCTCCCTCTTCCTCCCATTGTGCTTGCACGCTACGGAACTGACCCTGACAAGAAGAATATCCTAATTTACGGTCACTACGATGTCCAGCCTGCCCAGCTTGAAGATGGTTGGAATACCGACCCTTTCACTCTTATCGAAAAGGATGATGTTTTTTATGGCCGTGGTGCCACTGATGATAAGGGCCCTGTCGTGGCATGGCTTAATATGCTCCAGGCACACAAAGAGCTCGGCCTTGAAATTCCTGTCAACTTGGTTTTCTGTTTTGAGGGTATGGAAGAATCCGGCTCTCTTGGTCTTGAAGAGCTCATCATTGCTGAAAAAGACGAATACTTTAAGGGTGTCGATGCTGTTTGCATTTCTGACAATTACTGGCTGGGAACGAAGCACCCTGTTTTGACCTATGGTGTTCGTGGCTGCAACTACTACTCAATCACTATTGAAGGCCCCGCTGCCGACCTGCACTCTGGTCTTTTTGGTGGTGTTGTCCATGAGCCCATGATTGACCTCTCCCACATTTTTTCTAAACTAGTGACCCCTAAAGGTGAAATCCTGATTCCAGGAATCCAGGAAATGGTTGCACCTCTTACTACTGCTGAAGACAAGCTATATGACGCAATCAACTTTGATCTTGAGGGCTTCGAGGGAAACATTGGCTCTAAGACTGTTATCCAAGACAATGTCAAGGATGCTCTGCAAGCGCGTTGGCGCAACCCCTCTCTCTCGATCCACGGTGTCGAGGGTGCTTTCTATGGCGCTGGCGCAAAGACTGTTATTCCTGCCAAGGTTATTGGCAAGTTCTCCATCCGTACTGTGCCCGACATTGAGTCGGCTAAACTGGATCAAATTGTCATTAAATATGTCGAAGACATTTTTGCTACCCTGGGATCTAAGAACAAACTTAAAGCTGAGTTAATCCATGACGGTATGTACTGGGTTACTGACCCCCACAACTGGTCTTTCCGTGCCGCTGCGAAGGCCACTAAGGCCGTGTGGAACGTTGAGCCCGATTACACTCGTGAAGGTGGTTCTATTCCCATTACTCTTTCCTTCCAAGATGTTCTTAAGACCAGCGTTATTCTGTTGCCTATTGGCCGTGGTGATGATGGTGCCCATTCAACTAACGAAAAGCTTGATCTCGTCAACTACATTCAGGGCACAAAGACCCTTGGTGCATACCTCCACTACTTGAGCCAGGAAGAGAAGGATGCTTAATTTTTCAAAAAAAAGAAAGAAATTTATTAATAGTTTTTTTTGTGTTGCATCCTATAAAATGTTTATACCCTATCCAATTGTAATCTTTCACTCTGGTTACCGAGGCGCGAAATGCGCAAAAATACATCACAGCCATATCCTTCAAGTGAGTGAAGGTCGATATGACCATCCCAGTATTCAACGTAGACTTTGCTAAGTGGCAATCCCATTCCGAGCTTTAAGTGTGGTGGCCGAGACATAAGCGACGAAAGTGAAGCCATCATCTCATCGCGTTCCTTATCTGATAATGGATGTAGAGGCGATGATTTACCATGCTTATGGCTTAATTTTTGTTCAAGCTGCTCTTCTTCCGTAGCCACTTCTTGCAAGAGCCCTGCAAAAGTCGGGACTTGCTTAAAATTGTCAAGACGGTGTTCCATTTGCGGGCCCTTAGAAAAAGACCAAATGTAAGGCAGAATTTCAGGAGCAATGCCACCTCCTTGATCCGACACCCGAATTAAAACAGACTCGTGCGTGTTGGAAATAGAAACAACAATAGGTGGAGGAGATTTCTTACCCTCATGGTTCTTGACAGTAGCCTCAATTGAGTTTCGTAGTAACTCACCCAAAATGTAGTCTAGATGGGACTGCATATATGGGAATCGGGCATCCTCACTTCCTTCAATTATAATTTCAGGCATCAACGCATTGGGATACAAATCTTGAATTAGCTCCGAAGCACGCGAACCACAAGATTGAACGGCTTCTTTTGCAGAACATTGCAGAAATACAGCGCCTATATATGAAGGGTCGTCCGCATGGCTTGTATTGGCTGCCGGAGTGGCGAAAGCCGACGATAAGGCAAGATGTTGTTCAGCAATAACGCGACGGGAAATTCGAGATCTCAGGATGGAAGACATAAAAGAATCCAAACGGAGCGAGTCGATCGAGTTGGCCATGGAACATTCAATAGCACCCATGACAAGCTTGGGAATGACGGTCAAGTGGTCATTCAAAAGTTTATTAAGAAGCCCGCAAAAGCGTTCATTATCCTCAAGAGTATTAATCTTTGAAAAGCGACGAAACTGATCAAATGCAGTATAGTACATCTCGTATACGGAACACAGGTGAGGATTGGATACCGCGCCAAAGGGCAGAACCTGCATATCACGGATACGATGCGCCAGACGAGTGGGAAGTTCCTGCTGCACAAAGTTTGCCGATGCCAAAAGCTTATCACGAGTAAGCCTGCGTCCAAAAAATGCAAGTTGTCTTAAAGACACCGGCCGAGGATCTCGCTGCACCCACTCCATGAGAACCGTGTTTTGGTAAAAGTGCCGCGAGTTGATAAGTGTAGACCCTCGGGGATATGTATAAGAGACCAACTGAGAGCCAAGCGAGCCAGGCTCAGCATGATGGGCAAAATCACTCCAATAACGGATAAGTTTAGGCAGCGGTGGTGGGCGGTGCTTAATAGTCGTGCGAAGCATTTTGTTGTGAAGGGATGATTTTTTTGGCAGATGGAGGGGACAAGAAAAAGGTCTGCACTGGTGATACCAAATGGAGGAGGTGCAAAAAAAAAAAAAATTGTGAAAGGAAAAGTAAAATGTCACGTGAGTATATTTGATAAGCAAAACGCGGGGAAAACATGGCAGAAAATCGATCGATTAGACTAAAATGAAATTTGTAACAGTTCACAAGGAGATTGCTCTTTTTCACTTCTCATCAAAAGTTAATAATAAAATAAAGACTATTAATTTAAATAAATTAATAAATTTTTACTATATGAAGTAATAAGCTAAGAAACGAAAACGGAATATTAGGAACTAATATTCCTCAATAAAAATACCACAAATACAGCATTGTCATATTAGATAGTCGATTCACTATACTGCATAGAAATTTCAGAAGTATCAGAATAGATGCTTGTGCTTTGAGATTCGTAAATACTAGATTCAAAGTATGAAAATACCGAAGATTTCAATGTTTGAATACTAGGAAAATCTAAAGATGATTCAGAAAATGAAAAGCTTAGAGATGTTTCAACCGATGACAAAGCTGTTACTGGTGAAAAGGTGAAGCTCTCTGAAATTTTGTCAGTTGAACTTTCTGAACTTTCTGAACTTTCTAAAGTTAAGTGGGTTAGACTCTGTAGTGTAGATAATTCAAAAGAAAGTGAGCTATCCAAGTTTTCCAAAACTGCAGAAGTTTCTGAGGTCTCTGAAGTTTCTGAAGTCTTTGAAGTCTCTGAAGTCTTTGAAGTCTCTAAAGTCTCTAAAGTCTCTAAAGTCTCTAAAGTCTCTAAAGTCTCTAAAGTCTCTAAAGTCTCTAAAGTCTCTGAAATATCTGAAGTCTCAGATAAATAAAGTGAAATATCAGATAATGAAAAATCAAAACTTTCCAAGGAAGAGGAAAAATCATATTCATCGCTAACACTGAGTGTGAGGCAGTTTTCCTGAAATCTCTTTATTGGTATTCGACAAATTCCATAAGTTGCACAAAGATCCCTAACCTCATTGTCTTTTAAACCAAAGTTTTTTCCATAAACATTTTTACAATACAAGCATTTATCTAACCATTTGGAAGCCAATCCTTTAGCTATTGTGCATAGTTCAATATATGATCCATTTTTAATATAGGTTTCAAGATTTTTTTGAATAGTTTTAATATCGCTAGGTTTATTACATATTTTTGTACAATCTAATTCCTCTGGTATGTTGCATTCGGTATTTGGTTTGGCGGCATGGACCAGAGTGAAAATCCCAAAAGAAATTATTAGATTTAATATCTTCATTTGAATTTCAGGAAGAACTTTTAAATAAGTTGTAGGTATAAATTTCTGTCTTTTTGTTTTTTGATTAATTGAAGTTTTTTGGTTTTTTTTTTTTTTTTTGCAAACAGGCGGATTTTATTTAATGTTTATACCTTGTCGCTTCTCTTTCATTCAACTTTTATAAAACTATACTTGATGATTAATATTTTTTTATCGCCTAATTTTTTTTCAGAAAAAAAGGTGATTTATTTTAATAATAACTTATACCAAAATAATGAATTATTATTCTTATTCTTATTATTAAGTTATCATCTCTTTTAGTGCTTTGTGAAGGTGCCCCCATTATATTAAAAAAAAATATTTGAAAAAATACAATTGAACACAATTGTGTTCAATTGCAATGTGTAAAATAAAATTTATCAAATAATAAAAAAAATATTTGATCAGATGTAGACAGAAAAAAACTACTATCATTTTAATTAATTAATTAATTAATTAATTAATTAATTAAGCCAAGAATTGAGTGATCATCAAGCCAAACATTTGGAATAAATTATTTTCCAAAAATTTTATGGTAATCTATAACTATTATTTGTTTTTAAATTAATAGATGGTTTCCTGATATTACGGAATTAAATTAACTTATAAGCTATTCCATCACTGTTTACATTAACTAATCTAAATTTTTTTAGAGATATCTCTATTTTTAACTAATTAGTTAATTAACATTTTATTCTTCAAAATTTAAAAAAAATTTGCTCTCAATATTTTCAGTATTATAACCGATTACTATTAGATCTTCTATTTAGTTAAAGGAAGTTTTTGAATCATGATTGAGCCTTCACTATAAAAAAAACGGATATTCCTGTGACTTAATATAACAGGAAGTTGAATTTTAACCTTTTGAAATTCTCGTTGTTTGGGTAACAGTCTAGGCACATTGGCAACTTCACCGATGAGAGGTGGAACTTATCAATGATTGGTCTTGTTGATTAAATGTTTTAATAACGATAGATGGATATATATAAAATTAAATAAATTGAACAAAGAAAATGATAATATTTGTGGTCTGTTTTGAAAGTTGAAGAACAGTTTAGAATGGGAATTTTTAAGTGAAAAAAAAAGGGGTTTGGTAATAATCCGTTGTTCTATCAAGCAAATTCTAATTTCACAGTAGCAGCAATTAGTTTTTTCCCAATGTTTCTTTAGGTAATAAAAAAATGGGTATAGAAACGATTGTGGAGAGTTTTGTGGGGAATACTTCAGATTTGAAACAGAGAGAAATCAAAAAGTAAAGTTGACATAGTTTGAAATTTGGTTGGTAGATATCATTTATCATTACCATCAGTAAGTGTATATTTGTAATGGAAATATTAAATTGTTTAGAATTGGAAATTAAAATGAAGTACTTCATAGTTACTATAGTAGCTTTATGCCAAATAACAGTTGAGTATTATTTAAAAAGTCCTTAACGGAAAGTCTGGCTAAGCGAAAATAATTATCGATATTAAATTGACAAATTTGTATTGAGGAGAAATTTTGATTAAATTGATCGACAAATGAGATACGAGAGTTAACTTATTTGCATGGTATATTTCTAAAAATCTGGAGAAATATTGCAAAGCTGATGCCAAGTCCAATTTTAATCTTCCAATGGTGCGCATATTTAGACCCAATGGCCAAGAAATAAATCTGGAGGTTTCCGCTGATAATTAAAGTTAATACTTAAAGAAAATTTTTTTTTTTGGTTTTTAGCATTTTAAAATGGAAATTGATAAATCCATTCTCTTGCATTTATTGAGTTCAGTTTCTCTAATGTTGATATCTTTTTAAACTGACTTCTCGATCCAAATACGAGTGAAATAGTCATATTTGTAACAAAGCTTTTTTTTATCTTAAATAATAGCCTGATAATGTCGAAGCGGCTATATTGCCAAAATTTCCTTGTAATAAGAGTTGTTAATGTTAAAAGTAATACATGTAAAATCAGTCATTATGAACTTATTCTGCTTTTTTAAAAAATAGATTATCAAATAATGCTTGAAGAATTTAAAGAAATTGAGGTGTGAGAAAAATATATTTTACTATCTATGGCTTCTGATAAGTGTAACTACTGAATAAACTCTACAGGTATATTCAGGTGTGAAACTATTGGTGTATGCCAAATTTTTTTAATTGGCTAGTAAAAAGTTGTCAGTCTTATGTACCAAAATCAATATATTAAATGAAAACTATGGCAATTTGTTGTGGCATGAAAAAAAAAAGTTAGCGGAGTTCGTGATATTAGAGCAGCTATGCTTTAATAAAAGCATATGATAAAGAATCCAAAGATTTGAATTAATAAAAGATGTTTTTTTTATTTTAACTATAATTATCATATTAACTCTGAAAACATTGACATTTTGATCACTGATTATAGTGTTTGTTTCTTGTATAAGTCGTTGTAAAACTCGTATCATATGTTTTTAATTATCTTTATAAAGCAATATATTGAAAACAGGAATCAATAAATTTTAAAATTAATTAATTATTGAATGTTTTTAGCAATTCAATATGATATTACTAAAACCAATCAAATTGTATTTATTTAAATTACCTTCTTTACTTGGATTGACCTCAATATCTCCTATAGATTTAAAACTAGTAAGTTTTTTTTTTCGATATGAGTTTACCAAAAAAGAGCCTTTTTGTTAGCAATAAAAAAGATACTAATATAACTATTAATAATTTTCTTTTTTAATTGTTTTTCTTTTAAAAAAAACATTGTTAAAATCTACTTCACCTTAAACTAACAAATCTTTCATCTTCAATTCAATTTCCATCTTTTCATAAAACCCCCCCCCCCCACCTGCCCATGAAATAGTGTGTTGTAACAAAAAGAGTCACACACACAAAACAATTACATCACGTGTTCCCCTATGACGCTATTGAAAAATAAAAACACCGCTCACCACCATCACCACTTTTCTTTTTCGCACGGGAGTTCCCGTGACTTGTTAAGCTAAAAGGTCCTTCCATTTTTTTTTTTTTTCTTTAAAGACTTTAAAAAAAAAAACTCCCTCAAACTTTCCATTACCACCTTTACACATTTTCCTCCTATACACTATCATTAAACCTCTTTCTAAATCATTTGAAATTTCCTTCTCGTAATAATGCCAGCAGACCCAGCCGAAGTTGAAAAGGCCTTCAAGATCTTCAAACATGAGCTGACGTTCCCGCAAGATGAAAACCAGCTTGCAATCACATATCCCAATGCACAGCCGCTCAAATTCGAACCGGCAGATGAAGACAAGTATGTGTTTTTTTTCGACATTGATAACTGTCTGTATCCCAAGTCAAGCCGGATCCATCAGCTCATGCAGCGCTATATCGTCAAGTACTTTGTGTCGCACCTGTCGCTGGACGACGAGTCCGCAGAACTGCTGCAGCAAAAGTACTACCAGGATTACGGTCTTGCACTAGAGGGACTCGTCAGATTTCACCATATTGATGCACTCGAGTATAATGCAGAGGTCGATGACGCGCTGCCGCTTGAGTATATTCTTAAGCCAGACGCTGCGCTGCGACTCATGCTTCAGTCCATTGATCGTACCAAGGTCAAGAAACTGTGGCTGTTTACCAATGCATACAAAACCCACGGGCAGCGTGTAGTCAAGCTCTTGGGCATTGATGATCTCTTTGATGGTATTACCTACTGTGATTATGGTCACATTCCGCTTGTATGCAAGCCCAAGCACGAGATGTTTGACAAGGCAATGCGCGAGGCCGGTGTCACCCGCAAAGATAAGTGTTTGTATGTGGATGATTCTTATCTCAATGTCGAAAGTGCAGTCAAGTATGGATGGACCTCAGGCAGTGTTCAGTATGTTGATCCTGATGATCCGCTCCCGGACCCACCTGCTGGAACTCACGTTTTGCGCTCACTGCTTGATTTGCCAGTTGTGTTCCCTGAGATTTTCATTCTTGACGGCGCGTCCCAGTTTGCTCACCTGATTGCGCAGCCCACCTATACTGCGGATGTATCGCTTGATCAACTCATGGATGTTGCCGAGCACAAGAAGGAAGAAGTTGCTGTTGGTGAGCAGCATCTTATTGCGAGCGCCGCAGCTCGGGCTCGTGCAGAAGCTGCTGTCCCACAATTAAAGAAACCAACATATCTGTCACCAGACTTGGAAAAGAAAAAGCTCCTGGATGCCGGATTCGATACACCAGCTCGAACAGAACCATCAACCCATCAGGAAAAGCGTTTGCAATGGCGCCGCCGTTACAGTCGCCAGCTGGTGGACCCGGCAGTTCTCAAGAAGATGGCAGCACGGGTGGAGCAGGCATCAAAAGAAAAGGAGGATGCCTTGAAAGAGTCTCAAGAAAAGTCAGGCTAACCATCTTCATAAGTTCTGCATTTGTACAATCTGAAAAAAATAAAAAAAATAAAAATAAAAAAAATAGATAGTAAAATATTCATCAATCATCATTAACATTACTATTAAAAACTTTTCTAAATCATTCTATTGTTCTCTATGATTGAACAACTTCAGGACGCCGCCGGTGAATGACGCGCCTTTTGGGCCGCACGCCTGTGGGTGGAGCCGCGGGATCAAAATCCAACGTGGGGTTGACTGGTTTTTGACTTTGAATTCCCATTATAACGTTTTCCTTTTTTTCAGCGAGTTCCACCTCCGGTGCTTCTTTCCCGTCATGCATTTTTGTGTCCTCGTCAAATGAGACCACCTTCATCTTCTTTTTAGGCGGCATCATTTTTGTTTCCTCATCCTCTTCACCCTGACCTTGCTCATTGTCTCCATTCTCGCCTTCACGTCGCATAGGTGTGGCATACCCAGATCCAATTCTGGAAGCTGTCGATGTCTTTGCGCTGTATCCATCTTCCGCCGGTCGCAAGTCGCGCAGCTCTTGCAAAACGGATGCCGCAGCAATGTCCAGTGTCAATCCCTCGTGCAAAAACTGCGGCCGACGACTCACCCTCGACACTTCAGTAGTCATCACCGCAGGTAATATCTTGCGACGAACCTCTGGCTGCGCCTGAGCAAATGCAAGAGCAGCAGCCAGCGCTGAAGATCGCCGCGAAGACGCAGACTTTCTGTGTGTGGGCGATTCACCAGCCGCGCGCACAACAACACATGGACCAAGAACAGGTTCAGGGTCTTCAGAGAGCCGAGACGGAGAGCTCGTAGGTGATGACACTGATGGCGACCTCGGCTCATCCAGGTCAGTCATAATTTCCTGGTCGGGTACTTTAATTTCTTCATCGCCTTCCTTGTCCTCGTCATCCTCATCCTCATCATCCTCGTGGCCGTCTTTAATCCCGGCACCGCCGGGACCCGCCCGCAGCAGCTGGAGCACGACCCTCGTTACTTCCTGAAGTCGATGGATCAGGGCTTCACGTAGGGGTTCAGCAACACGCACAAGATGGTGCAGCACATATGTGCATAATATGCACAGGCGCGTGCGTGTTTCAGCAAGCCCTGTCAGCGTATTTGTGTTGTCTCGCCATGACGACAGTAACGCGGCTCGACGAGACTCGAAAATATTCCGCACACCTTCGGTCTGGCCCTGCTGTAGGTATGGATCTAAAGCTTTGCGTGTGACAAGCTCTAGCCCGTATGCACGGGCGTTTGCAAGTACAGGATCACGGAACATGATGGGGAGAATGGTGCGCTCTACGGTGGCCGCAATATCTTCTGGGTCAAAGTAAAATTCGAGTGGGTCTGCATAAGTGTCAAGGTCGCTGGCACCTTGAGGCATGTCGAAAGTGGATGTGGTAAAAAAGGCCGTAGCAAGGTACTGCCGTAGCTCAAACATACGACCGGCACTACTTGTTTCCGAAAGAGACTCAAGAAAACGAGATCGCAAAATTACTTGTGATGGTGGAAGCACACGGGCGATGGTATTGACTAGAGAGTAACAAAAGGTATCCTTGTATTTGGGGGCGATTGTCGGCAAAAAGGGAAGCAAGTCAGTTGGGCATGACTGAGTTGTGGTGTTTGTGTTTGCCTGTTTATCGAACGTAGTGGTACCATCGTCATTAGTCCAACGCTCTGCAGAGACAGTGGACAAAAGGCGGGCAAAGGCAACTGGAAGGTCCAGTTGGCTGATTTGTGAAAGCAGTGAAGCGTCGGTAGAAATGAGTGCCAGCAACACAAAAACGAGTTGTTGGAGAGACTCCAAAGTGGTTTGAGGCAATTCGGCACAAACAGCAGCAGCCACCTGTTCCACAATACCGAGTGCAACTCGTGTGGCCATCTTGACAGCCTGCACTTGTGGGAATACGTACCGTGGACCTAACACGGGTTTCAACAAAGTGTCAAAATTGAACTGGGATAGAGCAGACTTGGGGGACTGTTGGTCTGAATTGTGCTCGCAGGTATCCTTCTTAAAAACCAATGCTGTAATATTATCAAAAATTTCTATCGATAGACCAACGCTTGCGAAAACCTGCCTCAGTGTATCCACATGATCCCACTCAGTTGCATTGTATCCGGTCGTTAGCACCTCCACATACTTATTAATGATTGCGTCGTTTGCAGCCTGTGGCGACGACATGAATGAAAACAGAATCCAAGTCCAAACAGGCAGTGGTAGCTTTGTGGGTGATTGTTCATCAGGCTGATTGGCATTTAACTTGCGTAAGAGTGTGCCAGACTCCACGGCAAAATGAGGGGTGGTAGCATACGAAAGAACCCCCCATGGAGGTAACTTGGGGCCAGAGGCATTACCGCTACCGAAAAGGTTGGATGGTGGATCGCACTTGTAAGGAACGTAGATGGGTGCTAGAAGATAAAAATCCTTGCACGTTCTGTAGTCAGATCCGCCAGGGTCTGTTTTTTCGCGATACATGATGCGGGCAGTTTCGCGTGCCACGTCAAATCGTTTGGCCACCAGGTCGTCGATTGATTCTTCTTGGACAGAGTGTTTTGCGCCACGCCGTTGTTGGGATGTTCTGGAAGATGTTGATTTCTTTGGTTTAGTCGATGTATTTGTACATTCAAACCCAGCACCGGGCCAGACTTTGGGGCCAGGAACAGTGGCACCGTTAAACCCATTTGAGACTATGCGCTGGGTGAGATCGGCGAGAGTGGACTCCTCAAGCTCGCGTAAGGCAGCCACTTTGGAACGTACTTTTTCACGCTCCAGCTCGTCCTCATGTTCCAGGGCCTCAAGAGCATTTAAACTATTGACGAGTTTCATTGTGTCCTCACTAACTTTGAAGTCAAACAAATTGTTACCCTTCACTGCTTTCTTGGAGCCACGGGTGCGTGGAGCTCCCTTATTAAAGAACTCATTTAATGAACTTTGCTTGGTCCCAGAAGCTGTTGATTTTTTCGGAGGGAAAAAATCATTCAGCGACGGCTGGTTAGTCGCCTTAGCAGCCCCACGCTTTGCTCGTTTTTTAGGGTTCGATTCAGCTAGAGTGGACGGCGATGATGCACTCCGTGAAAGTCCTTTACTGTTTGCCCCGGCCAAAAAGTTAGTTTGCGACCGGCGTCTGATCGGGCTTACAGATTTCGACGATACTGGGGATGATAGAAGAGGTGATGAGGGGACTGGCTGTGAACTTGACAAGTTGCTATCGAGATCGTAATCTTCTTCAGCCGTTGTTTCCGAGGGGAGCCCTGACGGTGTGTCAAAAAGATCTGGGATAAGTGGCTTGGAGGATGATGTGGAAGATGAAAAGGGTTTTGTTGTTGTGATTATGGGGAGGTCCTTGAGCAGCTCGTCATCTTCACCGTCCGAGATGAACTCGTAGCTGGTTTTGCTCATGGTAGGATCAATTGAGATAGGAATATTGAAAGCTAATGTGAAGATTGGCGGTTGTGTTTGTTTATTATTTTGGTAGTAAAACGATAAATAAAAAGAAAAAAAAAAAAAAAAAAAAAAAAATTTATACTGGGGAATCAAAACATCCACTTTTGAGTGCATATAACAATGTAAACAATAAAAGTTACCCGGATGGGGAAAGTTATAAATTTCATATAAGGTTATCTATAAAGCAAGTAAAGCAAGTCATAAGTCATAAATCATAAAAGTTCTATATATATGTGATGGGGAAGAAAAAAAAAAAAGGGCCCAATTTAATAGAACATTTATCCAATAATAATAACAATAATAAAATATCCAAAAAAAAAAAAAAAATAGTAATAGTAATAATAATAATGATAATAGCAAAAATCCAAAATACCCATATGTATTCCAATTATTCCCTGCGCTCAGCTCCGGCTCCAGAAGACCGGCGCTTCTTATTGTACCGAGAATCCCTGTTATCATGGACTAGTTGTTTGTGGCGTTTTAACGAATCCTTGCGTGCAAACTTCTTGTCACAGGTAGGACATTCCAACATGGCTTGTCGTCCGTGTTGTGACTTAGAATGGCGTGAGCACTCTGAGGCTGTTGGAAACCCACATACAAACCATGGGCACTCTTCCTCCTGGCAATGGTAGGGTCGTGTAGTGCCCACGGCGTCCATGTGTGCACATAACTCTAGAATTGTTGAGTACTTTGTGTCGCAGTGAGTGCAGTAGTACTTCCCCTTTTTGCCGCCCTTGGCCTTAATGAGACGATCAATATTGCTTTGCATGAGATTGACATGGGTGGCTGCGCGGCTCTTAATGACTGGGTTGGTCCAAGGACGCTCCTTTAATTTTTTAGAAGAAACAGAAGCAATGGCAGCAGCAACGGCAGCAGAAGAAGATGAAGATGAAGACGAGTTATTTCTTGAAAACGAAGACAATGAAGGGCTTGAAGGAGTGGAAGATGAAACAGGCTGGACAGTTGAGCGACGCATGTTGCACTCAGTGAGGACTTGGAAAAGTTGTGGCAAGCGATGGTTGTGAACATGCAAGACTTGGCCATTCTGTGGGACAGACTCCGAGTCGCTACTACTACTACCGCTAGATTCCTCATAGGCCTCGTATGGTTGGTGATGGAGCGGCTGGTGATGGTTTTGTTGGTGAGGTAACTGATGAGGGGATAGGGATTGATGGTGGTGGTTGTGATGATGGTGAAGATGTTGAGGCTGCTGCTGAAGTTGAGGCTGAGACTGAGACTGAGACTGAAGTTGAGGTTGAAGTTGAAGTTGAGGAGGAGGAGGAGGTTGTTGTTGTTGAGGAGGAGGAGGTTGTTGTTGTTGTTGTTGGTGGTGATGTTGGTGTTGGTGGTGATGTTGTTGGTGTTGAGGATAATGTTGTTGTTGATGGTTTACAACCAAAGGAGGTAGTTGGGGGTGTTGCTGCTGAGAAACTTGAGGCATTTGAGAAACTTGAGGAATCTGAGACATTTGTTGTTGGGGCTCATAAAACGACTGCATAGGAGGCAACTTTTGCTGCTGCTGCTGCTGCTGTTGTTGTTGTTGCTGATTAGAAGACATCTGAACAGGGAAAAGAGACGACTGTCTAATAGGATAAGCCAATCCAGAGTTTTGTGACCCAGCAGGCGACGGGTACCCTTGAAAGTTGTAATAGGGTGGTGGGCCAGCAGCACCTGCCAATGACACCACACCTGAATCTTGAGGTGAACCAGTCATAGATGTCGGAGCATGAGGAGGAGTAGCCATTGGTGCAGAGGTAGAGTGTAACCCTGTAAGCAAGTTGTTATTATTATTGTTGTTGTTGTTATTGTTGTTACTATTATTATTATTATTATTATTATTATTATTATTATTATTATTATTATTGCAATTATTGTGGTTATTCCCACCTTCCATACTTGTGGTACTTCCTGCCGACATTGGCGCGGCAGGCATGGGCCCAATCAACGGTGTAGAAACCGCAGTTGACGAAGACGACGATGAAGTTACCAAAAGAGGAGCCGTGGGAGGACGCTCCATGATAGCGGGCTGAGGCTGTGGGATGATGCGCGGAGATCGGGCCGCAACTGCTACTTGGGGAAGCGCATAAACAGCGTGCATAGGATCCGGTTTGTAGGTGTACATGTTTGCTGCAACAGCAGCAGCAGCCGCAGAGGCAGCCGAAGCAGTTGCAGAGGCAATGACTACCGAGTCTGTAGGGTCTTCAAGCTTAAAGGGATCCAGTTTGAAGGCTGGATGGTCCATGTTTTGCAACGAGAGCCAGTGGGCGTGAGATTGGGCGTGGATCTGCTGGGTGATGGAGGAAGCCAGAGACGGGTGGATAGATGGGTTGATTGCAGAAGAGATGGTGATACTTGAAGCTTGGCCCAGATCAAAAGAGTATTGCTGGTGGTTAAGCTGATTGTTGGTGATGTTGATGATGTTTGAAGGGTGTTGATGATGCTGCTGCTGTTGCTGCTGTTGTTGTTGTTGTTGTTGTTGCTGTTGTTGTTGTTGTTGTTGTTGTTGTTGTTGTTGTTGTTGTTGTTGTTGTTGTTGTTGTTGTTGTTGTTGTTGTTGTTGTTGTTGTTGTTGTTGTTGTTGTTGTTGTTGTTGTTGTTGTTGTTGTTGTTGTTGTTGTTGTTGTTGTTGTTGTTGTTGTTGTTGTTGTTGTTGTTGTTGTTGTTGTTGTTGTTGTTGTTGTTGTTGTTGTTGCTGCTGCTGCTGCTGGTGATGGTGTTGAGGAAATGCCATGTGGAGGGCAAGATGGGCTGCAAGGGTAGAAGGGATTTCCTGGTTTGAAGAGCTTAAGCTTGGAGTTGAAGATGTTGTTATTGTTGTTGATGGTGATGTTGATGGTAATGTTTGATCTTGTTGTGATGTTGTTAAAACAGTTGAAGAAGATGGGCTGGTCAAAAATCCACTCACTTGAGGAGAAATCAAGCGGCTTTTATTCAATCCCGGCCACACCGTCGCCGAAGCCCATGGCCGCCGGTCCGGCAGTTGAAATGAGGCATTCTGTGTTGCTACTGCTGCTGCTGCTGCTGCTTCTGCTGCTTTTGTTACTTCTGCTATTTCTTCTGATTGTGTTGTTGTTGGAACGGTTTGAGGCCCACATGTAAAGGGCTGGTCTCCAGTGTTTGAGTTCAAATGTTTGTTGGCTACTATAGTAATGGCGGATTTTGCATCACATGGTTGGAGAGTCTCTTGAAATGAGGCTTCCTGGGGGGACATTCCGGACACGGCCGCCACAGAACTTGTGGGCCTTAGCAATCCCAACTTTTGCCCGAAATGATCCGAGGTGGTAGCGGCAATATTGGAGGTTCCAGATATGGAAGAAAAAGGTGGGCCTATCGGATTTGAAGCCACAGGTCCTATACTGCTACTGCTGTTATTAGCAGAGTAAAAAGTATGAGCTTGCTGGACCGACATCATAGGCGAAGGACCCGGGAAAACATGGTCCATTTGCACAGATCTCATGTCGGCCATTTGAGTTGGCAGTTTAACGGGGGGTTTCTCAATAGCGATAAATTTCCTGACATCATTGTCTTTAATAATATCGACCCCACCTTTGCCTCTACCACAGTTGTTATTATCACCACTATTAGAAATGGGACTTTGTTTAAACTCCGGAATAGGCCCGATAAAGGGCTCTTTAGTGATTTGCTGCTGCTGCTTCTGCTGCTCTTGCTTCTGTTGCTGGATTTCTCTCTGCTGCTCTTGCACCCTGGTGACCTCGAGGACCTTGTGCTCGCTGACGTCATTGCTGCTAAATATCGATGGAGACAATTGCAGTTCAACAATGCGCATTTCCGATTGTAGACTAGACAAATGGTGCAAAGAAGACATCGACAACAATGATGATGATGATGATGATGATAAAGACAAGGGCAGATCTCCAGCAGTTTCGGATAATGGAAGCGGTGATAACGGTAAATTCAAAGGAAATAAAGCTGGGGAAAAAGAAGTGGAAGGAGCAGGAGCTACCGATGGTGGCCGAAAATGTGGGGATTGGACCTTTATGGGAGATGAAGAATTCAGGGAAGGATCGTATACTAAAGAATATGGTGACACATGGATTGATTCCAAAAGCTGGCCCAGTTGTAAAGAGTAATCCAGCGACATGTCGACCGGTGAAGTTGGCGATCCAGGAGACCGCAAAAACGGATTGTTAATGTTTGTGTTGGTACCTGCTGAAATGTCAAAGCCAGGACTGATTCTGCCTACAAAGGGACTTCCAGGTCTACGATTATTGCCTGCTCCAGAAAGTGCATCGAAAAGGTCTTCAAATAAAGGTGATCTGGGCCGTGCTATGTAAAAGTCTGGCGACCCAGGTACGCTCAACATTCCTGATTCTATAGGTTCTGAATCTTTATCTTCTCCATCATCTTCACCATCTTCATCTTGGATTACCAATTGAGTACTGGGTATTGGAGCCGTTGTAGTTGTTGTTGAAGTCACTGTGTTAATTTCACCACCTGCAACTGTTGTTGTTGTTGTTGTTGTAGCAGTTACCACTGTAACTGGCGACCTTTTATGACTTTTTGAACCTGCAACAAGAGCCCTGGATCCAGATCTAGACTTTTTGTTCAGTTGATGATTTTCTTCTTCATCATTTTCATCCTTTTGGTCTTCTAAAAATTCAGAGTCCATTGGAACTCGGATTGAGAAATGCACTACGCGAGTCTGGTAAATCTCCACGACACCTTTCCCGCGACTATATCCACGAAACGCCTGTTGCATCATGTATTGAAGGCCTTCTGGGGGGACTGTGTGTACCCGAAGCACCCGCCTGCGGGGTCTAAAAGGAGGCGGTACAGTTGGGACCAGCCGCATGAGCCGGTTATCCGCTGGATCATTGTTATCATTGTTATCATTTTTATCAATTTTTTTATTCTCTTTATTCTCTTTATTCTTTTGAGATGATGAAAAGGATAATGTGTGTTTGCGTATAAGAGCGGTACGCGCTGACTTTGGATGCAATTGGGTAGTTGATGGAAGTCTTGGTCGGTGCAAGTCAGCAAGATCATGGAGCCCTGTAAGTTCTGCGAGAGGTTTCGGAACGCGTGTAATTTCTTCAGTATCGTCGTCTACTGTTTTATTTATGGTGAAGGGTCGGTTGCTATGGCCAAGTTTCTGGTTTGACAGTTTAGAGATTGTAGGAGAGGTCAGTTCGTGGATACGTTTGTTTCGGATAAGACGTGCTGAAAAAGAGAGTGCACCGAGTCGGGCGCTGAGCTTTGGGCGCGGGGTGGTGGGTGTTGTAGAAGTAGTAGCATTTGCTGTTGGAGAGGATGTTGTTATTGATGTTTGTGTGGAATCCGGGTCTTGGGTGCCGGGTGTCCCGGGGGAAGTGTTTGACATTTGTTTATTGTCGGGTAGCATATTTTGTGAAATGAGGCCTGTTGGGATTTTGGAGGTCATGCTGATGGAGGGGTGTGTGTGTGTGTGTATGTGTGTGTGTGTGTGTGTGCGATAAAACTTTATTGAAACACGCGCTAAACCCTTGCAAGATTTTGTGTGTGGATGTGTTTTTTTTTTTTAATAATTTTAATATAGAAACACAGTGTAAGTAGAATTGTATGAGGATCTTTTGATAAAGAATGGTAAGTAATGAATTGGCAAGTAGTTGTGAAAAATGGAGATAGATTTTAACAAGAATAAAAAAATAAATTAAAATAAATAAAAATAAAAATAAAATAAAATAAAAAAAGAGAGAGAAAAGAAAAGGTGGTTTTTTTTTTTTTTGAGGATTTTTTTTTGAACCTGGCCGGGGGAGTTTGGAAGTGATATATATATTTCTTTATTTATTTTTTTTTATTTATTTATAAATATATATATATATATATATATATATAGAAGAACAGATGAACAGATGTGTAAGGGAAAAGACCAAATAGACATAAAGATATATTTGTACAATGTTATTCTTATTATATGATTGAAAAAAAAAAAAATAAATAAATAAAAGAATGAAACAACCCATTATAGAGGATTTTTAATATAACTAATATTAATTCAATGAAATCCTTAAGTAGAGAATTTATTTTTTTATATTTTTTTTTTATATTTACTATTAAAATATTTAAATATAATAATTATAATAATAATAACTATAATGATCTAGAGGTTATCATCATTTATTAAATATTCGAATTGAATTGAATTAAATTAAATTGAATTGAATTGAATAATGAAGATTCAAAACATCCAAGTAAATTAACAATCGACCAAATGAAAGAAAAAAAGGACACTCAAACTTAGTTAAAAGTCGATGATAACCAAAAAAAAAAAAAAAAAAAAAAAAAGAGGGATTTTGTTTTTTTTTGTTTTTTTTCTTACACTGAGAAATCTTAATAAAGGAAGCCACCAAAGATGGACGTTTGCATGTGTGCGCAGTCGGGTGTTAAATATTTTGGTGGATTTTTAAAATTTTTTTTTTTTTTTTTTTTTTTTTTTTTTTCGTTTATATATATATTCTTATAAAGACTGCTAGTACTGCCAACCATATATTTGGATATACACTCCCAGATTAAGCTCCATATGTTTACATGTATCTAAAACCGCACCCTTGTTTTCTAGAGGTGGAGGAAGAGGAGGAGGAGGAGGAGGAGGACAGCCAAGACGCCCTAGCTTATAATATTGACAAGGGTGTTAGGTGTACTGAGATTTCACAAAAAAAAAAAAAAATACAAGCAAATGAAATGAGGTTAGATGGTTAAATTATTGTTTAGTCAGTTTGTACTGAAAAAAAAAAAAAGCAAAATCAATAAAAAAGCAACTAGGTTTATTTTATTTTTTTTTTTTTTGGGGGGGGAGGAGGCTTATATAAAACCACACTACATAGGATTTAAGAGTTATTGCTGGTTAGTGTAGTAAATGTGATGACAATGCACCACTTTAAAGAAAAAAAAAGGGAAAAAAAAAAAAAAAAAAAAGTGGTGGTCATTTAAACAAAAAAAAAAAAAAAAAGTATCTCCCGAGAGAGAAAAAAAAAAAAAGATCAAAGATTAAAGATTAAAGAGAGAAACAAACAAAAAAAAAAAAAAAAAAAAAAAAAGCCTCATTTGAAGTGCATATGTGTGTGAATGGCTGAAAACCCCCCCAAAAAATAAAAAAAACCACGAGATGATGATAAAGTTTTGCAAGACATGTGGTGACTAGCCGAGAAAGAGAGAGAGAGAGAGAGACAAAAAAAAAAAAAAAAGAGAGAAAAAAATGGTGTAACATATAATAATTATGTTTAAGCTTATCAGTTGGGCCTCAAATGGAGGAAGATTGTGAGAAAGACCCCAAAAAAAAAAAAAAAATTAACGATAGAGTTCATTTTCAAATGTGGGGAGGGGAGGAGAGGAGAGGAGAGGAAGGAAGATCGAATTGAAAGTGATGACATAAGCTATTACTACAAATTGGAACAAGAAATTAAAAAAAAAATAAAAAAATAAAAAAATAAAAAACCCTTGACCCTAATAAGTAAGGCTGATAGGGTTAGGGATTAAAATATTTCAGGGTATAGGGTTTAAATTTTTTTTTTTTTTTTTTTTAGGAAAGAGGATCAAAGAAAAGAAGAAGAATAAAAAAAAATAAAAATTATTGTGTCTATTCAACTATAAACTTATATATATATATATATATATATCCAACAACAAGTTTTTTTATTATTAAAAAACAAAAAAAAAAAGGAGGACAAAATATGTCTATAGAAGAAACAAACCAAACTACAGTTTCTGGACCGGTTCCTGTGGTTCCTGCAGTAGCTGCTACTGGTGGTGTCTGGGGCTCCAAAATGTCATTTAAAGAGGTTCTTCTTCGAGGAGTTGAAGAGGAAGAAAAGGAAAAGGAAAAAGAACAAGAAGGAGAAAACAAGTTAAAGGAAGATTCCAAGAAAGTTCAAAATGAGATTAAGAATGAAGAAGAAGAAGAAGAAAAAGAAAAAGAGGATACTCTTACTACTACTACTACTACTACTACTACTACTACTACTCCTACTACTAAAAAGGAAGTTTCAATTCCTACATCTGATGACTCTACAGTGACTGTTAAAAGAGAAGCTGGTGGGCCTTTGATTCATACCCTTGTTCTTGATGCTGGACCATTGCTTGCACAGACATTTAGTGACTTACAAAAGAGAGCTTGTCGATTTTTCACGACTCCTGCAGTTTTACATACAGAGATTCGTGATGCTCGTGCTCGAGCCAATATTGAGCTTTGGCAGACAGCAGGGTTACTTGGAGTTCGTCAGCCTACTCCAGTTCAAGTTGCAGCAGTTGCAGATTTTGCTAAACGGACAGGTGATTTTGCAGTATTATCAACAAATGATTTACATGTACTTGCATTGGCGAGAGAGTTGGATGTTGAAGTACATGGTGGATCTGATGCACATTTGAGAAAGATGCCTGGTGGAGAGGGAGCTAAAAGAAGTAAGGAATTAGAGGGAGCTAATTTCCGTGCACCTGTGACTTATAATGTTCATGTGGATAGAATTCGACCTGGAGAGGAGGATGAAGAGGAGGAGAAGGAGAAGAAAAAAGAAGAAGAGGAAAAAAAAGAGGAAGAAGAAGAAGAAGGTGATGATGATGGATGGTCGACAGTTAGTAAGAAGAGTAAGCCTCGACGACACAATAATCGATACAACAACAACAACAATAATAATAATAATAATAACAACAACAAGAGTGAAGAGAATACTGGAGAATTAACATCTAAGATGGCAGAGATGAACATTACTACATCTTATGAGGAAGAAGAAGAGAGTGAGGAAGGTTGGATTACAGAGGAAAATATTGTTGAGACTATGAGAAAGGATCAATATGAGCCAGATGAGAATTCATTTTTGGCTACAGTTAAGTCTCATCATAAGAATGGGAATAAGAATGATGGTGTTGCTGCAGATGCTGAGGCTGCAGATGCTGAGGCTGTAGCACCTAAAGTTCAAGAAAAAGAAGAAAAAGAAGAAGAAGGACCATTTTTGCCCTCTGCAGTTTCTACGGGAGATTTTGCAATGCAGAATGTTGCATTACAAATGGGGTTAAATTTGGTTAGTCCTGTTGATGGTAAGAGTGTACGACAAGTTAAGAGTCATATGTTAAGATGTCATGCATGTTTCCATTTGTGTCCCGTTCCTCGAACCAATGATGTTGATGAGATTATGCAAAAACGTCGGGGGAATCAAAAGACAGATACTTCTTTATCATCGACAGTTTTAGGACGTGGTCTTAATTTTTGTCCTCAGTGTGGGTCCGGTAATACATTGAGACGATGTACAGTTAGAGTTGATGGACGAGATGGACATATTCATGTATATTTGAAGCGACATATGCAATGGTCTACTAGGGGGAATATTCAACAATTGGGAGTTCCTCAGAGTAAGAATGCAAGACGTCAAGGACGGGTGAAGGATCCTTATGATACTTCATCACAACCTATATTACGTGAAGATCAAAAGGAGTATGAGAGGGCCATTGTTCATGATTGGAAGCAAAAGCGACAGAATGAAAAGGTTTTAGAGGAATGGATTGGAGGAAGTGTTGGAGGGGATGGGAATGTGAGTGTTGGATCTGTGGGTGTGCCTTTTGCATATCATCGAGATGCTGCACGTCATACGGGGATTCGGATTGGTCCTGGACGGAACGGCAATAAGCGCCGTGGGAAATGAGTGGGTTGGGTTGGGTTATTACTAGTACTAGTACTAGTGTAATAGTATGGTAATATGGTAGTATGGTAGTATTAGAGTTGGTGTTTTTTTTAGGGTTATGGTTAGAGAGAGAGAGAGAGAAAGAAAGTTTGGACTAAAGTGGAGATATTAAGTTTTTAGGTTATTATATAAGCGTAAAGGAAAAATAAAAAATAAAAATAAACATATAAAAAAATAAAAATAAAAACAAAAAGTCTCTTTTTACTTTTTTTTTTTTTTTGATAGAAATTGAAAAAAAAGAAAAAAAAAAAAATGACGTGAGAACAAAAAAAAAAAAAAAAAAAACGAATTTACAAAAATAATAATAATAAAACTATTTAAAATCAATCATAGTTGAATAAATATATATATATATATATATTTACAATTTAGTTTTTTTTTTTTTTTTTTTTTTTAGCTTGATGAGATGATGATGATAATGTTCAGTTAATTGGTTAATTGGTTGGTTAGTTAGTTAGTTAATTAATCATGTTAGATTACGTGATGTGAGACATTAGTAGTAGTAGTAGTAGTAGTAGTAGTAGTAGTAAAACCCGCCTCCCGATTATTTTTATTTTTTATTTTTCTTCTTCCCGTAGAGTGCGCAAAGTCTTTTTCGGCTGCAATTCCACGTTTATTTAAGGGGCGTGAGTGTTGAAGGAGGAAGGAAGGAAGGAAGTTTAACGCGATGATGATGATGATGATGATGATGATGGGAATTTTTATTTTTTTTTTGTATGTGAGAAATTTTTATTTTTTATTTTTTATTTTTTATTTTTTATTTTTTATTTTAATTTTTTAAATTTTTTTTAAATTTTTTAAATTTTTTTTAAATTTTTTTGGGTGCTACTGTTTATTAGTACTAATTATATACAAATGTTGTTATCAAAGGGTTAGGGCGGGCAAAGAGTGATGTGATGAGCTTAAAAAAATTAGAGTGCTTATGTAACAAGTTAGTTTTGATGAACTGTAAAAAAAAAAAAAAAATAAAAAAAAAGGGCGGTTGTTTGCCTTTTTATTTTATTTTATTTTTTATTTTGGTGTGGCGCGCTCTTTTCCGAGTTGTTGTTATTTTATTTTATTTTTTTTTTTTTTATTGGTGAGCGGAAAAGAAAAATAAAAAAACCTTTTTTTTATTTTCTTTCTGTGGGCGTTTTGGGGGGTTTTTTTTTTTTTTTTTATTTTATTTTTTTTTGAGGCGCGCGCGGGAACTTTAAAAAATAAAATAAAATAAAATAAAATAAAATAAAATAAAAAGTAAGTAATTTACTTAATAAGTAAGTAAGTAAGTAAGTAATTATACTTTATATATTTTAAAATAATAAAAAAGAAAAGTGTTTACTGAAATAAATAAATAAATAAATAAATAAAAATAAAAGTAACTTTATATAATAATAATAATAATAATAATAATAATAATAATAATAATAATAATAATTATTCTTTATTCTTTATTCTTTACCACCAGTAAAAAGAAAACAAAATAAAAACTTATGTTGGTGGTGGTGTTTCTCTTGAATTTTTTTTTTATTTTACTTTTGAGTAACTTTATAATAATAATATTTTTATTTACTATTTATTACTTCTTTTTTTTTTTTTTTTTTTTTTTTTTTTTTGTCAAAGCCCATTTTTTTCTTTCTTTCTTTCTTTCTTTTTTTCTTTCTTTCTTTCTTTCTTTTCCCAACTTGAAGTCATTCGTTTTTTTTTTTTTTTTTTTTTTTTTTTTTTTTTTTTTTTTAATTTATTAAATTTTCATCATCATTAAATTACTTTCGTTTCATAACCATCACTATCAACAACATCAACACCAACACCAACATCACCATCACCATCACCATCACTTTTATTTATTCCATATTAATCCTAGTTGGATCTTTACTTTTACAGTAATAATAAATTATTATTTAAATATATTTATTTATTTATATATACACTGAAAATGTCTTCTTCATCTTCATCATCATCTTCATCAGTCTTCTTTCAACAGACGACATTTTCAAACTCTGACATTCAAAATAACGCGTGGCAACCAACTGCTAATACTACTGATACTACTATTCCAGTACAAGTTATTGCTCAACCCCAGCACCATCAAGTGGTTCGTCCAGTCTCTTCACAACAACAACTACATCAACAGCAACAACAACAGCAACAACAGCAACAACAGCAACAACAGCAACAACAGCAACAACAGCAACAACAGCAACAACAGCAACAACAGCAACAACAGCAACAACAACATCATCATCATCATCATCAAGTATTTGTGCCCCTTAAAGAAGCCACCCAATCACCAGTGTCAAGTTTGAATTATTCTACTACAATAACAAATTCATCTTTAAATGATTCTTCACCTCCAAGTGGTAGCAGGTCTCCCACAAATCTTGCTACTATTCCCATTTCTAATACTACTACTACTACTACTACTACTATTAATACTAATACCACAAACAACAACAAGTCTCCTCTTAATATGACAACAAATATAGATACCAATAACCCTTGGAATTCTTCTTTTAATCCTCAATATCAACAACAACAACAACAACAACAACAACCTACAAACCAATCATCTGTTTCAGGGGTTGGTAATAGTGGACTTTTAATGGGAGGTCCTGTGGGTGGAGCTCGTAAGCGTCTTCCTGTGGCTAAAACAAATATTTTGGAACGTGCGTTTCAGGAAAACCCCAAGCCTGATAAAAAGTCTCGTGAGAATTTGGCTCAAATTACTGAAATTCCAGTTAGAAATATTCAAGTGAGTATTATTTTTTTTTTTTTATTTTTCATTCTTTTTTTTTTATTATTCATTTTTTTTTATTATTCATTTCAAAGTCATTTTTTTTTTTGTTGCAAGGGTAAAGAAAAACAAAAAGATGCCACTTAAAAACTTTCTACTCCTTTAATTATTTTTTTATCAAACAAACAAACAAACAAAAAAGCAAAAAAGCAAAACAAACAAAACAAACAAAAAAAAAAAAAAATCACCACCACCATTGGCTACCTGCTAATAAAAAATTAAAACAAAAAAAAAAAATATTCTTAACTACCTCCCCACCCCCCCTTTATATCCAAACAAGCATATATTATCAACAACAACTTAAATTCACCCTCCAATTTCTCATATTTCTCACACACACACCCCTTGTTTTCAAACAAAATTACTTCTTTATATATTCATTACAAAACAATAAGAAACAACCCTTTTTTTTTTTTTTTTTTTTTTTTTTAATACTCAAATGAATAATAACTTGCCCTTATTTTCAAATTCTTTTCTTAATCATCATCATGCTAACTTAAAACAGATTTGGTTTCAAAATAGACGCGCAAAGGCTCGATCAAATGAAGAAGAAAATATCATTAAAAAATTACAAGCTACAATGCCTCACCTGCCGGCTCAGGAACATCAACATCTTAATGAAAAAATTAATGATAAAAATTTAGATGATAATAATAATAATAATAGTAATAATATTATTATTCAAGATGTTTCACAAGTTACAATGGCTTTTCCTAAGCAACAGCAACAACAACAGCAAAATCAACAAATGTTTGCCGGGCAGGTCCCTATACAACAAGTTCAACCTAATTCTCAACAAAGTGGGCAGCCGCAGCAGCCGCAGCAGCCGCAACAGCCGCAGATGCAGCAACAGCAGCAGCAGCAGATGCAGCAACAACAAATGTTTCAAAGTCAAATTGTAAACTCTAATCAATTTATTCCTCCTGGACAAATTATTTCTAACCAAATTATTCCTATGCAAATTACCCCTGGGCAAGATGTTAACAACAACAACAACAACAACAAGACCCAAATTTACGTCAATAGTAATGGCCAAATCTTGGTTCCTGGGCCGGTCCCTGGACAATTGGTGGCAACAGGACAAGTAATTGAGTTTGAGCAACTTAAACAAATTCAACAGCAACAAAAGGATTTAGCTAACCAGCCTATTCAAAACTACAATTTTATTCCTTTGTCAGGAAATGGTTTAGTAAACCAACAGCAGCAGCAACAGCAGCAACAACCACAACAGCAGCAACAATCTCCTATTATTATTCAACAACAATCACCTACAATTATTAGACAGCAAACTGGATCTAATCAAAATATATCACAACAACAACAACAGCCACCTCCTCCTCCTCCTACTCATCATTTAAATGCTTCTAATGCTCTTGTTTCAAATCCTCAAGTTGGCTCTTTTATTAACTTTCCTATTCAAGTCCAACCCACTGAATCTATGCATTCAATGCAATCAATGCAATCTACCATGCAGCAGCCTCTTGTTCAGCCTGGCAATCATTCCGTGCAATCTCACAACAATAATAGGAATAATAATAATAATAATAATAACATTATTATTATGCACTCTACCTCATCTACTATGCAACAGCCACCTGGAGAACAATTTGAGCAACGCCAACAGCCAATATTACAACAAATGCAACCGATTGTTCAACAACAGCAACAGCAACAGCAACAGCAACAACCTCCAATGCAACAAATGCCTCCTCAAGTAGGCCCACAAATGGTCCAACAAATGCCATCTCAAATGGCACCTCCAATGTCTTCCCCCATGCTTCCTCCTCCTCCTCCTCCTCCTCAACAACAACAACAACAACAACAAGTTGGTCCACAGATGAGCCCACGAAATATCCAGCAAATACCTATGCAACAAGTTGTTTCAGAATCTATGCAACAACCTCAACAACATTTCCAATTCCAACCACCCATTGTCATGCAAATGCCAATGCCAATGCCAGTCCAAATGCAAGTTCCTGTTCAAGTCCCTATCAATAGACCCCCATCAAATTTAGCACTTGCTTCGGGTCCTCCACCCCCACCCCCACATCAACATCAACATCAACATCAACATCATCAACCCCCATCTCAAATCCCTGGCCCTATTCCTACACCTACCCTTCAAATTCCATTCCAAACTCCTCCAGCAGGATCACCAATTTCTCCTCCATCTTCATCTGCATCTGCATCTACTTCTACATCTTCTTTCTCATCTTCATCAACCCCAATCTCTACCTGTAATTCTTCCTCTTCTTCTTCTTCTTCTTCTCATTCCTCTTCAAACCCACATCCACCACACCCAAATCCTACCAATGTCTCACAGAGACCTCGTCCAGCAATGCATATTAACCCGAACTCTGCAAACGCCCTGTTTGTTCAACAACAACAACCCCTCTTTGTATTAGCCGGATCCCCGTCACCCGGAAGTTCTCTCCTTGTTCCTGCTTCAGCAACATCATCATCAATGTCCGGTCCAAGTCCATCTGCCGTACCACCATCAACTACCCCGCTATACACTCCAACAACTCCCCTCTATACAAGTCGCCTACAAAATACCATCAATAACAATCCTGCCACCATGTCATCGCTCCGCAGAAGCTATTCCGCTACAGGACATGGAGGACTGCTTTCCGTGAATGGTAATAACCATGTTGTTGATTTAAACATGGCTAACAGCATTCCATCAAATAATCAACAAAACTCATCATTAGTACAGCCAATGCCTACCTCATCGTCATCGTCATCTTCATCTACAACTGTAACCACCCCACTTACAGGTACCAGTATAATTAGTAATGCCACTACTGCTAGCAGCAGCAGCAGTATTAACGGCAGCAGCAGCAGCATTTGTAGCAGCGCGCTACCTCCCTCCGTGCCTGCGTCGGCTACGGCCGCCGTCTTTGATGATTATGGCGGTCTGCTGTCGCCCAGCGGGTCTCCGTTTCTTTCTGTGCGGTTCCCATCGGACGCCAAGCGCCACGAGCTTGAAGGTGGGGCAAGCGGCGCTGCTTCTTCTTCTTCTTCTTCTTCTTCCTCTTCTTCTTCTTCTACTACTTCTTCCTCTTCTAGTTGTGCTGCATATGCTGGTTATAGTGGTGTTAACCTTAATTCACACCCTGACCAAGTTCCTAAACGCAGACGGTCCAATGCCGGCACGGTTTTAGAACCTCCTGGGTCTGCGACATTATCAGGAACCTCTCCATGGCGAATCAATAATAATAATAATAATAATAATAATAATAATAACACTGCCAATTGTCAACAGCCAATTGGCAGTGGAAGTGCACCCACTACGTTTATTTCATTTACAAATGGTCCCTTTAGTGGACCCATTAGTGGGCCTCCTAGTGGATGTACTCCTCCTTCATCTTCTATGAATGTTGCTTATCCTTCACCGGCCAGTTCTGCTAGTGGTGGTAGTAGTAGTAGTGGGAGTAACATTGCTGGTTTGAATAATAACAATAATAATAATAATAATAATAATAATAATGGGGTTGGTCTTGAACGTCGAGGAAGTCCATTTGGGTTGCCAGTTTCTGGTGCCACTATGGTACCAATGAATATGACACCAACAATGACGACAATGACAGGTGGTTCTAATTCAAATAGTGGTGTACTTATGAATGTACCTCCACCATTACCACCTACAATGTCTTCCTCCTCACCTTCTATGGCCATGTCAATGGAACCACCAACAACAACAACAACAACAACAACAGGTGTATCCAATTCCACTTCCCCGGATATGTTTAATAGTTTATTTGCATTACCGGAAGAATCTGGAGATGGAGAAGATGATGGGTTTTTTGAGCAATTGGTTCGTGAGATTGAGGAAAGTTCATTTTTGTGTCCACAACCACCGCCCGATGTTGTTGCTTAATGTATGCATGTGTATTTTTAAAATATTTATCTTTCTATTTATTTATCTTTCTATTTATTTATCTTTCTATTTATTTATTTATTTATTTATTTATTTATATATATTAATAAATATATATATATATATATATATATGTTAAAGATTTTCTCTTTTAATTGATTGAATTTCTAAATCTAAACTGGTGATTTCAATTGGAATGTCTTTGTTATTGTTATTGCTGGTAGTATTGGTAGTGCGCTGGTGTTTATTGTTGTAGGTGTTTCTAACTCCCTTCCTTCCTTCCTCCCTCCCTTTCCCTCCCCCCCCATACATCCGCAATAAAGTTTTGCGCAGTGATTGGCTGCGTTAAACTTTTCCCTTCCCCGATTGATTATCGTGGCGTCTTTTGCTGGGCCTTTTCTGTATATGTAAAATTTATATTAAATAAAAATATATAAAATAAATTAAATATTAAATAAATAAATTAAATAAATTAATTAAATAAATAAATTAAATAAATATTAAATAAATAAATAAATTAAATAAATAAATTAAATAAATATTAAATAAATAAATAATGATCTTTTTTTTTTTTTTTTTTTTTTTTACTGGCACTATAAAAACCCCCCCATCTCGCCACTTTTTTTTTTTTTTTTTTTTTTTTTCTTAAATAACTTCTTCTTCTTCTTTCTTTTCTCCCTCTCCCCAACACTTTTTCTTCTTTCTTTTTTTTTTTATTTTTAAAAAAAAAAAACACACACACACACAATTCCCTTTTTCTCATATATACATTCACATTACCTTAAAAATGGCCATCACTAAAATCTTCTCCAGATACGTCTACGACTCCAGAGGTACGTTCAATTGAATCTTGTTTTCATTGCTCTATCTCTCTCTCTCTCTTTTGTTTCTCTGTTAATAATACCTTCATCTTAACCCTACCTTTTACTAACTAACTCTTTATAGGAAACCCAACTGTCGAGGTCGACTTGACCACCGATAAGGGTCTTTTCCGTGCAATTGTTCCCTCGGGTGCTTCCACCGGTATCCACGAGGCTCTCGAGCTCCGTGACCAAGATAAGACCCACTGGGGTGGCAAGGGTGTCTTGACTGCTGTCAAGAATGTCAATGAAATCATTGCCCCTGCTCTCATCAAGGCTGATATTGATATCACCGATCTTACCGCCATTGATAAGTTCCTCATTGACCTTGACGGAACCCCCAACAAGTCTAAGCTCGGTGCTAATGCCATTCTCGGTGTCTCGCTCGCTGCCGCTAAGGCTGGTGCTGCTGAAAAGGGTCTCCCCCTTTACGCCTTCATTTCAGAGATCTCCGGTACCCCTAAGCCTTATGTTCTCCCCGTCCCCTTTATGAATGTCCTCAATGGTGGCTCCCACGCCGGTGGCCGTCTCGCCATTCAGGAGTTTATGATTGTCCCCCTCGACTTCCCCTCCTTTTCCGAAGCTTTGCGTGCCGGTGCTGAGGTTTACCAGATTCTCAAGTCCCTCACCAAGAAGAAGTACGGCACCTCGGCCGGCAATGTCGGTGACGAAGGTGGTGTCGCCCCCAATATCCAAACCCCCCAGGAGGCTCTCGACCTTATTACCGACTCTATCGAGAAGGCTGGCTACACTGGCAAGGTCTCCATTGCCATTGACGCTGCCTCTTCTGAATTCTTTAAGGATGGCAAGTACGACTTGGACTTTAAGAACCCTGACTCTGATGCCTCCAAGTGGCTCACTGGTGAGCAGCTCGCTGACCTCTACATTGAGCTCCTCGACAAGTACCCCATTGTCTCTCTTGAAGACCCCTTTGCTGAGGATGACTGGGAAACTTGGGTCCACTTTTACTCCAAGGCTGCCGACCGCCTCCAGATTGTCGGTGATGACTTGACTGTCACCAACCCCATCCGCATCAAGACTGCCATTGAGAAGAAGGCTGCCAATGCCCTGCTGCTCAAGGTTAACCAGATTGGCTCTCTCTCTGAGTCTATCCAGGCTGCCAAGGACTCTTATGCCGCTGGCTGGGGTGTCATGGTCTCTCACCGCTCTGGTGAGACTGAGGATACCACCATTGCTGACATTGCTGTTGGTCTCCGTGCTGGCCAGATTAAGGCTGGTGCTCCTGCTCGTTCCGAGCGTCTTGCTAAGCTCAACCAGATTTTGCGCATTGAGGAGGAGCTCGGCGACAAGGCCATCTACGCTGGTGCCAAGTTCCACTCTTCTGTCGCCATTTAAATGGTGAAGAAGTTATGAAAAAAAAAATTTTTGTACATCTATGGAGTTTTTTTTTTTTATTTATATGTAACGTTGTTTTTTTAATATATGGATTCTGCATGTTGCTGAATATAAGATCGAGGACAAATGCCTTCAAGGGCCCGCATAGTAGCTCGGGATTGAACTGATACAAGTCGTGCAAAACACCATCCGTCGTCAAACTCATGGAGCACAATGACGAGATCTCCTGTCACTAGCTCAAGCTCGTCATCAAGCACTGGGCGATAGGCCTTAATTGCCCGATGAACTGCCACTGGGAGTTGAGCAGTTGTGATTGATGAAGAATCATCTGCATCAGAGTTGTGTACCAATGTGTTGCGTAGTTGCAGACCACGGGTAGACATATTGCCCGTAAGTTCCGGTACAAGGTCGTCCTCCTCACCTCTTCCGTCATCCGATAAGGATCTGTCGACAGCTGCCGCGGCGGCGACGGCCGACGACGATGACGACGATGACAATGACGATGACAATGACGATGACAATGACGACGAAAGACTGGTTGCAAGGTTTGGTGCACAAGACTCGGAGATACCGCTAGGTTCTTGACCACTAGGGTGTTGACCACTAGGGTGTTGACCACTAGGGTGTTGACCACTAGGGTGTTGACCACTAGGGTGTTGACCGCTAGGGTGTTGGCTACCATTTTCTTGAGACCGGTTGCTAGACCCCTGTGGGCGACTACCAGATCCATTCGACCTACTACCTGACCCGCTCGATGATCCTTGTGACAGCCCACCGGCACCGTACACACCGCTATCTGGTGTGGGTGGAGTATGGTTCGGTGTCACAAACGCAGGTGTCACGAACGCAGGTGTCACGAACGCAGGTGTCACGAAAGCTGGAGGTGTCACAAATGCAGATGCATCGCTAGGCGTGTACCCTCTGCCCTGCAGCACCAGCGTGGTATCATTATTGGGCGAGCTTGGGTAATGAATTGCAGATGACGAAGTGGACATGGATCCAGGAACAGAAATAGTGGCAGTAGTACCAGGAACTATAGTCGTAGTGCCAGGGGCCGGTGGAAGCTGCTTGGTTGCATTGATATGTCGCATGGTTTCTCGAGATAACGCGCGCCGACCCGTACCACTACTTGACCCAACGTTACTTGACCCCACGTTACTTGATCCCACACTACTTGATCCAGTGCTATTCCGAGGTCCAGCGTTGCCGCCCACCATCACTGGTACTGCTACCATCACGCCACTATTTCTGGTCGGCGTTCCCGGAGTGCTTCCAGTGTGTGGTGGTGGTGGCGGGAGTCCCGATGTTGGTGGTGGGGTTGTTGGAGTGGATGTTGTAGTTGTAGTTGTAGTTGTAGTTGATAAGGAGTTTGTTCCAACAACAACAACAACTGCAGTTCCTGGTGGTGTGGATCGGCCACCACCAGTGCCTCCAAACCTCTCGCTGCTCAATCGCTTCCATGGATGATGATTATGATGGTGTGAATTGCCCACTGCAAGTTCTGACTCGGGTCCACTGCGTGTCGAATAGAACGACGGCTGCGGTATAACCGTATGCGTAACAGTTGACGACCCATGGCCTCCCAAAACTCTTGCTCCTACTTTCGGACTAAACGGTGCTCCTAGCCCACTCCCATTCCCACTCCCAGTCGTGTTAATACTCGTTGAACTCCCGCCTGCTTGCAAATACATTCCTCCACGTACACTACTGTTCCCTCCATGCTTCTCTGAAATAACAGACGCCATCGAGTACCGGTGTACTAAACTCGCACGCCGCTCAGATAACATGCCTGACGACGACGGTGCTGACGAGTCAACGGATTCTGCGGATACCACAGACAACGCTGACGCCCGCGGGCCTAGCGAGTGGAGGCTACTATTTCCACCTGCTGGTACTCCTGCTGGTCCACCTGCTAGTTGCTTCATGTGCGGCTGGGATATCTGCGGCTGAATACCGCGCGGCTGGGTCTTCTTCTCTCCTTTCGCCGCTCCCCCGCGTGTCCCCACAAGCTTATTATTAGAAGACAAGTCGGATGCAGCTACTGTTGTTGCAGGACCAACTGCAGAACTAACTGTAAACCCCCCCGTGGGGAAAGCACCAGGGAACAAATCCTGCACTGGCCCAGGTGAAAACGACGAGAAAAAGGAGCCCGTCGATGACATCGATACTCGTGGCACTTGTCCCCGAGCACTCCCACCGCAATTCCCGCTAGCCGCTAACGCCGTTGTATTTGTGCTCGCTGTTGTTGTCGTTGTTTGTGCAACGGATTGAGAAATTCCCACAGTTCCCGCGCGCATCGATGGCGACGAAGTCAACGGTACCTGTTGCTGTTGCTGTTGCTGTTGCTGTTGCTGTTGCTGTTGCTGTTGCTGTTGCTGCTGTTGGGGACCCGGTCCTGAAACTACCGGTGGATATTCGCCCTCAAACGCAGTCTCAACAATTGATGCTTGCTCGCTTTCGACAGGTGTCGTGACTGCTGTAACCTGCACGCTTTCCGGGTAGCTTTTTGCATTGGCTAAGCTTCTTGACGACACCGATGTCATCCCCGCATCGGTTCCCAGCCCTCCAGGTTCTCCAGGTCCTCCAGGTTCTCCAGGTCCTCCGGATCCTCCAGGTCTCACTGCACTTGTATTCCCCGGGAACCCGACCGAGTAAAATACAGACACCGGTGACGAAACCGCTTTGGAAACAACAGGTGCTGCCCCACTGCCGGATCTAACCGGAGACAAGGACTCGTTACACGTCACGGACCGTGACAAACCACCAGGCCGCGCAGCAGTTGCTGCTGCCCCGGCTGCCGTAATAACTGCCATCATCGAGCTTGATGACAACGCAGGCGACGCTTCTGTTTGTTGTGGCTGTGGCCGTTGCTGTTGCTGTGGATTGTTGTTCCCCATAGGAGCTTGGTGCAGCGGCCCGTGTTTAGTCGACAGCCAATGTCTCGCAAGCCCCCCTTTTTCCTCATCATCTTCATCCACATCATCGTCATCGTCCTCTGCCTCGTCGTCCGCCAGGTTTGTCTCGCTCTCATCAGCACCTGAGCTCCCTCCTACTCGAGAAAAAAATAGCGGCCGCGCACCAGCTCGTGCACCTTGTCCAGCAACATGTCTCTGCAAATATGAAGAAGAAAAAGAAGAAGCACCATTACCTGATAAATAAGACGAATTAATAGTACCATTTCCTACCAAATACGAGGAAGTAGTAGTAGTAGGTCCATGTCCTGACAATGCTGGGCGTAATTCAGGAGACCCCACATGTGGACTCGCATCTTGAGCCTGTTGGGGAGGCGTTCCCCGAGAACTACTTGTATCTCTACTCAAGCCACTACCTGCTACTGCTGTTGTTGCTGCTGCCGTTGCACTTCTCTGGATTGGCGTGTGCGTGGTACTAGATATTTTTGGCTCGCCCGTTCCCATGCGCCCCCTGGCAAACGGGTCCAGAGTGTATGTTGCGGTACCATTGTTTGCGGCAAACACGGACCCGAGTGAAACCGCAGACTGGTACTCTGAGCGGGGGTCTGAGCGTGATGCAGAAAGAAACGCAGTAGAGGCTGTGGGTTGAGGGTTTGGCGGGGTCAGGTCGTAAAGAGTGTGAGCAGCGTTGCGAGCAGAAACAACCGAGACAGCACTGTCAGAAGCAAAGCTATTAGTAGCAAAGCTATTTGTGGATAGGTTATTTTGAGCAGTTACTGGGTTTGGAAATGAATTTGAGCTGGGTGCTGCTGCTGCTGCTGCTGCTGCTGCGGCAGTGGCGGCGGTGGTGGCATAGGGTAGGGCATTGAAGCTGAGCGTTGTTGCAGAAATAAAGGTGGGCGGCTGCTGTTTATAGTTAGGAGAATATGCACCATGTTGCTGCGGCGCAAATATGGATGTCAGGTTCTGGTGGTGGTAACTGTTGTTTGACAATTGCTCACCCCCTCGCGCCGGTTCTTGCTCAAGGATGGGATGACTCGGAGCAAACGACAAAGGCGGAAGCTGGAATAGATTGTTGGACTGTGGGTGGACCGGAGCTGCCGCTTGCTGCTGCTGCTGCTGCTGCTGCTGCTGATGTCCTGACAACATATTGCTTCCGGTATTGACCGTACCATTACCACCAACTGCAGGCCCAACCGATGGCACCACATTATACTCAGATGTTCGCGAAGGCCGTCTACTTACTTGAGCAGATGTCGATGGGCTGCTAGACACCCTTGAGGTCGAATTGAATTTAGAAATGATAGGCCCATACTCTTCCATGAAGGCCAAGTTTGTTCCCGAGTACCCGGATGAACTGGATTCTGTGTCCTGCAATTTTGGAGGGAATTGTCCATAGGGAGCAGCCATGGCGCTTGAATTGCTGAGCCCTGGAGCAATTGAAGGCGCAGTAGACGTGTCCATGTACTCTGAAAATAGTCCGGATGTGCGCGTTATGTTGAACGAAATGCGGGGGGCAGTTCCTGGGCCTGCAACAATGTGTGGGCCTGAGGGAGACCGAGAAAGCGGCGGGACTTGTTGTTGTTGTTGTTGTGCTCGTGAGATTCGGAAAGAAGCGAGGTCGGAAGAGCTTGATCGTACGGAATCTTGACGAGCTGAAGAAGTAGATGTGGCTGTGGGTTGGTTTAGTGAGGTTAGCTGTTGTTGTTGTTGTTGTTGCTGTAAGGAATCTCCTAGCCCATCTGATGAATATATTGAGCTTGATCTAAAGGAAGGATTGGGGAATTCCATGTTGATAACAGGGGGCATTCTGTGAGCAGGCAGAGCTTTGGAGGTTGTTGAATTATTTGGGGTTGAATTAGGGAGAACATTTTCTCGTTCTGGAGAGCTTTTACGAGAACTTAGTTTATTTTTGAGTGACCTCAATGGTGAGGTATTTGTACCAGCACCTGGACTGGTTACAGGTCCAGATGAAGAGTCATGGGATTGCTCTGTGAGTCGCTCACTGGTGTAGTATAAGTCTGCAGCCACGTTTGGTGAGTTCATATCCTCGTAGCGGAACCCTGACACATCGCTTGGTCGTTTTTTAATCTTGTTTATGATTGAGAGATTATTTGTTTTTGCTCCACGAGACAATTCGTTAGAGGAGGAAGATATGCTGTGATGACTGTTTGTGTCATTGAGACCCCCCAAAGTTGCATGATTTAATGAGGATGTGTTGTTTGTGGTCTCTCGTGCTCGTGAGGTCGAATGTTCGAGCGGGGGGACATCTAATCCACGCAACGGTTCTCTATCGAGGTTGAGTTCTAATGGTTTTATAATAGTTGTTGTTCTTCCTTGTGCAGAATCTTTTGTTTGTTTAATTGCAGATTGTTGAGGGATTGTAAGGGGAGGGTTATTAGGGATGGTTGATGAGTCGTAAGTATTTTTTTCATTATATGGAGAAGTGTTTGATTGAAGATTGGGGGGATTACGATTGCGGCAGCGGCAGCGGCGGCGGCGAATTAGAAACCAATATAGGAAAAATAAAAGAATGGAGAGAATGAATACAATTGGGACAACTATAGCCGCGATCCAGCTGCGTTTTGCGGTGGATCTTTTTAAGAGTAAGAGGTATTCCATGAGGTTTTTTAAAGGGCAATTTTTTTAAGAGTAAAAGAGAAAATAAAAAATAAAAAAGAAAAAAAGGAAAAAAAGAAACAAATTTTTGAAAAGAAGGGAAAGATGGAAATAAAAAAAAAAAAGAAGAAGAGAAACTGGAGAGTTTATATAAGATATAATGTACATGGCTGTGACGGTAGTAGCTTTTAATACATTTTTTTTAATATTAGAAAAAAAAAACTTCAAACATAAGAATTTGTAAAAGAGTTAAACGTTAATCAGGGCGACGAAAACATATGAAGGTAAAAAAGTTTGTATTTTTTCCATTTAGAAAAAAAAAAAAAGGTTTTCTTAAATAGGACTTTCTTATCTCAAAAAAAAGTTTAATTCCTCGATCGTATTCAACTTTTTGTTTTTCAGGGTCTTTAAATATCAAAAAGGGTCTTTTAATCGTTTATTTTTTTTTTCTTCTGTCATTTTTTTTTTACAGATTTGTAATTCATAAAAGATCTTCCTTTTAGAAGATTTATTGTAGTATTATTATTATCAAATTGATAAAGATAGAAACAATTGTTTAAAAAAAAAAGCGTTGGTGGCAAAACTGGGTGAGACGTGTTTGTGATGAGTTCCGACAGGAAGTTTAATCTTAAAACTTTAAATAAAAAAAAAGTCATTCAATTCTTCATTCTGGGTATTTCTAATGGTTTTATTCTTTTTTTTTTGATTTTTTAAAAAAAAAATTAAGATATTTTTTTCTTCCTATTGAAACTTATTGCCTTTCTCGTTTACTATCCAAGACAAAGTCCTATATATGAGAATATGTCTATTGTTTTAAACGAGTTCTTTTTTTTTTTTTTTTAATTATTTTTTATTTTTTTATTTTACCTTCCTGGCCACATTCTTCCTTCTCGGGCAATTGCTTGAAAGGCCGAAGTTGCAGAGCTAAATGCCTTTTGAGCCGAGCCTTTAAACGAGGCAGCTGAAGTACCTGATCCATCCAGAGAGTCAGAAGCTTGAGCTGTTCGGACTTCATTTACAGCAGCGACTATTTTATTAATGTTTGTTTCAACCACCATACCAGCCTGGACGATTTCACCCAAGACGGTCTGCATAATTTGCCAACCAAAAACAAGATCGAGCTCACAGACATTTTCGAGGCAGCGGTCGAGAGATTCAACAAAGACTTGGATGAGATCGAGGATTCCGAGTTCAGATTCTTGTTCGTCTACAATGAAGACAAAATAGAGGGTGGCGTAGTGGCGGTAAATGACACGAATTTCTTCCATGCCTTCTAGAAGTGGTGGTGGAGTAAGGAAAGAACATTGTTGAGAGGATCTAGTTGAGAGAATAGAGTGGACTTGTTTGAGTAGGAGGGATTGTGTTTGGAGGTCAACTGGGGTATAAAATTTCATGAGACGCGGCAGACCGCTTGTATTGACTGGAAAGAAGAAGAAGAATAATAATAATAAAGAAAGGATGAAAGCATTGAGTTAGAAAAAGAATATTTTGGTTGATTAAAAAGGAATATGGATAAGGGCGATACGTACGTACCGACCAGGACAGAGTGGATCATGGTTGAAGGATTTGAAGGTTATGGGGTTGTAGTTGGTGGTGGTTTGTTTATGATGATGATGATGATGATGAAAGAAAACCAAAATGGCAAGTGGCGAGGCTTTAAGAAAAAGTATAGGTGTAAGTGAAAATGTGTAATGTTTATATAATCATTAGTCATGTTTAATAATATTTACATGCTTATCTAATAAGCCGAGGTTTTTTTCGTTTTTCTTAATAAAGCCGAGAGCCAAAAAAAAAAAAAAAAGTTTTTGGAACCGAGCAAATCGCGTATGTAAAAAACTCACACACAAAATAAAAAAAAAAATTCTATATATATATATATAAAAACCACTCTCACTCGGGGACCCCCGGCAAGACGGACGGGCCAAAGGGAATGTTTTTAATCTTTTTTTTTTTATTTATTAAAATCAAACATCATAATTGTTTAATACGACTTGGTTTTTTTTATTTTAAAAAAATTGAAATTGATTATATAGTTGATTGTAATTGATATATATATATATATATATATATATATCATTCAATTGAACTACTTATCAAAAAAAAAAAAAAAAAAGACCCGTGTCAATATTTCTTTATTTATTTTGTGGCTAGAGAGAAAGAAAGGAAAAAAAAAAAAAAGGTAATGTCTTTGTTGTCACGTGAATAGAATTATTTACCCATTTAACTATTTAACCATTTAACCAATAAATCCGGAATGTTCCTTTTTTTTCTTTTTTTTTTTTTTTTGTGGTTCTCCCCGCAAAATTTTTGTAGAAGCGCCGCCCAGTTTTGATTGGTTCAATTGATGGTACCTTTCAACCCCAACATTTGAAAGAATCATTTTTTTTTTAAAAAATTATTAATTAAATAAATAAATATCTTTATTATATATATTCTTAAAAAGTCAATTGCCTTTATTTATATATATAAATATATATATTGTTTCAACTGATTTCTTTTCAGTCTGCTGATGTGGTCATATATATATAAAAGTTAAGGTCCACCCTCCCAGCCAGTCAACCCACATGCTGAGTTACCCCGGATTTCAGCCACGACACACACATACACAATCCACGCCTTTCCTCCCTTTTTTTTTTTTTTTTTTTTCATCCATAGTATATAAATATAAATATATCTATATATCTATATATCTATATATATATATATATATATATATACTGAATCTAACTAAACTATTTAAAAAAACCTCCCCGGTGATGGTTCGGCTCTAAGATCAGACTATTATATATATATATATATATATATATATATATATATTACCAACTCATGTTTTTTTTATCATTAAACAATTGATTGAAATAATAATAATAATAAATGTATATATATAAATATAAATCTATAAATCTAATTAAATTATCATGTCGTTTAAAATTAATAAATAAATAAATAAATAAAATTTCCCAGACCGGATAGTTTCCGGGTGGCCTCTAAAAGTCAATGTTATGTGTATGTGTGTGTGTGTGTGTGTGGCTGCTACTGCTTGTTGTTGTTGTTGCTGCAGATGGGCAAATGGATGGAAAAATAAAAATAAAATAAAAAAATAGGCCTCGGATATATTGAGATTTCTTTCTTTTATCTTAACCACCGTATATCTCAAAAAAAAAAATATATATATATATATATAAAATAAAAAAAAACTATAAATACTCCATATATCCCCCCCTCTCCAATCAATTTTTTTTTGTTCTGTTTTTTTTGTTTTTTTGTTTTTTTTTCTACCCTTATAGGACTTCTTTTTGTCTATTTTTTTTAATATAATTCATATCCCAATCCCTATACTTTTTTTTTATTTTTTTAAATAATTAAATAAATATCCTATATTCAAAATGGTCGCCCCTACTCCCCAACTCATCGAAGGTGTCGAAATCAGAGCCCCCATCCCTGATAACGCCCGCCACATCCTTACCAAGGACGCAATTGCCTTCTTGGCCACCCTCCACAGAACCTTCAATGCCCGCCGCAAGGAACTCCTCGCCAAGCGTGTTGTCCGCCAAAAGGAAATCGATGCTGGCAAGCTCCCTGATTTCCTCCCTGAAACTAAGTACATCCGTGAAGACCCCAACTGGAGAGCCGCTAAGCCCGCTCCAGGTCTTGAGGACCGTCGTGTTGAAATCACCGGCCCTACCGACAGAAAGATGGTCATCAATGCCCTCAATGCTGACGTTTACACCTACATGTCCGACTTTGAAGACTCTTCCGCTCCTACCTGGGACTCTATGATCCAGGGTCAGGTCAACCTCTACGACGCTGTCCGCAGAAACATCTCCCTTAAGATTGGCAGCAAGTCCTACGAGCTCAGCAACAAAAAGAAGCTCCCCACCCTTATTGTCCGCCCCAGAGGCTGGCACCTTGAGGAGGCCCACTTCCTCGTTGATGGTGAGGTCATCTCTGGTGGTATCTTTGACTTTGGTCTTTACTTTTACCACAATGCCGTTGAGTCCACTGCCCGTGGCTTTGGCCCCTACTTTTACCTCCCCAAGATGGAGTCTCACCTTGAGGCCCGTCTTTGGAACGACATTTTCAACTTCTCCCAGGACTGGATTAGCATCCCCCGTGGTACCATCAGAGGTACTGTTCTCATTGAGACCATTCTTGCCGTCTTTGAGATGGACGAGATCATTTACGAGCTCAGAGACCACTCCTCCGGTCTTAACTGCGGCAGATGGGATTACATCTTCTCCTTCATTAAGAAGTTCCGCGCTCACCCTGACTTTGTCCTTCCTGACCGTGCTGACGTCACCATGACTGTCCCCTTCATGAGCTCCTACGTTAAGCTCCTCATCAAGACTTGCCACAAGCGTGGTGTCCATGCCATGGGTGGTATGGCTGCCCAGATCCCCGTCAAGAATGACGAGGCTGCCAACAAGGTCGCCATGGAGGGCGTCTACAAGGACAAGCTTAGAGAGGCCCTTGCCGGCCACGACGGTACCTGGATTGCCCACCCTCAACTCGCCCACATTGCCCTTGAGGTCTTCAACAAGCACATGCCCGGCCCCAACCAAATGTACCGTCTCCGTGAGGACGTTGAGGTTACTGCCCGTGATCTCATCAACCCTTACATTCCTGGCGGCAAGGTCACCGACGCTGGTATCCGTAAGAACCTTTACATTGGTCTTAACTACATGGAGGCTTGGCTCCGTGGTGTTGGTGTTGTCCCCATCAACTGGCTCATGGAGGACGCTGCCACTGCTGAAGTTTCCCGTTCCCAGCTTAACCAGTGGGTTAAGCACGGTGTCATCACTGCTGAGGGCACCAAGGTCACCCCTGACTACGTTGTCAGACTTCTTGATGAGGAGACTAAGAAGATTCTTGCTACTGCTCCCAAGGGCAACAAGTTTGTTGAGGCTGCCAACTACCTCAAGCCTGAGATTACCAATGAGTCGTACAGCGACTTTTTGACCACTCTTCTTTACGACAAGATTGCCAAGGTCAGCTCTGTTGCCTCCAAGATCTAAAAAAAAAAAAATTAAAATAAAATAAAAAAAAGTTTTTTGTAATGAATTATGTATTATGAATGAATTAAGTAAATGAATTTAAACTGAATTGACGACTTGACTTGACTTGACTCGAATTAAACTGAGTTGAAGTTGAGGTTGAGGTTAAGGTTAAAGTTGAAGTTGTAAAAGTCTGGGGTTGTTACACGTTTTTGTATTGCATAGCGGGATTATTATTAGTAATGCGCGAGCTATTGGTTGCTGCTAAGGTCGTTCGTTGTATGCATGCAATTTTTCACGCTCTCCACCCTTTTTTTTTTTTTTTTTTATTTTACCATCATCACCACCTTTTTTTATTATTATTGTTATTATTATTATTATTATTTATCTTTCTAACAAGATATATATAGACTTAATTCTTTTTTTTTCTTATAAATACTATCATTATTCACAATGGGCTGGGCTCGATGGATCAAAACAATTCTTGCTGGTGGCTCAGTGGTCGGACTGGGTGTCAGTTGCTTTATATTCACCACACCAACCGATGAAGAATTAATTGCTGTGAGTCCTAAACTTTTCTGATCTTTTGGAACCCCCTTTCTCTATCTATACTACCTCTAGATCTATTCCATTCTAACTAAATAACTAGAAACTCTCGCCAGAACTACGTCAACAATATTACGATGAGCGAGAACGGCGCCGCATGGTGAGTCAGTGGGCCGTGGGTGAGGCACGCAAAACTGCAGCAAGTAGTAATCCTATCTGGATGACTGGTGAAATTCCCAGTGGACTTGTTCGTGGTGAAGATGGTCAAGGTCGTCGTGTAAGTCCTGCCGAAGCAGAAGCAGTCCAACGTGAACTGGCCCAAGACCCAGATGCTGCAAGAGCTTACGCAGAAGGCTTACAATACGCACCACCTAGTCTGATTAAACAAAAGGATTCTTGGGCTGCTAAACAACACATGGAAAAACAGCGTGCGATAGAAGAAGAAAAACAAAGACTGAGGGTACTTGCAGAGAAGGAAAGCAAGGCGTAGGCTAAGGGAAAGAAAGGAAAGAGAATGAGATTAATTCATTAGTTTTTTATTTTTATTTTGTACAGTTTTATATATATTATTTATATTAAGAAAGAAAGAAAGAAAAAAAAAAAAAAAAAAAAAGGTTTAATACCACTTGAGTTCTTCTAAAATGTAGGGCAAAATGACAATCGTAGCAGTATACAAAACCGTAATTGACCGCAAAAGAGCTCCAGGGAATCCAGCCAGACCTGCATCACAAAAGTTACAGTAGATAGCATAGAATGCGACGGCGAAAAAGTGGTTAAATAAAACCAAGGGCCTTGGCAAGATACCTGACAGAAGCGATACTGGGTCTGCAACACACGCACCGCCACGCTCGAAATAACGGAAGCACCCACGCTGTAGTACATAAAGATCCTCACTGTTTGCCGCAAAAAGTGCATACAAGGCCTGAGCCAAAATGTTGACCACAGCTCCCAAGTTCTTACGGCGCCAGTAAAAGGGTTCTAAAACTTGAGCTTGTACAGCGTCCCAGTCAGCCCAATCCAGTGTGCCGGCCGTGTCGCGTAACAGTGTGCGTAGTAGATCCACATCGTTAAGAGCTACAGTCATGCCACCGCCTGTGAGTGGGTGGCGCATGTTCCATGCGTCACCCAGTACAATGACACCTGGTGTACGTTGTGGGCTTGTAGGTAAGAACTGGTTAGGCATGCTGCGGAACTGGCCCTTATCAATGGCTGCTCGCATAGATGGTTGCAGTTGTTGCGGCAGGTATGGCACCACGTTTTCCGTAAGATGTTTGGCCATGTCGCCGTTAGAAATTGATGGAAGTTTCCCCTGGATATCAAACAGTGCACGGGTTTCTGTGGTTCCAATCTGGTACACAAGCACAGGTGCAAACTTGGTTCCAAGTAAAACGTGACCATGGTTCGGCGCAACTAGCTCTGCATTGTCCAGAACTACCCCTACAAAATGTGACTTGACAACCGGCGAGCGGGTCGTGTACTCCTTGCGGAACTTGGACGTGGTGCCGTCCGCAATCACGGTGATGGGCGCAAATAGGGTCCGTTCTTCTGTGACTGACTTGTCTGCACCAACTGCTTGTTTAATGCGTACTCCAACCACGCGTCCAAGTCTACGATGGATTCTCTTTTTTGCTAGCAGCTCTGGAGGCTCCACCTCTTCTTCCTCAGTGATTGTTGCAGTGACAGTGGCCTCGATGACGTCCACATAGTCTGTATGTTTAGCAGCTGCCTTTCTGAGATTCATAATGAACCTGCCATGATGGAATGATACTCCATTTTCTCTAACTTTTATGATATCTTGTAATGGTGTTCCTGGTTTCTCCACAATTGCTGCATTGGCTGCAGAAGGTGTGCCTCTTGTGCTTGGGTACCCGCGTGGCGGGTATGGTAACTTGACTGACTGGCCCTCGTAGAAAATGGTGTATCCAATCTCCGGGATTGCATCAATACCTTCCACGCAACTGGCCAGCCCGAGCCGTTCTAGCGCATGCAGACCGGCCGGTTGTAGAAGCTCGCCCACAATGCGGTTGGGTTCTCTTAAATCACGCTCGATGAGAGCTACACGGCGGCCCTGTAGTGCCATGGCGTGAGCTAGTGCAGGGCCCACGACACCGGCACCTACGATGATCATATCGTATACTGCTGCAGCGCCTGGAGGCAGTGAAGTTTGGTTTTGGGGTTGTGAGGACATTTGGTATTCTTAGAGTAAGGGGAATTTAGTAGATGGGATATCTTGAAAAAAGAAAGAGAAGAAAGAAAGAAAGAAAGAAAGAAAGAAAGAAAGAAGTAAAAAAAAGGAAAGGAAAGAAAATAAATAAAAAAAAAAAAAAAAAAGGAAGAAGGGGGATGAAGGAAAAGGGAAAGTCTGTGACTTTTATGGGATGATAAAAAGTCGACTGATCGTAAGGGGGTGAGATGGATGGTGGCAGTTGAAGATGCGAATGGGTGGTGGCCTCTTTTTTTTTTTTTTTATTGTCTTCTTTTTTCTTGTGTGATGTGTGAAAAATCGGACGACTGACGAAAGTCCACAACAGCCGTTTAAGGTGTTTAGGGAGGGGGAAGTCAGGAAAGTCCCCAAAAAATTCAAAAAATTCAAAAAATTCAAAAAAAATAAAACGTTAGTACATATAAATACTATTTAGCTGCTATAAAATAATTAAAGTTATTTGGTAAGTTCAAAGTTACTAATAATAAAATAAGGTTACTTCGAGTATCAGTTGTTACTCAAAAAACCGGGGTCTGAAGGTAAAGCCGCACCGGGTTCCTTAAACAGACATTTTATTTTCTCAATCACCCTCACCAGCCTTTAAAAACCCCACCACAACCACCCAAAAATCAACCCAAAAATCAATAACCCAAATTAAAACTCAAAATCAACATACAAATTATCTCAACAATGGATCACAGTCAAATGGATCACAGCCAGATGGATCACAGCATGCACACGTCCATGGACATGGGCAACGGTGGTATGGACCACGGCGGTATGGGTCACGGCGGTATGGGCAAGGGAGACATGTGTTCGATGAATATGATTTTCACCTGGAGCACCGATAACTTGTGTGTGGTTTTCCGATGGTGGCACATCCGCACGCATACAGACTTGCTACTCACGTTGGTCGCTGTCGTTTTACTCGGAATGGGATACGAGTACCTTAAGGTTCTGGGCGCCCGACTTGATGCCAAAAGCGCCTCACGGTACCCGGGCGGCCGCGTCCCATTACTCGATGAATCCCCGGTAAACCAATCCTCTTCGGGAGCAGCAGACGTGGCATCGCCATACACTGCATCTCCACCAGCTGACAGACTCCGACTCTCGCGTGCATTACTATACTGCTTCCAGGTGTTTTATTCGTTCTTCCTGATGCTGGTGTTTATGACCTACAATGGTTGGCTCATGCTCGCAGTCACCTTTGGTGCGTTTCTGGGTTATTACACTTGGGGCTACCGCCAGCCTGCCCGTCGCGACATGTCGTGCCACTAACCTGCCATTTACTTACTGACTTACCTACTTACTAACTAACTCACATAACCCAGTTTATATTTCAAATTAGTTGAACCTCTTTATTATCAATTATTATCAATTATTATCAATTATTATCAATTATTATCAATTATTACCTCTTAAAATCATCATTTTCTTTCGCATACTTGACTAAAGCTTTAACACCAGCTGTTGCTTCCTCCACTTGCAACTTGTTGGCTCGCATTACCCGTGAGTATTCCTTCATAAACACTTCTCGTACTCTTTTAAATGCCATCCGTTCTGCCTCTGCTTCAGGCGCTACCCCGGACCGCCCAGAAACCGCACGTCGCCTAGCGCGAGCCACAGAGCTTACTGCAGAAACAAGTGCATCTGTTCTCTGTGCCGCGCGGTCGCCAGCCTGTGCCATGTTCTGCACGTACTGCACGGTTTCTTGATTAAATTTTTTCAGGTTCTTTTCCTCAATACTTCCCTTCCAAATGGCTCGTAAAGCTTCAACTTTTTTCTCGAGTTTTAGACCCCATTTTTGTAGCTGTAGCTGTAAATGCAAATGTAGCACTTTTGTCGTCTTTCTCTTCAATTCCAAGAATAAGTCTCTCATCTGCAAGTTCTTGTGCCCCGCGTGCTTGCCACGCCCTATAAATGTAGGCCCGCTCGTGAGTCATACTTGCAATTTCCTGGGCTTCGTAGTCGGGTCTGTCGAGGGCCCCCGTCAGAGCTAGGAAAGATGTTTTCCCTGAACGACAGTCTTGAATTGCTTGTTGTAGAGCCTGTGACTTAACGCAGAAGGATTCCAAATTGTCACTTGAGTCTGGGATTGGTAACAACTGTTGTTCAGGGTTTGTAGCCGCACAAACCCTGCGCAGGATTTTCATGAGCAATTGGTCATCGCTGTTTTCTTCTATTTCACCATTTTCATCATTATCATCTTTACTTTGAGTAGAAATCTTTTTCATACGGTTTGATGTTGAATCTTCAGCTTTTCTCTTCATAAAAGATGGTTGAAAAGTGGGGAAATAAGATAAAATAAAATAAAAAAATAAATTGAAAAGGAAACTTTTGTAAGACACACAACAACAATAATAACAACTCTATATAAAAATGCACAACACTAAAAAAATTATTAAAAACGGTTTTTTTTTTTTTTTTTTTTCCGTCATGGGAAAAAATTGCCCGGAGTAATTAACTTGTGAGCCCGTTTACGCTCAAAAGCATCTACAATCATGACATCGTCTTCTAAAGAAGCAAATGCCTTTTGTGATGATGATGATGACAGCGAGCCAGGACCATTCAAAGACTTTAAAGAATAAGGGGGCGCTGCAGATGCAGATGCGGATGCGGATGCGGATGCAGACGCGGATGCAGAGGATGACGGAGACAACGAGGTAGAAGAGGAAGAGCCCATGACCCGCAAGGACCTTTTCCCCTCCATGACGACCTTGGCCACTGGCTTGACCTTTTTCTTCGTCTTGGTCTTCTTATCGTCGCCCAGGTTTTCCTCTGCATCTGCGGTAGCAGAGTACCCAGGAGTGTAGTTAGGGAAAAGATCTGTAGGGTTTTTAACCAATACTGCGGGGACCTCAATGGTCAATACGTTTGCAGCCGGGAACTCGACGCAAACCACGAGGGTATAGTCGCGCATAGTGTAGCATGAATGGTACGTTGGAATTAGAGCCTTTTCCATGGCCGTTGAGGTGACGAGAGGAATAGCAAAGTCTGCTGAGTAAACCAACTTGCGTGGGCTTTTGCCTGATGAACCAGCCACCTTTTTCCCACTTGGAAGAACTGATGGGGTATCCGGCCAGCGGAACCCGCAAGACTGGCTTAGTTGAGTCACTAAAAGCGGATGTACTAGCTCCTTGAAGCCTTGGGGGAAAAGATGCGTCCGTGCTCCAACATGGGCATTGACACCAATGCCACGCACCGGGTTAAGAACCTCGCTGGATACCGGCTCAATTTGAACTGGCTTGATGAGGTCGAGGTTGGAAGGGAGATACTTGAAGGAAGCGTCGTTGGAATAAACGGTGCGGGCCTTGAGATAAACGGAGATTTTGCGTACAGGCGGCGGGTATCCATAAATTGGTGAAGTAGCCGAGTGAAGCGTATTAGTAGTTGTTGTTGTTGTTGTTGTAGTTTTAGTTGTCGGCTGATTATTTTTATTATTAATAGCCGCTGCCGCCGCATCACTGCTGCTACTAATACCTTCAAGGGATTCACCTGCAGGTACCACGGAACTGGGATAAAACTTGAGGGAAAGTGGTAGCATGGAGACTCTGTCTGGAGACAATGCCAGGACTGGGTAATGTTCAAAAGCCAGCTGGGCGACTCCAACGGGGGTCCGAGAAGAGGCAAGTTTGCCTGTGCGTTTGGTGATTTCCAAAAATGACTTGAAAGGCTGTGCTGGGGGGATCAAAACTTCCGGAGACACAGCATAGGATGGAATGATGGTAAGATGACGGCCAATCGATGACACAACATACGAAAGGTTTGTGTTAGAGGTCATGGACTTGAGGGTTGCAGTGAGAGTATAAGTGATTCGAGCCACATTGCCCGGGACGTCCAGCGCCGGGACCGAGTATTCTGGGGGGACACCGAGGGTTGGCGGTAGTCTGGTATGGTAGTCACTAACAGTCAGGTCAGTTTTGGCCACATCCAAGCAAGCGGAGGGGTCAAGGAATTCTGGGATTTCAATAGAGAATGGAATGGAGTAGAGCATATTGTTACGAACAATTCCATCTTGCGGAAGGTTTGTGATGCGGTGTGTTTTAAGTCTGACTCTGCGGTTGAGGTGCTTTTCACGAGCCCAGGTAGCGTGGGAGGTATCTTCCTCCATTTCCAACGTCACAGTCAGCGTCGACACTTTGACATCTCTGTTTGGTGCGACCAGCAAGGTGCCGATGATGACTTCACCATTCTCGTAGACCTTGGTGTGTGCGCCGCCCGACAGTGAGAATTTCATCATCTGAGGGATTTTGTTGCGTAGAGTGTACGGCTCGACCGTATAGTCTGCGCCGTACTCTGGCGGTGGGGTGCGTCGGTACGACTCTGAGGATGAGCAGGAGCCTCCGCTAAGGGTTGTTTGAATTGCGGACCATGCACCGGATAGGCTGTTGCGGGAGGTGCTGTTGCGGCTACTGCGCCGGCCGTGAGAGGAGGAAGAAGGAGAGGTTGTTTGGACATGAGAAGATGAGTTTATAGAGTGGGAGGAGTGTGCCGAAGAGGTTTGGTGGAGTCCATGGAGTGAAGAAGCTGCGGAATAATCCGAGCGAGTTGAAGAGGCACTTGAAAGGGTTCCAGCGACATTATTCATTGGTGATGAGCAAAAGAAGCGCAACCAGTCAAGCCATGAAGAAGGTTTGTGGGGAGAATTAGAAAAAAAAAAAAAAAAAAAAAAGGTGGAAATTTTCAGGTTTTTATATACCAAAAAATAAAATAAAATAAAATAAAAGGGGGAAAGGAAGTAAGAAGGACTTTTTAACTGGACATATATATATATATATATATATTTATACTACTACTACATTATTATGAAAAAAAAATTTTTTTTTACTCTTTTTATTTCTTTTCATGGAATTTTTAATTAGAATTCATTAGAATTCATTAAAATTCATCATCGTCAAGTGGAACAATTCATAAACTATTTACCAGTATACGTTAGGGGACCGCGACAGGAGTATACGTTAAGACTCAGCGACCAGTTAACCAGTCAGTTAGCTTAGAAACCAAGAAAGCAAAAAAAAAAAAAAAAAAAAAAAAGAGCGAGAGAGAGAAGGTTTTCTTTCTTTCTTTCTTTCTTCCCCCCCACCCACTCACTCATATACGGCATTGCACGGTTCTCAATGGGAATTTTTTGTTTTTTTTTTTTACATTCGGTAAATTATGATGATACGTTGTTATTATTTTCCGTTAATAGAAACAAAAAAAAAAAAAAATTAAAAAAATAGGGCTATTGTTGTTTGTAGGTTGCACAATTGAGTGCTTGGGTGATCACTTATTTTATTTTTACAATTTTGTAGTAAATGAAGCGTAAAAAGTTGATGGAATTTTAAATTTTTAAATTTTTAAAATTTTTTTTTACAATATATGGCATTCATTATATCGTGGGCATTCTACCAAAATGTCAAAAGTTTTATTTTATTTTATTTTATTTTTTTACGTCGGTGGTAATAAATTGGATTTCTTTCTTAAAGGGTAATTAAATACAGAGTTTTTTTTTTCGATACTTAAAGATACCCCAGAATATCGGTCCATTCTTTTTTTTTCTTTTTTTTTTATTACAAATAAATAAAAGTCAATTGAAAAAGCCTTTTTTTTTTTGTTTCTCATTCTTATATATATATACAATTAACTTTTCGGTTTTAAAATACAAAAGTTGTCAGTAAAAGTAATCTAACAGCGATGGCTTTTTGTCCTAATCTGGGCATTGGATTTACACTTGTTCTTGTTCTTCTTCTTTACTTATTCTCCAATCTTTTTGGTACTGTACTGTAAATAAAAAAAATATTCATAATTCATAATAATATCTCTTTGATCAAAAGTTTTTATTAATAATTTATTTCATTTTATATCAGAATAAGTAGAATAAAACATTTGTCCTACTAGACCAGCTAGATATGAACTTGTAGTTTTTTTTCTTTCTTTAGTCACCGAGATTATTCCATGTGTGTGATTTTAAAGAAAAAAAAATTCATCACCAAAATGGTTCTCCCTTTTTTTTTTTTTTTTTTTTTTTTTTTTTCTTTGTGGCTTTGTGAAAAAGAAAACTTATGGCGCCCACGTTTAAACGGCCAGTCCCGGGCAAATTATTAGAAGGATCATCACTTTAAAAAAAAAAAATAGCCTTAGTCAGCATAGTGGGTCTTTTCCATATGCATTTGCAAAATAACCGTTGCAAAAAAAAAAAAAAAGAAAAAAACCGTTGAAAGAAATTAAATCAGGGTTAGGGTTAATTAATTTCAACGGAATACCACGTGACATCAAAAATAAACAAACAAAAAAAAAAATAAAAATAAACAAAAACATGTCAAAAACATGTCAAAAACATGTCAAAAAAATCAAATCAAATCAAATCAACTCTCATCACCATTTCTCTCTTCTCTCGCTTCAACTCTTATTGCTTGTTGTAAATTTTCCGACAATGTGTGCACGGTTGAGGACTATTGAACCACGCTTTGCAAACATTACATCCATCTGGACTCACAGTCTCACCACAAGGCATTAGAAATTTGTTGGAATGGGAACACGAGTAAAGAATTATCTTGAGCATGCACATATTGGATGATGATGATAATGATGATTGTGAATAATGTAATTGGTTATTGGTGATAGATATTAAACTGTTTAATATAATATAGATAATCGTTAAAAAAAAACAAGATGATTGTAAAAAACAAAAAAAAAAAAAACAGAGAGATTTAAAATTATAAAGCCTAGGGGAAAACCAGAGAGTATTTATATACTAATAAACTTCACAGTTTGATAGAAATTGCCACCAGCAATGTATGCAGATGTAGTAAAGTAGAAAGTAAAACTGGATAGGCTTAGCGATATACACATGCCATGTCTATCTTGTTTTGATAAAATATGTGTGGTCCCGGTGACTATAAATCAATCACCCATCTCACAAAATGCCCTTTATTTTTATTTTTTATTTTATTTTATTTTATTTTTTTTTTTTTTGACGTGAATATGAAATTTCTTTTGACAGGACTTATTTTCAAAACAATTCATAAATAATTTTCATATTCCACCCTCAAAAACTGGAAGGACCCTTAGATATCCTCATACTCCACTCCGATCGATCATCTCTCTAAAACACATCCCTCTTCCAAACACTGGGTTTCCCCAAGACGTAAACCATCACCACTCTCTTACAATTTTTTTTTTTTTTTCCCTTCTCCTCCTCAACTTACATACACACAATTGTTAGGAGACATCCATCATATATACGCATTGTCAGAGATGCATATCAGATGTCAGACGTCTAAGTGCTACTCAGAGACAAGGACCCAACAGACGCCCTCCTCTTTATTTGGACCAATCGTGTATTGCTGACTAGACTTTAGCTACTAACAAAATAATAATCTCGTGTAATATGTAGGCTTGCATACAAAAAAAATAAAAATAAAAATAACAAATAAATAAAATGCAAGAAAAAAAACAAAAAAAACACAAAAGAAAATAAAAACCAGCCTAATATTTAAACAGTAATTAAATAGTGCACTCCAACACCAAGAAAAAATGAGTTTTTTGCTTTGTGAAATATATTGAAAGTCAAATTTTATATCGTGACGTATCAAAAATAATCAACTTTTTTCGCTATGTTTGTTTGTTTTTATTCAAGGGTTATAGAACTATATAACATCAGAATCTGCACTATCCCTTTATTTTTTCGCTAATAAACACAAAAATTGATACTCTATATTTGAGCTTTATTCAAATTTTGATAAAATTGTATATTTTTCATGTCACGTGATCCGATATAGTGTAATGGTTATCACCTCACGCTCTCACCGTGGAAATCGGGGTTCGATTCCCCGTGTCGGAGCTCTATCTTTTTTTTAAAATTATATATTATTCATTCATTTTTATTTGTAGTCGCAGAATTTGATTGTCTTGTTGCGAAATCTCTTCAGGAAATAGCTTGTTGTGTTGTAGTGTTGTCAAAGACAACAAAAAAAATAAGGTTTTGATATGGCGACAGTGTAAAAAAAAAAAAAGATGGGACAAAATTTATTTTGATATAAGGGGGGTTTACTAAAGAAAATACCAAAAGTAACTGGAAATTCGTTTTACCAAGCTGTTGTAATAACGTTCAAGGTTTCCACGATAATTAGTTAATTAGTATAATATAAATATCTGTAAAAAAATTTTTTTTTTTCATAAACTATCGATATAATTGAAGAATAAAATTTAACTTTTATCTCATGATATTAATTCTTCTATTTCTTTAACAAAAAATAAATAATAAAAATTAATAAAAACTTTAAATTTCCTTTCAACTTTGGTTTTCCTGCCAACCCAAAATATTTCCGCAAAGGTATCCACTAGACATTTTAAAAAATAGTATTTGAAACATGTGTGGGAAAATTTGTAAAAACAACTTGCGTTCCGAATCATTTATGGACCAGGGCTAGGGCCAGGGCTAGGGCTAAGTAAATATATATTCATAGTAATATTCATATATATAAAAATTACACCTTACCAGAAAAAGTCCCTTTATTTTATTTTCAAACTGGTCTTTTCCAGAACTGAAAGTCATTCCAATAGTATAAAATGTTTCAAATTGTTTATTCCTAAAGAATTTGCATTGTTTGTTTGTTTGTTTGTTTTTATTCAAGGGTTATAGAACTATATAAGATCAGCATCTGCGCTATCCTTTTATTGTCTGACTATGTGACTTGCCGGTTTTCATTTGTACCTTTTTAGTACTGGTGGTTTCAATTCTGTGCGTCTCCGGTAGCCCGGAAGATGGGCCCTGATGCCAGCTTACGAGGAACAGGGAGAACCAGTCTGTCGGTCCCAAAACCTTCCCAACCCATTTCCACTTATCTTCACGGACGCCCATGTATTTCTTAATCTCTTCCGCCAGAGATACGACCCGCAATCACCTGCAGGCTATTTAGACTGTACGGACGAGTCGGCATTCCTGTAACCAGGGTAGCCTATGGTTTTCAGTATAGGTGTATACTCCCGTACACATCCTCAGGAAAAGGGGGTATTCTGGGAATCGAACCCAGTATCTTCCGCTTTCGAGCAAACGTGTTATCCTTTACACCATCCAGCCCTTTCCCAAAGAATTTGCAAGCTTTTACTAGACAAGCTTAATTTACAAATAAGAACAATCTAATGTTAATATTGGTTTACATTTTTAAGTTATTCCTTGTGGCCCAATGGCAAGGCGTTCGCCTACGATCATACAGGTTACACAGCGAAAGATTCCAGGTTCGACCCCTGGCAGGGAAGCTTATCTTTTTTTGCATCTTGCAATAGACTCTTACTTATGTTATTGTTTGGATGTTAGTTTTTGTTCAAGGGGTTGAGTAAGTATATCATTAGCATTAATGATAACTTTTTTTGTTTTTCATATAATTTTACTCTTTTTCACAATAAACTTTATATTTAACCTCAGCGGTTGCATCTCTAGCTTCTCGAAAATATCTCTTGCCTCTGAGAGACAGAAAGTAAATTATTGAAACCTATCTACCAAGCTTGATTTTACTATACTACTCATAAATTCTGTAAAATTTAAAGTATTCTAACATTTCTACTTTGGTGACAATTATGTAAAATTTAGAATTTTCAGGTATTGAAAAATTTAAATTTTAAATCACGTGGGCGTCTGGTGTAGTTGGCTATCACGTTCGCTTAGCATGCGAAAGGTCCCCGGTTCAACTCCGGTGTCGTCCAAGTCTAACTTTTTTTTGTATTTAATATACTTATTTTTTATTTTTTTTTAATTTTTATTTTTATTTTGGGTAAACGATATTTATGTAAAAAAGTTTTGTTTTTAAACTTACTATTTTATTCTAGTTTTTAATTTATTTCAATATTATGTTTATATTTTCTCCCCTTTTAGCATGAATATCTTACCGATCTAGTCGATCAATGGAAAGAGGGGAAGCACCAAGTTTAAAAAATTAAAAATAAAAAAAGGATTAGATTTACACTGTATTTATTTTAGAAAATAAAAAAAAAATTTACATAAACGATTTTCATGCCAATCATTAAAATGAGTAGAAAAAAAAAAGGATGTTGACGAAAGAGATAAAAAGATACTGATAATGGTTTATTATCGATAAAATTATAAGGATAGTAATTAAAAAAAAAAAGTTGCCTTATTATCGGCGGGATGCAAGTAAACTAGGGATTGTGCTCTTGGGTACTTTGCGCTCAAAAGCGTCAATCACCAAGAGATCGTCTTGGCTTGACGAGTATGCAGAGTGGGGAGATAAATCACGCGGTGATCTTGGCGTCGGGGTATTTGTTGATGAAGAAGCGGGTGAAGGGGTGTTGTGATGCTGGTGGGAATGCTGATGAGAAGACGTTTGGACTGATAAAGGTGACGATGGTGAAGATGGTGATGATAATGCAGAAAAAGAAGAAGAGGAAGAGGACGAGGAATTAGAAGTAGGAGAAGAAGATGATGAAAAAGAAGACCGATCAATTGGTTTTTCCAAAGACGGAATAGGTACCTCAGGAAGTAATGAGTATCCCGGGATAGAAGCATTAGAAAGCGCGTCTGATTGGTTTTTGACGAGGACTGCAGGCACCTCAATATTGAGGATGCAGCTTGAAGAAAACTCAGCACAAATAACCACAGTGTAGTCGCGCATGGTAAAACAGGAGCGGTAACTGGGGATTAATGCGTGCTGATGGGATGTAGGCATGACCATGGGGATTGCAAATGAAGCATCATAGACCTGGCGAGAGGAGTTGTGGGAAACCGGGACTGGGGTCTGTGGCCACTGGAACCCACAAGAAGTATTCATTTGAGTAACAATATAAGTCTGAAAGACTTCCTTGAATCCTGGAGGCAGGTGAGAGTTTGTGGAATCTTTTGAGGCATTGAGCGAAAGACCCTTTGCTGGGTCGATGACATCGCTAAAGCGAGATTCTATTTGTAAATTGCGGACGGCACCAAAGTTCGTGGGCAATGTTTTAAAGGAAGTTTCGTTGGAGTATACTGTGCGGGCTTTGAGGTAAACTGAGAGCCTGCGGATGGGTGGTGGTGGGGTATTTGGGGCTGATTTACTTGGATAGAATTTGATGGAGAGGGGCAGCATGGTAACGGTTTTTGTGGAAAGAGGCAGGATGGGGAAATGATCAAAAGTCAGCTGGGCCACACCCAGGGGTTTCTTAGACGAGGATAGTTTCCCTGAGCGTTTTGTGACCTCAACAAAGGATTTGAAGGGAATAGCTGGTGGAACTAAGTCTTCTGGTGCAACGGCATACGAGGGAGAAATGTTGATGTAAATGTGGGTTGAAGCATATGCCACGGGCTCACCAGTTTTGGGGCTAAACCGTTTGAGAACAGCAGTTAATTTGTAGGTGATGCGAGCTGCATTGTTGGGCATGTCGCTTGCTGGGACTGGGTATTCGGGAGGATGTGCGAGGGTTGGTGGGACTCGCAGATGGTAATCGCCAACAGTGTGGCCATGATCCTCAATGTCACGACAAGCAGTTGAGGATTGGATCTCTGGGATTTCTATGGAAAATGGGAATGAGTATAGAAAGCCTGCACGGAGCAGAGTATCTGGGGGGAGGTTTGTAATATCTTGAACGCGGAGTTTCATATGACGCCTCAGAATGTGTTCATGAGTCCAGCTTACGCGGGAAGTGACTTCTTCACCCTCAAGAGTAATTGTGAGAGATGAGACATGGAGTTTGTCATTTGGAGCAACCTGGAGTGTTCCGAGAATGATTTCACCATTTTCAAAGGGTTTTGTGAGTGGAGAGTTGAGCAGAATGCGGAGGGCATGTGGGGGTTTATTTTTGACTGTCAATGGCTCAACTGTAAATTCACTGCCGTACTCTGGTGGAGGAGCATCTGGTCTGGTATCGTTACGGGTCATGGCCAAGTAGTAATTGGAGTAGTCGTCGATGCTAGAGGATGTTGATGATGTTGCCGATGATGAGTATGATCTGGGGGGTGCTGGGGGCCTGTTCAGTGCTAGCATGTGTGGGGAAACAGGAGCAGAGAATTGAGAGTTGTCTGAGGAAGAAGATTCCGTTGATACGGATGCCAATGATGGAGACCGTGGGCCCTGGGGGCAAGTCCAGGAAGCTGATGGTGGCTGTTGAAGTGGTATTCTATTTGAGTTTATGGCATGGTTATTTGTGGTTGCAGATCGTGATGATGATGAAGAAGCAGAGGAGGTATGCTGGTGGTTTAGTGGGGTTGTATGTGCCATTTTATTTTTTTGAAAAAAAAAAAAACACTATTAATGATAATTTTTTTTTATATATATATGATATTGATAAAAAAGAAGTTGATTTATTTAACTAAAGATTAGAAAAAGAAGAAGAGAAAAAAGGAAGAATTAAATATAATCCGGAACCTGGAAAGACGAGAGTTTTTATATATTGCACCTGCGATATTTTATGGGCATTTTCGGTAGGGAGGGGATGTTTGGCTCGTGAGTCACTACTACTACTACTGAATACTATTACTACCGTGCAATTTTTTTTTTCCTCTTCACAAGCAAATCAGCAGCATTAAAAGAACCAGCAGTTGCTGCTGCAGTACTAAATACCCCATACAATCCACCGGAACCGGAGCTTTTCTTTTTTTTTTTTATAATAATAATAATTATATTGATTGAAAAAAAATTTTTTTTTTACATTCACGGGGATTTGCGATTTTTACAAAAAAAAAATAAAATAAAACAAGTCTTGGGGTTTTAATTTTAATTTTTATTTTCATTTTTATATTAATTTCCATTTTTATTTTTATTTTTATTTTTATTTTTATTTTTAATTTTTAAATAAATGTACAAATAATTCTATTTATTTGAATCTCTCAAGACTTTTGCAAGTGAACTTTTTTCGACACTCCAATGGCTTCACCCCGCAAATCCCGTCAATTGTTTATTATTAATTCCATGACCCGTCATCAATTCGTCGCCAACCAGGCACGTTGAAAAAAAAAAAAAAAAAATTTTTTTAAGCTTTTTTTTTTTTTTAGGATATGCGCCGATATCGCAATCTATTTTTTTTTTATCTGTCTGCTACACTATTATAATTAACAAAAGAAATGTGAAAAGAAAAATTTTTTCACCAGCACTCTCGTCTCTCCACCAGAACCTGTTTCACGGGTCTTTGCACGGGAAATAGTCTCCAATACTAAATAGACCTTGGAATTGAACTACCAAGTAATGATTTTCCTAAAGTTTCGGCAAATTGTAGAAAAAAATTTGCTCTCAGATTAATTTAAAAAAAAAAAAATTCTTTTAGGTCTAACCGGCAGGAACTTCTCTTTAATTTTCTTTTGAGTATCCACTATCCCCATAACTTACGTCCTACTAATGATATTTGATTTTTTTTTTTTTCTAAATCCCAGATCTTTCGTCATCTTTTTTTATTTTATTTTCAATTAATATTCTATTGACTCATATTCTATCGACTCATATTCTATCACTCAATTCTTTTCAAAAAAAAATTATTAATTAACTAATATAGAATTTTTTTTATTTTTATTTTTTTATTTTACACACACCGTTTTGTTTTGTCCCCCCAATAGCTTTCCAGATTTGGGCAAATTGCCTCAGCCGTGCTCACCAGCATCTTCTTCTTCAATTAACGGTGGTCATCCACACACACTCACGTTTTTCCTTCTGTCTATTAATTATTTATAAATAAAGCTTACTCAACATCCACCTTCTTTAACCAATCTCAAACAAAAACTTCATAACTTATTTTACCGGTAAAACAAAAAAAAAAGGTTTCCTATTCACAGATCAAAAGTCTTATGGCTTTTGACTTGTCATAAGGTTTGTCACAAAGAATGAAAACCAGCCTTTTTTCTAAGGCTTTTCCAATTCGCATGCATAGTAACATATGTATATGACTCAATCCTCAAGTATCACAATGGAATGAACAAGCCACGCCCAACTGGATATTGTGGCTGGGTTTTTCTTTGAAAATTATAATAACGTATTACAAACATGATATACTAGATGGTTATACAAACAAATTTTACGCTTTTCTTTTTTTTTTCCCTCTATACTCAATTCGTTAATTGGACCAAAATGTCGCCATTGCTTAAAATGATGATGATGATGATAATAATAATAATAAATAATAGACTTCCCTTTTTCTTCCTCCATAATTTTCAACTTACGGTGATAATAATCCCTTCTTCTTCGTTACCGAGTTTACCGTCAATATCCACAATGCCCTCCAAGACATTTCTTTCCTGACTTTTAGAGTAACAACGTATACACACTAATAAGCTGTTTTATCACAGTCATACATACATAGAACCTTCTAGAGAGTGTATTCATAATATGGGGAAATTAAAATCTAAAAAAAATATATATAGTTTTAACAACGGTCTTACAACAATAACAAAAGCAATATTACATTTTGATCAAACCCCATAAGTTTTTTTTTTGTTGTTGTTGTCGCTATCGCATGCTTTTCAAAGATCTTTTCTCACTGTTAACAAGGGAAAAAAATCAACTTTTTTTTTTTTAAAAAAAAAAACTTAACATATTTGCCATTTAATTGAAGTAAAATTGTTTGGTAAAAGAGGGGAAATACCTGGTATGACTAACCTATTTCAATTAGAAGCCGTCTTTGTCTTTAAAAAAAAAAGGAAAGAAACAGAAGATCATGGAACAACATGATTGATCTTGAGCTTATTTATCACTATCATTATCAATAAGATTATTCTCTAACCAAAATTAGTCGATAAAAACTATTACAGGATAAAGCAAAATGTTAACCATAATCTAATGTCAGATCAATTGTCAATATTGGACCCAAAATGGTACTCATTAAACAGTACTTTTGTTTTTTAAATTACTCTCAACTGGTCCAAAAACAAAAAAATATCAATTGATTAATACTTACTTTCAATTTTGTAAAAAAAAAAAGTAAATATAAGAAATCACCGTAAACGTCTTTCTATCACACTAATAACCCTTTTGAAACATTCCGTTGTTTCCTCCAAAAAAAACAATGATTTCAAACTTCTTTCATAAATACTTTTTACATGGAAATATGACTAATCCGGATAATTAAACTTATTTTACAACAAAATAAAAGAATTATAGAATTAAAGAAAAAAAAATAGTTGACAATAGAATATAATTAGTAAAACCAGTCAGTCATACTTGCATGATAATTGTCCAAATGTTTTCAATCATATTCTTATCTTATTTTTTTTTAAGTTTTTGTCATTTTATCAAAAAATTTTTAAATATGCAATTCCCCAAATCAATCATCTATTGGTGGATATCAAAAGCTTCTCCACTATCATCTCTAAAATCTGAATCAGTAAAAAAAGAAGTCATGCGAAATACATTTTGGAATGAACTAGATATTCAATTGATCTCACTGGTCATATAAAGAGTCAGATACTTCTTTTAAATTCTATTTTAATCAATGGATTATAAATTATGCAAATTACTCAAAAGAATCAAAAAAATAAATGATAAATTACTAGCTCATAATCAATAATATTTGTTGGAAATACCTGGTTTTACTATCCGAGTACTTTTCAAGTCCAATTCAATCGAGTAAAGATATTTACAATTAATTTAATAATTGTTCGATTACCATTTACATAGAAAAAAATCTATTTCAAATAGCAAAAATGTAAAGTTATTTTACAATATATACATGATAAATATAAAAATACCAAACGAAATACCATTTTACTTGATATAAAGTAAATAAAATACTTTTTCATAGCAAGATAATCTCCAGTGATCTATAAAAATATCAATTTACATTTAAATACATTAAATATTTACTTTAGTTTTTACTTTTCTTTCTTATTTCAAATTTTTTATTCAAAGAAATAAAAGCAATTGATATGACCGAATAGAAAACTTTTAGTCGTCATATTCCTAGACAAGTAAAATGTACCTACCTTTCAATTTTAAGATTTTTTGTTTTCTGTTTCTTTTTTTTTAATATCGTAATATTTCAATTTTTAATTAATTTAAATTTCGCATATACCATTAAGTAAAACCGATTCCACTTTTACTTGGTCAATCAGTTCAATTATTTAAATTTTTACTTATTTCATTTTAATTGATTACTCTTCCTATAGTTTAATTCAAAACAACATCTACCAAGTCCGGGATTCGGAGACAAAAACCGTTTTTAATGTTTTTTTACATGACTTTTTCTTTTTTTTTTCATTTCGGGATAACTCTTTCTGTATTTCACCTTTCCCCGTCTCGAATATATCACTTCTACTTTAATTTTATGAGTCAATGATCTTTTCATAGTGTAGGTAGTGCAAAAAAAAAAAACAACAACAACAGCCAAAATTATTCACATATTTTTTTGTAATTGGCAAAATATTTGTTTCTAAGTTGTATTATAAATACACACGGCACTATAATTGAACTCTTCAATCCTCTAATGTAAAGGTAGTCTAAAAGAAGAGGGCAGTACCAAAATGTTAAAAGTGAATTACTCTTTCTAAAAATATAGTCATTTGTTATTTCTAAAATATATTTTATTTCTGTATTTTCTATTTTTTTTTAAAAAAATAAAAAAAAAAAACCCATCCCTTTGAAAAGATTGAGTCATAAACTTCAAATCGTTTACTTGAAAAAGGAAAACAAATTTCCAACCTATGATTGGTTGATAAATAATATCACAACTGTTAAAAAAATACCGTTGCATTTAATAAACTTTAAAAAAAAAGGGGGGCCTTCTAGTAGTTAAATATTGCATTTACCAAGTATGGAACTTTAAAAATAATTAAACATTAGCCGATTGTGACAATATCAACAACTTGAAGGACAACAGCTTCTCCACAAACAATCATAATGACATAGATCTCTACTTAAATGATTGACGTTATTAGTACAAATCATGGGCAAATAATGTTCGTGTGTAGGTTTGTTGATTATTCATTCCTAGGTGTTTTTTTTTCTTAGTTGGAGTAAATTTAGTCAATAATGCTTGGATTTTTATATTAATTTGCTTTTCAGATAAATATAATTTAGCAAATAAATATAACAATCTCAAGCCATCAAGATCAACAAATAATTACTATTCAAATCAATTCATATTAGAATTAAGGCATCTTCATCTACTTAAAGGCATTGGTACCATCTACACTTCTAATCAAATACCTAGTATACTGTTACAATATTTCTATTAAAAATTGCCATTAATATAAATAATGAATATAATGAAAACGTTATCATATAACTAATAAGCTTGATCACTTGATATACTCCTTCATGGTTTATCATATATTCAGAGTTGGTAAATCTTCTTGTCGTTTTAGTGAAATAGAGTTGAATGTTTGAAATTTTGGAAATTTTTAATATTTGAAAGTGTTGCCCTAATTAGGGCTAAATATTTCTTCCTCATATAGTAATAAACTGAACTATTCAGCATGGTATATATTTCAGTCCCTCTTGAGTTTTCAGAGTCCAGATGTATATTTGTAACAATCTAATAAAGTTGTAACAAGCGGTGAAATTTTTTTTGGTAACGGATCTCAACTTAATGTAATTGAAAACCCTAGCCCAGAAACCCGGTAAGAGGGAGAGAAAAAATTTCTCCTGAATGTTGTAACAGCTAGGAGCACGCGCTGTGACACACTCTCACAGTCCTCCCCCCCTCCGACTCTTTTTTTTTTTTTCCTCTCTTTTCCGACTCCTTCATACTTCCTCTTCCCCCCAGCGCAGGCCAGTTCGTTCAACACCAGCCTTCTACAGGAGTATACATTCAAAAATGGTTGTCGGCAAGAACAAGAGATTGAGCAAAGGAAAGAAGGGTATTAAGAAGAAAGTCATCGACCCCTTCACCCGCAAGGAATGGTACAACATCAAGGCTCCTTCTACCTTTGAGAAGCGTGATGTCGGTAAGACCCTGGTCAACCGCTCCACTGGTTTGAAGAACGCCAATGACGAGCTTAAGGGCCGTATCATTGACGTCTCTCTTGCTGACCTCCAGGGTCAGGAGGACCACTCTTTCCGCCGCATCAAGCTTCGCGTTGATGAGGTCCAGGGCAAGAACCTTCTCACCAACTTCCACGGTCTTGACTTTTCCAGTGATAAGTTGAGATCTTTTGTCCGCAAGTGGCAAACTCTCATTGAGGCCAACGTTACCGTCAAGACCTCTGACGACTACTACCTCCGCATTTTCGCCATTGCTTTCACCAAGCGTGCTTCTAACCAAGTCAAGAGAACTTGCTACGCTCAGTCTTCGCAAATCCGTGCCATCAGAAAGAAGATGTCTGAGATTATGGTCAGAGAGGCTTCCAACGTTACCCTTGCTCAGCTCACTTCCAAGCTCATCCCTGAGGTTATTGGCCGTGAGATTGAGAAGGCTACTGGCAGCATCTTCCCCCTCCAAAACGTTCACATCCGCAAGGTCAAGCTCCTCAAGCAGCCTAAGTTCGATCTTGGTGCTCTTCTTGCCCTTCACGGCGAGTCCCTCAAGGACGACAGCGGCAAGAAGGTCGCTACTGAGTTTAAGGAGGTTGTTCTTGAGTCCGTCTAAACTTGATGTTTTAACGTATATACAAAAAAAAATGGAAATTGTCGTTTGAAATCTATTCCCTCTTTTACTTTTTTTTAATTTAGAATGTGTTAATGTTTTGTGGTTGATTGAAGATTTTTCTCTCTAGTCCTGTTTTTGCAGATGTTTGACTAATTTTCAGTAGATGTAATACTTTGCTAAGCATTAGTAATTAGCTTGTCAAATGGCCATTTGTAGAAGTTTTATGCGGGTGATGAGCTTATCAAAGTAAGTGCTATTTAGCTTTCATAATTTGGATACTGAGCTTTAAGAGGGATACGGCTTTTTCAAATTTCTTCAGGAGGGTGTTTTAAAAAACAAAAAAAACAAATCTATTAATTATAATTGATTAGGTCTCAATAGACACATTTTTATTTTATATACTAATACTACACTCAAAAATTAATAAAAACTCAAAAATTATAAACCAAAATGAACCAAACTATCAAGAAACTTATTTCTTGGGCTCGCCATCAGCTCCAATCAGAGTTTCATCACTCTTCTTAGGACCATCGCCAACCTTGGTAAAGTAAACACGTGAAACACCAGCGCTCAAGACCTCAAGCCATCTTTGCTCAAAGCCCTCGGGAAGTGAAGCAGCGATTTCGGTGGAATTCCAGCCTTCAGCATTTGCGAGTGCAGAACGGATAGGACCAATGACCTTTTCTGCATTTTCCTCCAAAAAGTAAATAACACAGTTTGGACCAGCATCAAAAGTGTAGGCAGCAACGGTCTTGCCAGCATGCTTGTTAATTTCTTCAACAGTGCGAATGGCAGCACGCGAGGTGTCATTAAGGTAGAAAATGGGTGGGTATGAATCGAGGCAGACGGCATGGAACTGGTTGGAATCACGCATAGTCAACTCAGCAAAGGACTCAAAGTCCTTGTCGACAATGGCCTTTTTCATAGCCTCGTAGCGTTCAGGAACAACTGTCTCAATGCGTTCCTTAAAGAGAGAAGAAGTAGCAACAGTGGTCTGCATGCCAGAGGTCGAAGACACGTCCTTCTTGTTGGCGTTGGCAACAAGAATAAGAGCACGCATATCGGGCCAGTGCTCGCGGGGGGCAACACTCACAGCCTTAGAGTCGGAGCCATCTTCCTTAACGCCCATGTCCCAGGCAACGTAGCCGCCAAAGAGCGATCTGCAAGCGGATCCAGAGCCTTGGCGAGCCAGAACGGAAAGCTCCTCAGGGGTTTGAGGAAGCTCGTAGAGACCAGCAACAGAAGATACAAGAGCAGCAAAACCAGCAGCAGAAGAAGCAAGACCGGCTGCGGTAGGGAAGTTGTTCTCAGAAATAATGTGGAGCTTGTAGGTGCTCAAGGGGATAATCTTTTTCTTCTCAGTAGTAAGCTTCTCCTCGTATTCAATACGGAGCTTACGAAGTTCGCGCACACAAGTGGAGAGACGAGCGCTCTTGTCAATGTCTTCTTCAGTACCGTTGAGCCACAAGCGGTCCTTGGTAAAAGAGGAGCTGGTGGCAGCAGTGGTGATAGCTCTAAGATCAGACTGGTCGAGAGTCACAGAGACAGAGCTATTAGTGGGTAAGTTCAAAGAAATATTGCGCTTGCCCCAATACTTGAGGGTAGCAATATTGACTGGAGCGGTGGAAGTGTAGGAGTAGATTTCGGCCATGGCTGATGATGAATGCAAATAGGGGATAGGATGTTGAAGAAAATATATCAAGGGTTGGAGTGAAAAAAAAAGACAACAAAGACTAATTCCAGGGTAGGGAACGAAGCAGCACACACTACTAGACGGTGATGGATCGAGATTAGATATAGAGGAGAGTATAAAAAAAAACAAAAGGGGGAAATATACAAATTTCTTTGAAGAACAGCTCTTCCTTTTATACTTTTTGTCCCCTTGAAGTTGATGAGAAATTTGACAATGGGTGCTATCTGTTTACTGCTCGTAAGGGCTTTTCTGGACTTGTCAAACATCTAATCGTGAAAAATTTCGAGAAAAAGCCACGCACCGATACGTCCCAGAAAAAACGTGCATTCAATGATGAATTTTGAAGAAAAGCAAGTGGCATCACATTGAAAAATACTCAATTGTTAAACTGTAAAGGTTTGAAAAACATTTCGTCAAAATTTCAAAGAACCAAAGGAAAAAAAAAAATATTTTTCTCAGGCTTGGAGCAGATAAATAAAAGGTGCTTGGTGGTCCATGGCGGTTACTTCAATGATCGACTCAACAAACCATACAACCAGCGCAAGACAACCAGTGCTTTGCGCCGCAACACCATTTCAAATTTACAATGACCGAACAACCAGCAATCCCATTAACAATGTTTGGGATCGTGAACCCGAGAGTTTAAAGGGAGCTAACAAGTCAACTCGTGACTTTTACTTTTCCTCCTGCCAGTGGACTCCAGATGGATCGTCATTGTTAGCAACAAGTTCCGATAATACAGCACGTATTTTTGTAGCACCACCAGATCTGCTTTCTGATCTCGACAATCCATCTAGCACAGCTAAAGATTTACTTCCTTATTCAAGACTTCAATTTCCCTCAGCCCCAACAGCCACTGCCATCTACCCGGGATTTCAGATCTCGGAGTTTGCACCTGCGCTGGTGCTTGTATCTACCGAAGACCACCCCATCAAACTGTACAATGTACATTCACAAGAGTGCGTAGCAAGCTATCCGCTATTTAATCCACACCGCGATATTTATGATAATGCTTTGGCCCTCGAGTTTACTGGAGCTGCAGGCTCCAACGACACATTTCTTGCTGGAACTCGAGGCCAGCGTGGCCGTGTTGATATGTTTAGTTTACTGAGGCCAGGTGCAAGCACAGAAACTACTCGTCCACTGACCTCAGCCCATGTCCCAGACTCCATGGCTGCAGGATATCGGCGAGCCATTGTTTCGGCTATAGCCACTCAGCCTTGTCAAAACAATTCATTAGTTGCTGCTGTCGGATTTTACCAGGGCGGTACAGAGCGAACAGCCAAAAGTTCTGCAGTTGCATTGTATGATTTCCGTGTGGACAGTGTTAATGCACGATGTACAATTTTGTCCCCACCGTTATCGTCTTCAGGGGAATACAGCTGGACAAAACAAACTAGTGGAACAACCAGCCTTTTGTGGAGTCCTGAACCGGGCTCTGACAATTTACTATACCAAGTGTTAAGGGGCGGCTATTCACGTGTGATTGTACGCGACACTAGAATGGATTTAGGCGAAGTAGGCCAGCTGAGTGACCCAGCCCTCGAAACACTTAGCACTGTACAGCGACTAGGTGTTGACTGGGTGCCGAGTCTCCACGGTAGATCCGCATTTGATCTGTATGCAGGAACTTCCACTGGATCTGTTTATGTTTACAAAGACCCTTTTGAGTCGTTGGCGGGTCGGCTCAATCAAATATCCGAATTGGGGGGAGGCTCAGTGACCAATCCACAGGTCGAAACGATGAAAATGACCAATGACTCGCGCACTAGTGTGTGTGACGTTTCATGGAATCCACAAGTAACGCAAAACGGCGTCGAGGTTATTGCGACATGCTGTGGTACACGCAAATCTACTGATGAAGAAGATGAGGACCTGAATTTCCCTGAAACTGGAATTAAAATCTGGGCCCTTTTCAAGTAATATATTTTTTATTATTTTTATTATTATTTATATTTAATACATTACCACTTATTACTTAATGCTGATGATCGCACTTATGAGTGAGAATCGTGGAAAAAAGCTGATCACGAAGTTCTTGTGAAATTAATCCGTGGAGTTGATCGTTACCAGTTCTTACTGAGCCCAAAACTGCTTCTTTAAACTCCATGCTGACGCCGGCCTGGGCTTCTGATGTGATTTCTGAACGAGCACTCATCGAAGAGCCAACACCATTGAAATAATTGAAAGGCCGGGTATCAGACTTTTTAACGGAAAGAGCCAAGTTACCTGGCAGCTTGATTTTTTCTGATTTTTTAGAAGAGTTTGCAGTTTCCTCGGATGAAGCAGTACTCGAAGACGAACTTGTTTTTTTCTTCTTATTAGTAACGCCGCGCATGCTTGTAACTGAGACTGTACCTGAGGAAGAGGTCGCACCACTTGAACCGGGAGCAGTGACATTTGCATCTCCGTGTCGCTCTGTATTGTGTATTGCGGTTCCAATAAGTGCGTAAGTGGGAATGAATACCGTCTTGCCAGAGTCACGAGTTTCTTTACCCTCTTTCCCCGAGTGGCCCGACGTTAGGCTGTGAGGCTCCATATAAATTCCTTCAGAGTTTATTGTTGTTGCAGAAGCAAACGAGTCTGAGCTCGAAGCCTTGGGTTTTGGTAAAGATGATGAAATATGAAATGCTGCATTTTCATGAATTGCATTAAGCTGTCGGGCCAAGGCCTCAGTGGCAGCATCAGTTTTAAGAGCATTTTCTTGGATTTGCCGAGTGGCATAATCGTAATTGGAGAGAAGAGGTGATTGGGAAAGAGTTGATGTCCAGTACTTGTTCCACAGCAGATCAAGTAGTTTGGAGTCAAGGTTAGATTTAAAGTAAGTAATAGGGAGCTGGTAGTAGAAATCGGCATGGACACCAAAATCCTTGATTTTTGCGGATGGAATAGCCTGGCTCTTTGTAGATTTTATCTGGGCTGCTGATGCAATCTTAGAGGCTGAAGAAGCCTTTTCTGCTGTTTTGATGGGCCGGCCCTGGGAATTGAGAGGGTAAGTTCTAAAGGCACCAATCTCAACTTTGCCAGCAGCAATTGTACAGTTGGGATCAATGACAAGCGCAAGGAATGGGTCTTGGAAAGTTTGTGACTGGCGTTGGGTATTAACATCAATTCCTGAGAGCCAACAGCCGTAGCCCGGGTGGGAATGATACCAACCGATAACATTTTCGTTACGGCCAATCTTATTAAGAGAAGTCACGTAGTTGACCATGTATTCATAACCCTCTGCCATGGCATTCACACGGGTTTCAGTACCTTCTACAGGAAGAGGAATAACGTCCATGACAACGAATTCATTTGGAAGTACTTTGCCGGTCATGACGCCCATGATTTCAATGGAACCACCTGAACGAGCGTGGATGGCCTAGCTTTGTTAGAATGAGATCTTTGATAGAGCAGAGTAACAGATTTATATTTACCATTTTGATCAAGGCAATTGAAGAGATTCTGACTTTTTTAAACCATTCAGGACTATATTATTAAATAAAAGTTAGACTTAGGTGTTGAAAAAAAAAAAAAAATAAAAGACCATGAGCATACTCTTTTTTCCATGGTGCTTGTTTGCGAAAATCTTCTTGTTGTTGTGGGTCAAATTGATAGATAGCATCAACAAGATCTTTATCTTTATCTGAAGAAGAATCCAAAGTTTGAATCTCGTTTTCTAGCTCAAAGGTCTTAAGAGCTGCGGTTTCTTGGGATGTGGACATTGATTTTTTTTAATGTTGATTTCTCAGTTGTACTTTACCTTACTACTGAGCCTAGGCTGGGGAAAAGATGTTGATGTTGTGTGCAGTGGCGATAGACTCCCCGTTGTAACAACTTAAATAAATTTGTAACAAAACTATATTACATAATTAAAGCATCATCCCCGCGCTTTCAAGCTTAAACACGGCGTGTTGCAGATGAGCGATGAGCGTCGTCACGTCCTCAACACGGTTTTTACGTTTTTTTTTTTTTTAATTTCATGCAGACAGCATCGAATTTTCAAACATGGCACGCCTCATGCTAAGCGCACAGCCTAAATATCTATGCTAAATTAGAAATCTCACAATAACAATTCAATGGACAAATAACAATCGAAGGGTGAGAAAAAAAAAAGGAAAAGGCTGGTCCAGCGCTTTTTAGCATGTATCAGAACCAAACCACTTTGAAAAATTGGGCTGGGCTAGAAGTGGATTCTAGTGGGAGGGAAAAAGCCAAAAATTATGCATTACCACGTTATTGTTGTGATATCTATGCTGATCTATCTTCACTAGTTAAAAATCTCATCAGGATTAAAATATATAAACCTTGACTTTTTCCGCAAATTTTTCTTTACTCTTAATTCTTTACTCTTTACTCTTTTCCTTTTACTTTGATATTTTTTTATAAAATCTTCTGCTTATATCAATCTTATACGCTTTCCTTTTCTTTAAACCCACCATCTAATTTGCTTAGTTTTCTTGTAATCCCCCCACAGAGTTTTCTCTTACTTTCTGCTCTACTCTGCTTTTTCTCACCTAAAACAAGATAGCTTTTCTTATTTATTTATCTTTTATTGCCATACAAAATGATTTCTCGCAAAGGAAAATCTAAAAACAAATGTATGTATTTTTTCTATTGTTGTTGTTATTGTCAAACTTGGTATGATGATGAGGGCCTCCCGAGGTGCACATGTGCTTGTTTATGCAAACATTATGCACAAAGCCGTCTCTTCTCGGCCAACTTTCCATCATGTTGTTATTTGACTTTATTTTCCCTTTTGAGTTTCTAACTTTAAAACAATGCTACTTTAGATGAGGTTTTGAATCTCTCTTCATCTTCTTCATCCTCTTCTCCATCTTCATCATCATCCAATGCCTCAACCCAGTCCCAATCTGTTCATCGAACTCAAATTTCGTCTAAGCATGCCCCATCAAATGCTAAAAGAATTCCCTCTGGACCTTCTAATAACAATAACAATTCCAATACCAGCAGGAATGGAAATTTCCCCTCAATCCGCCCCAACAATTACAACAATTACAACAACAACAACAATAATAATAATAATAATAACAACAATAATAGCAGCACCCACAATCCCTCATTTCAATCGAAGTATAAACAATCAGCTAAACCTTTTGTTGTGCGTTCAAATTCTCTTCCCTCTTATGCTCATGCAGCAAAGAATTGGCAAAATAGAGGAGAAAATTATAACCGAACCGGATCTAATGTTCCAATTCGCAGAAGCCAACTTGCAAATTCCAATTCTCCTCTTTCAGACTCAAAGCGAAAGCCGTCTTATCATCGAAATGAAAATAGGTCACCTAAGTCAAATGAACGAGGAACAAAAGATATTCATACATTTTCCGACTCTAGTTCTTTGATTAAGTATCCAGCAGCTTGTATTTTTGTTGCAAGGTATGCATTCTTCACTTTGAAAAAAAAAAAAGCAGTGCAACTCAATTCTAACTTTTTAGTCTTGTCAATGGTATCACTCTTGGTGACCATAAGGAAATGCTTCAGTCTCTTTTCTTTAAGGTAAGCTCATACTCCTTTTTTTTTATTTTTTTGATTTAGTGAAAAAGAAAGTTTTTTTTTTTTTTTTTTGCTAACCTTATCTAGCTTTGCGGAACTTATCCAGAAATCAAGGTTTTGAAAGACAATAAAAACCGGCCCTATGCTTTTGTTCAATTTGAAACTATTGAAGAAGCCAAAGTTGCACTAAAGAGAGCTCACGGCTACATTTTGAATAAACGCCCTTTAAGATGTGAGCGGGCTCGCGTCAATAGAACGATTTTTCTTTCACCCAAGAATGATGGCGCCACCGTGGAAGTAAGTGTTTTATAACATTCTAATAATTTTTTTTAAACTTTAAGACTAACTTGTTTCAGGAAACAAAAAGGGCTGTTGAAGCGTTTGGAAAGATTGAAGAGCTTATTGAAGCTAAGTCCACGAATCTTCCAAATTCTAGCGAATTTTTTCCAAATGAATGCTTTGCAAAGTATGCTTTTCGTGCCGATGCGATTAAAGCCTTTAATGTGAGTCAATTATGCTGGATTAATGTAATAATAATATTTTTTTTTTCTAACATTTTTTTAAAGGATGAGACATTCAACTCTAAATGGAATGTCACTTGGTCTCAGAATGTCGACTCTATGCTTGATCTTAACAAGCTCGACTCGCGCTCAATTTCAATCAAGGGCCTTGGTTCAGATATAACTGAAGAAAAGCTTTGGGAGCGTTTTATTAATTATGGCCCTATTAAAGATGTTTCTATTGTCAGACTTTTGAAGCCTGAATCTGGTGCAGTGGCATACATTAAATTTGAAAATGAGTTGAGCCCGCGTGAAGCAACTCTCAAAGAGGTGAGTGAAGAGTAAAGAAGATTGAAATTATAATAACTAACTTTCTAGAATGGAAACATGTTTGACAATAAAAAAATTGAGGTTGAGCATCGTCTTGTGGTGATTTCTTTTGAAGGTGACGATGCTGTGGCTAGACCTGATCCTCGGGTTCCTTCTGCAGCACCACCCAACCTGACTGGCAATGGAACTTCTAGTAGCTTCAAGCCTTACTATAACCCTTATAATACCTTTACAAGTGTTGGGGGCTCAAGTCAAGCTGTTTTGTCCAATGCACCTAATCCTCGCAGTTTTAGTGCTAATCAGTTTTACTCACCTAATTCTGGACAGTATAGCGGAACTTACATGCCTCCCTCTGGGTATGAAGGCTTGTCTTTTTATCCTCCTATTCTTGCAACACCTCCTTCGGCATCTGTGCCTCGTTATACCCCACAGATGTATCCCGGTGTCTCTTATGGATATTATCCCCACGCTTCTATTCTTAGCCCACCGCTTAGTTCTCCTCTTCGAACCGATGTGTCTCCTGGAGCTAATAGTGCTGGTCCAGGAAGTGGAAGCACCAGCACTATGTCAAGTGCTTCTGTTGGTGGAACTAAGGAAGGTGTTCCATACTACTTTGATGGTGAATATGCTCGTTTTCTTGCTCGGCAAGGGTCCATGGCTATGATGAATCCAGCTATGATGTCTGGTTATCCTCAGGCTGCGTATAACTATGCTATGGTGGCAGCCTTGCATGCGGCAGCCAACCAACAACAGCAACAGCAACAACAATCACCGGCCCAGCCTCAACAAAAATCTTTTCAGCCTCAGTCTATGGCTTCGGTGGTAAATTCAACAGGAAAGGTGGCTAGTGAAAGCCATACTGAGGCTTCTATTTCTAGCCACAAATAACTACTACAATAAAATTTGTGGAAATGTTTTTTTTAGTTTTTTTAATGTGATGACCAAGTAATGATTTATTTTTTTAAGGGTTTTTTTTCAATTTCAAAATGATTTGTGGATATAGTATATATTATATATATGAGCATAATATTAGTAGTAATAATAATAATAATAAAATATACTGATTGGCTTACATTTTGGTTTTTATGATGATGATGGTGATGATAATTTCACAATGACGAAAAAAATGGTGAAATTTTTTTGGTATGTCGCCGACCGGAATTTTTTGGGTGGCTGACACGGAGTTTGGCATGTGAAAGTTTGGGGCTGGGCAGATTGTTGAAAAATTCAAGCTAAATGGGGATTTCTGGCCAGACATTTCGGTCCGCACAGTTTCTTGGAACTTTCCGGCTTATTTGACAACAAAATACTTTGAAACTTAGAATAAAAGATATAAAAGTTCCTTTCATTCATTTAATTTTATTTTATTTTTATAAATTCAAAGCTTTGATTTCTCTTTTTTTTTTTTTTTTATCGCTTGAATCTGGTCGGGGTTGTCTTATCGCGTGACCCCGCGAAACATTTTTGGTTGCTGCTGGCATTTTTTTAATTGGCCACAGTCAGACTTTCCCCCAACGTTTCCAAAAGAACACGGAGGGAAGTGGGGGTGTCATTGGGCATTTTATTTTATTTTATTTTATTTTTTTTCAGCAAATCTTTGAAGGAAACAAGTAAATAATTTTTTTTTTTAAAAAAAAAAAAAAACAGATTGACTCGAGAGTTAATAGAAAGTTTAGTTCATGTTTAGATTTTTTTTTTTTTTTTTTGGGATTTAGAATGGATTGAAAAAAAGAAAACCTTCAATATTAGATTTATTTTATAAAAGAAAAATTAAGAAAAATTAAAAAAAAATAAAAAAATAAAAAAAATAAAAAAAATAAAAAAATAAAAAAAAAATAAAAAATTATGGACATAATTCATACCTTATCAATAAAGGCTGTTGTTCTGGTTTAAAGTTTTTTGTTGGATTTTTTTTTTTTTTTTTTTTGCATATAAAAGGGTTGCCACATCTCTTTTTCTTTCCCCTTCCCCTATTCTCACACTCTTCCCTTTGTTTTATTTTATTTCAATTTTTTTCTGCTTAAACCAGAACTCTGTTAAGAAACATTCTATTCATCATCAAGGATTCTCTATTCCTTTTAAATACCACCATCAAATCTATATCATGACCCCACCTCCAACAGCCTTTTCCCCCGTACTTTCTGGGAAATCAGACCCCATTACTGCGCCATCTCCATCTTCCATCAACCGTAGATACTCCAAGACCCGTGGCTCCCCTGGTCCCACAAGCCCTTCCTTGGGGCCTGTGACTTCTGGAATTAGTGGTCTTTCTCTTGGCCCGAGCTCATTTTACAGATCCAAAAGCTTTGGAAGCCAGGGTAGTATTCCCGGGTCGGGCCACACGAGTGATGGAGAGTCTGGGACCAATCATCAATCCCACGCGCTCCCCAAAACAAGCATTTTCCTCGACAATCGGTTGCCGTCAGAGTACTTTAAACAAGACATTCTTAAAATCATTCACCGTCTGCGGATTCACCGTTGGAGCAAATATGTGGCGCCAGAAATGGCTAAAGACCTACAAGTCACCCGCATTTCGGGCGCTCTCACTAATGCTGTATACTGCGTTGCTCCACCTACCTATATTCGCGACGTGATTAAAATGGCACACAAGGCTTCCGTCATTGCCGGAGTTGACCAGTACACTGGTCATTCTGTTCCGTTTTCTCCAGATGCTAACGCCGTTGCAAAGGAAAGAGAAGAAGTGGCTGAAGCTATTGCTGCAGCTTCGGGCCCTAACACTACCTCTGAAGACTCGGGTTACGTTTCTTCGATTTCCGTTTCTTCTTCTGCCATTACAAAAAAAATCCCCCCCAAGTTGCTTTTAAGAGTTTATGGACCTCACGTGGAAAACTTAATCGACCGACAGTCGGAACTTAGCGTGATTTCACGGTTGTCTCGACGTCATATTGGTCCCAAGCTCTTGGGCATTTTTGCCAATGGCCGATTTGAACAGTTTCTAGAGGCAACTACCCTCACCAAGGACGATGTTAGAGATCCAGATGTTTCAATTCAAATTGCAAAGCGTATGCGCGAGTTGCACGACTTGGTGAAACTCGAGGAAGAAGAAGAGCGTGCACTAGGTCCCTGTGCATTTACCAACATTACCAAGTGGGTGGGTCCCGCCCGTGAAAAGCTCATTGCATTACAAAAGCAACCCCAATACCAAGGCAAAAACATCTTTAAGGAAATTCTTGGAACTGAAACTTTTGATGAGTTTGAAGAGGCTATTAACAAATACAAGACTTGGCTAGAAAAACAATATGCACCCAAGGTTGATGACCCTAAAGCTTTGGCTTTAGGTCAAGAGCAAATTAAAAAGGAACTTGTTTTTTCACACAATGACACTCAATACGGTAACTTGTTGCGCATTTTGCCCCCTCCTGGATCACCTTTACTTTCCCCAGCTTTTGAACACAGACAAATTGTTGTCATTGACTTTGAGTATAGTGGGGCTAACACTCGCGGATACGATATTGTAAACCACTTTTGTGAGTGGATGTCAGACTACCTGAGTACAGAAAAACCATGGAAAATTCACCACACAAAATATCCTACACGGGCACAACGACGCAACTTGATTCAGGGATATGCTGAACATGGGTATTCGATTCGTGCCAAACAAGACAAGTCGAGCTCAGTCTTTTTTGATGACGAGGCCATTGAAGCTGAAGTGGAAGCTCTTGAACAAGAATCAATGAACTGGCGTGCTGCCGTCAGTGCCCATTGGGCCATTTGGGGTCTTGTTCAGGCGGTTATTGATGCGTCGGCAGATGCCAAAATGCGCGAGGATATGGTGACTTCTGAGGGCTACAAGTTTGAAGATGCTACTAAGGACGAGGGAAGCGACGAAGATGAAGCTGAGGAAGAAGAAGACGCTTTTGACTATGTGCTTTATGCTAAGGAAAAAATTGATCTCTTTTGGGGTGACTTGATCAAGCTGGGAATTGTTACTACTGAAACATACTCGGGTCCTTATGTTCAAATTGCTAATGATGAATAGTAAAGTTGTGTCGAACGTATTTATTATTGATATAGAGTAAATTAAATTTATATACATACGAAAACCCTTACCCATAAAACTTGTCAATATAGAGCCCTAATTTTTTTTTTAAACCTACACCATTTTCTGCTACCATCACCATCACCAACACCTTAAATAAAAAAGCAAAATACCAAATCATCAATGCCAATCATCCAAGACATTTCCGATATTCCAGAACCTGATGATTTTAAGGATTCCCACACTTTGGATCTCAGGTCGGATCGCATTTTAGAAAATCAATCTGATGACGAGTCCTGGTTGACAGCCATCCAGACCAAGAAAATCTCATCGACACCAGTTCCACTTCCCTCAGCACAACAACTACCACCTACTAAATCTGAGGCTATCAATACTGATGCAATTTTAGAGGAATTACGACTTAGACCTAGTATTGAAAGGTTTATTGAACTTATAACAATTTTTGAAAAACAACAAAACACCTCGGAATCTACGACTTCCCCGCAATTAGCTTCCGTTCTGGCAACGGTGCTCAATGTCAACCTGCCTGATCTCTATACCCAGCTTGACCCAAGTACAGAGCTTGGCCCAGTTCTACATCTTTTTGACTCACTTCCAGGCATTGCCAGCATTTTAGCTCAAATTAAAACTCATTTAAGGGCCTTTCTTGACGACGATAGCGACACAAGAAATACCACAGCCTCAATAACCGGCTCCGCATCATCTTTTCTAGTGGACCCAGGCGAGCGCAATAAACACGCATCTGCAAAAGTCACTGATACAGACTTAAGACCTACTGCTACTAAACATACCCGCGTTTCGGATACCCTGCTGGCAGCATTCCGCCAGACATCGTTGCTCCTTGATCTGCTGGCATCGATGCTTGAGCAACCTGGTGCAGTGGCGTGTATGTACATTCGTGCTATTGCCTCGTCATCTTCTGCCCGGCGGCCTGCTGCGTTTCGCGAGGTGGCTGCTTACATTGCTGGATCACGCGTATACATGCTTGCTGCACAGTGCCTGACGGTGTTTGGCCGACATCCACTTATTACTGGACCCGAGCTTTACGCTGTGTCGTGGCGGTGGCTTTGTGATCCGCAAGCATACCAGCGATTTTTGGTAGCATCTTTGCTTGACATGCTTCGTAACAAGAACTGTGAAGAAGCCATTCCAGACTTTTTGTTGCGCGGTTTACGGTTGCACGGATCCGCTGGTGGTCCACAAAATACCGTGCTGCTGAGCAGTTTTATTGATCCGCATAACCATGAGCTTACAGAAGATCTAGCCTTACAAGCATTTGCCACCATGAAGCCCCTGGATGTCCGTACTGTATTTTCTTCATACATTATTCCATATATTTACAGAACTTACCTGTGTGTGCCTGTGGTTCTTGAGCAAGACGAAGACGAGAATAGCGGTGGTGCCGAGGCACGTAATATTGTTGGTGCGTGCGCAGATTTACTTGTGCGGCTAGTTTGCGCATGTATTTCTCCGTTATCAGGAGACATCGATAAGCAACGAGCTACGCTAGAAAGCATCACACATAATTTCCCCGCAATGGCAATGTCGCCGCAGTATTCGCTTGGGTTACGCAGGGTCCTTGTAATTGTTTTGGATACAGTCTACAAAAAGTTTGATTACGGGGAATGGCAGTATTTACAAATTGAAGAGTTGCTGGCAGAGTGGGGGAAAAATATGAATATTCGACATGCGTCACTCGTGGCTCAGCACGCTCAATCAGAACTTTTAGTTCTATGGACGCTTAATCTTGCTCGTGGAGGCTATGTAGAAGATGCAGAGTTTATCAAGTCCAAGATTTTGGAATCTGCTGCGTACCTAAATGCAATTACCAATAGATTATCATCAAATTCGGTGCGCCCGCGGGTATTGGGTATGGCTGTTGCGGAAACGTTTAGTCGCGAGCTGGATAAAAAGAATGATGCGCCATTGAGTTTTGGTGTGGATGAAGTTTATGGAGCAGACTTGGATTATTTCCGGAAATACCTTGTGGGACTCAATGATCATTTAGTTAAAGAAGGGAGCTGGTGGGAAGTACTGGAGAAAAACCATGACCATATTCAGCCTAAAAAGAAAAGAACTGCAGTTGAAACAGAAGATGAGGGATACCCCGAAAGCAATGCAGACGAAATGGAACTTGACGATGAGGATGATAATAACGATAATGGTGAATTTGCGCCTTTATCTTTTGCACCGGAACAGGATCTTGATTCAGATTTAGAAGAAGAGGATCTAGATGATCCATCGCTTAATGTGCTGGACAAGGATAAACGCAACACCAAACCTCCAGTATACATTAAAGATTTGGTTGCATATCTTGATGCTACTGAGTCATTTGCCAAGCAGAAGCTTGGATTGGAGACTGCAGCCAAGTTGATTGAACAAAAGGCTAGATACGGAAAAGAGTTGCAATTTTACAGCAAAGAACTGGCTACGGCCTTGGTGGGGATGCGTAACAATTTCGACATTAAACAGTTTGAGGAGCAGCGTGGGTCTGCCCTGGCGACGCTTGTGGCTGCAGATCCTTCTCGGGTGGGCCCGCACTTATCTGTGCTTTTGGTGACTGGTGATTATTCTGCGCTACAACGGACTGTTGTTTTAAGTGGGTTGGCTTCTGGCGCTGAGATTTTGGCCAACAGCAAGACGGGTGCAGGTAATTCACCAGTGTTTGCATCTCGAAAATTGCCTTCAGAAGCTTTGCACAAACTGTTTTTGGAAATGGATGAGGTATCACTTGGTGGTGATCCTGACGAACAGAAAAGGCTTGGAGCCGAAGGCTATAGCGGAGCCCATCTCAAAACACTGACGTACGAGATGCAGCAGGAGCTATTGGGTGGAACTACTGAACGGGCACAGGAGCAGCTTGTGGGAGCAGCTCGGGAATTGCGGGTGTCAGGAAGTCTCGAAAAACAGCGGAAAGAAGGTACCGTTGGGAAGCTTCGACCAAGCGGTGTGTTGGCGCGGACAAATGTGTATGCCAAGACAGCAGCGCGGTCCTTTTTCCTGCCGCTGGCTGGTAACTGGCAGCGGGTATCTGGATCTTCGTCTTCGAGTGCAAGGGGAACACCGTACTTTGGAATGTTTTTAGCACAGGTGCTGCGTACACTTGCTGTGTTGCTGTACTTGGCTGCGCCTGGATCTACGGAACTCACGGAGATGAGCGGAGTTTTGTTGGAAATTGTGATGGCGCAACGTGCACGCGGACTCCGAGGGGCTGTTGAGTCTGGAAATGAGAATGCCCAAGTTTATGAGGATTTGGCAGTACGCGAGGGTCTGTACACCGCCATCTTGGCTATTGTGCAGATTGCACGTGAACAAGACGGTGGTGAGGCACTTGTGAGTCGATGGCCCCAGGAAGTGGTGGAGCTCAAGCTCTGGGTTGAAGAAATGTGGGAAAACCACGAGGAAGGGGTCGGTGGAGGCAGCAGCATTGAGTCTGCAACAACCTTGCCAGCTTCTGCTACTGGTCTCGGGGCCATGGACTACGAGGCACGGAGGGTCCGAGGGCTTGCAGCGAGTGCTGTGTTTATGGTGGACGAGATTGTTGAGAAGTGGCAGCGAAGGTTAGTTGGAGAGCTAGTGAGTCCGGAGAATAGTATGAAGGAGCTGCGGATTGAGCGCACAGGAGTTTTAGGAGGCCAAGTGAGGATCCGTTGATGATGATGACAAAACAAATGAAAAGTTAAAATCATAGTTTAAATTGTTTTTTTTTTTTGAATGAAATCATTATTGTACATATATATAAGATGATTTATATAACCGATTATAACTAAAAGACAAATGGAATAATGCAAGATAACTAGAGAAAAGATGGATAAAGATAGAGATGAAAGTGGTGGTCGATGATGGTGATGCTGGAAGCTTGCAAGTGCCTGTACAAAGAGCCCCCGGACCTGCTGAAAAGAGGATATTAAGGGAGAAAAAAATAAAACAATTAAAAGAAAAAAAAAAACATTTTTAACCAGAAAAAAAACCAAAAAAAAACCAAAAAGAAGAATTAGAAAAAGATTGAATCAAATCAGATAACCTCCTGTGCTTTTCTTTTTTTTTTTTTAAAAAAAAACATAAGCCCTTTTGACATGGAAATCTATTGACAGTAAACTCATAATAAGCTGTGAAGTTTCTCTCATGTATAATAATAATATCACACAAAACAAGGAATTTGTTTTAAAAAAAAAAAAAAAAAATAAGAGCCCAGGAAAAAAATTGACTTGGGATTCAAAATCTTTTTGAAACAAATCTTTATGCTCCATGAAGCTTTGTCCATTCTTCAGGTGTATAGTTTTTCTAGAAATAAAAGGTTTAATGTCAATATTAATCACTATTTCCCAATATATATATAAATATTATATCTTTACTTTTTTTTTTCTCCACACTCGCGAATACACATAAGTTAGATCTTATTAAAAAGCTTGATCTTTTAGATTATCTAGGTATAGAGAAAAACAAAACAAAACAAAACAAAACAAAACAACAAAACAAAACAAAAAAGCAAAAAAATACTAAATTCACAGACTACTTACCTGAGTAAAAGCATGGATGGAATTGATTTCTTCACGCAGAGCTTGGTTGACAAGTCTGTGGCGCATTAGACGGTTTTTACCAGCAAAGACTGGTGACACAATGATCACCTCAAAAGCCTGGCCGCAACCTCCAGAAGTGTCGGCGCATTCGACGTACACGGCCTCCAGCCGGTTTCTGATAGCATCATCTAAGTACTCGGAGGTCAGAGACATGGCGGGATGGAGATATATCTGAAGAGAAGAGATGAAAATAAAAAAAGGAAAAAAAAAGGGTAGATGAATATAAAAGAAGAAAGAAAAAAGATTGATTAGTAAAGAAAAAAAAAAAAAAAAAAAAAAAACTCCGATGGGTTTCAACTCTTAAAATTTTTTTTTATTTTTTATTTTTCATTTCCTGGAGGGGTGCAAAGAAGCAAATATAGCATAATAACATACAACCCTAACCCACTGATTGATAACAGCTCTTTTTGGAAGCACGTCATAACCAGCAGCTACGAGAGAGGATATAAACATTGGGGCAAGTCCTTCAAGTCGATAAGAAGAAGTAACGTTGGGTTCTTACAAATTGTCATTGTCAAGTAATCATTATTTGTTTTTTTTTCTTAATTCATATTTTCAATTTTTTTCTCATTCACCATAAAAAAGAAAGACTCAACAAGGCTTCCATCTTCTTTAGTGGGAACCAGCGCTTCTGGAAACACGCTCCAAAACAGTGTCGTAGGCAATCTCGTCCAAGTCAGTACCCTGGATCTCGTTTGTAATGCCCGGCAGCGATCTTCTAATAGCGTCCTTAGAAGAAGCGTAAACCATCTTGGACTTGACCTTGGCGGTATCGGGGGACCAAGAAATGAAAATAAGCTTGTTGCGGATACCCTCACCAGACTGGGTCTCGTACTCAAAGTCGTAAACAGCGTATCTGCAGTCATCCTCGGGGAGATCATTGACAAAGTCGTCGTACTGAGTGTCGGAAGACTTCTTATCAACAACAATTGACTTAAGGTTCTCAGAGAGCTTGTAGATAACGTACTTGACCTTGCTCTTAGCCTGCTTCAGCTCGTTGAAGGCCTCAATAGCCTCGTCAGCGACAACAACACTGTGTTATCATGAGTTAGTGGTGTGTGTAAATAAATAAATATATCAATAGGAGCGTGTTTATGTGTATGAATAAGATCTTATCGCTATCTTAGTGTGTGTATGAGTGCGTTTAAACTTACCCAGATCTGGACTAGAAAAAGTCAATGGCAATCAATTGTTAACAAAAAAGAACCATCTATACGTAAGATAAAGGGCTTACCATTTCTGGCAAAATAGTTAGTAATGGGATAAAGATAAACAAAAAAAAAAAATCTGGGGCAAAAGTAAACAAATGGAAGTTTTCTATGTTTAATACAATTGAGCGAGATGGAGGACTCAGACAAAAAAACCTTGATAGAGTATATATATGATAACAGTTCACCCAAAGTCTTCAATTAAGTCCTTTTATTTAAAAAAAAATATCCACCGCTTAAAATGTTCAATTATTTAAAATATTAAAGGGGGGGTATTTATGAAAAAAATAAATCAATCAATCTATCTATCTTTTTCTTGTAAAATTTCATCCTTTTTTTTCGGAGAATTAATTGATTTTTTAGCTACCATGAACAATGCCACATTTGAATTTTTTTCTAGTAAAAAAAAAACCGCAAAGAGTTTGTTATCTTGACTATAACATACTTTATAGAAATTAGTTATAAGGAGGGGGTTGTAAAAATAAAGCGATTGAATTGTTGACAATTAAAGTCAATTAGAGATGATTTGAACGGAAAAGAAACTAAAAAAGAAAGAAACTTTGACGTTTATGTTATATATTTATTTAAAACAAAAGAGAGAGGAAGGGAAAAAAAAAAAAAGAAGAGGGAAAAAAAAAAGAAGGAGAGGACAAAAAAAGGTAAAAAAAAAAGGGGCGGTGAGCTAAATTGACTGGTGGCTGTGAAGAAAAAAAATAATGCCAACGCACCAGATGTCATGCCATACTAGCCTCGGACCACAATTTACGCACACAGACTCATATATACTTGAATCTCACTTATCTCAACACTCAGCTCTGAAGGCTTCATGTTCTGGGGGGAAAAAAAATACAAGACTTTAAGATTTTGGGAAAAAAAAAAAAATTACAAAAGTTTTTTGACTTATTTTATATTCTAGATTAATAAAATCATATAGATATGGGAGTTTTTTTTTTTTTTTTAATCTCTTAAACCGGCATAAGCATCCCGGTTAATAATGCGTACTTCAGACTGTCTATTGTTAGGATGGCTTTAATGCCCCGCCTAAATTGTACGGCTACACATTAAACCTTAATTGCAACAACAACAAAACACCCTATAATCATCATTTAATCATTTCATCATTTCATCATTCACATTCATACACTACATAAGTTTTCTAAAGTTCAAGTTTTTCTTTTTTTTTTTAAGAACAGTAAAATCCAACAAAATATAAAAAGAAAATAAAAAAATCAATGCGCTATCTCCCAAATGTCTCCCGTCAATCTTAAGTGTACTCCCAGTCGTCATATCCATGTCGCATGCCATCTCTCCGCACCGATGCAGAATCAACAGTCTGAAATCCAGGCATCCCATTCTTGGATAACTGAGCCAGCCCAGAAATAGAAACCGTCGAGGACGACGTCGAAAGCATTGGAACAGGACCCTGTGGTCTTTGCTGAAGTAAAGATCGGTTGCTAACATCTACCAACCCCCGGTCATCTTCCTCCTCACCTACCGCAGGTCGTTCAACCATATACGCAGACATGGAAAACGTTGATGTCACAGAGCTTGGTGCAAAAACCTTGTGATATCCATCATCAATGAAAATAGATGAGGATGACACCGATGAAGGCCCAAGAACTACAGCTTCAGATGATGTTGTTGACGATAAACTAGATACAGCAGCACCCATCACCACACCAGATGGATAGGACGTTGGTATTCCAACATGTTCAATGCTACTGTGTGAGCTAGGCTCCAAAAAATCCCCACCATATGTTCCTTCTTTAGGAGTGTTATTCGTTGTCCCATCCATTCCGAGCATCCCAGAGTGTATTAATGGTCCTCCTCCTGGAATTGGAATTGCCAATGCTGTTGTTGTTGTCATCGTTGTCTTCGTAGAAGCTGCTGTTACTTCTTTTTCATCTTTTGGCGATGATGCTAATGCTGAATCCGTGGTAACAGAGGCAGTAGCCAGCGTGGGCTTTATGGCAATGGCTGTCACAATGGATTGCGTCAATGTATCGTCTATGCTTTGAATATCAACCTCATCGGCTTCTTCATGTATACTTTCACGACCCAATGAAACCGTCAATTTTTGAAACCCTTCTTCGTCCTTTTCAGTAAACTGGTAAGTGCCTGTAGGCTGTATTGCTTCCACATCTTCTTTCCCAACATCATGGAAACTGTTATCCACATGATCATGGTCAATATCATCTCTTTTCTCTTTTCCACAATTAGTGTCGTTATCATCATTGTTGTTACTCCCGCCTTTGGTTGTGCAGTCTCGAGAAATCGTGGGGAAACCCTCATTATTCTTTACTACAACTACCACCGGTTCTTCCTCTCGCCGACAATACTCGTAATCAGAATCTTGAAACTTTGGTCTAAGAAACACAGAAGATGTATCGCTATTTATTGGCGTCCTGACTTCCTTAGATTGTAAGTCTTTTGCATCATCGTTGTAAATCTTTTCAACACTAATCAAAACAGAAGAAGAAATAGTGTTAGGAATGTCTAAAGATTGTGGTAAAACGACCACAGGTTCATCATTGGATTCTAGCAACTCACCACTAGTGTCTCTGTCATGAGTCGTTTCATCTATTACTTCATCTTGGGTGGTCACAGCAACTTTGGCAGTAGCGGCAGCATCAGTATTTTCAGAATCCAAAAAAATCTCCTTACTGTCACCTTCAATTAAGGCATCTCCTTCCTCTTCCTCTTCAGGCTCCAACATAACATCAATAAACTCTCCATCATCATCGTTTGACACAGACACGGATTGACGTCGCAAATCTACTGGGTGGGGAGAAATGTGAATTATGGCTTGTTGCGGAGAGTTTTTCACATGCCTTTTCCATTCTTCCCAATCATTTCTATTCTTTATTAGAACACCCACTAGCATACTCGGATCCATTTCACTTAAATTTAGCAATCGAATACGTTTCGAATGTACAGTGTCAATAGCTTCGCACGTCAATTTAGAAGGAACAAGAGCTGGCTTAGGGAAATGTGGATCCAGATAAAAAAGATTATTGCCTTGGTACCCATAAAAGTAGTGTGACGATGAGGGCCGTCCTCCAGCAATGCCAACGGCATGAGGGCATTCCAAAATGGCTTTTACACTTTCCCAGTAAACCTTGTTAACTTTATCAATCCCAAGTCGCAGACCAAGAAGGATTAAAGTTGGGTGAAAAGTCTTTGTTTTTTCATCATATGCAGTTTGTAAAAATGGCTTTTCGTAAACGTCAGAGCCACTGGATATAAACACTCGGAGTTGTTTTTCTTTATTTCTTCCAGGTAGCTGTTCTTCCTCCTCTACCTTGTCCTCAGCAGTAGTAACCTTATTATTCTTGTTGGAGCGGTACTGCTGAGCCAAAGCTTTTATGCTGCTGGCCGCCGCTGATGGACCAAACCATTCACCTGGTCTTTTTCCACATGCAGCCTCGCCATGCCTCACGAAATTATGGATGGAAAAGGGGCATGCCGGGTCATCGGCAAACAGCGAAATAATGCGGACCTCATTAGGGTCAAGTGTTTCAGGAGTGTTGGGTCGCCGCCAATCACGACCAAGCTCCAAGAGTAATAAACAGTTGGCTAACAAGGACTGACTGGTGCGAATCATGCATCCCCAGCCCACATCAGACGTGAACCCATTGAGGTCAATGCCGGAGCCTCTAAATATCCCTCCGATGGATACTGGTGATGGGCCGTTGCGCGACTTTGGAATAAGAGGGAAACTAGTGCGGTAAGTAAGCCATATCCTTGATCCGGAATCATCTAAAAAGTCGGAAGGCCATTCTGTGGGGGGGAGTGGCTGCAAGTCTAAGTTAGTTGAAGAAGTTGTTGGTGTAGAAGTAGATACAGTGTCAGCTGCAGTAATGGTATTAGAAGAAGCAGCAACAGTAGCAACATCAACAGATTCTTGTTTGCTGGTGGCAACGTCATTTATAATATTTTTTTCATTATTGGAACTTTGTGTTTCGTTACTCAGGGTCTCGCCGTCACTACATATCGCAGTATTTGAGGGTGTTGGTAATGTAGATGCTTGTGTTTTGCTCAACGGGCTGTAGTGTTGTCCCAGGCAAACAATCTCGTGGTCGTGATCAGTATTTTGGGGCTCCGGGTCCCAGATAAACTGTATCATACGCTTGAACTCGGGTGGGCCATACATGCTGTGTGATTTAAACCGGGAAACAAGACAAGAAACGGGACAAAAAAAAAATGCAGTTTACAGAGGGAAAAAAGGTGGTGGAAATGACGATGGTGATGATGGCGATGGTGAAAGTAATGGGATTTATTGGAGAAGAAGGGCTTTTTTTTTATTTTTATTTTTTATTTTTGTCTGATATCTAACTGATAGGCGTTGCTAAGAAAAAATATCATAAATCACATGCACAAACACGTAGTTGTATTAAAGGAGCTCAAAGTTGAGTTTAGTGGCGCTTTACTGAGTATTGATTAATTTTAAAAGTGGCAAGAAAATAAAATAAAAATGAAAATGAAAATGAAAATGAAAATATAAATGAAGATGAAATCAATAAAAAAAAAAAAATTAAAACCAGATATATGAAAATAATCGGGGTTTTTGCGTAAGGTACAAGAAAGAAGACCTGATGGTGTTTGTTCTGTGCGTTTTGTCTGGCATTACCATAAATATTAGAGACTGAGCCTATTTACGTGTCGATCACGTGCGTATATTCAACTTTAAATGCGCTTATCAAAAAACAATTATTGATTACCCGGCCTAAATTATGCTTAGAAAAAAAAAACATTGTGATCAGCCAAAGGATTATAACTCAGGTTGTCATTCCACAGAAAAAAAAGTTACTAACAAGAAAAAGGGATAATGACTGGAAATAACTATCAAGACGACAAACCCTTTGGAAATAATAGAGATGGAGGTCGAGGAAGAGGTGGAAGAGGTGGAAGAGGTGGAAGAGGTGGAAGAGGTGGCCGTGGTGCTAGAAATTCTGGACGAGGTGGTCGAGGTGGTTATGGTGGTCGAGGTGGTCGTGGAGGCTACAATGGACCTGGAGGATTTGGTGGACCTGGAAACTACGGGAATAACTATGGCGGTGGGGTTTTTGAAGACAATGGTGATGATTTCTACGTTCCAAAACACCGTAACAATAATTTTGGTCAAAAAGAAAGATACCGAGCTGGGCCAGGTGCACCAGTAGGGTTTAACCCCAATAATGATACCCCAGGAAGCAGCAACCAACGAAACAAGAAGTTTTCTAACTATGAAAATAACCGTAATACTTTTAAATATTCTTCTGCAAATTATAACGAAATTCATCAATCACAACGTTTTCGAAATTACCGGTCTAATTCAAGATTCTTGGTTCCTGTTGTGTTTGTAAAATCAACCGAGGTTTATAATCCATCGAAGTTTGTTAATGATTTTATTAAAGAGCATCATTCTCATATTTCGACACACTCCTCTTTGTCAAAACCGACTAATTCAGTGGAAAATGTTTTAGAAATATCCAATATCGAATCGCCTCCAGTCGAAACTAGTGATTCATTGGACCAGGAAACAAAAGGTATTAATAACCTTGTCATCCATGATTCCATCTCTAATGCAATAACTGATATTCCTGAAGTAAATCAATCTGATACTGTTGAGTCTACAGAAGATCAGTTCTCTTCAAGTAATGACTCCGATTCTGATGTGAATGAAGATGATCTGGCTCAGTGGGCAATGAGAGATATTGGTGGTGAAGGTGAAGGAATAGATTATAATGTCTCTTCCCCTGAAAATAGTGACAGCGAAACAGAAAATGAAAAACTTGAAACAGTTCAACCACTTCTTAAATTTTTGTCGATTTATAGATTTCGACCAACGGTCTCAATTAATGACCTAATGGGAACTCATCTGCAAAAATATGATTCCAATGAACCAAATTTTAAAAATTTATTTTATTCAGAAATTGTGGAAAAATATCCAAATATTAAATTTCCGCCTATTGAAATGTTATTTTCACTGATTGCTTCTAAAGGCCGGTTTTTTCCGTTGTTAGACTGCCGTTCTACAGATTATGATAGTATTAAATCGGAACTAGATCAGCTTGGTCAAGATGAAGCTACATTGAAAAATACATTACTTGCATCTTCACTATTAGGAACCGATAATGAGACATCAATGTCTTCTTCAGTGGCTGATCTTGTTGACAGTTTATCTCAAATGCAAGGTTCGAAAAAAAACAAAACTGCAAGAAAACTGGCACAACAAGACCTCGAAAATATTGCGCGGCTAACTTCTACAAATTACAACGTTACTAAAAAGTCTCTCAAGGGGAAAATAAATTTTGATGCTGCAGACGAATCACTTCATGCAGATTTACAGAGTCAATTTGACCAGGCACGAAAAACTCAAGCACTAAAAAAAATGGAACGTAAGTTGCAGCGCGATCTTGCAAAATCTCAGTTTAAACATGAACGTCATAAGGAAGCTGCTAAAACCGATCTAATGACTATTCGACAACGACGCGCAGAGCAGTACAAAAAATCTAACGGTTTTGTTAGTTTGCCCATTAAATACCCTGTTTATATGAAAGTCAGCGATGTCGCTTATGAGATTGAGTACTTCATGCTTCTTCCTACTGGTAGAAAAACCTTGCCTTTTCCAGTTATGGGAGTTCCAGGTGATATGAAAAGAGTCGATGATTTGGCTCGTTTTTACGGACTTGAAACAACGATCAAAGGAGATGAAACAAACCCTCATATTGTCGTCATTAAAGATAATCAGAAACTTCTTTTTGCTAAGCATTTAGAAATATATAATTATCTTTGTGAGCATGGAAATACCAAGCTCTGGAATACAGATGCTTCGATTAATCCCAAATTCTTAAAAGAAAAGCATGTGAGAAAGTTAAAGCGCAGGATAGAAACAAGAAATCTTACTGGAAAATCAGAAACTGGAGGTACAAAGCTGAAGGATGGACATATTGTTGGTCAAAATGCAGAGGCCATAGAATCGTCTAATTTTGGTCATCAGCTTCTTCTCAAAATGGGATGGACTGCAGGAACTGGTCTGGGTACAGAAAGAGCCGGTATTTCTGAACCTTTAGTGGCAACAGTTAAAATAACAAAAACTGGTTTAGGTAACAGCAGTCAATCCTGGTTATAATCAATGAAATTCCGTGGGGTCAAGTGTATATTGATTAATAAAAATTAAATTTTCTATATATATTATTATTAAACATTAAATGGAGAGCTCTTTAATTTGTTTAAAGTGATTGATTTTTGTGGTTGTATTTTTATAATGCGTAATGAGGTTTTGAACTTCGTGCATAATTTGCGCCATTGTTCGTTTCCGTTCTTCTCCAAAAGGATATATATTGGCATCTATTGGAATTTTAAAAAGTGCTCTGTTCAAATCATTTACAAACTGAATATACATGTCTGTCATGCATACACAGGATATAAGACCAGCAATCTTGTTTTCTAAACGATGTAAATTCACACCAGTTTGCATGACAATGTTTTTCAAAAAATTTCTAGCTTCAATAACACCCAAAGTATCTATCAAAGGCATATCTAACCGTTCATATAAAGCACTTGGTATTTTTGCTCCTGGTTTAAAATCAGGCATTTCTTGCGAAGTTAAAGGCCTTGCAGTACCGATTAACAGTTTGACTTGTGCCTTGAGGGCCTTTACTTCAACACCTCGCTCGTTGGCCTTTTTCGTGATATGTGAGACTTGCTTAATCATGTTTTCGTGTGAAGATTTGAGAGTACCTGAAAGCTTCGTAACTTCATCTTTAAGAGTTTTTGTAGTTTCATTATTGCGATTGTTGTCGTTGTTCCGTCTTTGTATTTCATCCAAAAGCGATGCCTGTGTGCTTTCAAGCTTTTTTTCAAGACGATAATTTTCTGCCTCCAGTTGGGCAATTTTTTCTTTAAGCAAACCGATATCAAGTTCTTGTTGGGTGTTAAGACTATTTTCTCTCTTTTGAAAAAATGGCTGGTCGACTTCAGTTAAACTTGTCCTCTGACTATCGTTATTCTTATAACTATTAGCATTCTCTTCAACAGGTATAATATTTTCGGTTGATGCAAAAGTTACAGCACTGGCTCGTCTAAAAGGTCTGTTATTATCAGGTGTTTTGGCAGGGATAGATGCTAATAATGAGTTTTGGTCATATCTCAACGGGGTATTATCACTTTCTATAGCTTTTGAAGAAGAGTTGACACCTAGTACATTAGTGTTTTCTTTTATAGGTGTAGACTGTGCATGGGGGCTAGACTTATTTAAAGCAGAATCACCTAAATTTCGATTGCTTTTGGTAGACTGAAACAAAGTAAGCATTGGTGGCCTTCCTTCAAGGAAAGATTTGAAAATCTCAGTCCCTTCAGGAAAAGATAATAAATACGACTCGATACCAATAGTGCTTTTTTTGGAAGGTGTGGTTAAATCATAAGACGTTGGACCTGACTTCTGATAAGTAAATGATCGATTTTGTACGTCTTCACTCATTGACAAATGTGGACTTGGTATTTGAAAAGTACTTTCATCATTTGGACCAGCTGCCCTTGAAGTGCTAAATATTGGTGGGACATACATTGATGATTTCTCGCTGTCGATATTTTTATTACTGCCTTCAGGATGTGCTATTTTTTTTGCAATGTTGTCAGATATCCCATGAATAAATACTTCCAGATCTTTTTTGGTTACGTAGTCGTTATTATTGCTAGAAAGCTTGTCACCAATTATTAGATTTTGGGCAACGTTAGTACTTTTCTGTTTTTGCTTTAGTGATGCCTGATTATATGGAGTCGAAGAGTTAACAACATTATATGAAGCATCGGTGACGTTCCTGCTGTGGTGAGGATTAAAGGATTCGTTTTCATATTCAGCATCACTGTAGGAACCATCTTTTCTAAATTTGTGGTTTTCATGTTTTTTATTTCTATCATGGTGATTATTTGGAGTGAGTTTTTCTTTGTGAGGAGTAAGACTCTCAAATTGTTGTGCAGCATTGGTTTTTAAACAATTGTCTAAAGAAGAGCTTTCTTGAGTCGAATCATATGGATATTTTTCTTGGTCTGGATGATTGATCTCTGGATTTTCGGTTTGTTCGAAATCACGGTTGTGGGATGGAGGGCTGAATAACGAAGTGTCAGAAGGAATCGCGGGCACCGTTCGAATTTGGCTCATACTGTGAACAGGGCCTACTCGGCTAATAGTATGGTGACGATCACTATGTGGTGGGAATTGAAAGTCTCCGGGCATTGGTGGTTGAAGAGGAGATTCGGGTAATGGTGAAGGGGAATGAGGAGTATCTTCTTGGTGTGATGCTATATCGGCAGGTTTATTATTTTGATGATGAAGATTATGATATTGATTCAAAGATTTAGAGGATATCTGGTTTTCTTGAGAAAGTAAATCACTATAAGATGTTTCAACATCTGGTTGTATAAGTTCAGGCTCCAAATGCGGGTCAGAAGCTGAGCTCTCCTCAGTAACTTCTGAATAATAGTCAGGCTGATTTAATTCGGTTGCTCTTGGTAACGACGATGTTGGTTTTGAAAAATAGTCTTCATCAACTTTGACCGTATGAGATTGAACACTTGGTTGAAGTAATTCCTCATCTTTTTTATCATTTGAGCTTGATTTCGGTTGATCAACGTTTTGCGAAAGATAGTATTGTCTGACTTTATCACGAGTCGCTAATGATATTGGAGGTCTATTGGCTTCTAATTTATTTTATTAGTATGAAAATTCTTAATCAATTGTCTTTTTCTTTAAATAAACACTCGAAGAAAATCAAACTTAGTAACCCAATCAACGAAACCACATACCTAGTAGTTTGAAAGGGTCATTTTCTAATGGAGGGGATTTCAAAGATGGGAAAAAGGCATCTGTATTAGACCCCCTTAATATCGGAGGAGGTGTATATGCCATTAGTAAATAAAAAAATCTCTTAGATATAGAATACCTAAAGAAGAAGGAGTATTTAAAATGAATGAAAAAAAAAAGGCAAATGTAACAATTTTATGGAGCCTGTAAATGTCCTGTAAACAACCTTTCAACTCCTAATATGATAAAAGAACTTCAAAACATGAACCCCCAAATGCAATATATTGCATATATAGATTAAAATAAAAAAAAAAAGGGTTGTACTTTGTCGTCACATGTAAGTATATTATTATGTAATGCTTTATAATCATTACTAACAAAAGGATTTTTTTTTATACTTTTGTGTATTATCTACTCTAGTACAACTGCTCTCTAAGCAGCCTTCAGGTTTCTTTCTTTCTTTTTTTTTTTTTTTTTGCTTCTCAGCTCTAATAAACATGAACAAGTTCTTGCGTTTATTTTGAATATATAATGAAGCCAGCTAAAGCAAAAGTGTCGAAAAATGACCCGCTTCCAACGCCTATAAGGAAAAAAACATTTACAGGCTGCTGGACTTGTCGAAATAGAAAAGTTAAATGCGATTTAGGAAAACCAGAATGCAACCAGTGTCTTAAAAGAAAAATACCTTGTGAAGGCTACGACATTAAGCTGAGATGGTCTACAAGAGGTGATAAAGATGATTCAGAAGAATATTTTCAACGAAGAAATATTGGTATGCCTATAACTTATTTTCTTTTTTTTTTTTTGAAAATATCATTATTTCTAACCTGTTTAGACTTTGTTGTATATCCGCCTGGCATGACTTTTGAAACCTATGAAGATATGGATGTAACACTTGCAAAACTTCACTCTCCTTCGTTTAATGCAAACGAAACAAAAGTCCTAGGTCCTTTTGGAGTTTTTCAAGGCTTAAAAATAGTTCCCAAAAAATCTCGAATAAGTAAACGCAAAAGAAAAGACGGAACCTGTAAGGATTCAAAAGCTTCATCGTCCCCTTGCCTTACGCCTTCAAACTCAAGCTTATATCCTACTCGAAAATCAACACCTGAAATCTCTCTTATAGATCTTACCAAAACTCCTGAAAATATGGGGCCTAACACCGTTTTAAACAGCCTTGAATCGACCAATAATACTTTGTCTGCTTCATCTGTTTCCGATACATTACCTCCTTTTCCTAACTTGCTTCCCTCGGTTATTGAAAATGCTCTTCAGCTAAATTCAAATCCTGAAAAATTATCTTCTCAACAATCAGAAATTCTCAGTACAATAGACAATAGTCTATTTGATAACTTTGGAGCTAATAACGACAATAATAAAACTAGTATGCCCGTGAATAGCAACATTTCTCCGGGAAATATTTCTTCCGATCAAAATAAAATTTGCTCGAGTCAAAAAACCGCTAATGTTATTGAATTTGAATCGTTTCCCAAAGATCAGTCAAATAGTGTCACTAGTAGCAGCAAAGATTTGAATAGTAATAACAATAAAGCTCAAAACTTAAACAGTAACACTTATATTATTAATAACGCCGATAGTATGAGAAATACACTACAAAATTCTTCTTTCGATACGTTACTTTCTCAATTTCACCCAGCTAATCTACAATCGTCTTCATTAGTTCACAACAAATCGTCAGATACCAATAATCTTTTTAATAATAACTTACTGACTGATTCTCATAATAATATTATTACAAATAACATTATCACAAATAGCATACAACAAGATCCAAGCCTTTCTCTATCTTCTCTAAATGATTTAGGAATAACATCTTCTTTAAGTAGTGGATTGGATAATTTCAATACTTCTTTTAATGATAGCCATGTCCATAGCTCAAACAGAAGCATTAACTCTATTAACGATGTCAATCAACATGTTAATTATCAACATGAGAACCTTGATGCGTCTGGTAAAATATACATTTCGGGTAATACTTCAATAACAAATATCGATTCCAATAATTATATCAACTCGACATCTCTAAGAAATACTAGCAACTTGTCAAATCTCTCTCAATCTGAAAAGCACCTTTCTTCGGATAATAATTCTTACGAAAGTGATGGGGACAATGATTTAAGTCCTGTGATGATTTCCACAAATTCTTTAATAAACAAGTATCTTAGTTCAGATATGAATTATGGTCTTCCAACCAACACTATTTATTTTTCTCCTGAAGCAAGACAACTTCTTCATCATTATATTCATCAAGTTTCTCGTCTAATGACTGTCGTCACTCATGATTCTACCCCATGGAAAACCATTTATCTTCCTCGTGCTATCAACGCAATTGGTTGTTTAACTGCGTTAGGAGTGGCATCTCCTGCCAGAAGTACAATTCTTCATGCATTACTTGCTGTTAGTTCTTATCATTTAGCCAGTAAATATCCTGAGCATTCTGATAATCGAAAACATTTCACCATGTTTGGAAGCCGCTTAAAGATGTATGCATTAAAATATTTGAAGCAATGTCCATCTCGCCCCAGTGTTGAAAGTCTTCATAAAGACATTACTACTGCGGTTTTATCTATGGTCACGATAGATGTGGTATCTGGTGAAATGGAATCTTGTTCCCAGCATTTAAATTCGTGCAAGGAACTTATCATGTCTCAAGTGAAGAATTCCCAGATGGCTGAATCTAAAGAGACCCAAATTTTGCACAGAATTTATGCTTTTCTCAACCTTTTGCAAGATTCTACTAACATCACCACTGATCGTTTAGATTCTTCAGTTTTGGATGATTCAGAATGGGACTATATTCGCGAAATGAAAGATCTTGGTTTAGAATCACCTTTGGATGGAACACCCATGGTGAGCCCCTCCACTATTACGTCTGGTTCACCGGACGTTAACAATCCAAGCGATAGCGACAAAAGTCGTGTCACTAATTCTGATAGCCCTAAAACATCGATACCTGTTATTAGCCCTGCAACTGCGAGCTCTATTTTTGGGGAATTTGAATTTTTTGGAAATGAATGTGCTGATGTCGCATGGCTTTGGGAGAATAATGCTGCTTCTCCTTCTGCTTCTACGATGTTAAATTCAACCCTTTCGACAAGCAATAGTACCAATAAAATATTTCTTTCAGCATCTCAGCCCGTGAAAAACTACTACGATGCAGAGATTGTTTCGACGTATGCCATGTATGGTATTCCGGATTCTTTAACTATTCTATTTAATAGAGTTGTACGCCTTGCACGACAGAGATGCTATATTAATGCTGTTGGTGATGCACCTCCTAAACTTTTAAAGGCTTTCAATAGTAAATGTGCCAGAATGGATGAATTATTACTTGAATGGCTAACTAGATTCCAAGAAGATCAAATACCTCCTGAGTTTACTGCTGACAGTAAAATGGCATTTTATTTGCATACAATCGCGTTTTATCATTCAGTCTGGATTTATCATTGCACTATTGTTAAAGATGTTCCATCAGAAACTCTTCAAGATAAAGTTAAGTTTGTTTTGAGATATTTGCAAAACATGCTTCAATTAAATCGGGATAGGCCATCTCCTGTCATTGTACCATTATTGTTTCCTGCTTTTATTGCAGCATGCGAAACTGTTGACAACAGTCTTGCACAAGAATTTGAAATATGGTTTAACCAAATGACTATAGACGGTCTTGGAACATATCATCAAGCCAGAAAAGTTGTCAACGAAGTATGGAAGAGACGTCGCATGGGACTTCCTAAGCATAGATGGTATGAAGTTATGCAAGAGTGGAATATTAACCTTTTACTCAGTTAAAAGTTTTTTAATGTGTTTATGTTTATTTATGTTCATGTTTGTGTTTGTGTTTATGTTTATGTTTATGTTTACGTTTATGTTTATGTTTGTTTTTTGTATGCTATATTTTGTATTTTGTATTTTTTTGTATTTTTAACTTGAAATTACTGTTTATGAAAATGTACCATAAATGGCAGACTTCTTTACACAAACATGGGCGCCCCTCTGTGTTAAATTTGCTTAGGATGAGGAAGCTAAACACTTGATTAGGATGTTTCTGCCTCTGCTGACATCTCTATCAAGTAGCACTTGAGGAAAAGGTGCTGGTAAATTTTAGAGTGCAAACTCGTCATTAAATTTTTGTACATCCTTTTATTTTTGCTAATACCAACTAATTATTGACTGTTGAATGGTGGCAGTACTGTTGTCGTATTCACCAGTAAGATATTTGAAGATTTGATCGTGATCGTCTGTCACTGTTAGCTATTTTTTATGGAGCTTAGAACAGGTTTTGGTGTTTTTTAGTAGCAGCATTTCTGCAATCTTCTTATTTGACTTCATGATTTTCTCTCCGTGAAACAACATATAGAATAAGTCACTATCAGGTAAGTAACATGTAAATAAGTGCTTACTTCCAGGATCAAAATACTATACTACTTTTTTCTTTCATCACTTTCCGCCTCCTTCTTGGAGTCTATCGGAATTAAGAGTTGGAGTATCTTTGTAAGTCTATTGTAGTGTAACTTGACACCATGCTTTATTGAGATAAAAATGTAATTTTTTTTGAATTTAAGTGAGGATGCCTTGAGCTCAATAGATTTAATGGATTGTCTCTTTTTGCTTTAGAAACCAACCGTTAACTTCTCTAAATTTTTTCTTGTAAAGTTATAACTTTGCCAACCAGTGAAGGAATTCTTGAAGTTCTGGGGTGCTTCCTTCATAGCAGACGCTCTAATTTGTTTTTGTGCATCAAACTCAAATTCTTCAATAGTGTTATTTATTGTTTCAACTATTGCTTACCTGCTGTATGACTTTACTAAGTGTCTATTTGTTGCAGTTATCAATCACACTTGCGAAACGTCTTGGTAACATGATCTTTTCTTAAGTTCATCCAGGACCTCATTCTATTGGAGTTGATATCGTTGACTGGTCAGTAATACATACGACAAAAAACACTCACTTGTGATGTGTTATCTGTTGTTTGAGTGTTGGATATATCCTTATCTTTCTTATTTTTAGCTGAGGAAATACTCTTCTTCTTATTTTCTTGTAGCAGTGTATGTGAACAGGGGCAGGGATGCAATATCCTGCTTTTTACTTGTGTTCAACAGAATTCTCGCCAACGAGGGTCCTCCATCCAGCAATTTGGTAGACCTGCTCAACGAGCTCAAATCCAAATTTGTACAAACAGTCTTAGCTCGAATATATTTTTGCGTGCTGCATTCCAGAATGGTCTTAAATTTTATTTTTCTTGAAGTAGGTTTTTGGAGCAATAACTTAAATAGCACTAAAAGAACGGTACGTAACTTAGAGAACTCTAATCTGCCTTTGAATATCTTTAGTTTTTTTTGGAGTTAACTTGATGGTATATGAAATTTTGTTTCGATTGCAATAAGTATAAGTATAAGTGCTGAATATCAGTACGATCCTTTTTGCTGAGTTTAGAATATCTCCATTGGCCTCAATTAATTGTGAAGAGTTTAACAGTCATTCATTCAAACTCGATAAGTTTTTCATATCCAAGTCCGAGAAAAGTTCTATATTCAAGTCCGAAAGAAGCAAATGCTTCTCTCAACCTGATCATTTCCTCCTCATGGCGTGGCACCAAGTATAAAATAATACTTCTTATGAAAAATCTTCATACATCCGTTAGTTTAAGTTGAATGAAAAAAATACTAGGTTACTTACCAATTATCCAAAAAAACTGTAAGGAAATTAAACGTTGAAGTAAATATTCACTATCCATTTTTTTATTTAAAGATTTGAAAGTTGTCTTAGATAATATTCTAAATTGAAACCGCTTATTTTTATGTTCCATTTTAAGATCGATTGAAAGGAATTGCTTAATCCGTTATTATTTAATAATAAGTATAAATATTTTTGTCTTCGCCTATCATTTAAAATTTCCGTTTTGAAACAGACTTCATGATATTTTACAACCACATTCAAAAAATAGTTTTAATGTTTCATTTATAAAGCCATTGAATATAAATTCTCTTTTATTTCTTTTTCTTATTTGCAGTTTATTTAAAGATTATAAAGATAAGTCATCTTCTAAAACAATATATATATGTTTAAATAATTTATTTAGCGATTTTAAATTTAAAGTTAGTCGTTTTAATTAGACTTGTGATTTTTGTCGTAATCACATTTAGATCTAAAGGAATTTCTGAAGCATATTATTAGTTTGCAAAAAAAAAAAAAAAAAAGTTTACAAAATAATAATTTATACTGATTGTTTCTTCTATATCTATTTATGTAACAGCCATATTTAAGCCTATTAGCAATAAAAAAAATATTGTTTTCTTAAATTTTTTGAATAAATGTTATTTCTTCAATATTGCAACAATCTTTTTTCAATCGTTATTCGTGAAATGATTGTGTCGCTTTCATCTTTTTATGGAATTATTTGTAAACAAGAAAATTTACCAAAAAAATTCACTTGTTTTAAAAATATTTCTAATTATGTTCTTATTCACATCGAATTATGAATCCTTGAATTCGTTGTGCTGTTAATGCAATGATTTGAGAATTGTAAATTCCAACCCGGTTTGCAATTTCTTAGTTAAATTGAAATAAGTGTTCAATTGTGCGTTAAAATGTTCTAGATAATTTATATATGTAGAATAAGTTAATGCCATTTATTAAAATAATACGATTAAGTTTTTTTTCTCATTTTTGCTTTGAATATGACTTCATTCATAATGTATTTTTAAAAATTTGTTTAAAAAAAACAAAGCGATTAGTATTTTTGTTTCATAAGAGAATTTTTTCATCACTATGCAGTAAAATTAAGATTTGGTTTCATTTTAAAACCTTCAACCCCAAAAGAAGCAAGTTATGCGAACATATTATTCAGCCTGTTTATTTTATTGCACTCGTAGTTTTTGGTTTGACTTCTTCTCAAAAACTTAAAACCTATCGTTTTGTTTTCTTGAGAACGACTTTAATACTTGGTATCCAAAATTTTATTGCAGGACAATTGGTTTATGCTAAGCTTCTTTTTTTTAAAACTTAATTGTACAATTAAATTTATAAGTAATGCATTATTTGAGTGGTTTAAAGAAACAGATGTATTCCCCATAAGTTGTTCAGATTTAATCAAAAGAAACAACTTATATTTTTTTCAGATTTTTACCATGTTTTTACCATGTTTTTATTTTTCATTCTAACTTTGATTAAAACATGTATATTAAAGTATTGAGTTTAATTTTTTAGCTTGGTTTACAGTTGTAGTTTATTCAAGCTATTCGTTTAAATAATAAACTTTAAGTATAAAATTAAAAAAAAAAATTATTTCTATTCCAAAATTTACGTTTTCTTAATAAATTGTCTTAATATATGACTAGCTTTACGTGGATTTTTTAATAGGCAGCCAAGGAGTCGTTTTCATTTCTGGAAAAGCAAGAGTCAAAAATATCAAAAACATAATATAATTTTCAAACTTATAGATATCAAACAAAAATATTACTATTTAAACAAGTTTTAAAGTATTACAAAATTTAAAGATCATGTTAAAAAATTTTGCCATTTAAGCTTAAAAAAATTTTAAATTTAGGTAATCCCACTTTCTCATAATTGGTCGTAAAAGATACTTTAAAAAGTAATTAGTAATTTGCAATTTTAATATCTCTGGATTTTTTTGTACGAGTAAAAAAGGTAGAAAACTACTTTTTTCTTTTGCATTCTTACATATTTGTACGTTTTTCCAAAAAAAAACTTTAAATTAGTTTTTTATTCTTATTCATTGTTTAAAAAAAAAAAACTTTGACTTTTGGTGAAAATATATCGGTTTGGTGAATGACTGCTTGGCGACGTCTTCAAAGGCGTATAATTTTCACTTTGAAATATAAATTTTACAATAAGAATCTGGAACATATTTTTATGAATTTAATTTTAATGACATATTAATGGATTCCACTATGATAATTATTGGTGGTTGATATATCAATGAGCCATTTTAATGCTTGTTTTGTGTTTTTTTTTTCAAGCGATATTCTAATTGTAAACTTAACAGTTTCCTCATTCATTAATGAATAAGTATTTGTAAACTCATTTTAGCAATAGTCAAATTGAGCAGGACTTGCTTTTCTTTTGTTTTTATTGTAGTATATCTTAAGTAGTACTTTTGTAATTATCCTTAAAATAAATATGCCTCCTGATCAGTATAAAGGCCTCATATTGAATAACCATTACTTGGCTTAATTACTATGACATACCATGCAAAAAAACTTTAGTAGAATAGCAAACCGTTTAAATTCATCGCATCTTTTTTGGGCTAGCATTTACCAGATTTCTTCTAAAAGCTACATCTACATGTGTTACTTTTTACCTATAAGGAAATATAAATAATCTTAGAGAAGTTACCGTCAGAAACAAAAGAAAAAGGTAATTTTAACCAAACACTTATTGAAATTTGTTTGAAGAGGTTAAGGTTTTTAAGGTTATGAAAAAAAGTTCCCTACTTTTTTCTTCAATTTTTTTATTATTTAGATCTTTGTTATAGCTTTTCAATAAGGGTGGTTTCGATCTGTGCACCTCGGATAGCGCGGAAGATGTGCTTTGATGCCAGCATGAAATCAGGAAATAAAAGCTGCCTTTAAAAATATAAACATACCTACAACCTTAAAATATAAGTCTACCATAAATAAATAAATAAATTTAAATTTTCAAAATTATGACAAATTAACAAGTTAACAGGTTAACAGGTGAATATTCTTTTCTGGTTCATAAAATAAATGTAAATTAGATTATGTTTGCTTAATAACCAACTGCAACAGGTTAAAGCTCATTTAATTGTC